ATATTTTCCACAGTGATAAATAGTCAAATTTGAGAGGTGGTTAAATAGCAAATTCCTTGTTAAATTTACAACAAATATGTATTCAGTAACTACTGACTGTCCAAATCTTACAGTATTTGAAATCTGCAGGGTTTTCATTATTCAAAGGTTTCGTCAAAACAAATCACACCTCGCCTACTTCAGCACGACTTTGAAACAAACTTTTGTTAACCATAACTTCAATCAGTATCAGGTTTTGCCCTTCACCGACGTATGAACACTGCATACTCAGTGTGTTACCTCCCGAGTGAAAGTTGGAAAAAAATCACTGTTTTAACTGTCACTCAGGAGGTAACACACTGAGTATACAGTGTTTATACGTCAGTGAAGGGCAAAACCTAATATTGATTTACATCACCCAGAGGCAAATTCATCTTATGAACAGCATAATTTCAATTACAACTCACATCGATTTTCATGATGTAATTCCTTTCTGGACAATTACATTGCAGAATTTTTTTTTTTTTCTAATGAAGAACAAATCTAAATCTGAATGGCTAAGCCTCTGAGAGTTTTGTACAGGATGTACGTTACATTCATTTTATTCAGACTGTCAAACGATCAACATCTGGCAGGGAAAGTCTTTGATAAAGTCACCATGATAACTGTTACCACACACTCTATTAGTAAAAGAAGGGAAAAACCATAAACATTCACCATCACAAAAGTAATTTAGGTCACAGAATTCTGAAACCAAAACAAATATAAAATGTTAAGCACCTACAGTAAATACATTTCGTTAAGAGGTCGTGGAATGCTCGAAGACATTTCCGTCATTTTTCGGGTATATGTAGCCTAAGGCGTGATGAAATAAAAACGACTATTGTGTCTGTCATGAAATGAGTACAAAAGGTACTTTTTAGAGCTGTTTTTCAGGTCCTGTTTCGACCCAAACGTGTGATTTGTGTAAAAGTCGTCGGGGGGGGGGGGGGGGGGCAGCAAACAAAACATAGTAAATCGTGACGTAATAAACAGGACTCGTTTATACTACGGTGCATCGGGAGTCCTGTTTATTACGTCACGATTTACTATGTTTTGTTTGCTGCCCCCAACGACGACTTCTACACAAATTGCACGTGCAGGTCGAAACAGGACCTGAAAAACAGCTCTCAAAAGTACCTTTTGTACTCATTTCATGACAGACACAATAGTCGTTTTTATTTCATCCCACCTTAGGCTACATATACCCGAAAAATGACGGAAATGTCTTCGAGCATTCCACAACTTCTTTAATGCCATTAATTCATATTTGAGAATTCATAATCCGGAAAACTAATTCCGTCAGCGTTCAAAACAAAACACAAATACACCAAGTTATGCACCCATTACTCAAAGATACTACATTGTATTTATACAATTGAATTGGTTCGCTTTATCAACATGCCATGCATCTAAATATACAGTGTACCAATATTTTGTTGATGCTTATTATATCTACAAAGTTATGTACAAAACAGGCACAAAAGGAGAAGAAATGTCATTCATTACGCAGTTGCAATAGGCTATCTGCATTCTCAATAATATAATATAATGTAGTGTTTGATAACCATGCAATTCCTGGCACTAGCATGTCTATGTATGCATGCATAGCATTTTTCCCTCTTAGCCCTTAAAAATCTTTGTTAGATTGATAAGACTGGACCACATTAATGAATTCACATATTTATCTACACTGTAGAACATGTAGAAGCAGAGGTTGATTTCATAGGCTTTTTTTTTACACTGCCTTTAAATGTCTGAGGGTGGCTTTGATGTCCAACACCAAGATTCTGAGAAGTTCACACTAACAAAATTTCAATCCGGAGTTAAAGGTATGGGACAACATCTGCAAACAAAACTGCCAAAATATCATCAAAATATCCTACTTGACTGTAAGTGAATAATAGGACCAAGCATTTTGTGAAATCGTTGCTCTTTGCTGTCAATTTCAAAAGAGAAATTACCATCATTTTACTCGCTAAGCGTCACGAAAAATGAAGATGCATTTTCACAGTTGTCACAAAAGGTATATCTTCAGGTAAATGTTTTAAACCTACTTCAATTTTTTTTTGTATTGCTGTTTCTTGATTGAATTGGCAAAAGTACTTTCTTTGCAATGGTGTCCATTATCTTTAACCAGGGCAACGTGTTTCTCCGTGGACTTAAATTAATACTGGTTGGGACCATACATTGATAGTCTTGATCCAGATAACGAATTGCAAATGTTCAAGCGACCTGTTTCGAAATTCCACAGAGTAAATGCAATGAGGCCAAATCAGAATTATTATGGTCGGCCGAAACAGAAGAACGGGAATGGGTTTCAGCGGCTCCTGAAAGCGCATGTGTTTTGCAAGCCGCACAGTATGTGGAAAAGTAATTCGGATGGGGCCTAGCATTTTGATCCATGTCGAAGTCGACATATGTCAAAGTCGACGATGCTTGCCACCTATCAAACCCAAGACTTATAGGCACAAATATATTGCAAATTATCTGTGGATATATATATAAGATTTTAGGCTTTGCATGTGGAGTATCGGTATCGTTTCGGTTTGTGGTTATAACGTCTGTCGCTCAGTAGATATTTAGTTCTGATAAGTACTTGTCCTGCTTAATATCAACTTTTGCTTAGTCTTTTAGTTCTGTGTATATCTTCAAGGGATTGCAGCTGTGTTAGGCTACTTAAAAAATACTGAAAAAAAATAGCATAAACAGGTTTTACTTCAAAGCCGTCAGTTGTGCAAAAAAAAAATGAAAATTAAGCTAGTATGTTGTTAGGAAGAAAATGGAATGTTGTATTTAACTCATTTTAATTTGAAAATGCACCAAATTAACAATCAATTTTTAGAAATATAGGACAGATAGAAAACAGGATTGTTCATGCCAGACCAAAAAAGTCTGTCATTCTGACAATATTCTTTTCACTTGGGGTTATCAAAATTGGAATGGTCCTACAGATGGGCGGGTGCCTGCCCCACCTTACCCGTAGCTACCATTGGTGTTTGCATAGAAAAGTTGTAGAGAAGGTAGAGAACCAGCTACCAATTGCACCAAATAATTCTACACACAGTTGTGTAAAGTTGATTCATTCGTGATTTTCACAGTTACTCAAGCACAGTAAAAATGACTGAAGTCATACCCTATCGACTGAAAGCACTCCAAAAAGCAATAAGCATCTTATGACTTGCGCAAAATTTTAAATACTTCTTGTACAAAAATTGCAACTAGACTGCGGGTAAAGTTGTGCTTAGCATCAATGACTAGCACGGGTGTATTTGAAGACTACAAACGTACATTACTGAGTAGAGTGGTATTTTTACAACAAATTGCTTACTCTTTGTAAGAGTAGATCCTAAAAAAAAAAATTCACAAAAGATTGGATGGGGTTATAAAAGATTGGGACTGCATGGGTCCTACAAAAGGAGCAAAAATTTACAACCCCCCCTAATTTTTTTTTTTTTTAAATGGACAATTTATGTGCCTTGCTGAAACTTGCTGAGGCGATAACCATAAATTACTAGAGAAAACTTGCTCTGCTTCAATTATAAATTTGAAAAAAAAACCACCAATTTTCGTATTACATGATCACATGATTATCAAATCTCCCATTTTCACGTTATTTCATCTTTACAAGAAATACATTTTTTTGTCGCTCTCAGAAACATGCACACCGAGGATTAATAGATTTAATGCTATTTACATATCTCAAAATATAGGTATTCAACTTGCAAGCTCAAGTCTATTGCAGAATGCATTCTGATATCAAATGCCTTCCATGATTTGTACAAGCACTTTCTATTATTTGATTATTTGTCTGAGTATAAAACATGCAGTGACGCACATTGTCATAATAGTAGTGAACAAATAATTTTACAAAAATTTGGAACAGTTTCATCAGTGCAATGCAGCAGTGTTGTAGTACTCGTACTTGACTCGTACTCGTACCCGAGTACTTTTTCCGTAATCGTACTCATACTCATGGAAACGTACTCGTACTCATGGCAAAGTACTCGTACTCATACTCGTACTCATGGCAAAGTACTCGTACTCATACTCATACTCATGGAAAAGTACTCGTACTCATACTCGTACTCATGGTAAAGTACTCATACTCATGGCAAAGTACTCATACTTATACTCATGGCAAAGTACTCGTACTCATACTCATGGCAAAGTACTCGTACTCATACTCGTACTCATGGTAAAGTACTCGTACTCATACTCGTACTCATGGTAAAGTACTCATACTCATACTCATGGCAAAGTACTCATACTTATACTCATGGCAAAGTACTCGTACTCATACTCATGGCAAAGTACTCGTACTCATACTCGTACTCATGGCAAAGTACTCATACTCGTACTCATGGCAAAGTACTCGTACTCATACTCGTACTCATGGAAAAGTACTCATACTCGTACTCATGAAAAAGCACTTTCGTATTAAAGCCTTGTTTTAGTTCAGAAAAATTTCAGAGGCGGCAGTTAAGTTTGTTTTGTGGAAAATTGTTCATGCATTATTGTTAAATACTTAGTTTTCAAAACTAGAGGGCCTAACGCTTCGATCCTTGCAGGATGTTTGTCAAAGGCAAAAGGATTCTCTCTTTTCTCAAGTTGGTGTTGCAATGCAATGTTCATTTTGTCAGCATCATGGGATTAGCTCGGCTTTTACAGATTATTGTTTCAAGGCTCTCCATCATTACAAACTGATATTTCTCTCTCGTTTCTAATTAAGATCAATTATTCTGGGCAAGGAATTTCAGGTATTAAATCTAATTAGCCTATTTCAGATTTGGTGGACACAATACGAGGGCGCTACTTGGTTTGGGTAAAAATACAAAAAGACTCTACCCAAATCAAACAGCGCCCTCTCATTGTGTCCGCCGTATCTCAAATATATGCTAATGGTTACTGTTGCAGAGTTTTGAATGTGCTACTTCTGGTTTCAGAGTCAGAAATTAGTCATGCATACTCATGTACATGTATATTTTATCAATAACCTTTCACAAAAAGTTTTTTTTTAAACAAAAATAGCAAAATTCATGGCAAGTAAAATTGTTTTTGTCACACTGTGGTAATATGCCTACCTTATCAAGAATAGAAAAACTCTTGTTACACATTCAAAACCATTTAATAGTGCGAAGTATAATTTTTTTCAGTTCTTCCCAAGCCTAACCAAAATTGTACAGTGCATGAGTAGGGAAAAAGTGCGTAAAAGTCATCAGTCACCAGGCTACCTTGAAATGATATTGGAATACTTTGGGAAGGACTAAAAGCTCTTTTGAAAATCCTAATAAATGATGAATTTCTATGTTTCTGAGGGCCACACACCGACATAAAACATACATCAAACATCCAAAGGATATATTTTTGCAAACCACCATGACAACGAAGGACAAATATACGCAGTATGGTCCTGAGTCACATGACTCTCCTAAATAACTCAGGTATGAAATCTCCACAAAACCAACTTTCCTGAATTGCTAATGTTAACACTAGCAACTTCATCAACTGGTATTCGTTCAGTCTGAAGCAACATTAGCATTTGACATTTTTACTAAAGGTGTGTGTGTATTACGTCAAAACAAATCTTAGCTTCTGAAACAAATGAGTAACCTAAGCAGTCCAAAACCTTGTCGTTTGACCATGTATTAAGGTGAATTAATTTTTTTAAAAGCCATGTGCCTTTTTGATGTGAGTTCAGAAATATAAATCAAATTTATTATCGAGCTGGAGAAACATGCTCTTTGTATTGGACCTTTGACTTTTCCGGGTTGAAAAAGGGAGATGGAAGGATGAGAATACCTGAAAACAAGGTTATTTAAGTTCCTGAACGTATGTGCTCGGGAAGAGGCCCGTCTTTGTCCGGAGTTTGCCAAACCACCAATCGCGATCCGACTTGTCCAGTACCTCCACGACGTCCCCGGCTCGTAGTTCTAGCTCGTTGTTGTCTTGGGGCTCAAAGTCATACATGGCTTTGACCTGTTGGAAAGAGGTCAGAGGTCACAAGGTTAACTTAAAGATGCGTTCCCCGTACGACTTTTGATTTCACCTCGAAAAGTAGGTTTGGTTTTTCAATTGCTGTTTTCCTAGCAATATGACAGTTATTCACTTTTGAACGAGGCATCGAACGAAACAGATCAACCAACGTATAGGTTATTTCACGGAAGTTGAAGCATTGTCTACCGGACAATAATTTGGCCCTTGGTCGGGGGGCAAGGGTGTCATTTGTTTGCAAAATGAAAGCCCCTTTTAGGAGCGAGGTAGATGCCCCAAATTGGAATATAGCAGTTTTTTCTATAAAACAAAACATATGCCCTGCAAAATGAAAATTCGTAAGGAAAAACAAAATCAATTTTTTGAAGAGCACTGGGCACAGAACTGAAGTTTAGCCCCATAAATGTGTTTCAAATACTGGACTTCATCCTTATTTACAGCCACACGGTTAACTGATGCATGCTAAATTTCCTGAAGAGTTGCGTTTACGTCCCGAATTCGAAATTGAGACTGCAGTTCCCACTTGATATTCCCAATGCAAGCTATTTGGTCAGTGACCAGGAACAATTGAATTGCGTGCCAATAGATGTCTAGTTATCCTGTCATTTTCAGGAGAAATTTGGAAAGAGTTTGTCCAAAATGACTGAAAAACAAATATTCAGAAGGCAAAAGATGACAGTGCTGGTGTTTCCCCAAATGGCCGTCCTGTGCTGTGTCATACATGTGTACATGTACCTTTATGCCATCCGCACCACTTTCCAGAAACTATCCATACAGGAAGTGGTTCTACTTTCAATATTAACTTTCGTGGAAGTGCAGTACACCGCAGGGTGGCACACTGTCAATGTTGATTTGTCCTTGTGGGTTTTTTTTAAGTTTGACATTTGAAGGTACATGTACATGTAGATAGGATCACAAACATTTATCCAAAAAGTGACCTACCAAATCTTACTTGGATTAAAGAAGGTACTAAACATGCTGTGATATTAAATCAAATTAGGTTTTTTCCAACTTTCACTCGGGAGGTAACACACTGAGTATACAGTGTTTAAAAACGTCGGTGAAGGGCAAAACCTAATTTGATTTATATCACCCTGGCGCAAAAATTACATCTAATGCGGTGATATTATTGTGCCGGGCTTGTTGTCAGTTAATTAGAAAGAGTCAAGAAATGTAGGTGATTGTGATAAGTGTAGGTGATTTCCAATGATCAGTCAGTTGACCGATCGTTGGAAATACAGAGTAATATTCACGAAATGTTGTTTCGCGCTCAAAAGGTTGTGCATGGTTTTTCAGTGTTTTCACACAAAGTGTAATATCCACTGAGCTGAAAGTTCAACAGGTTAGGTTTTGAACATTCGGCTTTCGATTTTGAGTGGTGTTAATATTGAAAGCAAACAAGTACAACTTAAGGGTCACTAAGGATATAGAAAGTAAAAGTTTACGCAGGACATCACAACTAAACTATAACAATATAATATGATAATAATAATAATAAAAATAATTTGGGAGGCTAAACATCCTTACTCGCAGCTGAGAAGCTGAACTGCGAAGGACGCGGCTACAACGTGGTCAAGCCGCAGGCATGTAAAGGCGCCTTTGGCAGCCAGCCACAACGACTCATATATGACCGCGAAGCAAAGCCTGAGATCTAAAGTGTTTGATTTTTCCGGAGGGAGGAAAACCGGAGGGCCCGGAGAAAACCCTCGTGGCACAGGAGAGAACCAACGCACAACTCTACTCACATATGGTCCCCAGTCGGGAACTGAACCAGGGCCAGTGGTGAGAGGCGAGCGCCTTACGCACTAGCCACCCATGCCACCCAGAAAAATGCATTAAGGGAATATGGTTTTGACCAGCTGCTCATGCAAATTAGGCTGCTACGGTTGACCGCCAGCACTGCGGGAGACTGCCGCGAAGCTGGAACTCGCTTGCGAGGCGTGTGAATTGCCGGCAAACCTAGCGACAGGCAGCTGCCTCCCCTGCTGGGCAAAGCGAAGCCTCATTTCTTGAAAATACAAACTGTTGAGATTGACTCACCCTTGGTTTCTGCTCCACGGCAGGCTTCATCGGTTTATGTTGGGTCACCTTGCCCCACGGACTCTGGACACAGACAATCAAAAATGTTGTTGGACTTAGGGAGAGGTATGTCATAACAGGAGAGTTGGAAACATGGTGCAAATGAATCTCAGCAGTTCCACATCCATTTTGGACAAGTAAATAATGTGCACAATTATAGTTTTATTCATAAAGTGGATTTTAATTCTGATATTCATTCAACTTTGTAATAGTGTTAAAAAGTGGCTGAGATTGCACCACAGAGAATCTAGGACCCAGCTTCCGGGGCCCTTAAGCATTGAGAAATCCGCTCAAAACATGATGGTGTCTGACGTACTCAGACAAACTGATTGTTTTTTAAACTTAATTTTCAGGTGCAAGTAACATTGTTAGAAATATACTAGATGTATATTTCAATAAATTACCAATAACAAGCTTCAAAATGATGTATCATGTATGGTTTGTGGCATTTGGACTATTTTGAAATGTTGGCATTGAGTTTTAGAATTCTGTGGAATTGCTCCTCTATAAATTCTGGTCAAAATTCTGATTCATGTAATTTGACACAAGTATTTCAGCGCTCTGTGTTGCAGTAATATGCAAATTTCCTGAATTCCGTGAAAACAATACAAAATAATGTACATAATATTTACAATAACAAACGTGAGGGTTTTGGATTTGGGAAAGGTAATGGGATAGTTGCAAACATGGTGCAAATGTATCCCTAAATTTCGGTGAAAATCTGATGTCACGTAATTTGATGCAACTGTTTCAGTGTTTTGTTTTCGTAGTACACACAGAAATGCAGTTTTCCTGAATTCCCTGAAAAAAAAATATCAATTTGGCAAATAAAAAATTATACAAATATTATATATTAAAGAGTGCTATTGATATTCTTCGTCCTTTCCCTCACTAATTCCCACTTTTTTTTGATGTGAAGTTGTACGCCATCTGCTTTGTGGCAAGTCTAATTCTGCTTTTGTGATAAAGTCATAATTTTATTGGGTAAACAGCATGTGTTATAAAATATCATCTCATCATGTTCTCTTTCCAATCCTCAGATTGAGTCAGGGTCGACGTGTGACTCATAATTTCTTTCAATCGTACTCTCAACCTCACACATTCTCATGAGTTCTCATGAGACATGACCAATAGGAATAATGAGTCATCAGTGTGAACTCTGTACACAAAAGTGAGATTTTTTTCCACAGAGCTGTGGGGCACAGGAAAGTGCTCTAAGCTAGAAGGAAGAATTCCCAAGCATGGTAACAACACGATGAATGATTCTGAATTGGGCTTCTATACTCAATTGGTCCATTGACTCACTTGTTTCTGCTGAAATGGGCTGGTCACTCCGTTGGCACCACTAGCTCCTTGTATCGAGTCCTGCATAGAACATCCATTCAGTTAATGCTGATCTCGGGGTTTGGGCCCGTAATGACATCACTATGTGTTTATTATGATGCATATTCGGGAAGCCAAATGGAGACGTGTGGGAAGTAGATTGGGAATACTTATTTGTGCGTTTTGCTGGCTCTAACAATGGAATTAGATTACAATATGTAGAGATGAATACTGTGAGGATTCATTGAGATCCCTTTTTTTTTTCCCCCGAACTACATGTAAATGAATCCACTTTCTCCTTGCGGTTTGTATTCAAACTGAAAACAACGGACCAGAATGCAGTGTGATAAGCACATTGTGATGTCAAAATGTTGGCGATCGTTTAGTTACGGGCCCCACTGTTTTAGTCTTTTTAGTATTCCAAAATGACTTCTGCAACCTTAGGTAGGTTTTTTTTTCAATCCTTCTGACCCTATTTTTTTGTGATTTTGAACAGCATTTTTCAGTAGAAAAATGCACTTTTCTGAGCCAGTTTACAGTTGATGCCATTCAAATCATGCCAGTTCTGCACATCCACAGTGCCTCGCAGTAAACGCCATCTTTATTTTCGTGTTGCGTTCTGTTGACTTCATCGTCGTTTTACCCACATCGTTCCTTAAGTAAATCCTGCTGCCCTCTATCCACAACACTCATTCACGTTGGTTTCAGAGTTAACTACCGTAGTTTGATAAGTTTAAAAATCTAAATGTGAATTTTTGTTCTCTTATAGAAACAGGGCCCGTAACTACGCAATCGGCAAAATGTCTTGGGTCTGTGACTGAAATTACTGCTCATGGCACAAGCTCTGCCAACTTGCTGAAATTGATGGTATAGCTAAAGCCTTTCTCAGCTGTTCACGCAAGCCAAAACTGCATTTCAAGCACCAGGGCCCAATTTCATAGAGCTGCTTAAGCACAAAATTTGCCTAAGCACAAAAACGTCTTGCTTAATAAAATCAGGTTACCGGCCAAAACTCCATGCGATTGTTATGCTAAGTAAACAACAGCTAAATACCAGTCACAAGCAATGTACATCACATGGAGTTTTGGCCGGTAACCTAATTTTACTAAGCAATGTTTTTTTCGTGCTTAAGCAAATTTTCTGCTTAAGCAGCTCTATGAAATCAGAACAAACTCCATTAACCCTAACAGAACTCAACCCATCAAACCCCAACGGCATGTTTTGTTGGAATCTGTCGGGATGGGTACAGTACCCCTAAACTGACAGTCTTTTACATTGGGTTGGCACACCTCCAGAATCATAGTCAGTAATATGTGTGTGCAGTTTCCCATATGGTGTTGGAATTTGCCAGGGTGGGTATGGTTCCTAGTCAATCATGCTAAGGAGTTGGGGTTAAGCTGCTTAGCGGAACAAATCGCTTCACTTAGCAAAGCAAACTGTTAAGCAAAACTGGATTGGGAGCCAGTCACAGGCAGTCAAACAGTTGTGTAAAATTGGTCGCCATTTTTGACGAGCAAGACTTTCCTTGGCTTTTCTGATTTTTACATGCTTGTCAGCACAACAAAACGTCATGCGCATGTCATGCAATATTTATTTTGTGCTTAATTCCAGTGCGTTACGACTATCGTGTCACACCATGTTTAGTGTGCAGTCACTCACATAGTGCTGTTTCTGTTGATGCCGTTGTTTGCTGGATAAGCCATTAGCACAAAGTCGTCCCTAATGGACAAGCACAGTTGGCAAAGTAAGAGCTGGTACATGTACGTGGAGTGTGATGGCAGGAGGATTTTTCTTGAGGAAAACACTTTTTTAACTCTAGTTTGGAATACAGGCGACTTCAGAGTCAATGTCAAACACAGTGGAGTGTGATGGCCTAGCGGTTAAGAACACCGGACTCACGTTCTGGTGTTTCAGAGGCAACCGTGACGTGGGTTCGAGCGCGCCACACTTGTGCTCTTAAGCAAGGCACTTAACCATTATTGCTTCGTCCTTCGGATGGGACGTTAAGCCGTAGGTCCCGTGTGTTGTATAAATGCATGTAAAAGAACCCAGTAAACACTTATCGCTAAGAGAAGGGGTTTGCCCCGGTGTTTCTGGCCTCCTGTATAAACTCCCACGTGGAGTATTTAGGAGAAGAACCAACCAAGAACCAAGAACGTACTTGGTGTAAACAAAAACACGGATGCGAATCTGTGATGTATGTACTGGCATTGTGAATTTACAAAAACTTTCAACTCCAGCAAATGTTGCCACGATGTGAAGCACTGATCTGAAGTAAGGCTACCTGCTCTTAATGTCATACATTAATTAAAGATCGTAACTTGGGAATTCGAAGTTAACACTGGAATTTGCCGAACAAAATTAGAAGCCATTTTGCAGGTGGTGTCACGCCTTCACCCATGCCGCACGCGTTCTTAACCCCTTAAGGACAGGGCGTAATGGGGACATTCCTCCACACATAGAGCAAGTGGCCCGCATGACTGCACAGCCTTTGTGTGTTAGTGGCACTGCACAAAAGCAGCAGCTGTGGAACTACCCACTAGCCGCGTGCCACGGCATACCACAGCTGGCAACTGCATTCCAATGAGGATTAGCGGCCGCGGCCATGAACGCTTCCCGTACGCATGGGGTTAAAGACAAGCGCATCTTGGTAATCCTATTGGTCAATGGAGCCCGGAGTACGTACGTATTACCTGAGCGCAACTCTGGTGCTTGGTGCCACCACAGAAAATTTTCTGACTCTCGTTTGAAAGGTTATGCTGCACATTTGGTGTATTTATCTGAAAGTGGAGACTTCAGAACTGAATCTGGTATCTCCCATAGACAAATTTCAATATTTATTCATAAAAAAAAACAGGACTGACCATGACGGCCGATTTCTTTTTCCCCATGTCCCGGAGGAACACTTTGTTGTTTGTCTTGCTGACGCTGTTCATCCGGAAGAAGTTGACTAGCTGGTTGATGGTGTCGAACTTCTTCTCCCATAGAAAGACACGGCGGGTGGCCTTATCCACCAGAATTTTGAAATGCTGCACCCCAGTCCCAAACCTGTTTAAAAAAAAAACATAAGGATTGTCAAATAGGTTCCAATAACAATAAGCTCTAGTAAACCTAAGTAGATTTTTTTTTTCAGACAGGCGAACAAAATTTGTGGTATTGAAGACCGAAGACCCACTCAAAAACAAAGACTCACTCGAAAACTCACTCGTTTTTGTTTTTGAGTGGGTCTTCGTTTTCGAGTGGTCCTTTGTTTTTGAGTGGGTCTTCGGTCTTCGGTCTTCGTTTTAGGGGTCTTAGTTTTCGATACTACCAACGTCATGTGTGTGATTTTCCACTGACTGGACTCCAGGGATATTCTGAATGACTGATACAGTCTATCTTTTGACATAGCCGCTTCTATTCGTTTCAAGCGTCAAGCTTTTCTTGTAGTTATTATTTCAAATCATCACTACGATTTGCATCAGAGCAACTCTGGAACATTGATTCCATTATTGTGAGAACCATCACACACTCACTTGACCGAGAGAGAGAAATCTCCCCGAGAGCTCTCGCTCTCTCTGATGAGGAAAGCCCCGTCGGGCTCGTTATCCTGCAGAATCTCCTCAGCTCTGTTTCTGGACAGACCTTTGTAAAACCATCTAGGGGAGGAGGATACAATATACAAGGTTCTGTCAAGTCACAATCAATTTGATATTAACACCAAGTCCCTTGGTGTTTTGGGTGGTTTTTTGTGTGTGCAAGGAACTTTCCTGAATACTTCAAAATCCAACAATGTATAGTGAACATTAAGACGTTAAAAACCCAAGCCCTATACTGGCTAGGCTTTAACCACACCAAACCCCCCCCCACCCCACCCCCGATCCTGCAAGATCCTCCAAAACCTCCTAAGAGATTTTGAAGAACCTGGCAGGCTAGTGTAAACAAACTTGCAAGAGCCTGAATGAATGCAACACTCAGCATTTGCTAAATGCCTTCTTTTCTAAAGCTACAGCACATCATTTGCAGCTATCCAAAAAGTAACTGACGTAATTAGTGTTGAAAAACCTACTTGGTTGAAAGATAATAAGGGACTAAACTCCCTGTGAAATTATTCTTTCTGGCATGCTGTCATTTTGAAGAAATCAATGAAAGAAGGTCTTGACAACGATGCATCTTTGGAAATTTCCGTAGTTTTTTTTTATTCGGCAAAGCGCGCGCAAGCGTTGACACGACGCACACGCGCGCGCGCGGTTGCTTTAATTCGTCGGATCGGTGCGCGACATCTCGTAACTGCAATTGGCTCAGTGAGAACGTGTCTGGAACGCTGAATTCAGGCCCAATTTAAAACATAAATCAGCAACTTTTGATATGAAATATACAGCTGAAGCTGAGCTGAAACTTCATCAGATTAGTTGTTCAGCACCCTTCTTTAAATTTTCAGCACGTGTGTTGCTTCAAACGAACAAAATGCACAAATTTCAAATGATGGACTGTACCTTTAAAGCTGGTTGGCGAAAACAAAAGTCCCATGTGAAATAGCAGTGGCTAATTGGCTCCACAAAAACACTAAAAAGCCTAGGTATTATTTATTCTATTAATTGAGGTCCAAAGTGTAACTTTGTTTCCCCGCCCGTGATACCTTGGTACTTTGTAATTTACCATTCAAGTATCATTAAGAATGACTTCAATCAATTTGTGATTTGTTGGGTAGGTAGTTTGCTATTCATAATCACTCTTGGCGGACGACTGCATTAAGGAGTGCGTCAATCATAAAAGTCAGATGTAACCAGGGACTGGAACAAGTGGACCCATGAAATTGGGCAAACTTACTCCGGGCTGGTGATGTAGTTCTTGGGAATCAATCCTACTTTGCCCTTCAATTCAGCCGTTGCCCAATCATCTTCCGTGTTCTTATCGGGGTCAATAATAACCTGGAAAGAAAAAGAGTTGATTTTATCTGAAGTTTATCTGAACTTTCAAAAGGAGATATGATCTCAATCTTCATTTTGAAGAATACCTGATTTCAAAAATTGATGATTACAATATGTTTTACAAACAATATTATATAACTGACATACAGATCCTAGTCATTTTATTGGTGGAACTCACATCACCTGACATTCGTTATTGCTCCCATTCACGCCGCGGCTCAAAAAGTACTATCCGCCCATGGGGAATGGGAAATACTATTCAACAGTTAGGATCATGACACGGTATTTGTGTGCAAATGCATGCTGGTGTGCGCGTTCAGCGTTGCGCGTAGCGCGTATTGTTCCAACATGTCCAAAGAGCCAGCGCTACAGCTGGTGGTTTGGAAGAGACAAATACATTTTCCTCCAGTTTTGTATTTAAAAAAAAGTTCAAATATATCAAATGACAAGGATCTATATGTCAGTTATAAAACAAATATTGAGTGGCTTTAAATTGTGAAATGGGAGGAATATTATCGCAAGGTAAAATCCGTAAAATTTCCATTTCCTTCGCCTCGTGAAATGGAAAAGTCCAGATTTTACCTTGCGATAATATTCCTCCCATTCCACGCTGATCCACTCAATATTTGTATATTATTGAGTGGCTACGAGTGAAATGGGAGGAATATTATCACAAGGTAAAATCTGGACTTTTTGCCTTGTGAAAATGGAAAAGTCCAGATTTTACCGAGCAATAATATTTCCCCCATTTCACGATTTAATGCCACTCAATGTTTCTTTCATTTAACTGACATATAGATCCTTGTCATGTGATTTACAGTTAAAATATACTTCTATTTCAATACAGAATTGGTGGGAAATGTATTTCTCTCTTCCAAACCACCCCTTCACGAAATGTTTGAACCCAACTCTGTAACTACTGGCAGTTGGGAACAATACGTGCTATGCGCAACGTTCAACGCGCATACCAGCATGCATTTGCACACAAATACCACGCCATGGAACAAGAATGATCCTGCATGTGTAACTGTTGAATAGTATTTCCCATTCCCCACGGGCGAATGGGACTTTTTGAGCCCCAGGGTGAATGGAAGCAATAATGATGTCACGTGATGTGAGTTCCAACAATCAAATGACAAGGATCTGTATATAAACATGTATAATGACATAAACATCTAAATTCATGTACATACCTTATGCACATGACAAGTAAATAGAAAGCATGAAAAGGATTCTCAAGTATAAAGATACATGTACGAAGTCAATAATTCCTGTCCAGACTGAGACATTTAACCACACTTAACCCTAACTCCCTAGAGGGTGTGCAAAATCATATTGAAATTGGAGGATTCAGGACTGTTAGGGATTTCGCACAGAGAACATGCCACACTCAGGCCAAATATCCTCACTCCTAAACGCATTTCGTCAGCTTTGGTTAGAGATCTCAGTTAACACTGAATAAATCTCACAAACTTTTGCTTCAGAGCTTAAAACCAAGCGATTCTTAAATTAAAAGCAGAAGACTAAACTGGGAGATGTCAAACATTTCTGAATAGACAGACTACTCAGTGGTCTTGTGTCTTCCCTTGAGACTCGGTATCGGATATTTCTTATGACACAAAGAGGAGTTGGACTGCTTGTCAAATGCAAGACTTTGCAAGACTGTATTGCATGTTTTGCATCCTTAACGCTAACTCCCTAGGCAAACCTAGGATGAAACCTCAATCCTGCAAAATCCTCAAGCTACCTCAATGTAAAAATTACACACAGCCTCAATTCTGCAAAATCATCTGTTATTTCTTGAATGGACTGGGGTCCTTGGAGTGACCACTGCCTCAATCCTGCAAAATCCTCCAGCAATCACTGTCAATATGTTGAGGCAGAGCCAGTGACATCTTGGAGCAGTGCAGAGGACTTCAAGTATAATGGCCTAACTTTATGCCTCAAAAATCAGCCGCACATTTTTGCCATATAGCCTCAATTTTGGGCAAATCCTCCATTTTGCAGAGAGGATTTTTGAGGATTTGGGAAGGTTAGGGTTAAGGTTGGGTAAATTCAGTACACAGTATTGGGAATCTCTTGGGTTTAATGAATATTTCATCAAGCCACTTGAAAGGGTGACAGATACATGCACATGTACCCACCTTGAGAACATCTCGTTCCCTGAACGACAGCTCATCTGGTCGGGCAGCTGTGAAATCGTAGCGAGCGACGCACTCCATGCTTGATTTATACTTATAGAGGATCGTTTGAGTTTAGTGGTTTTTTTTCCCGTCAAACTTTTCTTTGAGATGTGTTACAACACATTAAGCAGTCAACGCATTCCACTGGAGACAGAAAAAAACTCGAGAAGAATCGTCTTTTTTTGGCATCAAAGGAGGAGCATTCTCCAAAAGTGAACATAAACGTCCTTCCTGGGTGTTAAGTCCCAACAGTCAACGGTAAATTCTGTAATGATAAAGAAATGATCAAAAATGAGCACATGTACAGTTTGTGTTCACTGGCATGGGGTTTTAGTTCCCAACCAACCCCCCAACCCCCTCTCCCTGCAACCCCACCCAACATGTTGGAAATCCTGGTAGACAATGTAAACAAGTTCACTGGTTTAGGCATTTTCATTCTTTTTAAATAAAACCTCAAGGTAATGAAATATGGCATCCAGTGTGCGATTTCCACTGTGCAGAAAAGTAAACAAATAACAAGGGATAAATCTAACTTTAAACTAGCCCCATAATAATGTGGCCAATTTACTGGACTAACTCCGTAAACATAGGCCACACATCCACATGTACAAAAACGTGTCGCACTTTGTCCAATTTTGATTTTCACATTTAGGCTTAGTTTGTAGGGGTTTTTTTGCTTTAGAAGCATACTCACCCTCTTTATAGGCTAATCAGAAAGTGCTGCCTTTTTCATATGTCTAATTTTTGTGAAATTTCATGTTGAAATTTTGATACGCAAACGTGTGCAAATTAATCTGGAAATTTCACGAAAAATAGACATCTGAAAAAGGCAGCACTTTCTGATTAGCCTATAAAGAGGGTGAGTATGCTTCTAAAGCAAAAAAAACTACAAACTAAGCCTAAATGTGAAAATCAAAATTTGACAAAGTGCGACACGTTTTTGTACAATGATGTGGATGTGTGGCCTATGTTTACGGAGGTAGTCCAGTAAATTGGCCACATTTATGGGGCTAACTTTAAACATGCTTTTAGAGACTCATCAATTCATGTTATGTCAGAAAGAATGCTACGGTACATCCTGACGCCACTTTTTTTCATCATATATCATATAGGGCCTATATCATTATCAATGAAGGTCAGTCATTGCACAAAATGTTGAAAAGACATGAATCTGAGAAATATTTGCAATTTTGTTATGAAATACTTTGAAAATGTTCTTGACTCTCCATACACTTTGTACACATCTGCTGAGCTGAACTGAAGTGGCGTCTGGATACTAAACTCTTTCCATAGTGTCATTAGAAAATGTGGTAATCCTTACTTTTAGGACCCCGTTCATATATAGGAAGGGAAAGACTCACCAAAACAGTTGACTAAATGACACTCAAAATTGACATTCTGATATTTCTTGACACATCTGAACAATTTTTGCAATGACACCTTCTTGAATATCAGCGGGTTTGATTTTGTGGATAGAGGGCAGGGCTTTGATTTATGAGGGAAAGTAAGGGGTAAAAGATAACGATGACAACCAGAAAACAGACTCAAAAACCAAGATGGCAAACGTGAAAGCTCGATGCAGTGAAAGCTTGGTGCTGATTGGCTGATAAAAAAATAAACATCTTATTTATTGTTTTTAGCAGCCAATCAGCATCGGGCTTTCATTATGTAGGGCTTTCACTCGTGTTGTGGGAACTACAACATGCACATCTGAGTGCAAAAAAAAGGTAGGATTAGGGAAAGTCACATTTTCTTTGAAAGTGCTTTCAAAATTACAACTAACATGAGTTTATATAAAGAAAAAAGACTGCTTTAGCCTGCAAAAGTCACTTTGGTATAGGACAGTCATCTGCAAAAGTCAGTTCTGAACAGAACTCGTAAAAAATAGAGGTGTCCTAAAACAAGGATTACCGAAAATTTTATAAACAGAAGTCTAATATTACTTCTAATAAGTGGTAAAACTAAAACTGTCTAGCAAGTTCACCACAATTTGCAATCAAAGTGTTTCTCAACATTCATCATGCCCTTGCCCTTTTAATTCAAGAACTAATACATGTAATAGAAACACAATGTAAAAGAATCTAAACTTTTTGTCAGAAGGCTATATTAATTATTATAACTAGGAGGAAGTTCAAGGTAGGTACACAGGCATGACAGGTCAACATTTTTGTGTCTCTCTTCCCTTTTCACTTTTAATTATTCATCGACTTATCGGCTCAAAATCTTCCTCTGAAAACGACCGTATGCCATTCTATTAGAATGACGACAGCTTTCCATACACGAACTCTTAAGTTCAGCATAAGAAACACATTTATCTTAGCAGAGAGATTAAAAGACAAATCACTACTTACCGCAAAGAATGTTATTTACCAAAATAAGACTGGAGTTCAGGGTCGGTGGTCTGGTGGGTGATGCATACTTCACACGTCATTTTAGTACATTGAAGAACCGTACCAGTCTGGTCCTACCGATTGCCCAATTCGGCTGATGTGTGGATCATATTACAAAAGTGTCTATCCAGTCCGGGTACAAGACCATAGACGATTGATCATTTCCTGTTTCGTTGAACCATTCGGGAATGGGCGCAGTCGCAGGGCGCGTTTAACACTAATGAATTCACTGAACCGTGGAGGACGGTCGTGAGGGAATTTTATTTTTAGAACGGTGACGAATGCACCAGGAAACTCAACACAGTCGGGAAATTAATCAGACTTAAATACCTATCAGATATCTCATTTACTCACTTGAATCAGGAATATCACTTTATTTGGTATTAGGAAGTTCATTTCTAGGCCAACGCAATTTTGATTCGGGAAAACCCGGCGTCACTCACTGAGCAACACATTTTTGTATGGTTTTTGATTGGTCGAAAGTTTTGATGAATGTTGCCCACAAGCTTTGATCCCGCTTAAAATCGCGAATGCTAGCTAGTATCGAAAAAAAAAAAAACCTGTTCAAAAGATTGATAAAATTCTTACCACCACTGATCCTATCTGTCTCCCGAGTTTGGTATAAACCATAGAGCTGTATTAAATTGTAATTTGATATATCTCTATGGTAATTGGTATAAACTGAGCTTTGAAAGCGATCCTGACCGAGAAAATTTCTAGGCGCATGCGCAAAGTAAAGGTTAACCGTTAGGCTCAGCAGGCTGTGTGAATAACTAGTTGTTTGTTTATTGGGGGATTATCTCTATTATTAGGGAGGTTTCGCAAGCGAACGGATACGCTTACACTTACGCTTAGCTATCCGTATCCGTTTTTTACCTACGTGTAGCGAGCGAGATATGCGTGTCGTCTGCACGTTTAGCGGATAGTGAGTGGCGTATGACGTCATACGTGCAGACGACACGCATATCTCCCTCGCTACACGTAAGTAAAAAACGGATACGGATAGCTACACGTAAGTGTAAGCGTATCCGTTCACTTGCGAAACCTCCCTATTATAGGACGTGATAGGTTTGTTTATACTCGGTCTATATTATGAGGTTGAAGGGTGGTGTAAAAATTAGCACCTTTTTAGAGGGGTATAGTTTTGTGATGTATCAGGTAGGTGATTGGCAGTTTGCCGCTTCCATGATGCCGCGTGGGGATTGTCACAAGTGACAAAATCCCCACTCCCCAGGCAAAATTAAGAGTGACAATGCCCTGACATACATACTTTGGCGCAACTAGTGATTGCCTTTCCAGTGAGTACGCGCCAATGGTAACAATGTAATTTGAGTGACCAAAATCCCCACCCTGGGGCATGCAAAACGTGACCAAATCCCGACATCGGAACTGGGGCCGCGCGGGAGGGGGGGGGGACATTTTGATAGGCGCATAAACTAAATAGTACGCACTGAATTTTTAAAAAGAGAATTGTGCCGCATTTGGCAGATTTGAAACATATAATGGGACACTTGTGAATTAGCGCAACGGTATTGAATTGCATTGCGTGATTGATTTTTTTTCCGCTGTTGACTTTTTGCCTGGCGATGGCGTTTCGGAACCTGCGTATTCATGTGTCGAACGCGGCCCATGGATGTGACCTAGGCCACCAAGTCAGGTGGTCAGTTCGTCAGTTACGGCCCAAGTTAGTTGACAATACTTTATGATTAACGTGTTTTTTTTTAATAAGTATCAACAGAAATGAAAGACCAAGTCCATACCAAGAAAAGGAGGCGTGTTTGGTTTTCAGTTATTCCTTTTTTTTTTAATGTCAAGGATCAAAACTGGGCGAGACAAACAATGCACACTATACAATGTAGGTATATATATTCAAAATTATATTCTTTAAACATTAGTCAGCTGTTGTAACTATTTTATTATATTGAAACTTAAAAGTTCAGTTTTAAAAGGTGATAAGCAATTTGATATGAAAAGGTAAATCATATGAATAATTTCAAATGACAGTGTCAAAAATCCTCATTGGTTGGTCGAGTGCTGATCTTGTGCAAAATCGATAACTGCACTTGGAATCTATTGCTTTACCTATTATAGTTTTTGTGGAACATAAACATATATACGTACGGTGACTGCTCATTTGCGGCTAACACTAAACGAAGTTTAAGACGTTATAAAATACAAAACCCTTGGAAGACATTAAAAAAATAAATCATAATTTAAAGCCCTTTGTAAAACACGACTACATGATGTAGAAATCATGCACAGATTACAAATTAAAGGTGTAGAATTTTGCAACTGTGCCAATTTCCAAACTTATAGTTAACACCAAGTTAATTTTGTTTTAAAGTCTCCACCAAAAGATATATTATTTGATGGAGAACATTTTTAATTTTTGCAGACCGTGTTTTTGGACATAGGAATGATGTCATGTACATTTTTAAAGTATAAACAAATAATGTTTAAACAAATTTTTACTGAAAATCAATGGAAGACTAAAAAACTCCTCTAGCTTTAGCCTACCAATAATCTTGAACCTAAGTATTTCTTGGCTACTGTTCAAGTGTTTTGTGCTATTCCCTTCTGGAATCTCAAGTCATTAATGGTAAGATAAAATAAATAAAAGAATAGGGCATCAGAGTGGTATTCAATTCCTCAAAGGTCATCACAAATCAAATAAAGATCAATCATATCATTCAGTCAAGTCGCAAGTTTTCAAACGAGCTGTAACAAAAGCACTCCTTTGTCACTTGTCCCCTCCTATAGTTGCGACATTCCTTTTGACTTGACTAGCAACTAACTTGCCATTGACTTGTGGTTGACTTAATGGTAACCCTGATAATAGAGGTAACTTTAACTAACCGGTCTCATTAAACTTGTTAGTAAACTAGCTACACATTTTGCAACTAAATCAGCAATACAGCCAAACAAATGTGTGACGTTAAATACAAAAATATGGTGTCTGCTTTTCTGCTTTGTACATCTGGCAATCTAATATACACAAATAACTTTTAAAAGTTAGCTACATATTAACTTAAGATGTAAATGAAAAAAAAAAAGGTTAATAAATACAATAAAGCTGATATTAATTAATAATTTTTCATGGAAGCAATTACAAAGTTTAAGTCTGACGTAGTGGTTTTTTTTTTGTACTTGCACTTTTAAAAGTAAAAAAAAATCTAATAAACAGGCATGCTTTTTTGGCTGCAATTTCATATACTTATTCAGAGTAGTATCTCTTTAAACTGTCATTTGAGATTATCAATGAGAAAGTGATGTCACATGTCCGCAACTCGGATTAATATTTTCACTAGAAAAATTATGGAATCTGCAAAAAATGTGTATAGCATTACCAACAGCAAATTCTGTGTGTTTTAATAGTTTTGGTACATTAAGCAGAGGGTGAGATGAAACACAAAAACTGCTCTAAATGATCTATCACAATCAAATTTTGAACTGTCACATGCATTTAGAATACACCTACAATGAAGAATATGTTAAGAAAAAATGCTCGGTAAATGCCCTCTGATTCTTGAAAAAGTCAGAAAAAAAGTAATATCAACTCAAGTGCTGTGCTTGACAGATTGAGCTAGCTAGAGTTCTTGTAATACTAAAACTCAGCATTGTACACCTACAAAAGGTTAAGAAACACTTCAAAAGAAAAGATATACATGTACTTTATATTATCTAGGGAGCAAGAAATGATAAGTGAATAAGCAAATAAAATCTTGCATATTACAGGTGTTGTAAACGTTTTTATACTTTTTGCTCTGACTTCTAAAAAGGCAACTTTTCACACATGGCGATTGCAGTGTGCATTCTCAAGACAAGTTGTTGAGATATGAGGAGCTAGTATCATCTACCAATACAGCTTAAAGTTTACAACTTGTAATGGTGAAATATACTGCAGAAACCTTGAACATGCATAAAACATGTATTTATTTATTAATTTTTTTCCGCAGCAAACTTCATGATGTCAACTACTGAAATTTCATTGTGACGTTCGCCGCTACCCTACAAATTTGCTTCACACTACACTTCGCACTAAGTACGAACCATTCTATAAATGCGAATGCTGAATTGAGGGTGACGGGAATTGTCAAAAATCTGTGCACCAAATTTCAGCAGATTTGAAATGAGTTCAACTTTTTGCACATTTGCAGCGCGCACACCCACTATGACATGACAAGTTTGCAGTGTAATTGCTCTCAAATTCGTTACAAGTATAAACTGGCCATTACACCTCATCCATTAGAAAAGAAGGGACATTAGGCCTAAAGATAGCCTGTTGGAAACATTAACACGCATCAAGTCATCCGTCCTTGGAAATATCAGAAAAGAGAGTTTGCTTAAACATGTACCCAAAAATCAATCACAAAAACGTTTCACCAGCACCTAATGAGCTTTCGAAAAATGTGAGAATACATGGCCTGATTCTTTACCAAGATCTCACAATTGCATCAAATTCACTTGCTTTGAGAAACTTGTATAACACCATAGCAACTGTAGTTTCTCCATCACAATGAACTAGCCCATTCCGTCAATGAAGCTACTACTTTTCAAGCCTCACTAGCATACATGAGACTAAAAAAAAATCAATCCCCTAAAAATAACACTGCACCGCACAAAACAAATAAGTACTATGACCAAAAGATCTTGCATTGCATAGAAGTTAAAACTCAAGGTTTCGAACTATCCTACTCAGATAGCAACTTCTTCATACATCAGACAAGAGAAGGTTTTTAAACAAAACTTTAGCTGATTTCGCCCAAACAGCTTTAACATTGAAATGAATATTGATGGACAATTTTAGCTGATTTCGCCCAAACAGCTTTAACATTGAAATGAATATTGATGGACAATTTGGACAGAACCCCCATTGTGTACGACGTGTGTCCAACAAAATAGTTCTGTCAAATGTCACAACCGTAAATGATACGTCATTCCAAAATTATACTTAGGAAAAACATTACTTAAATTAAAAAAAATATGCATGCAATTCGGTAAGATATTTAAATATTGCTTAAACTGAGGAGCACCAATACAATTATATGTTAAAACAAAATTGTAAATATCATTTCAAATAAACATTTTCCAAACTGACCACAGCCTGGACTAGTACTATAAGTGCTTACTCTCCCCAAAAATACACAACTGAATAATACAACATGTAAGTATATCGATATGCCAAAAGTTGGACTCATTTTGAGCAGTCTCCTATGTTCACACGGTCACAAAGGAACGAACACTCAAAGTGCACAAAACAAGCACACAAACACTAATGTATACATGTACAAGAAAATAAACAAATAAATAATGAAACTAAAATGAAATTAAAGAAAATGTAATAAAAAAAAAAACCAAACAGTTCGAACACAACAAATGACTTATAAAAGACAACGAATGATTTATAGAAATCTAATTCATTACAAAATGTGGCAATGTTTTGATACCAGTAAATATTTATGAGCAATGTACAGTAGACACCGGTACAACTGCTACATGTACTGTACTCACGTCACAACTGCACGAGTTGACAAGATTTTTACATGATGCATACTACATTTGGAGTGTTATGTAAGGATGTCCTTTTCCACAAAATACATCGTTCAGCATAAGTCCCAACTATTGGAACTGAGAACTTCCAATTTTTACGTTTTCAAATTTTTCTCATATATTTAAGAAATTGTGGTATGGATCTATAAAGTCACATAAAGGAAGGGCATATCCCCCTTCTACATGTACCCCCTCCCCCAACCCCCACCAAAACTTTTAGAATTATATCAAAATTGAATAAATACGACAAAAAATCTTCCAATATTGTTAGATACATTTTTTGTTTTTAAAATATCACATTTGAGGTTCTTCAACCCTTTTTTTGTGTCTAGCATCGCCCCTGACCAAAAGAAAACATGTGTAATTCAACGGTCAATTAACCATCACTCAATCATGTCTTGAGGCAACAAATTTCCAACAAACAAACTTGTCTGTCAAAACTGCAGATTGAGATCATAAGTTAAAAAGACCCTTCATTATTAAACAAGTGCGAGTGCACAATAAGCTCTGGCCGTGTGGCAAGAAGTCTTGCAAAGAGTCTTGCATGAAAGTCTTGCATGAAATCGATCAAAATGATCCCTACCAGTGCTGAAAAATGCGACGCCGGTGGCACATATGGAACACCATACTTTTGGTCAATTTTCGGGGACAGACAGACAGACAGACCAACCAACCAGCAAGTGGCATTGTAGAAGTTCCTACCAGAGCTTAAAATTGTTTTATTTTTGTTTCTTTTTTTTTTTGGGGGGGGGGGAGGAAATCTAAAACATCTTGTAATATCAACCAAGAAAGCTATAGGCATTTGAGCAGTGCATAGGAGAGGTTATTTGCCTAGGAGGCCGCTGATGACTTTTTTCTTCTTTTGTTTCTTCTTCTCCATGTTTTTCTTGTCCAAACCTAAAAAAACAGAAATTTAGAGAAGAAACGACAGGAAAATAAAACACAAGAAAATACAGAAAACCACACGATGTACAAACACTATAAACAGACAGTCTTTCAAAACTTCACAACGAAGACGTACAAATACACTAACAACAAGTTAAATGAAACGACAATCTGATCAGATTTGGATGGCGATGAGCATGATTTAAAATATTAAAGATGGTGTGAGAATGGCGATAAAACATGACAATGGAAATGAACACAACTAATGATTTAAACAAAAACATATAACAAACAAAACAAATAAACTAAACACGTTGGATGTTTCATCTAAGATAAATTTCTATATGAGGTTATACCAAATAAGTGGAATGAAAAACAGGTAAATCGGAATTTGAAATAAAACTCCTGTTAAGACAATGTACAATAGCAATTACAGCTCAATTACACACAATACATCAATAACTGAACAAGAAAAAAAAACACTGGAAAATTTGGAGGGAAACCCTTTTGGCCGCAATCTTTCACCCATTCATAGAGATCTTCTTCAGCTCATCAAAAGAGATAATGCGGGATTTTGTGTTATCAGTGTAACCAAATTGCCTTAGTGTCTTACATATTTTTTTTTTTAAATTGAAAACTTTCGTTTTCTTTTTCAATCTAGAGCAGCTTGTGCTGTCTAGTTTTTAGCAAGAGATCCTAATGAAAGGTGAAGGCCAACACCGTCCTTTTCTGAACGAGAATAATGTTTGCGGTGCCATTTTCTTTGGCCAAGGTTAATGTAAAGGGTGGGAGCAGTAACAAGTTTAAATTGCACTAAGAACTACTTGACGACGCATGCAATGATGCGAGTATAAAGTTGGGTTAGGTGGCAGGAAAAATAAAGAAGACATTTCATTGGTCCACCCAAACCTGCAGTTTCATTGTTGAACTCAAATACGGTGTAGACTTTTCAATTTGGTTTGTGCAAGGAGCCAGTCTTTGTTTCGACAAGTTTCTATGACTTTTAAACTCAACTCATGGAGAATTAACGCATGGTCAAAGAAAATCCCAAGAAAAAATATATACCAGGTTGCAGGCTTTTGCTGCTGCACAACAACAAAACGTATCACGGCACACTTGTAGAAATATCCAACTTGCATGATATGCAACTTCATGATAATTTCAACATTGCACCCTTCATCATTTTAAGCATGCATGCATGACCAGATCACCTTTCAGAATATGTCAACTCTAAATACTTCAAAACCAAAACAAAGCAGTTTTACTCTAGTACTGCTTTACTGGAAGAAATTAGGACATGGTAAAACCAAAACCAAAGTAAGAATAATGCTTATGGCTAGCGATAGGCTTGAAATACCTTATCCAGCATAGGCTGCACTGAATAGCAATGCGCTTGATCTGCGCAAAGACTTCTTTAACCCTAACCCTCCTCCATCCTCCAAAATCCTCCAGGTGGTTTTTTTTTTGAAGATTTTGGAGGATGCACTGTGTCGAGTTTGTTGGCTGTACTTAGCATTGTTTATGATCAGTCATGTATAATTGAGCCCTGCATTGTGCTCGATATCATCCGCACTGCTTCTGAATGTCATTGGCACTGCCTCAACCCATTAACCGTAATTGTTGGAGGATTTTGAAGGATTGAGGCAATTAATAGCTACCGCTCCGCTGATCAAATTCAAGAAATAATGGATGATTTTGGAGGACTCAGGGTGGTTCCTAGTCAAAAGGCCTAGGGGTTAGGGTTAATCACCCTGCATGCACTTGAACATCTGTGCGTTTCCACGGCCATTTTGTTTTAGCTTCAATGCCCAATTTTTTTTTAACACTTTTTCCATTTACTTATGCTTGGATGAATAAATAACAAAATATAACTAATGAAACATCAAGGAAAAAACTTACAGGAAAGTTTCACTGCATGGCAAAGATTAATTAACCACATTGCCTAATATTTTTGATTTTTGTTTTCATGCTTTGCTTAATAATTAAACAGCAATAAATATCAACAATTTATTCTTCCTGAGGTCATCATGCAGCCTTGGAAAAAAAACTGAAGAAAGGATCTGGATATCTACAGAGGAATATTTGTTTGTAACATTAGCTATTTTTGCATTGAACTGCAAAAGAAATTTGCCTTCTAGATTTCTATACAATATCTACAACGTATCGTGATGATTTCAAAACAGGGCATTATTTTCCGATGCAAATATTTTTGGATATACATGTACTTAAGGCAATTTACCTGCTGAGGGTATTGTTTTGAAGCACGAAACGCTTGCCAACTGCTAAAAATATTAGTTAGAATCAATTGAAACAATGATGTGAAACTGCAACTTGGTTAGATTGGGGTATAAAATAAGGGTCAACACCAGCACACCACATTAATCTACACACACATATATGCATGAGGCCATGGAAAGCAAAACCTTTTCAATGGGTTCAACGGTCGGTCCGGAAAAGTCCGGATTCCTTTCAAATTTCATTTCAAAAGGGGGAACAATTGAAGTCAGTGAAGTAAGATTCTGAATTTAGTTTTTGCTGTTCAATGAAAATTACCCCCAAACCTTGAGAACTTTAAAGGGAACATACAACACTTGCAAACATCAAAAAACAGAACTACTAAATTATCACGAAATACCTAACTGGACTGTTAGTGAATGACAGTCTAAAGCATCCTGTAAAATCATGGCACCTGGTGTGCCGAAATTTTCAAGAAAAGTGGTATTTTTGTATCAATTTCCAATGCTGGTCGGCCGACCAGCATTTGAAAAGACTGGCTTTGTTCAAATACTGCTGCCAATTTGTCATATTTAGTTAGTCCGCTTTTTCTTTGCATTCGATCACACACCTGTGAACGGGTACAAGCCAGCTAGACTGGTTCCCTGACCTTACAATTCCCTGACTTCTATAAATTGCTCCGTTTCATCTTAAGTGGGGTCAGGGAACCAGACTTCAAAAAATGATTGTTCTTCTTGGTTTTTCCAGCATCTCCGATCCCAAAACGTCAAGCAAGTCAGCGTAGCAATATTTGCTATAAAATACTAACCCCCCAAATCCATCCATTTCTGAAAATTACAGCAAAAGCGAATGTTGTATATTCCCTTTTAACATTAGACACATTGGGCACACAGAACAGAATTCCGTTTTCTTTTGGCCTCACACAAAAATAGTTTTAAAACATGCATACAAACAGTGCATTTAACTACCACAACAATTTTACGGTCATGCTGTTAAGATTTTAACCTTTGGAACTACGAGGGTAAACAAAATACACAGCATCAGGAAAACACCCATGCAAAAAAAATGAATGTATCCTGAAATCAAACCTTTTTTGCTTGTTCCTTTTTCCTTTTTGGGCACTAGGGGGTTCAAAGAAAGGTCCGGGTCGTTTATCAGAAATTCCACATCATTTGAGCAAATACAAGTGGGCATATTAATTAGGAGAATGTTTTTGTGCATGTTAGCAAGTAATATTCAGTCCTGCAAAAATGGATGTCAAAAGTCTGACTCTCAGAATCTAAAAACCACTTAAAAGGCATGGATCATTTTCATCCCAAAAGTAACATACCCAGTTATTATCCAAACGCTTACTTGGAGTACAGATCGTACTGGTACTAAACACCACATGAATTTATTCCGTCTGGCTTGCTGTTTTGGAAATAAAGAGTGGGTTTGAAGAAATAACGTTTCGTGATCAAAAGGTTGTGCATGGCGTTTCACTGTTTTCTAAAAAAAAGTAACATCCACTGAGCTGAAACTTCAACCACTGTCAACATATTAGGTTTTGAACCTTCTTCTTTGGATTTTGAGTGGTGTTACTATCGGAAACAAACAAAATGCCTGAAAAGAATATGATCCTATATGCCTTTAAGTATTTGAAAAGACAGAAAACAATCCCACATATTGTCAACAAAAGTTGATTTGCCGCTTAATGTGTGAGTTAACCTGTGCAACACCTGTTATTTTTCACGTGCAGGCGACACTCTCAAAGCCTCTAAAATTGGACCTTTGCTATGCATCGTGACGACAGTACCTCCTTATATTCTGATTGGCCATTTTTTGGACTGGACCTTAAGGTCAAGCCTTGTACCTCTGACTGACTGAGTCACCGACTGACTGACTCGACTCACCGACTGAATGACTTAGTCACTGAAGCTATCAGGACCGAGTCACTGAGGCTAAACTGAGGCTATCAGGTTCAGCTCCACCAGTTCAACCTGGCTGTTCTCTGACTTTATATCCGCATTTGGTTCCGAGGCAATGTTTGGGAGTTCTAGTCTGTTAACTGTCGAGGACCCAACCCCAGCAGTCAACTTATATTATAGGGGACCCTGGCACGATGAGCATCAAATCTTATGACATGGTACCAAAGTTAAGACTAATCGATTTTGGTTTGGACGATATAAAGTCTTCTTAAAAATTCTGGAGACAGCCAGGGATGAAGTTGAAACCAGAGATGACACCAAGGTTCGAAGAAAATTGCCTGGATTCCCTTAGCTGACAGTCAAGATCCAACCCCAACAGTCAACTTAGGGGATCCTGGCTCAATGAACATCGAAACTCGCGACATACACAAGAGGCCAAAATTTAGATTATTTCTACTTTGTCTGGATGATATAAAAAAAATCAAAGATGACACCAAGCTTTGAAAAAAAAAAATGCCTGGGTTCTCGTCAGCCGACCGGCAAGACCCAACCCCTACAGTCAGCGCTATACCTACCGCTCTGCTCCATCATGGACTGGATGTCTTCATCCTCGGCCTCCTCTCGTTTCCGGTCGTCCTCCAGTCTCTCCACGATCTGGCTCCTCTTGGTGACCGCCTCCACCAGCATCTCCAAGAGCTTCTCCTCCCGTTCGTTGTCGGCGTCCGTCTTCTGGTGCTCGTGTTTGTGCATCAGGCAGCGCAGCTCGTACTCGATCTCCGCCTGTTGCAGCTCCAGGTCCTGCATCTGAGCTCTGAGCAAATCAAGGAAAATTTGGATACTTAAAGACAATTTTGGGGATTCCAACCTTGTTAGAACTGATTCCAATTCCTTCCAGAAGTCAAGACTAAAATCTGAATTGACTCCATTATTACCAGCAAAAAAAACAGGCATTAGGATAAACCTCTACAACATCACTAAAATTTCTGGTAGTGAAACCCTCATGTAAAATCATTTGGGTGTATGATCTTAAGAAAGAAAGAAAGATCCTTACAATGTAAAATTTATTTTGAAGAGTCTGGAATTGAAGGTAAAAGGAACTAGTATGGGTTACTTCATGCTTATTAGGGGTGATTTTGGGGGCAAAATTTAGAAATCCACGAAAATAATTGCCAGAGGATTTGAGGGTCACCGTGGGCCCATGGAGCAAGGTAGGATCTATGGTATATGTATTACTTGCCTAAAGGCGCCCCTTACAATGGCCCTTTTATTTGTTCTATGCGACCTTAAAACGTAGAAACATTTTACGGCAAAATCTCAGGAATTCCAGATTACCCAAGTGAAAATCCTGAAATCAGGAAAAATCCCAACAAAATTCAGCAAAAACCCTGACAAATCTCATTCCTGGTAAATATGCACAACGGAGTTCATCCCTCAAAAATGCTGAATCATAATTCTGATTCAGAAATCAGAATCAAATGCATTTGATTCCTGTTTTTGAGTTTCTCAAACCTCAATCACTGTGCAACATTTTCATACATTTTGCTAAAAAAGGAATCGTCCTGGGTTCGGACCCCAATTTTTTTTTGGGGGGGGTGTCTTCGTCCATGTGTGCATGGTTATTGTGAGCAGACATGCTTGTAGGACAGAGGAAATTTGGAGGGTGAATGAAACTGTGGGTAAAATAAAATACAGCGGTCTGTTGATTGTCCCACTACAATCTCCATTCTTTCGTTAAAGATATAGTCCATCATTTGTAATTTGTGCATTTTCTTCGTTTGAAGCAACAAAAATGTTCAAAATCTAATGAAGGATACTGAACAACTAACCTGAAGTTTCAGCTCAGCTTCAGCTGCATATTCTGAGAAAAACAGCATTCTAGAATCTCAATTTCAAATCAAAGGTTGCTGAATCATGTTTTGAATTGCAGCTATATGCGATGTCGCGCACTGATCCGACAAATGATAGCAACTGCGCGCACGTGTGCATCGTGCCAATGCTTGCGCGCGCTGTGCCGAATAACAAAATGAACTACTAATTTAGGCCTTTCCAACGGTGCGTCTTAAGACGCACCGTTGGAAAGGCCTTCTTTCGTTGATTACTTCACAATGATAGCTTGCCAGAAAGATTAATTTCACAGGGAGTTTAGTTCCCTTACTATATTTCAACCAAGTATGTTTTTCAACAATAATACGCCAGTTACTTTTTCGGATGGCTGCAAATGATGGACTATAGCTTTAATATCAATAACTCACTGTGCGACTAGTTCCCCTTCTCGTCTCAGTAGCTTGTTCTTCTCATTGACCAGTGCAAACCATTCCACGAGAAGTTCCTCATTGTCTTGGTTCTCTTTCCCTAATAAATATCAAACAGTAAAGATCAGAATAAGCGAAAGTACATAAACTCATAGAACATAGACATTTTTGCAGGAAATTTGAGGTGTCCAAGTACAGTACACACACGTGAATACTGCACTGTATTATTTGCAATAAAAGGCTTGAGTTCCTGAAATGACTGTAAACAGCCAAATCACAAGAAAATGAGGCTTATTTGTGACACAGTCTGGAAAATGAGACAGACCTGGGCACAGGCCGCAGTGAAGAAAAATTAAAAAAGAAATGAATGGGGGTGATTTTTTTCTGATTTTCAAATTTATTGATATTTGTGATCTTTGATATGTCTACTACACAGATTTTAAAAACAGTATAAAAATCGTGGGATAAAAGTGTTTTTAAGGGAAAACAATTGGCATCTTTCATTTTCATGACAGTTGAAACGTTGAAGGCCATTTTCTCAGTATTTTACTTTTTTGACATGTCGATGAATGCAAACTTTAAACAGCTACATGTATAACTTGTCAACAGAATGTCCAATTGAAGCGCAACAAACAAAATTGTAAGAAGAATTGTATTCTCTTTCCTAATATTCGCAAACCCTCATTTCGACCTCTGCCCAGTTCTGTCTCATTTTACCAGAATGCCTCACATTCATAACAATGACATATTTTGAGGAATCCTTGGTCTCATTACCAGAAATACATAATGTATGCTTTTAGCAAAGTCTTTCTTAAAATCACTATGCTAATTGTTAACCCTCAATGAAATCAGGCCGGTGTCTTGACTATTACCACTGAGGGTAAGCTGAACCTTTCTAGCTCTCTAGTTGCTCTTTAGGCATTCAGTAAACTCTGTACCTTCCATGTCCGTTCTAAGACTCTGCTCCAGTTTGATACCCTTGCCTTCCATCTCGCGCTGTTGGATCTCAATCTCACAAAGCTCCTTCTGGATGATGGTGGGATCGATGTGATGCTTATCAACCTACGGTCAAAACAAAAGTCACATTAGCTTTAGAGAGTTAGAATTAACCTCTTAATAGTGACCACACTTTGCTGAGCGTACAATGCTGCTTGCCCAGAGCATTTGGTACATGAAATTGACACAAATCATTTCTTTCAAACATGACCTCAAAACTCATGCGATCCAGTAACAAATACGTTTGTTACAAACAACGGAAGAAACCCTGGTGTCCTTTATGAAAGTTGTAGGCCTGAACTATCTGGCCTTTCATGTGTTGCTACGCAATTTAGGTATTTTCAACTTAGGCTGCCTCTGGGCATTATTGTTATTAACGAGTTAACACAATACAAGTTGCAGATAAAATATTTAATATTGGAATGGAGACTATACAAAAATGCTATTTTTGCAAGGAGCTGCAAGTCTTCCATATAGATTTCTGCATCACTGTATCCTCAAAAGTCAAAAAAATTAACAGAGAAATAAATGCGATTGTTGGTGATATTAATGTTGATGTTTTACTCAAATATGCTATAGATTTGAAAACATTAACCCTCCTGCAGTTTGAAGAGTCACAGACTGTCATAAAATCAATCCTCTTTTTCTGCCCTGTCTTTTACTTAGGCTTGTCACCAAAAGACGGATCGTTTTCAAGCAAGCACTGTGACTAGTCAAATTCAGTCAACTGACAAAAGCATGCAAGTGGTAGGCACAGCTGGCTTATCAATCACCCACAGTCAAATGACAGCTGTATCAAGTTACATAAACAGTCACAGCCAGTCAATCCTGCTTCATGTAGGCTGGAAGATCTTAAACATTAAAAACAGTCACTTAATCGATTTTGACTGAAAGGACAACTTTGCTCAGTGTGTTTGTTTACATAGGAGGGTTGAGTTGACAACTACCTGTGTTCAATTCCCACAATACAAACATAGGACTCAACATCTATTCTTTTGTAGTAGCTTGTGAAATCATACTCCTCGGCACAAAACTTACATTTTGCAAATTTGATGTCTCCATTTTTATTGAATGACGTTTTTACTCAACAAAGACCCTCAAGCAAAAGTTCTACCACTGAGTAAGAATTTAGGTCACACCTCAGAGGATATTTCAAGTTCCTTCAACCCGTGCTTACCTCTCTCTTAATGGGCGGAGGTGCTGGCGCCCTCTTCCTGGAGCCCTGTGTGGGTGGCTTGATGGGTTCAGAGGTCGGCCTTGGGGGCTTGACCTTTGACACGGGACGAATGAAAGTCAACCATCATAAGATGAAGTTTGATCAACAAATCTTTGCAATGGTATGTTTACTACAAAAAAACAAACCCAACTAACTCTGCACTTGTGTGTAAAAACTTTGACGAAAGTATATTACTAGGAAATTGAAGTGATCACTGGAGAGTTGATTCAATTCCATCAAGAGTCAAGCATTTCAGAATGGGCAGACTTCTGAATAACGTGACGTTTTTTCATAAGTTCATCTTTTACATTGTACATGTTTAATGTGAGTTTATTTTGTGTATAACAATTACTGAAACTTTAACCAGTTCGCGCCAGATGACGTGTATACACGCAAAGGTTTTGCGGTATTCGGAACGGATGACGGATAAACACGCAGGGAGCGAGGCCGGAAGTATCTGTCAGTGACCCGCTCGCAGCAAGTGACGCCGGAAATATGAGTGTGCTGCCCGAGGGTGATGGCTTCAACCCGCCCGGCCTTGAGGTCAAGTGAAAAGTAATCCAGCGCCTCTTTCCGTTCTTTTCAAAATATTTCCGGCGTGAACTGGTTAATGTATATTTTAATGAGCATAATTTCTTACAATGCAATAAAACTCAATACTGCAATCTTGGGTTTCCCCAGCTTTAGTTTGCTAACCAGTGAGCCACTATTATTAAAAAATAAAAATGATTCACCTTTTTCCTGTCCAATAGTTGATCAGTTCCTCTTCGCATCCTTGGAGAGGGTTTAGGCGACTCCTCCTCAGTTTTCATTCCCACTGAACGTTTCCTCCTTGGAGAGGGAACCGGTGAAATCCTACCGTCGTCTTCCTTGTTTGGTGTTATGTGCTTTTTCAAACGAGGTGAGGGTACCGGTTTCGTGGCTACATCAGAGTTTGCTCTTTGGTCGCGGCTTTCCGGGCAGGGTGGAGGTGGCTTGTCTGGACGAGATTTGAGATCTTTAGTCTCTGGCGGTCTGCCGTTCTCCTTTGGCGGAGTCGGAGCGGGTCTGCTCTTGCGTGATCTTAGCGGGGGCTTCACGACGTCTTTCTCCTTGGAGTTGGACAAGCCTGGTCGGTCAGGAGGTGCGCTGGGTCTGGGCGGGACAGCTCCTTCAGGCCTGGGTGGGCCTCCGTCTGGCCTCGGAGGCGCCGGACGCTTCTGGCGAGCCTTCAGCGTGTGACGGTCCCGTTGCATCTCTTGCAGGATCTCCTGCCTGGTTTTGACTTTGTACGATGATTGCTGATTAGGGATCTCTGCGGGCTGTGAACTGCCTCCCGCTGGGAGAGGGGGCCACTGAGTAACAGGTGATCCCAGCGTAGATTCATCGTCATCCCCTCCGAAAGGATTGAGACTGTCATCGTAGGCATCATCATCATCCTCGGAGTCCTCGTCAAATGGATTCTTGTAGCCATTATCTTTTTTCTCCTTGACTTCCTCTTCTTCATCGTCATCATCTCCGAAAGGATTCAGACTCTCATCATAATTGTCCTTCGCAGGCTTTTCTGGCTTACTCTCGTGTTTATCTGCTTTGAGTTCTTTCTTGACAGCTTCCTCATCTTTTTTAGAGTCTGTTTTAGCGTTACTTGGTTCTCCATCCTTATTGGAGGTCTCACTTGCAGGCTCATCTGCTTTGGTGGTGTCATACTCCAGGCAGAATGAATCAGAGAGGTTCAGGTGGGTCGCTGTTACCCCCTCATGGTCACTCGTGCTGTCTCTGCTGAGAGCCGATGAACGCTTCTCAGGATCGATACCGCTGGCAAAGTTCAACTGGTCCGTATCCAAACTGCTGGTTTCTGAGTTGTTGGTTGGGCTGATGGAGCTGATGCTCGTTAAGCTGAAGACATCTGAGGATGTGTGCCCACTATCTCTAGAATGAGTTTCCACAGTGGGAGCTGACTCGTCTTTCATTTCATCCATTTCAGGAGGTTGTTTCTCGCCCTCCTTTGGTAGTTCCGAGTTGCTCTCTTCGTCCTTGCTGGAGCTCTTGGAGGTTTCTTTGGCATCGCTCAACAAGCTCCAATTTGAACTGGCCGGGCTGGCTTCCCGAGAATCCTCTTCCCCAACGGCAAGTTTACGGCCCGTGCCTCCTTCCAAGACATCTAGCATGTCCTCTTTGGATGCTGCAGTGCCAGGCTTTATGTTTCCCCTGACGGCGGCAAGGGAGGCCAGCAAGCCTTGCCTTGTCGACTCAGTCTTTGCAACATCACTGTCCAAATTCTTTTCCGGTGATGCACCACTTGGGGATGATGCCCATGGGGAGGGTTTCGGGGGAGGCTGTTGGGCGGGTTTCGTTTCTTGAGTTGCTGCTGGGTTGTTGAACCTCTCCCGAGCTGCCTTACTAGCTAGCAGGTGCGGATGCATGGGTACGGCTGGCTTACTGGAAGGCGGTTGAAGGGCTCCAGGTACAAGGGGCTTTTGCGATGGCAGGGCTGGTTTCCCTAGGTCTGCTTTGGCATTGTCTTTGCTCCCAACCTGTCTACCATCAGACTGCTTTGCCCACGGACCTCCAGAGCTACTTCTGTCTGTGGGCACAGGCTTCAAACCAGACCGTGCTTCCCATAAACTACCTACCCCGCCACTCTCTCTTGGAGCTGGCTTTGCATCTTGCTTCTCCCACGGGCTGCCACCACCGCTGGCCACAGCCTTAGCACCAGGCCTGGCCTCCCAGATGCTCCCGCCATCACTGGGCTGTTTCTTCTCCTTGGAGGCCCGGCTGGCCATGTCCGATCGCAGCTTCCAGATGTTGTCGCCGTGCTCCAGGCACTCCAGCTGCTTGGGGTTGGCCGTGGCCTTGTAGCCGCCGGGCCGTAGCGTGGTGCTGCATTTGGTGCAGCGGAAGCAGTTGCGGTGGTACAGCTTGCCGTCCGCTACCTGCCGTTCCACCAGGTAGACCTTCTTGCCGCATATTGCACAGGTGTCTCCCAAGGTGGGCTGCTTGTTGGGCTGATTAAAAAGGAAAAAAAAGCACAAACAATTCAGGAAACAATGTGTCAACAATTTTCTTAATTCAAGACAGGAACTGCAAACTACACTTAACATGCTAAAAACAAATTGGTTAAAACAGTGCCCTTTTGTCAATTACAACAAGATTAGTCAACACTGATTGTCTGATTAGTTTATATCATATTTGTTTTTGAATCAGAATTGTTATCAACTCCACTTATGGTAAAAAAAACTCCAGAATCAATACCTCATGGAACAAAACGAATGGCTCATGCAGAAATTTAAGAGACGTCGAGTCACGATGTGGGCACCTGTGGTCTAGCGGTCGAGGATTCATGATCGTGAGGTTGTGGGTTTGAGCCCCGCCGTGGCCATGCGTGTTGTGCCCTTGAGTAAGGCACTTTACCTCAATTACTCCTCTCAACCCAGGTGTTAAATGGGTACCGGCATTATTCAATGCTGGGAAGGTAACAGACTCGCTGTGGAGGAGGTGTGGCGATCCCCCCACAGCAGCATATAAGTCTGGCCCAATCGCTAATGAAAGAGAGATGGTCACTCTGTTCCTGTGAACACAGATTCGTCCCCTTTACTTTTACCTTTACGAGTCACGAGGGATAAAAAAATCACTTTTTAATAACATTAGCGATACAGGAGAGAACTGGCCAGTTTTACTGACCTTGTGTTGTAGCGGGGACTCCCCTGCCGGTCTCTTGCTTGCCATCCTGGTCTTCTGGCCCCCAATATCCTTAACTGTAAAAAAAAAAAACATTTTAAAATGTTTCAGGAAGAAGGACAAAAGTGTCATAAAAAACTGCATGTAATTTAAATTTCTACAGAAGTAAAAGCGGTGCAAATAAGTAAAACTGTGAATGAATATAACAACAAAATGAGAGCAGATCCTTGATTTTTCTTGCAGAAGGGGTGCAGAGGGGAGCCAGGTATGGTCCTTTCTATTCCCATAGTAGACGACAAGCTTCCCATTGATGAATATAGAAAAAGGATAGTACGGATTAAGATATATTTATGACCAAAGTATCTCAACAACTAATGTTGACCCCAAAAGAAATGTATGAAATGGGATGCGCTTTTGAATAGAAAAAATAGTTCCATATTTTCAAAATGAGACAAAATTAAATTAGGTTTTGCCCTTCACCGACGTATAAACACTGTATACTCAGTGTGCTACCTCCCGAGTGAAAGTTGGAAAAATCACTCGGGTGGGACTCGAAAAATTCCATCTTATGAGTAGTTAATGCGGTACCCGCTGCTATGTACATCAGATTCGAACCAGCCAACTGATTCCGTTAGCTCGTAAGCTCGGCGGTCGAGTGGTAAGACGTCTGCTCTAGAAAGCAGGAGGTCGTGGGTTCGAGTCCCACCCGAGTGATTTTTTCCAACTTTCACTCAGGAGGTAACACACTGAGTATACAGTGTTTATACGTCGGTGAAGGGCAAAACCTAATTTGATTTACATCACTTGACGCAAAAATTCCATCTTATGAAGAGACAAAATTAGTGAAGCGAGCAATGTAATAACGTAACTAAAAAGCTAAGTTCCAGCAAACAGGGACTAATAATTAAAACAGGTAATAGGCATGCAGCAGATGTTGAGTATCAAAAAGTAAGAAAACAAAAACAGGACAGGGAGAAAGACCATACGTACACAAAATCATGTTGCAAGTTCTGTATCAAGGTAAATATAATGGATGCATGGAAAGTCACAGAAACATAAGTGGTAAACCAAACACGTTTTGAAAGTTTTTTATGATTATCAAACAGGAAGGACATTCTCTTCAACTTCAATCTCAAATAGTAAAAAGGATTAATGTCATGCTAAGCTGAGTGCAACATATGTAGTCACACATGTACCGGTATGTGTACACAGACATGACAGAGACACTGCTGTCACAATGACATCTTTTAAATGGTTCTCAATGCAAATGAACTGCAATAACCAGTCACCTTAAGAGTTCTAATAGGTACTACCTGTACATGTACAAGTTAAACATTTATCGCCAACCCATGCCCAATAATGAACCCTAACCGCCCTGAATCCTTCAAAATCCTCTTTGCCAAATTGGACGAATTTGGAGGATTGAGGTTACATGGCAAAAGTGCGTTACTGATTTCGTAGAATGCATTTTGTCAAGGTCTTGGGCCGGACCTTGTGTTGTTTTTGCTCAGCCATGCATAAATATAAGCCCGGATTATGCTCGAAATCCTCCGCACTGCCACTGCTCCAGGATGTCACTGGCCAAGCCTCAACATATTGACAGTCACTGCCAGGATTTTGCAGGATTCAGGCAGTGGTCACCCCTCCACGGACCATATTCAAGAAATAATGGAGGAATTTGCAGGATTGAGGCTATATGCTATTCTTCCATGAGGCCAATTGGAGGATTTTGCAGGATTAAGGCTACATCCTAGCAAAAAGGCCTAGGGAGTTAGAGTTAATGAAAGCAATGCCAAGAAACGGAGTGCTCTCAACCAAGTCCAAAATGGACACTGTTATCTACGGCTAGGGCTATTCATTATGGTGCACCACGACAAAATCATGAGCCGTAGCCACAAACTAACAGATTCAGGCAGGACACATCCTTAACTTGACTGAGAGAGACTTACTTGGCTTCTTATCCTTGAAGTAGTTGTAGTACTGTGACACGTAGGTCATGATGCTGAGTTTGTCCGGTACGTGCATGGTGGCCATGTCATCAGGGTCCAGTAGGGCTGGGATACCCAACTCCTGCTCGGCAACATCAAATGCCTGTCAAGAAATGAAGAACAGAATATTGAGGGCTCAATACACACCATGTGCCCTGTGGAGTCATGTTGACAGGTAACCGCCGGTAACCCAAACCTAAATTTAAAATTTACATATTAAAACCCTCCTTTGTTTGATCAGTCACAGACAGTCAAAAATTCCATCAACAGACAAAAGCAGGGGACTAGTACTGGTAGGCATATCAATCTCCTACAGTCAAACACAGCTATATCAGTTTTGATAACAATCACAGCCAGTCAATCCTGCTTTATGAAGGCAGGGAGCACCCAAGTGTTAAAAACAGTCACTTATTTATTTTATTTATTTATTTATTTCATTTTCCGGGATATTACAAACAGTGAATCATAGACAAAACAATTACATGTACAAATAACACTGAGTAGTAAACATAACAGAAAACATAACAGAAAACAACACCCAAAAAGCTCCCGCAGGATTACCCAAAAGAAACAAGTTTCTGTCGAGGGGCTCTCCAAACGAATTGGATAACAGTGATTAATACATTTAGGATAAAAATTCATTAAATAAAATATTTATAAAATTAAGCAGTTATACAAAATATAATTAAAAATACAATTAAAAATTACAATAAGAGTAAATAAATAAATAATTAAATAACTAAGTAATTATTTATTTATTTACTCTTATTGTAATTTTTAATTGTATTTTTAATTATATTTTGTCACTTGATTTATTTTGACTGCTGGGCTGGCCTTGATGAAATTGCCAGCCAGAGAGGGCGGTTTATGTCAACACTTTTAAACCATTCCTATTTCAAGAGATATTACATGCAATGCAGAAGCGAACCCGTTGCTGAAAGTCAGCCTCATGTGACCACAACATCCAATCTTGTAAACAAAATATGTCACATGATCTGTACACGTGTACCGGTAAGCTTGTTGTTTCTACCCTACAAAAATAGCCGCGTTGTCCATAATATGTTTGTTATTTTTCACTTTCATCACAGGGAAATTGCAGTAATAGGGACTTCCTTTTTGGCAAGTGCGGAACTAGCAAACCTGCAGAATATTCTGCAGAAATTTATTTCCGTGGAATTGTAACGAATTTCAATGTTAGTTTTTTTTAAAAATATTTTCAGTTTGTTACATACTAAAACAAATACATTCCAGGGTGATATTACATTTAAACAAAGTACCGGTACGTGTAATATCATACATTACCGTACATTACTAATGCCCCATAATCTAGTGCCAATTTGCGGAATGTATATGTACGAATGGTCGTGATTTTATTTGAGATCTTCATACTCTCGGTAACTGATAAGGACCAAGCTTGCTTGGTGGACAAATAGGCCTAATTCATGAAGTTTCCAGACTCTACAACATATTCTCCAAAGCCCAGCTTTGGAAAATTGAATCTTTGTTTTCTAAACATTTGCCCTCCCCCCCCCCCCAAATAAAATAGAGTCTACACACCGTTCAAAAAAAATTAAAGTATTGGCTAATCTCTCAAACAAATTTCCCAAATGGAAATCAATGTACATGTACATGTATGTATGGAAACTGTGTACCAAAATACCTGTGGCAAATTTTTCTACAGAAAACGTTTAAATAAAAGTGCTGTATGAAACATCATCATTTTAAAAGTAAACAACTGCCACAAAAATAATGCCTTTTTTCCCCCAGCATTTCTTGAACTGTTTCCCCATTACTTGATTGGACTTTGTATTACATGCAAGTATAGATACATACATTTGTATGTCTTCCTTAGTGCCAACAGTTTCAACCAAGAAATGGATAGCAACAGATAGTCTGGACAATGTCAGTTCTAATTTCCTGTCATACTAACCAGAAAACTGAACCTGATGTACATGTACATGAAGTGTGTTCAACCCTCTTTGCATGGGCTTCCACGTATGAATTGTTAATGCAAATGTACACGTTGCAAGTTTTCTCTTTGTACAGTACATGTATAGTGCTGCACATTACGTGACCAATGAACATGTGCTGGTACACATACATGTACATGTACATGTACTCAAAGTGTACATGTATCACATGTCATCACTGGCACACGACTAAAATACAGTTTACACTGAAAACAGTGTCACATTTCCTGCTCTTCACACAGAACAGGAAATGTGACTTGCCAGAGACTGAAATCTGAACAACTTAAAGGGAATATACATCATTTGCTTTTGCTGTAATTTTCAGAAATGGATGGAATTGGGGGGTTGGAAATACATAGCAAATATAGTTACACTGACTTTTTTGACATTTTGGGTTCGAAAATGCTATAAAAACCAAGAAAAACAATCATTTTCCTGTAGTCTGGTTCCTTGACTCCATATAAGAAGAAACAGAGCAGTTTACATACATTGGGGAATTGTAAGGTCAGGGAACCAGTCTAGCTGGCTTGTACCCGTTCATAGGTGTGTAATCGATTGCAAACGAGTGCGATGGTCAATTGGGGCCAGTATTTGAAAAAAAGCCATTTTTTCCAACGCTGGTCGGCCGACCAGCGTTGGAAATTGATACAAAAATACCACTTTTCTTGAAAATGACAGTATACCAGGTGCCATGATTTTACAGGATGCTTTACACAGTCCAGCAAGGTATTTCAAAATGATTTGGTAGTTTTATTTTTTGATGTTTGCAAATGTTGTATTTTCCCTTTAAAAAACAAATTCATAATCTGATCTACATGTAAATGACTTACATATGTATATATGTACATGTGTAGCTTACAAGTGAGAAGTGAACCCAAGACAAGACATATTGGTTTTGTATTGTCGTGAGGGTGGTGCCGGGGTTAAAGGGGGGGGGGGGGGGGGAGGGGAGAGGGGCTTGCAAAGTAACACAAGGAAACATGAAACGGCAGTTGGCAAGCAGATTCAATGCCCTTTTCCTATGCGACCAACTGCTTCAATGTTCGCTTCATATGGGTAAGTGTACGGGTACCGGGGTACCCGATTAAATAAACCCAACCCCAAAATTCAAATCTCAGAAGTTGCTGATCAGATTATTCACAATACTACCACATCGGCGCATCAATGCAGCAAGATACACAAGTGTGTACAGTGAGCTTTATAGTTTTATGGTGTAAACTGCAACCATAGAGCAAGGAACTTTCGCGAGCGTCATAAATAAACATGAAAAATGTTTCGTTTTCCCACGTAGCCTGGTTTTCATTTTGAAAATTCCCCACAAATGACATTCAAAACCTTTCTTTTTCATTGTCTGAGAAGTTTAAGTAATTTATAAAGTTGGTTTGCGGGAACTTGATCCTATAATCTGGAACCGGTTCCTGACATCAACGGTCGGGTACTACGACTCGAGTACTTGGTTCTGATGCACAGCCCTATTCATGATTTAGTTCTTTCATCTTATTTTTTTTTTATATTATTTCTAACTCCCTGGCAATCATGGGTTGTTTGGGGTTTATGATTTTTTTTCAAATGCACAAAATTCCACTCCATATAATGTTATCAAAATAACGACAAAATGTATTAATGTTCTGTACAGCGCTGTGTCACAAGGATCTGCCTCTTTATTTTGAACGTTGACAAGAACACTTCAACAAGCAAGTTGAGGTTACAATTCCAGGAGAATAACATGAATAACTGGAAGTTTAGTAAATAATAGGCCATACATTGTCTCTCTGTGCGATTGCCAAAGCTTTTTTTCTCGCATTTCACTGATGTCACACGTAACCATACATGTACATTTGTACACGCCAACAAAAACATTGCACTAGGACATGTAGGAAGTCAAAAACATTATTAAACAAAATATTGACAAAGTTCATGTATGTACGTGTGCAAACCACAAGATGATTAAAAACTTTGTGAGAGGGTTTCGCGAGACAAACTTACCAATTGGTTGTTTTCTCGTACATTCTCCTTGGATAAGGAATTGAAATCTCTGCAGGAAAAAAAAAGAAGAGAAATTCTTGGTGAGTAAAATGTTTTTCAAAATATTGCATGTGAGGTATTATGACAAGTCAACTTCATACACGTACATACCATCGATTGCACCACGAACCGACGTATTGCATTTTTTTGTGTTTCGAGAAAAAACGATTTAAAGTTGGTCATTATTTTGTAGGCTCATTCCATATACTCACTGTGTAAGAATTCAAGATGTTTCGTTTTTGCTATTAAATTATAGATTAAACATTATTGTATGTAATCCGTGTGCATCTGAGTGGCTTAGTTTTTGAGAAATTCAGTTCCAAAGTTATTCGCCACTTCGTGAAACAGATTTTTATCATGTTTATCGTATGTAATGCAACGCGCATAATAGTGGCCGTGTGCCAGATACGGAGATACGCCGGTTCGTGAAACGCTAAATTCCAATTTTTCAGTCTAATTAGCGTTCTTAGTTAATTAGAACTCCGATTGGAATAAAACTTTATGAGAATGAGAACTTTGATGAAATAATAACGTTAATGACAAAAACTCAATTTGGCGACAAATCGAGATACGCCGGTTCATGGTGCGACCTTTTCCATGAACTATTTTAAGATGTGTCAAAACAGGCCTTATACCATGTATACAATCAGAATACATACGTACATGATATTGCATGACAAAAAGTACTCCATGATATGAAGCTTATGGTGCACTTGAGAACAAACTTGAGAAAGACATCAAATCCGACAGACAGTTGCTACTGGAAGTGTCATTACAAGTCAAAAAGACTTACATTACATACGTACAGAGTATGATTAATATGCCAGCAGCCTGCTGCACGCTATCATATAATTTAGCAGGCAAGGCCTAACGATTGGATCAGACATTTGATCTTCTGGTACAGTGCCAGTGATCCAATGTGTTGGTTGCAATTAATACTCTAGGCTGGGGCAGGAAATTAAAATTTGTCTTTGCACTGGGGATATGCCACATAATCCTCAAGGTTTGATATTTATAGCTCATACATGTATTGTACATACATGTATACATAGACACATACCCTATAAGTTTGGAAGGCAGAGTATCAGTGCTGTGCAATTATTGTAATTAAGTGTCTCTTTTGATTAACCCTAACCCCCTAGGCTCTTGCACTAGAAAGTATACCAAACCTAACAAATTTCAACAGCTGCATACAGGTCTGTAAGTAATGGTACCAAAACTGCCAAACTCCAACAGGCCTTGTACGGGGAACAGTACTAAACCTGCCAAACTCCAACTGTTGGAGTTTGATTGACTTGGTATGGATGGGCCTATGCATTGTCGAGTGATTGGATAGGGATGGTACCAAACAAAATAAAGCAATATGTAGTATGCACATTTGACCACAAACTGTGCTGAGGACCATGGGTGAGCATACCCACGAAGAAATGCCAGTGAACTCCCTCAAACTCCAACGTGTTCACAAATCTCATGCCCTTCTGCCCCGAACCTCACAAAATTCAACAGGGTCTCCCTGGGCCTTTCGTACCCAGTCAATCAAAGTCCAACACCAACTGGCCAGTGTTCGGTACCAACCCTGCCAAAATCAAGCAAAACCCGCTGTTGGAGCTTGATGGGCTTAGGGTTGTTAGGGTTAATCAAGTCATTAGGATGATTCACCACATTATTCAACAGTCATCAGTGATGATCACTAACTGTGTTAATTGTCTTGCACTACAGGACGTTGGTGTTCAGTTCTGTTAATCCCATGCCCATAGTCTTAGTATCACCCAATCTCCACGAAGCTCATCTCTGGTAGAACGTCTGATATGCATTAGCATACCGGTACGTGACGTCATTTCACTCTGAAATCTGGACTAAGAGTTTGATGGGTCAATTTCCATGCCACGTTTTTCTAATACAACAGCTTGTACAAAAATTCTACTCATCGTGGGCGTGATGTTTACGCACGTGGGGAGCTTGCATTACACGCGTATAGAAGGCTCCCGCTGATTGGTCAGTTTTTCGAGGTCATATGCAGTCTAACTGCATAATTAATCAACGAATCTGCATACATTATCATAGACCAAGGCCGGTTCGCCGGGGCCAGGGTCTATTACATAGACTAGCCCATGTACCGGTACCTGTACACATTTCTACAGAACCGTCAGTGGGATTTTTTGCAGTAAGGAGATGTAAAATCTTATATCAGGTTTGCCCTTCTTCAATGTAATTTACACTGTACTCATTGCTGTCTGAGAGCTTGTGAGAAAAAACATGACAAGCTGCTTGGGTGGGACTCGAACCCACGACCTCCTGCTTACTAATGCAGACATCTAAAACAGTCCACCACTTAACTTGTCGGGATTGGTTGGCTGGTTCGAATCTTATACATCAGCATGTACCACAAAATTCTTGTAAGATTGAATTCATGCTTCAGGAGTCATAAATTGATAGAGTGCAGAATCCTTGTTTGCGAAATAAAGCCGGTACTACATGATGCTGAGAATGCTTTGGGGTATATAGAGTGCAGACCAGTAAATCGTTCCAAAGTTGCCTACGCCGGCCAAATCACGATTTGCATGCCCTCAAATTCTTCGGTATGAGCATTTGGTGGGCTATAAACTTGAGGTTTTGTAAAAAAGAAGGGTGGAGGCTGTGCACAAGACTGTGAGCTTGTTTTTCTGTGAAATTTGGATAAAGGCTCATGTATTAAGTTGCCACATGAAGCTAATTAACAGAGATTAAAAATAGATGACTAACGACAGTGTGGAAATAGAGAATTAGGGCACAATGGGACGAGCGGGATGTCGTTGCCAAGTTTAGAGGCACACGTCACTGACCAGATAGCAATTGGGTTTGATGAACGGGACACTTCCCCACGGCATGTTGATTTTCTCAGCTTAACAACAACTTCCCAATTCTATTACAATAATCATTTCCAGTATGCCAGAGCCTGCTGTGTTGTTGTCACATCTAGCATTCTAGTAGGCATTCACACATGCACATCATGTTGGCAGATACTCATCAAAGTGTCTTCAACTTCAAAACAAGGGTTGTAGCTCATGTATTGTTGGGGGCTAAATGGCTGAAATTCACCTACATACTGTATTAAAGTGCTCACTTGAAAATGGCCAGTTTGAAATTTCACATACCGTTGTTTGAATTTCAAACATTTCATCCCAAAGAGATTTCACAGATTTTTTTTTTGGGGGGGGGGGGGGAGTTGGGTGTTCAAAGTGATGTGAGTACTCTTTGCTCATATGTACATTGATACAATGCACTTTATGACAACACACAAAATTTTTGCAAAATTTAAGATCAGTTTGGAACATTTGTTCCTACATGTAAATACATGAAGAACTTACATACATGTACAAACAGCTTGGGTACAACACCTAAAACTGCTCATCGAAATTCCCGAAATGGTTAAAAAGCAACATCTTCGAAAGCCAAGTCACAACATTTAAAGTCCACCAAGACTAGAGGGTTTGGAAGATTTTTGAAGAACTGAGGAAGGTAGAGTTCATGTGTTAATGCTTTACAGGGGGCTTGATAATGCCCTTTGGAAGTTAAGAAAGATTAAAAATGCCATATCAAGTTCCTTCAGTCAATTATAAATCAAAGGATTCGGGAAGGTTCCCAGCAACTTTGTCAAGGAAGTTAATCCTCCTCTCCAGAATCACTACCACTGCAAGTAAAAAATTAATGAACATCACTGAACTCCATGCAAATTGCCAAACTCACATGTAAGTCTTCATCCTCAACAGCCTCATCAAAGCTAACCGCCAAAAGAATAACACACAGATGCTGACCACAAATGACACAACAGACTACATCAGTTCCACACAAGCGCCGACTCTAATCCAACACCCTCCTCTGTTGCAGCTTCATCTAATCAGAGCTGGGAAGACACTAGGGGTGGAACACTGCGTTGACCATCGGCGGTAGGTACACAGTGCTCAATTTCCCCTCCATAAAGCCATGCCGGCCAGTAAAACCCAATCAGATTTCCTCAATTTGCCACAACAAGGCTGCCAAGTCCAGCAGTAAAGCACAGGGGAATGAATCATCCATAAACACATAGGCACCATAAAAAAGAGACGTCAAACACACACCTCTGAAAGACCATGGGAGGATTTTCAGCTCCTGTGAAGCTTAACCGGTTATGTAATCTGTAATTTCGCAGCGCCTGCTCAAGGTAAAAAGAAAAGGGGCTAACGTTTTCTTGACATCTTTCTGGGGAGTCATAATTCACTGTATTAAATGTTTGGGTTTTTTTTGGCTGACAAATTGTGTAGCAACTAGCAAGATGAGACTTTTTTGCACAAACTGGAGAAGCCAGAACTGACATTGTGGTTATACCAAACATCTTCAGTTTTCAAATCCTCTGCAGTGATGACAGATATACATCTCAAAGGATACAGACGCAATCCAATTATTTTTCAGGAAATTAGCTTCATTAATTTATCCTTGATGTCGAATCTTGCCCCTTCCTGACGGTACTGGTACCGGTATGTGCTCTGTGTCATATGCTATTACAATTAGTGAAAAGTAAATCGAGAGGATTTGGGGATGGAAACACATGGCCATGGAATGGTTTGAAACATTGACACGAGACAAGGACCTGGGAATCCAGGGTTCTGAATGGAGGAGCCGCGCCAGGCTGACCAAAGGCTTGACCAATGACCAAACACGAGCTAGACAACTAAGGCATTACTGCCTCTCCAATCTCCAACAATAGATAAATCCAGACGCGTGATCACTGTACTCTCACGAGGCCCCCTTCAATGGAGAAACCAATGTGCATGCTATCGTACAAAGCAACTGCCAATAGTTGGCACAATGCTTTCACCACGGAAGGCGGCCTCCGTGGCAGAGGTGATGGAGTGCCCAGATCGGGGCCTTTTACACTATCAAGAGGCAAACACAACCGAGAATCAAACACAGTTTCCACACAGCTTCCACACCCGTGGGTAAAACCTAGCTCTAGTCTGGACCATGGTTGACAGGCTCTACTCAAGTACAAAAACCAAAGTGGCTTGTGCGTAAAACGCTCGCCTCTCACCACTGTGGCCCTGGTTCGAATCCTGGCCATGGACAATACATGCCATACGTGAGTAAAGTTGTGCACTGGTTCTCTCCTGTGCCACGAGGGTTTTTCTCCGGGCCCTCCGGTTTTCCTCCCTCCGGAAAAGTTAAACACTTTCGATCTCCGGCTGTGCTCCGCGGTTATATATAGGTCGATGTGGCTGGCTGCCGGAGGTGATGCCTGCTGCTCGACCACGTTGTAGAGCGTCCTTCGCAATTCAGCTTCTCAACTGCCAGTAGGGATGATTAGCCTCCCAAATTATTATTCGTAAGACAATTAGGCGAGACCTTAGTGTTAAAAGGCCTAAGGTCTACAGGCATGACAGGACACAGACAAGACTACAGCGGCCATGTTGGGTAACTGTACCAAGCCAGATCACAAATAAATTACCAAAATTATACAGAACGTCTCAAGTGGTTATCTTTGAACCATGTGAAATATTTAAGACTGTGGTAGTGTGGTAAAGATGTACAATGGGACTTAAGATACATGTATGATTTTTTGTGAGTTGAAGTGTTTGAACACTAACAGGTATCTGTGTACAATGTACATTGTACATTGTACATGTACTCTCTTGCATTGAGTCATCGGTTTATTTTTGGCAATCGTTAAACAGCTAAAAAAAAAACAAGTGAAACTGAATGGTCTTGTGTTGCACTCAACACCTCTGCACAAGAGAAACCATGTACATGTACCACACTTGTGTACGCGTGAATTTGATTCTGCACTGCTTATGTTTTAAAGCCACCTTCTTGCAATCTCAAAAATGCACTTAATACATTTGAAGCATCTGAGCAAGTAACAGAAGAACAAGATTCTGAATGAATATATTGCTGTTCCAACATTGATGGCTTTGTACTGGTGAAAAGAGTACATCAGCATATTTACAGGGAATGTACATCATTGGTTTTTGCTGTAATTTTCAGAAATGAACTATTTGAGGGGTTACTATGATAGATCAAATATTGTTACACTGATATGTTTGAAGTTTTGTGTTCGAAAATGCTGGAAAAACCAAGAAAAACACAAATGCTGGAGTTGTCTGGTTCCCTGACTCCACTAAAGATAAAATGGATCAATTTATAGATGCCGGAAATTTGTAAGGTAAGGGAACCAGTCTAGCTGGCCTGCACCCGCTCATGAACATGTAACCAATAGCAAACAAAATTTGGACTGAAAAAAAATGGTGAAGTTAGAGCAGTATTGGAAAAATAGTTAGGTTTTTCCAACGGTGGTCGGCCGACCAATGTTGGAAATTTATACAAAAATACAATTTTCTTTCAAATGACTTCACACCAGGTGCCATAATTTTACAGGATGCTTTAGACTGTCATTTACCAACATCCTAGTAAGGTATTTCATAAAAACTTGGTAGTTTTATTTTTCGATGTTTGCAAATGTTGTATACATTCCCTTTAATGTACACTTAAAAACTATACCGGCATCAAGCCTTTTTTTCAACAAAACGTTTCTGGATTTTTAGAACTGTACGGTCAGCAACATCTTGAACAAGAATGTGTATTTTACGTGTTTGTCGTCACAGTATTAGTCACCTGTGTGAAGGTATTAAAGTTTTAAACATTAGCGTCTACAAGACTGGAGGCATCCCACAGGGTGTCATAGTATGCATCAAACTTTGGCCTAAACAGCTGGCTAAACTTAATTAAATGAGGTAACCCCATAATAAGCAAGTGGGTTTAAAACTGGAAACTGTTAAAGGTTATCATCCAAACTTGTTAATAACTGGGAGCCACAATGATACAATAATACCTTTATCACTGAGCAATGAAACAGTATTAACTTCCCTTAAGTCAAAGGAAATCCACACTTAGGTTGGGGTACTACATAGTGGAATTTACTGTATAGAGGAATGCCCTAACCTAAGGCCCAAAAAAAATATTCTGCTTCCGATTACATGGCATTTGAAAATAGGGGAGGCAGGTAGGAAAACAATTGGGGGGCATTTTTTTTTTGGTATATGGTCATGTCATAAGGAGGTGTCTCAGTGTATTCAAGGGTAAAAGATAGTTATTGACGGTTTTCGTGTTTTTTTTTTCATTCCCCCCCCCCCCCCCCAAACATGCCAAAAAAATTTAGGTCGGGGCTGTCAAAATAGGGAAGTAGGGTAACCGGAAGCAGAACTATTATTTTTTGTGCCCAAGCTTGTCATCAGTAGGGCACAGTTCTTAAGGTCCCTACATCCCCTTATTATGTATGTACCGGTAGAATGTGCAATGTACATGTACGGTGCATGTTACAATATACTGTACGCTACTAGCGTCGCTAGTGTTCATGGCTCAACTCCTAATCAAATATTCCATATACATACATGGTAGGTTGGGAATAATGATTTATACAGTGTGTATCAAGAAAAATGCAAATAAAATACAACAGAATGCCAGTTGTAGAATGAGTAACCAACATAGATGATATAGGCATGGTTTGAAAGATACGCCTATCCACTTTAAAATAAGACATCAAATGTCCAAATCTGACAATTTTTGACAGAGCTATGAGTACGTTTCCAAGAGAGGTCAAATTGACCATGGGACCAAGTTTTCAATTTTAGGCATTGGGACAAAGGTAGCCTACAATGTAATTGCCTCTGTGTGGATAATTGCCTTGCCTACAAAAATGTATTTTGTGAGTTAACACAATTCTAAACACATTTTCTTGCTATCACCTCATGCTAAAAATGTTTAGCATGTAAACATGTTTACAAACTGATAGCAAGAAAGTGTTTAGAATATACTCGCTAAGCACATTTTTGTAGGCCAGGCAATTATCCACACAGAGGCCATTAGTCTACCTTGGTCCCTATGCCTAAAATTGAAAACTTGGTCCCATGGTCAAGTTGACCTCTCTTGGAAAATAACTCTGTCAAAAATGATCAGATTTGGACGTTTGATGTCTCATTTTAAAGTGGAAAGGCGTATCTTTCAAACCATACCTATATTTTCTATGTTGGTTACACATTCTACGTCTGACATACCGTTGTATTTTGTTTGCTTTTTTTTTTATACACACTGAATACTGGGTTTTGATCTTCGCCAACCAAGCACCGAGCATACCAGCATGCAGTGACAAAAAAATGTCTTTAAGGTCATGGATATTGCCATTAATCTAGTTGAGTTATAATTGAAGTTGCAGAGTTATAATTGAATTTGAGACTGTCACAAGTCAATCAGCAGTCAAATCACAAGACAGGTTACAAGTAATAGGGAATGAACAATGACAGTGGAGTGTCATGGCCTAGGGGTTTAGAGCACCGGACTCATGCTCTGGTGTTTCAGAGGCAACAGTGGCGTGGGTTCAAGCCCAAGTGGACGCTTGCGTCCTTAAGCAAGGCACTTAGCCACTATTTCTTCGTCCTTTGGATTGGACATAAAGCCGTAGGTCCCGTGTGTTGTATAATGCACATAAAACAACCCAGTAACACTTATCGCTAAGAGTAGGGGTTCGCCCCGGTGTTTCTGGCCTCCTGTTAAAACTCCCCTGCAGAGTCTTTAGGAGAAGAACCAACCAAGTAACAAATGAATAATCATAAAAAGAAAGTTTGCTTGTCGTACTCCTTGCTACATCAGACTCGAACCAGCCAACCGACCCCGGCAAGTTCGGAGGTTGTGTGGCAAGACGTCTGCACTAGTAAGCAGGAGGTTGCAGGTTAGAGTCCCACCCGGGGGAGCTTGTTCATTTTTTTTCTTCGGACAACACCGAGTATACAGTGCTTATAAAAATACATCAGAGAAGGGCAACATCCAATATAAAAAAATGAGAAAAAGGAATGCCTTTGTCACGTTTCAAATGAAAACACAAAATCACTTGACTTTCGATTGACTCTTGATAAGTAGGTAACAATTCTGCAAAATGTAATTATGAATTATAATCCTTGCTAGAGTTTGTAAATGCTCATCCAAACTCACATGAGATCCGGTCGGTAGTGGTGCAGGATGGCGCAGAAGGCCAGCCCGTCCTTCCAGGACTTCTGCATGTTGGCCACTTTGACATCTTTGTAGCCTTCTGTTTTTTGCTGGGACCAGACCAGCAGGGCCTTGGTCCCAGACAGAGCCATGGTTGGGGTGGGGACAGGTGAGGCTATCTACTGATGACCTCCGCTGACAGCCGCAGAGGTTTAGAGGAGGAACTGGTAAGTTTTACTTGATTCTTGATGCTGTAAGCTGTTATGTGTACGGCTGAAAATCTCTGGCAGCAGTCTGTGTAGCAACAAAACAACAATGATAATGTCTGTGACAATTTCATGATTTACAATTGAGTTATTTGATTTATTTACACAGTGTATGAAAATTTGAGAACATCAAGTTGAAGTAAATGCACCAAAATCAAATAATATAATCAAAATGGAATACAAAATTAACAATCACATACTATATTGGAGAATGTATTGTGTCGTAACACATGTAATTAGTATTTACAAAATTAAAGATATTTGAAACAGAAAGTTAAAGATTGAACATTTGTAAACTTTCTGTTTCCTCACATGCCATAGTTTGTTGTTCATCCAACATGTCCAAGTGATACTGATAAGGAATGACATGTAGAATACAGACACAATCATTCTTATATGTTGTTGCCTAATAAACAGAATGAATTAACAAGAATGGAAACATATTTAAAAAAAAAAAAAAAAAATTAATTTGCAGTTGAAATTAGAGGGGAAAAAAGAGAGTCAAGAAAGTGTGTCCAAGAAATATGTGGTTATTATTGGAAACAGATACTGAAATTAATTATTAATAACTGTGATATTAGTTGAGTAATTTATGTTGTCCAATCAAATCATATCAAAACAGTGGCGTAGAGAGGATTTTGTCATGGGGGGGGGGGGGGGCAAGGGCTGAGCCCAAACAAAATATCAACCAAATTTCCAGGTGCTGTAAAAAATAGTCAACTTCCCTCCTCTTCTGTTTCAGTAATCAAAAAAAAAACTTCAAAAAGACACTTCCTTGGCAAGCGGCAAGTTTCAAGTTTGTTGTGCGGGGCAGCTGGGGGGGGGGGGGGGGGGGGGGAGGGGCACTGTGAATTTGAGGGGGCACATGCCTACGTGCCCCCCCCCCCCACAGGCCCCTCCCCCTTCGATGCTGTATACATCAAAACAATCATTGAATCAAATCATTAACGTGTCAAAGTAAAAGGAAAATGCCAATGACACGTTTTTAGATGTAATCTACAAACTTTCACTTACTTTTAACAATCATTTGCCGTGACACTCACTTTAACATTCTTCCTATTTCAACCATTTTGACATTCACAAAATTGACAAACCAACCACAACTTGTGGTGACTGTCATGTGTCATTCAACATAAAGGCTTCAATTCAATTCAATTCAATTCACTTTATTCATCACTCTAAAATTCATGACAATTAGATTAATTAAAAACACATATTAACTATATGAATGATTACAGAATACCTTAATGCGTTCAAATTCCTTGAAAAAATAAGAGATAAAAAGGAAATTCCAAAATTCCGAAGGATTTACTCACCCTAGCTGCACAACTTCACTACAGGATTTGGTTTATGTCAATGTTTCAACACGAATTGGGCGAAACCATTTTTCTTCATGGCTTGTGCAAATTTGTTATAGTACCTGTTTTATTAAAACAAGTTTTAAAAATTCAATATCTGTATTTTTAAATACAATAATATAAAAACTATGTCTTTAATCCACTTTGTATCCACAATTTACTGAAATAACATCTGAAAAGTATCTGCTTTCCAACTGTACTCCCCTGTCAAAAATTAACAGTGCCCACTTCTTTTCTTCCGGCTCTTGGAATCATGGGTAAAATTCAAGATGGCTGCGCCCATGGTCGGGAAGTTCGATGGAAACCTTTGCGATATCTTGCAGAATGTTCAGCAGATTGATACGTTTTTAGATGTTATATTTGAGTTTTTGTACAGAAGGTAAATAGTGAAGACTTGTTATGGACCGTGCTGTGAACAAATCAAGCAATTTCTTGACGGCCAGACGTTGCGTGTTGTGTTTAAGTTTGATTGCCTTTAACTTAAGTTTCACGTTTTTAATTTAGGCCTAATTAGTAATACTGCACTGTGTCATATGAACAAGTGATTTCTATGCAGCGGTGAACATGGTATCTGTATGAAGCCATGCTGGACTGCAAGAGAGATTACACATGCACAGAGTTAAACTTTTATACTTATACATATTATAGCATCCTCCTGTATCCCAAATAAAATTTGTCTGTTCCATGGAGGACATGTCATTGTTTTAGGTCTAGGCCATGCCGGCCAGGGACAATAAAGTAGGCCTAAACAAAATTCCCTTGCCCGATATGTAGGGCGCCCTCTATTTGCCCTGAGCTCTTGGCATGCTTGGTGATCGCTGATGCCGTGCGTGACCTTGAAATTTGTCCAGTTTTGTTTGATGGTAAAGTTGAATGGGCCATGATAAGCAGGCCTGATGATATGCAATCAAATCAAATTGTAATTATTGTACAGAAGTTAAAATCTAGTAAATACATGTACTATTATCATTCTTTATTTAATTTAATTATTCTTCATATTTTTTTCAGAACCGATTTCTACAAATCCATGCGCCATCAACACGACACCATGGGGTTGCCCCCTGGTATGGCAAGAAGGCTGGTCATGCAGGTGAATTTTTGGCCTCTCAAACTTTCTGTCGATCATCCCGTCTGTCATTCAAGCTATCTGCCAATGCTGTCTACAAACGTTAATTCCTTGTTAGCTGACTGTCCCTTGCAGGCCAAATAAAACAATAGACCAGTTTCTCATCCCTGATCGCTTCCTTTTTCCCACCCGCCTCCTTTTTTAAATTTATACATTTGCAATATCCTCATTTTATTTGTTTCCAACAAAATAGTAGCTATGTAGAAAGGGTTATGGCTCCTTTGGTCACAATTTTATCAGCAAAAGAGTTGAGAAAATGGAAGAATCCTTCTGCCAAGTGGGTCAACTTCGTTTGTTTTGTTGAAAAGCCCGGAACAAGAAACTGTTGTTTTTTACTCGGCCTTATTAATGCTTCCAGCATGGCTGATTGTTTTTCTTTTGATTTGAACAAGCAGATTTCTAATGAAGTCAGCCACAAGACAAAACGCAAGTCGAGTCATAAATAACAGGCGAAAATGACGGAGGAACACTTTTGCTGTGGTTTATTTAGACGACTTGATTTAAGATTGTGTGACTTTTGATTGAATTGATCTTTAATGGAAGCTCAGATTGCAACATATTTTTTCTTTATGAGAGTGGATATTGAGTCTTAAATTTGAACGCAGTTTTTGTTTGATTCAAGCAGACATGCCAGAATAATATCTGTGGTCCTTGAGCTGTTAATGCATGTTTTACAATGGACTCATAATTTTTGTTCTTTTCTTTTTTTTTAAATAAAATTCTGTTCACTCTTTTTTCTTTGATAAAATTCTGTTCACCAGACATTCATGAAATATGAGAAAATAGGACAAGGTCCTCAGCTTTCTGATCTTCAAATTCAAGAGTCAGGTAAAGCTTTGTCTTAGTATTTTGATTATTCTTGTGTACATATCAGATCTGGTGTAAAAATGGAGCAATAGGAATTTTTGCCTTTTTGGGGATTTTCTTTAAAATTTGACTGGCATTGGCTACTGCAGGACATAAGAAATTAGCATTTTGGGGATATGGTTACGAACAGTCCCAAAAGAGCATCTTTGGCAGCATGATCCCCAAGCACAGAGTACTGAATTGACTGAAGTCCAGTGACTGGACACATACTAATCTTTTCTGCAACGGTATTCAAATTAAAAATAAAAATCTCAACCTTGGAATTTAAACCAGGTGTGCCAGAACCAATGAACACTGTGGAGATAACAGAAATGACGGAAACCGCAGACAGTACTACAGAAAAGGCAAAGAAGGCTGAAACAGAGACAAGAGAAGAAACGCCTGCTGACACCAAGATGAAGGAAACACAGGCTGAACGTAAAACCAGTGAAAGCAACACAGATGTGACCAAGCCAAAGACAGGGTAGAGTAACATGAGTATAACCCTTACCCCTCCGGATCCTTCAAAATTCATGAGAAACTTTTGGAGGATTTTGCAGGATTCGGGAAGGTCGAACCCAGCCAGTTTTACTTTACAATGGGCATATATATTCCTCTTAAAAAGTTGAGTCACAAAGAATATGTCCTGGGGTTCCTGAAAAAGTCACAAATTTTGAAGGATTTTGAAAGATTCTTTGCAAAAATGCCTAGCATGATAGGGATAAGGGAAAGAAATAAAAGCAGTTAGCAGATTTGAGGTAAGGTCTCCAGTATATGCCACAAAAGTGTACAGGTGTGGAACTTCAACTTGGATGAAAATTAGTAATTCTGAATGGGCTTTAGATATGCCTCCCCTTCAGAAATTCATGTCTGAGCATGAATTTGAACAGGTCAAGTGGTCAGGTCAATCAAGTCCTTACAAGTGGTCAATCAAGTGGTCAAGTCCTTACAAGTCAATCACAAGTCATCCTGTCTCAAGTAAAGTGACTATTCTCTTGCCGTTTTTATCCCCTGTTATAGTCATGTTTGTTGTGATTGACTTGTGATTTACTTGCTGTGGATTTACGACTCTGAATTTTAATAGTCAATTGATAACAATGAAATCCGCTAGAATTACGATATCATTTTTTAAGTTGGAATAAGAAATTGACTGGAGTGGGGTTTGAACCTGTGACCTCGGGATTGCCATTCTGGTGCTCTACCAACTGAGCTATCCAGCCCTATGTTGGCAGTTCCCCATTTTGTCAATGTCTTTGGTCAAGGGGCGCTAGTCAGAAGCCATAAACCCGTATATGCCATGTAGCCTGGGATCACGCCCAAAGTCACGACGCTAGCAATGCTGCAATCCTGGGGAATTATGGAATGATGTTACACATTTCTTTGATAACAGGGACAGACATATCATCACCGAGTCGGACACCTACAACGGGGCACTGCGAGATAACTACGCCTGGTCCCAGACTCTGGGCGACGTAGACCTGAAGGTGTTTGTGCCGGAGACGTTACGGAAGGCCAAGGACCTCACTGTGGACATCAGAGAGGATCACGTCAAGGTGAAATACTTTGTCTTGATCATTTAAATTCTGTTTAAATGACAATTGTCAACTGTGTTTTATTTGAAGAGAGTAGTTTTTGGGGGTACAATTCAGCCCACAGTGCCTAAATAAGGTGTTTCACTTGGCCAGCCTTTGTCTGTAGGTTTGACTCAAAGTAGGGATGTAGTCAAGTCCTTCACAAGTCCAGTTCCAAGTAAATCACAAGTCCAGTTCCAAGTAAATCACAAGTCCAGTTCCAAGTAAATCACAAGTCCAGTTCCAAGTAAATCACAAGTCCAGTTCCAAGTAAATCACAAGTCCAGTTCCAAGTAAATCACAAGTCCAGTTCCAAGTAAATCACAAGTCCAGTTACAAGTAAATCACAAGTCCAGTCACAAGTCCAGTCACAAGTAAACAGTGGATGAAAAATAACAAAGAAGTGTCTTCGTCAAAGCTCATTTGAATAGCTTGTGAGTTGAATTGGGACTGGAGGACTTGTGATGGACTTGTGATGAACTCGACTACATCCCTGACTGAAACTGAAAGCAACTTATTAAATGGATCACAGCACTTTTCAAATATAAGGTACCTATCTCCGACCATAATTAGTGCCTATGTTCATTATTCCTGATAATTTCTCAAGCAAAAAGTGTTTCTTTTTTATATCAAAGTCAAGGTACTTAACCAGTTAGCTATGCTAGAATAATTGAGCTTTTGAAAAGTCAACCTTACCAAGCATCAGAGTCTGAAAAGCACTTTTGTATGTTACATTAATGCACTTTCAAGAGTTGTAAGGACAACTGCACCAGGGTCTTCAGAAAAAATTTAAAATTCTTTCCTTGATGTGACTGATGCGCTAAATTGTCTTAGCTTGTCACACGGCTCTCTGTTCCATTTCTTGTTACTGACGATGTCATTCATCAAGATACTTTCCCTGGTCTACTCTAGGTGGCAGTCAAAGGGCAACACACAGGTGCCTCAGAGCCCCAGGTCTTACTGGACGGCAAACTGACCATGAAGGTGCGCTGTGATCAGTCAATGTGGAGTCTGCATCCAGGCCACTATGTCCAGGTATGTGATGGTGTGTGTCACTGTGTCTGACGCACTGTACAATGCCATACAACATCAAATGGAAAGAAAAAGTAGGCTTACTACATAGATAAGAGAAATTGTGAAAGTTTTATAAAGAAAAAAAAGAAGAAAAAAAGTTTCATAAAGAAATTCTTTGATCCGAATTGGATAGAAAACATGACCTTTTACCAGATTTCCTCGGAACCATGCTGAATCTTACAAAATTCAGCTGGAGTAACATGAAGCCTGCTGGTTGCAACAAAATCAAACAGTTTCATCAGAAACAGTTTGGAAAAACAAAAACCAAAAAATTGCAAGAGGGTAGACTTCTAAATTTTGCCTGCAAAGTGACAGCCCGCAAAACCTGCAAGATTGTCCAACACAGAGAGAAGCAATTTTATTGTTGGTGCTTAGCTGCGTATTGAACTGTAACGTGAAAATAGAATCACAAATTCAATACAATACATAAAGACAAACACTTTGTAGCATTAAAATGTACATTGAAAATGTGACTGCTTACCTTTTTTTTTTTGCTCACTTTTGTTATGTTTGCAGCTCAGCCTAGAAAAACAGAAGGAGACATGGTGGCGTGCGATAGTGGAAGGCGAGCCGCCGATCGATAATAAGAGTATCGACAACGTGCAGAACGTGAGCGAGATGGACGAGGAGGCTCAGCAGGATTACCGGCGAGTCATGTTTGATATGGAGCAGAAGAGACTAGGCAAACCAACCAGTAAAGAAATGGTATGCCTGAGTGCGTGGGGATTATGTCGCTAATCACAGAAAATATTTCCTTGGTAAAACGGTTTTATATGTCATGCAAAAAGTGACTGGTTTTCTGTCGAATTTTACTTAGCAAACCTTGCTAAGCATTGTCTCTTTCTGCTAAACAATTCACGTCACGCGATCTAGTCCAATAAATGGCAAGCTTACAGTAACACAAGGGTTTGTTTATCCATAAGTCAGGTTGGCGTAGCAGTATTTTCCTCGACTTCCGCTGTGACATGGGTTTGAATCCCGCCTTGCCAACATGTGGATTTGGTTTACACTTCCTGCCTGATTTTGTGGGTTTCCCCAGAATATTCTTCAGGGCTTTTCCTCCCACCTCTGAAACTGTCATTTCTTCTCATGTCTTCTCTCTACAGGTTTCTCCAGACTTGCGAGCTACAGTGCCTAGGGTGCTTTTGAGCAGTCCTTGGTTTCATTACCAGAAAGAATTATAATAATAATAGTCCCGCAATGGTTTGCTCACATGAGATGTCAATTTGGTTGATTAGAAACCATTACTTGGAGGGGGGGGGGTCTTCTCTTGTGCCCAGGCTGTACACCAGGAATTATTGCTCCTTGCATTTAAGAATGTGTGACCTACTTATGAAGGTCCTCCAGCCAATGTTGTTTCCAAAGCTTCATACATTCTGTCACTGAACCATTTGAGACATTTGCCAAACCCAAATGTCATTCCGATTTTCTTCTTCTTTTTTTTTGGTCCCTCAGGAGACTCACGATATTCTGAGGAAGGCCTGGGATGCAGAAGGCTCACCGTTCAAAGGCACAGAATTCGACCCGTCCACAGTAAACATCAGCACGTGATATGCTCCCTGAATATTGGTCCTTGTGTATTCATGTACATACATTACTGCTTCTGAAATCTGTGGCATAACAGTGTAAATTCAGCTCCATTCTGTCAGATGAGGTAACATTGTCCAGTCGTACTCTTATTACTACATGTAGAACAAGCAGTTTTTACTAGTTTGCAAGATACTAAAAAAATCCATGAGTATGGGCTCCGTGCGTAAACAAGAGAGGGCGCTGTTTTACCACTTTTGTTAGCCTCGTGAGCAGGACACACCATGTGCCCATACTGGTTTGCGTGCTCATACTGGTTTGCGCACGTATAGCACGAAGTACGCACAACTTGTTTTATTATGAATATGCACTAAGTTATTGCGTCTTCGCGTGAGCGTCAGGCGTTATCTCCCGATGGCCTCCCCCACCTCTCCCTTTCTTACCGTTGAGGGGGTACTTTATGCACGGAGCCCACACAGACAGAACAGACACAAACAAGTACATCATACTGCCAAAGATAGTATTCTGTATACTTAAATAGTAATTTATTACATTGTCAGTTTACAACTAATATTTGTTTACTTCAAAAGTAAAAAAAAAAATTTGCTGTTAATTCTTGTGAAAATCGAATACAAAAAAAAATTAGCACTTGGATGCACCATCCAAACCCAAGCTTACACCCACAGAATTAACTAGGCATGACTGAAAGATTAGTCTTCTTGATTCTTACATTTGCAGTAATTTTGGGTGAACATCTTATGTACTGTGCTCTTTTAAATAATGTTACATATGCGTGGCCCCTGCTCTCAATAAAATAAGATTTTGTTTTCTGCTAACAAATTTACAATTTGTATGTTTTGTTTCAATGAAAATAAAAACTACGTTTTGTCCCTCCAATTTTGGGCATCTGCAACCCTCTGAAAAGGGGCTTTCATTTTGCACACAAATGACACCTCTCCCATGAGCCAACTTTTACTCGGGCCGCAAATAATTCAAATATTGTTTAAAAAAAAAATTTATTCAATAACTACATGTCTGTAGATTTTTTTGGGGTTTGATGTCTTATTCAGTAACTTTTATATATTGGTAGGAAAATACCACTTGAAAAACAAAAACAAATCTATTTTTCGGGGCAAAACTCAAAACAGCATGGAAAATACATCCTTAATACATGTATAAATAAACCGAATGCCTGTTGATATCACTTTGCTCATGAGGTAACAGGATAATAACCAACAAACTAAACTTGTGCCAAATGTATAAAAAGCATGATTTTTTTTTTTCAACCAAAATTTAACCAGTGGGTGATTCGTCTTGTCTTTACAAACGTTCTGTTTACGTAGTGTTGGATTTAGAAAGTATTGCAATGAATTCAAATAAAATTTGTGACTCCCAAAAAAAGATTACTTTGGGTTTTTTTGGTATCAACTAGCAGAGGTTGCCTGACCTTCTGTTTCCTTCCCGTCCGAGTTGGTCTCCTCACTGACCACTTTGCCAATCTTGAGGGCGATCTGCAGGGGCAGGATGGTCTCCTTCTCAGCCTTCTTGTCCCTCGTTTCCTGCATCTCCTGGATGTATGTGGTGAAGACGTGCTTGAGGGCCTCCAAGCACAGTGGCAGCTGGTCCAACTGGTAGAGGGACACCTACAAATTCAGAATCAAAATGTGGACATAAATTAGCTGAGGGAAAAGGGTCCAAATCGTAAAGCATCGCTGGTGTAAGGCAAATGCAGATCAAGTCCGACACTAACCACCTCCAACCTACATCAAGTTGTCCAGGCTGCAAATATTTTTTTTGCATCTGGTTAAGTCATTCACCGTAATACGCATGCATGAAACATATCAAGGGGACAACTGAATATGTCACCTGATTGGGAATACGTTCTTATACATGTAGCTTATATTCCACGGTGGTTTGCGTGGTTTCCCTTCAGCGTGCTGCGTTTAATCACTAGTCTGTACGCTATAGGTTCCAGGTTTGATTCCTGGAGGGAATTTTACAATTTCCTCCCCCCCCCCCCCCAAAAGTGAATTTTCTTAACTAAATTGTGTTTAATCAAGTCCTCATGATCAACAACACTAAACTCGGCTTTTTTTCTCATTCATGGATCTGGAGGAGTGTGTTCTTAAAGGGAAGTGAAGTCCGAGAACCATTCCGTTACCAACTGACGCATGCGCATTTTGGTCGTTGACTAAACTTGGTTGCAGAAAAAAATAATTGTGTCCAGGCCCAATTTTGTTCAATTCCAAGTAGGTCCAAGCTGGTCTGGGTTTGGATTGATTTGGGTTCCAGTTGGTCTTGGTCTGACAAACCAACTTGATTAAAATATCTGAATAGATTCTCAACCCAATTTCCGCTAATAAAGTTCGAGGGTTAGGAGGTTGTGTGCAATAGATTGATGTAATTTACTTTTCTCATCTTCAATTTTTTAGACACAAGTTGGAATTTTAATTTTTTTTTACTCAAAACACTACTTCCAAAAATTACATGGCGCAATCACGTGACTCATGCATGAACACAAATTTGTTGGGCTGCAGCATCTAAGATATTTCCGATCGACCTTGTTTTTAAGGAATAATTTTGAATATTTTTTTATGCCTCAGGTGTATTGAATGATCCTTGTTTCATATCCGTCTTTCATGAGAGCAAAAGAAGATGTTCTGCCGAGTGCTGGAGCAAAAATTAACTAGTTCACGACGCTCAATAATGATGAAAGATTCTATTGACCTTATTACTTTGCAATTTTTGTCCCAGTGTCCATTGGGCAATTAAGATTTTACACATCACAACAAAGTTGTGTACTGAACGTAAAACAGAACAGGAGAAGCATACAAAATCTCTGCACCTGTCAAAAGAAAATGAAGCGTATCATCTGTTTCCTGTACTCACCCTCATATTGTCGAAGGCCATGCCTACTCTGTGGCTGAGCTGCTCATCAAAGAAGGGAATCTTAGGGTAGCGTTGGCTAAAGTGTGTCAGCAGGGTGAACTTGGCCCCCATCTGCTGGCCGACATCGATGGCTTGAGATATCATGCTGTGGACAATCACAAAGGACCATAAGAACGATTTATGTGGCTGAGATAGAATTAACAAGCCTCTCAGCTAGACCACCTGGGTTGATGTTCATACAAGTCACTTGGGAATCCAACCTCGTTTCCATGGGTACAATCTTTCTGCGCCATGCTGTTTCCCATCATGCCTTGCGCGATCTTAAACCCTGGAATTGTCTAATTTAAATGTGTCAAATATTGGCACATTTAAATTAGGACTGCAGTCGATGTATCTAACGCACGACACCATGTTTAAAATTTTGAGAGTTGGTTTGTTTGAAGAACATAAGGTTTCAAACATAAGGTTTCGACGTCGCGTTATTTAGCAAGGATTTGTTTTAAATGTACGTACCTCTTTCGTCCCTTTACAACTGAAGATACAGGGTTTGGGGGCGAAAAATGAGGCTGCCCTAATCCATATCATACAGGCATCGCACAGTAAATGTTCGCACCTGGGGTGACATGCAAAGCACGCGAGTGCATTAAAGGGCGTGCAGTCTTCGAAATGCGCGCGCAATACGCTCTGAACAGCTGGTCAGCGTCGTTTACGTGTACATCGCGGCCAGGGGTTAGTGAAGGAACGCGCACGCGCCCATGGAGTCGAGGCTGTTGGGAATCATTCTTTTAAACCATCAGTATTTCAAGCAAAATACATTTAGTTGAGTATAGAACAGTTTGCTGGGAGTTGGTACCACGTGACCACAACATCCACTTTTGTCATAAAATTTGTGACATGGTTTGTAAGATTTCTACTCATCTTTGATGCTTACCTGTGACGTTTCTTCTGGGCCTCAGCCTCCAAACCGTCTTCTAATGTCGCCTCGTGAATTAAGACATCTGCATCTTTACCTGAAGAGTAAAAGAAAGGTTAATTCAAACTTCCTGTGACATTTGCCACAAGGTCTAAGAGCCTACCAGTGTGCTTGGACAGAGTTCAAACTTGAATGATTTCCTTATGGTCAAATGAAAAGGCCAGCCAATGTATGTGCTTCCGATTTCGACACGAGGGGTGAAATTGTGTAATGTCCATTGCAGACGTACTGTTCTCCTATTTCAAAAAGGGCTCTTTTCACCCATGTACTTCAGTGACTTTTTTGTTGTTGAGTGAGACATTCTTTTATTTCCAACTTACCAGCCTGGATGAGATTATCACTAGGCATGGAATCACCAGAGTAGACTAGTTTCCAGCCATCTTCATGTTGGATGACAAGACCGTGGCTGTTGAAGCAATGAGGCACTGGCACTGTGGTATACTGGAGAAAAAAGGAAATCATTATGGATACAGAAAAGTATGTTACAGTTTTGGCAGAATTTTAATCACTGACAATTATAATCACATACAAGGCATCAGGATTATCTGAAAAAGTTCCTGAACAAAAAACTAATTAAGCTTTTTTTTTTGCTGCTTTCTTTGTATTTTTCTGACAGACAAGAAAATTACTAAAAAAAATTCATCCAGGAGTAGGCCCTCAAAAGTAGTTTCACGCCCATAAATTGTGATATCTTAAACCCTCACTTCCGAATTTTGATAAAGGAATAATGTTGACTGGAACAAGCAAGAAACTGGTTGAAAAGTAGCAAAACTTTGAATGTTAACCATAGGGTTCCTACTTGCAAGCCTGGAAAGGGGTCATAAAGTTATTTATCAAGCAAGCTATATGATTGCATACCTCTGCTAAATTCAGTCTTGTCAGTAAGGACTGCTCATGTCTAGTCCTCTCTTCTGATCTCCAGGACAGGTCGCCCAATTCAATGAACCTTGGCAAATGATGTTAAAACAAACAGATAAAACTTAACACTTTGCCAAAGTATGGACTCCGTGCATGAAGTAGCCACACAATGGTTGAGAAGGAAGAGCTGGGGCAAAACCACTTTACTCCTGGGTGGGGAGAAGCAATGAGTGACAAAGTGCCTTGCCCAAGGGCACATGCACCATGACCCAGGGCTGGACTCGAACCCACAACCTGCAGAATTCCCTACAGACCAAAAATTCAATGACCCAGACCACTAAGCCATGCATAATTGTGAACCTTACATGCTACGACTTTTTACGTAAAGAAATCTTGCAATGTTGTAGTGATGTACAATGTATGTTGAGGACATTTCAGTTCGAAAATATCATTGTAATCGAATACTTACTTCATCTGGTGAATGAACGACTCGCAAGAGGCGTGGTAATTGTTGAGCCAGATCAGCATCCGCTTGGGCCCCACCAGGATCAGATTTTTGTTCATTTCTCCTCTCTCAACCTGGGAGTTAAATAGTAACATGAGAGAAAATGTATTGAGTACGTGACCAATGGTGTTCCAAAAAAAGTGGGATTTTTGGGGGGAGAGGGTTTACCAAATATTTCCCCGACATTTAAATTTTCCAGACAGCCGTGAATCGGAGACAAGGTGGGTTTGAGAAATGGCCTGATACTGATGGTTTAAACCACTCTGCATACTGTGCGGCATGCGCAAGTGGGTCGTGTGCAGAAGGGTGTTCAGCACGTTGATGAGGTACCTGGCTACCCCTCCCTTATTTGCCCCATGCTTCCCCCCCCCCAACACTTTTTTTTTTAACACACCACCCCCACCCCCACCGACCATCGCTACACCACTATACGTTACTGCTAACATTGGCTTAAGTCCAAGTATGATGCTCTGAAGATCACAGAATCAAATCCAGTTAAATTTGTTGTTTTGCTGAAAAAGAGAAACTAGTCAGAATCCTATTGGTCATTAGATATTTTTGAGTATCACACATTTCCTACATTTCAGGAGATTTACATGTGTAATGAAATGAAACAAAATGGAAAATACTATTTAAATTCTTTCCATTTTTCATCATTAGTATTAAGCAATTTCAAAAATTACCTTAACGTCAACACAAATTGTCCACATCTTATGCCCCTATCAATTGTTTCCCCCCCCCCCTCAAAAAAATTAAGTGACCAAATTTAAGCAGGCAAAATTTAAGTGACAATCTCCGATATACATACGTTGGGCGCACTAGTAATTGCCTTTCCATGTAGTACGCAAATGGTAACAATGCTTTTGAGTGACCAAAATCCCCACCCTGGGGCATGAAACATGTGAACAAATCCCGACATCGCACCTGGGGCAGAGAAGGGGGAACATTTGATAGGCACATTATCATGAGAACATTTTGAACTTACCATGACTCTTTTCCACTGCCGAAGGATTTGGATAAGACCCTGATAAAAACATACGAAAACAATTGGTCAAAAATCAGTGCAAATGCAAACCAATTATAAATGTAGAACCATTCGTAGATATGGATATATCAAAGGATATCAAAACTACAAGAAAACCTACCCCGTGATGGTCAGCGTGCAAGTGAGACACAAAGATGTTCTGGAGATTGGCCAAGATGTCATCTACGCGGTCTCCATAGAAACGACACAACTGGCAAAATGTCCCCTCTCCGCAGTCCATGATCATAGACTGGCTCTTACTGGAATCAGAGAATTTTCAATACATAACATTAAATGTACTGTAGAAAAAAAATGACTTTTAATGTTTAATAGAAAAGTTTATGTTGAATCTCAAAACAGGCAGCAAGTCCAATTTTAATGGTCAAGCAAGTTCATTCAGTTACCTTTATTTACCAGAAAAAAAACAGGATTTACAGGATTTACAGAATTTACCAAATCTTTCACAAAATATTTTGTAGGGATAAAAAAACACACACAATCAACAAAGACTTTTCTTTTACAATGTCACCGTAAACTTTTGGCCAAGCTATGGGCAGTCATCATTGCAAAAGCAGAAGAATTCACAAAGATTTTGAAAAATCTTTTACAAAATATTTTGTAGGGAAAAAAAACCCACACACAATCAACAAGAGACTAAAGACTAAATGGAATACCAAAAATGGTGAATACTTTTCATTTAATTGATTTTAATTAGAGATTAATTTAAGATAAACTAAGAAGTGAAAGAATAAAAATTACCTCAAGTTGAGCAGGATACCGGTGACATTCCGCTCCTTGTTAGGCATAGCGGAACCGGTCCCCAAGAACACTACCTCAGGGTACCGTGGACTATCCTCTGTCGAGCATCTCTGCTGGTGCTCCGTTAGCTGGTTACCCAACTCATCCAGTCTCTCCTTAAAGCCTGTTAAGGCCATGGCTTCCTCGATGAACGGCTGGTTGCTTGGCGACTGGACAAACTCTCTGATTGGAGGCGAAAAAAACAACAGGAAATGAGCCACAATTTTTAATTTGGTACAGAAAGGGATGAGTGGTGTACATATTGGATAACAAAAACACACACAGTCAGGTTGGCATAGCGGTACTTTCCTCGCCTTCCACCGCTGTGATCTGGGTTCAAATCCCGCCTGGGCCAACATGTGGATTGGGTTTTCAGTCCCTGCCTGATTCCGTGGGTTTTCCCCAGAGTATTCTTCTGGGCTTTTCCTCCCACCTCTAAAACTGTAACTTCTTCTCATTGTCTTCTCTCCACAGGTTTCTTCAGGCTTGCGAGCTACAGTGCCTAGGGCGCTTTTGAGGAATCCTTGGTTTCATTACCAGAAATGATTAATAATAATAATAATAATAATAAAATAAATTGGAAGTTGGGTTTGAACCTGTGGCTTCCAGAATACCATACCCGTGCTCTACCAATGGAGCAATCCAGCCATATGTTGGCGATTCCCAATTTAGTCAATGTCTTTGTTCAAGGGGCGCTAGTCAGAAACAATAAAACTGTATATGCCATGTAGTCAGGGATCATGCCCTAAGTCACGATGCCAGCAACATTACAAGCAAATTTCTCCTGGAATTTTTAAGCTATACATCCATCTTACAGTTTTGTCATATATCTGACAAAAGACTCACCTATCCCAGCCTGTGTGCGGACGCAGGTGGTATCGCAAATAGCTCTCTGCCTTGTGGATTCTCACGTTCCCTGGCTGTAAACAAAAACAATCAAACAATAAAATGTAGAAAACTTCCGTTTGATATTATTTCATCTGCAGTGCTGAATGATGAAAAAAAAATGTTCATAATAATGATACAAATTTGTCTGCCAGACTATAAGTAGACCCCCAGCAAGTTTTCTTTTAACTTTTTGAAATCAGAAAATCAGGATTCAAAATTACAGCTTTTGGATACTTTGACAAAGTGGACTTCATTACACCATACATCACAACAGTGAAACACTCAATTATGGCAATGATTCAGTGACCCATGAGTCCAGTCACAGCTCGAATAAGGAATAGGTCTTGTTAAAGGTATAGTCCATCATTTGTAATTTGTGCATTTTGTTCGTTTGAAGCAACAAAAGTGCTGAACATCTAAAGAAGAGTGCTGAACAACTAACCTGATGAAGTTTCAGATCAGCTTCAGAAAAACAACATTCTAGGATCTCGATTTCAAATCAAAACTTGCTGAATCATGTTTCGAATTGGGCCTGAATTCAGCGTCTGAGACACGTTCTCGCTAGCCTATGCGATGTCGCGCACCGATCCGACGAATTATAGCAGCCACGCGTGCGTGTGCATCGTGTCAAGGCTTGCGGGCGCTTCGCCGAATAAAAAAAAAAGAGCTAATAACGGACATTTCCAATGGTGCTTCTTAAGACGCACCGTTGGAAAAGGCCTTTTTTCGTTGATTTCTTCAAAATGACAGCTTGCCAGAAAGAGTAATTACACAGGCAGTTTAGTTCCCTTACTATCTTTCAACCAAGTATGTTTTTCAACAATAAGTACGCCAGTTACTTTTTGGATAGCTGCAAATGATGGACTCTAGCTTTAAGTGTCTAAGAATAACCCTGCACTTGGCTCTACAGCTACGTAGGAAATATCCAATAAGTAAAAATAAAGAACAGTTTGTCATGAGCCAATATGTCACATCAGGCTGGCGTTAAGCTCTGGTTTCAGTGGCATGAAACAACCGAGAATTGTTCTATTCCACCTGGACGGGATGTCAGTCCATCGTAGGTTACTCCCCAGCTAATGCCGGTACCCATTTATACTCCTGGGTGGAGAGAGGCAAGTGGGGTGCCCAAGGACACAACATATGATCAGTAGCTGGACTTGAACCCCTGACCCTCTGATCATGAGTCATTAGCCCTAGCCACTAGGCTACAATCTCCCGCATCCAATAAGTGCTCTCAACAAATTCCACACAAAGTATTTTCATCCTTCAAGGCTGTTAATGTTACGCAACACGATAATCACAGAAACACAGACAGCAACATACACTATCTTCTGTGCTTGCTATTTCCTGTTGAACTGCATCGGTCTCTTGGACAGGCAGAAGGGGAAAGACGTCCTTATGGATGAGGTTCAGCTTGGCTTGGATGCGTCTGCTGGCCGCGTGGGTCACTGAGTGGCAAGTGGGATTAAAGATGAGGTGTTCTGTGGTCGGGCCAAATCTAGAAAGTGTTGGACAAAAATAACGGAACTTACAATATATTGGCCCTTTGGTGTATCCAGTTTTGAATCTTGTCAGCCAGGAAGGATTTTGGACTAATCACAAGGAAAAGTGAGTATTTGACGAAATCCAATTCATAATGAACAGAGAATATTTTTCAAAAAGTCAGCTTAGGATGTGTAATTTGAGAATACTATGAAACTGGAGCTCAGGTCCCAACAAATCCTCATACATGTACTTCAGTTCAGTGGTAGATCTAGCTTTCAGGAAACAAGAGGTTGATATGGGGGAGGATTATGGCACGCTTGCTATGGGGTCCCCCGGGCAATCTGTAAATGTACGATGCTTTCTCCTGCATTCTAAGGCAATTTGAGAATACATATAGGAACTTAAGCATTCCGTATTTAATTTTTAGCTCCATTTTACTAGTATCATAACATCAGTCAGCGGCTGAACAGCACCCCCCCCCCCACCAACCCCTCTAGATCTGCTACTGCAGTTACAAACATGAACGGTAACAAAGGCAATCCTTTGTTATTGTTCATCTCCAGTTACTTCTAGCCTGACTAAAGGCCGGTTCATACGAAAATGAATGCGAACGGGAATTTGTGACGTCAGGGCAAGTTTTCGCGCTGCAAATGGGCAAAAATTGAACACATTTCAATTCTGACAAATTTCGCAGTGAATGCTTCACAACGTCAAATTGGCATCGCAATCTCATGAAGTATGAACCGGGCTTCAGTTAAGCTTGTTGTTGACTTGTGATGGATTTGACTTGCAATTTTGACAACCCTGGTATGTCTGTAGTCCCCTTTACTTTAGGTAATGTATTTGTTAAGGGAGCAAAACAAGACCAATATTTTTTCTGCCTCTAACATTACTGCTAACACTACTCTTAAAGAGGAACCATTTTTCAGTATTCATACCTCTGCATCCAGCCGTGATACCTGGCATCATTGATGACGTTTTCTGGGCACATGTGTAACACCAACGTGGCTGTATTGTCACCGCAGTCTGCTTGATATCTGAAAAGGACACATTACAGATACCACTGGATATCAATCTCTACCGTACTATAATTATTTGGATGGAATCTGTTCAAGAGAGATTTTAACTTTTTTAAAGTTACTGAATCATGTTTTGAATTGCAGCTATACGCAATGTCGCGCACTGATCCGATGAATTATAGCAACCGCGCATGCGTGTGCGTCGTGCCAATGTTTGCGCGCGCTTCGCCGAATAACAAAACAAGCTACTAATTTCAATTTCCTACGGTGCATCTTAAGACGTACCGTTGGAAAGGCCTTCTTTTGTTGATTTCTTCAAAATGATAGCTTGCCAGAAAGAATAATTTCACAGGGAGTTTAGTCCACTTACTATCTTTCACCCAAGTATGTTTTTCAACAATAATTACGCCAGTTACTTTTCGGATGGCTGCAAATGATGGACTATAGCTTTAATCATGGCTGATTTTCTACCTTGACATGGTTTCATTGTTGACAACAGACTCCACGAACTCCTCAGATGGGCACTCCAAAACTGTGAGGGAAAAAAAGAAAGTTGTTAAAAAGGGTTCAAAAATGCACAAGGATTTGCCTCTTCTAAATGATACATTATTTTGCACTGCATCCTGAAGCGTTGCCTGTGACAAACAATTGACCTATCGTGGTAAAATTGCGTGAGAATCGCGTCAACGCAGCTTTTGAAATATTGTCCAATTACATGGTATACAAATGGATGCGGAACGCGCAACATCTAAAACAAACAAAACTGTCTAAGGGGCGTGGCCAACTCGCAAATGGACTGAAGAACCCAGGCAAAGATAAAATGCACACTTTGTGCTAAAACCAGTGCCGAGATTTTAAACGGTGTGGGATACTTTTTTAAAATAGGGTCATGCAACTCAAAAACATACAATGTACACATTTGCAAAACTGAATCAAGAAATGTGCAAGGAGATCCATACTTATAAAGACGGCTCCAGGTGTGGTTGGCTGTAGTACATCCTCAGGTTTAATCTGAAAAGTTGGGAAAAAAAAGACATTCAAGTCACTTCATTGGTTTACATGTATATTGTTGTTGCAATGCACCACATGTCACCATCTTTCCTACCGTACTTATCCACTGTCACCTAAATATACAACAAGTGCGAGTAATAATAATAATAATAATAAAAATGATTGTGCTTATGGCGCTTTCCATCGTATCAACGATCTGAAAGTGCTTTACAATTATTACCCCTTTCATGGGACCACGCGGCAGCCGATATCAGCGCTAATTCGGTCCTCGACCCTCACAGGTACCCATTCATACTCCTGGGTGGAGAGAGGCAATTGTAGTGTCTTGCCCAAGGGCACAAACACCATGTTCATGGCAGGGTTCGAACCCACGCACCTTCGTACACGAGTCAAACACCGTAACCACTGGACCATGGCATTCTACAGTGTACTATAGGCTCTGGCTGCCTTGCATGAAAGTCTTGCATGAAATGATTGTGCGTACAAGCCCGCGCCGCCCCCCCCCCCCCCCATGCGAAAATCACGCACTGAAAATTGACCAAAATAAGCCCCTGAAGTTTCCCATGAAAATAGCGCGCTATATACCACGTGACTTTAACATTACTGCACATTATCTTGCCTCCATTTATAAATGTTTCATAAACAACTTTACGAATTGTTACAAAATGTTTCATTTCTTTTGTTTGCTTTTTTCGGTATATTAAAATTTGGTAGTTAAATTTAATGGGACACTTAAGGGGCTCACTTTTGGTCAATTTTCCGGGAACAGACATATGCAAAATAGACCCGCATGTGCATTGATCAAGACAAAGCCCGTCTTCTGATAACTTTCAGCAAGAGTGCATTTACTGACAACAGCATGGCATTTGGTCAATTTTTGGCCAAATACTTTTGGTAAACTTTTCGGGGACAGACAGACAGACAGACCGACAGACAGACAGACAAATCAACAGACAGACAAATCAACCGACCGACCACCAAGTGATATGTAGAAGCTCCTGCCAGAGCTTAAGAAGTGTAACAGGAATTTTTTGAAAAGGTAGTTAAGAGACTGTAGAGTTATCCACTCTGATCACATTGACCACTTACTTCTTTGCCGTCAGGTGTTGTCACAGCTTTTCCGGCTTTGAGAAGGCCGTATTCGGGACCCCTGTCAATATATTCAAAAAAGATTTAAAACACATTGTGCAAGAAGTTGCTCAACAGACGGAACATCATTCATTCAGGCAATTCATCATGTCAAAAACGCTGCTTTTAAAGATATAGTCCATCATTTGTAATTTGTGCATTTTGTTCGTTTGAAGCAACAAAAGTGTTCAAAATCTAATGAAGGATACTGAAAAACTAACCTGATGAAGCTTCAGCTCAGCTTCAGCTGTATATTCCGAGAAAAACAGCATTCTAGGATCTCAATTTCAAACCAAAAGTTGCTGAATCATGTTTTGAATTGTTTTGAATTGCAGCTATACGCGATGTCGCGCACTGATCCGACGAATTATAGCAACCGCGCGCGCGTGTGCGTCGTGCCAATGCTTGCGCGCGCTGCACCGAATAACAAAACGAACTACTAATTTAAATTTTCCTACGGTGCGTCTTAAGACGCACCGTTGGAAAGGCCTTCTTTCGTTGATTACTTCAAAATGACAGCTTGCCAGAAAGATTAATTTCACAGGGAGTTTAGTCCACTTACTATCTTTCAACCAAGTATGTTTTTCAACAATAATACGCCAGTTACTTTTTTGGATGGCTGCAAATGATGGACTATAACTTTAAAACAGTAAAATAACTGTTTTGTAAAATGAATTTTGTGTGGGTTTATTACAGTGATGTTTTTTATTTGCAGGTTCAGGAAGGATCCAAGCAAATACAACAAGGGAATGGGTTTAATATTTAGTGCTCTAATGTGGGATACGTACATCAAGTACCTTGATGACTACAGTATTTTTGGACAACCAGGAAAGTCAGTTTTATGGGTTTCAGCAGAGGTATTGTTCAACTAACCCATCAACTAATTGTTGTTAGAATCATTATTAAGAAGGCATCAGCAAGGATGTGTACTTACGGTTTTAATCCCATGTCTTTTGCCTTCTGTACATCCAAACGGCCATGCATGTCATGAAGCTGTCAAAAGAAAAAAAAAGAAGTTCATTCATTCTAATTTGACCATTATCACAATATGTTTAATGGTTTTGTTTGAAAAATTTCAAAATCTCTTGACTTACCTTGCAGATGTATGCAATGGTCATGTTTGGAGTGTCTTCGATTTTCCTTCGTTTAGGACCTTCCCAGAAAGATCAAAATGAATAAAAGAGTTTTTTTTTCGTGTAATATTTTTTTACAATATTTTCCAAAATGTAACAGATATGTACATGTATGTCTGCAGTGTAAGATGTACACCAACAAGCTTCAGCTTGCAGTACAAACCTACAAATACTGTGCATAATTTTTCCTCTTTATTAATCTTTAACTTTAAGAATGCTCACAGAAATTATCTTACCTACGGTAGCACTCTAAATTTATACTTTTCAGATAACTACTTTTTATACATGTTATAAGAATGAATCACTGAAAGACATCCTTAACCAGTTCACGTCGGATAACGTGTATACACGCAAAGGTTTTGAGGTATTCGGAACAGATGACGGATAAACACGCAGGGAGTGGGGCCGGAAATATCTGTCAGTGACCCGCTCCCAGCGAGTGAGGCCGGAAATATCCGGGTGTGCTACCCGCAGATCATGGCCCGAACCCGTCTGACATCGAGGTTCACGAAAAACAATCCCGCGCCTGGGTTCGGTCAATGCCTAAATAATCCCGGCACGAACTGGTTAAGTCCCCTTTCAAGAAATGGATTTTTTCTTTTTGTGTATTTGTTGCAATTTATGTCAAAATACGATTTAAGGGGCTAACTAAGCAACAGACACATTACAAAGTGGACATGCACTTGTGGAAAGATGGCTTTAATCAGTGAGGATACAAACATACTTGGGCTATCGCGCTGCTTCACTGCCATTTGCGAAATCACTTCAAAGGGATCCTTAGCTTTCCTCTTCTTTCCATCCGAGTCACTGGACTCAGCCTCAAGATCGTCCTCTGTCTGATCTTCGCCTGCATCCGTTGTTTCCTCCTTTGCAGTAGGGCCGTCAACTGGGGGGCTCGGTGGGTAGGTGGTGGATGAGGGGCTTCTGGAGCTGGTTTGCCCACGGTCAGAACCATCTGTTGGGAGATAATAAATTAACTACGAAGTCAAAAGAAATTGGAGTCACGCTTCTGATTCTGAGTGTGAAATTGAATATATTCCATTTGTTGCAGAGTCAATAAATCCTCCCCCAGAAAAACACAAGTTCTTAAGTTTTTTAAACAGAAATATTTGAATCCCCCGAAGTGCAACCAAATGGGCGTTTATGTGCAGTGGGTTAAAAAGCAGCGGCCGGCAAAGGCAAAATGTTGCCACTCGAATGAAGACTCTTATGTGTTGGGACCCTTTACATGGGAAACTGCATATTTCCTGAAGCACTTTCAAAGGTTGGCTTCACACCAGAATTTTAAATGACGGATAAGCATATATTGTCTTTTGTGCACTTACCAAATAGGGGTACCGGTGTGACATTCATGACTTCAGTAAGAAAGGGACCAAGCGTGTATGGTTTGACATCTGCTGGGGCAAAGCATACAGTTGACAGTTCAAGTTGTAAATGTCACATTATGAATGATAAGGAGTCTCTATTTAATTTTCATTTCATTAGTGAAAACTTGAATTCTGTAAAACACACGCAAGAACACACAGTCGTGTTTTACTATATGCCTGAGGACAACCTATTGTGTTTCCCTTTGTCCCTGTACTTTAACACTTTCCCATAGACTAAGCACGTAAACATACGATCGAGGACAGTTTCGAACAAAAGCACCGTCATTCGAGGACTGAAAGGATCTTTTGTCTTCCCTTTGTGTGTCTGTCCTCGAGCGTAATACAAGAAAGAAACACCCATACTTGTTCCGTTACTGTGGGGACTACACACATGTTGTCCTGTGGTACTATGGGGACGGAAGATGCTGTGTGGACAACAGAAAGCCCCCATAACTCAGTCCTAATAATAAAAAACTTTCCCATAATGCGGTGACGGCCCGCCCTTATAAACACCCCTTACCCGACCCTTGCTTAATGCAAGAAAATCCAACCATGGGCAAATTCTTTTTAATTTTGTTGATCGCAGCAGTGAACAAAAGCCCTTCTGTTCTGCCTTTTTAACCTGCTAGATTTAGCAATGCCGCATGTTTTGCTGTGTATGGACTCTGCCACATTCGGCAACGCACCAAGGTTAAACCCAATGGAGTTAGGATAAAAATAAAGCTATTATCTGGTCATAACAGTTATTTGAAAATTGAAAAGTGAAAATCCACAGTTTAGAGAGGGTACCCACCGAGGTCAATGGCTTCATGCTTGGCAAATATCTGCAGGGCTTTGCTGAATTCAGTCTGAAATAGAAAAACACGCCAAAAACAGATATGGTGGATTTTGTAAATTAATGAGGATTTAATAAAATTGCTGGAACTTGCTTGTTTGAAGAGGTTGGGAAGGTGGTGTGGGTGTGGGGAATGGGTGGAGAAATGGGTAGGGAATGGGTGGGGAATGGGTGGAGTATGGGTGGGGAATGGGTGGGGAATGGGTGGGGAATGGGTGGGGTGTGGTGGGAAATGGGTGGGGAATGGGTAGGGAATGGGTGGGGAATGGGTGGGGAATGGGTGGGGTTTGGGATGGGAATGGATGGGGAATGGGTGGGGAATGAGTGGAGTATGGATGGGGAATGGGTGGGGAATGGGTTGGGAATGGGTGGGGAATGGGTGGGAAATGGGTGGGGAATGGGTAGGGAATGGGTGGGGAATGGGTGGGGTTTGGGATGGGAATGGATGGGGAATGGGTGGGGAATGGGTGGGGAATGGGTGGAGTATGGGTGGGGAATGGGTGGGGAATGGGTGGGGAATGGGTGGGGAATGGGTGGGGAATGGGTGGGGAATGGGTGGGGAATGGGTGGGGAATGGGTGGGGAATGGGTGGGGTTTTCACTCACCAGTTCTTGAGGGCCGTACAGAGACAGCTTGGGCAAACCCACGTTCTTCAGGGTTATCATCATTCCTGCCAGAGACAAGCTCAATAATTAATGAAATGACTGACAGAGAGTAAATATGAGATAAAGTTCCACCCAGGTAATGTAAACTTGTGCTTATATCGTACAACATACATAATTCTGTAGCATAATTAACCCTAACAAAATCAGTGTGTTTTGCCAAATGCTTGCTGAAATGTCTTAACCAACTTGGACAGTAAACCAAAGACAGAAATCTATTTACTTGGAACAAAATTGGGTCATAGTTTTAAATAACAACGGCTCAGCCGTACTGCCCAAAATCCGTCAATATACTGCAAATCACGTTGTTGGATTTTGGTAGACCGAAACCCTTTAGACTTAAAGAACTGCATTTCTAATTATTGAAATTTCTCACCAATTGATCCTCCCAGGTTCTCCCAGGCCATACGGGTGTAGAAAATGTGCTCAAGCTTGGCCAAGCTTCTCAATCTACCAGATGAACAAAACAAAACAAAACAAAACTTTCAGAAAACAATCTTGTTCTCTTAAGTTCTATCTGTGTTTCTCTGCCATAAACACAGACACAACTTTTCTGCTTATTTATTTTTAGAAAGGGCTCTAACTTTGATGACTCTTTTGAAACAAAAACTAATTACATCCTCATTTTAAAAGCAAAAGGGTCAGGATTGATTACATGAAGGCCTATTTTACAAAGAAAACTACCTATTTTCATTGCAAACAATTATTTAGGTATAACGAAACGGTTCAAGATTCTGCAAAGACACTCCTTCAATTTACCTGTTTTCAAACATGAGACGCTGTGTTCCTTCACCACAGTTGAAAAGATACCTGGAAAGTAAATATTTATTATCTGTTATTTTTTATTTTTTTATTTTTACCATACAATATGTACAATAAGTAAGACCAATTTTTTTTAATAAGGACTGGACATTGGTCACTGTATAAGGTTTGAATCAATTAATTGTATTTTAACAATCAGTATAATTTCATGAAAAAAATTAAGTTAAGACCAATTTTTCTCAAAATTTTCTCTGGAAATTACACGAAAACTAGATATCGATTCTCTACAGGCGGCCGTGTTGACCAGGATACAGAGGAAGTTTGGGCATCCAGACAACTGAACCATTTGCAAACTTGACTCAAACCAACGTGACCGTTTGCCAACTGATCCATTGTACAATTAAACTTAAAACATGAAGACAACTCAACCGTCTAACCAGTGTTGTAGGTCTCGAGACCGGTCTCGGTCTCGAGACCGGTCTCGAGACCACTTTTTGCTGGTCTCGGTCTCGGTCTCGGTCTCGGAAGCTGTGGTCTCGGTCTTGGTCTCGGTCTCGGTCCCCTTTGGTCTCGATATTTTGGCTGGTCTCGGGTCGAGACCGGCAATATACAGCTCGATCGATTACTTTGTGCTCACTTCGTTCAGTATCGTTGTTAATTAAAACAATTGCTAGCCCGTAGATCAAGCTTGTTATATATCGTGGTCGGTTTGCCGGACTCGACTGCACGTTGGAAAGTCCCCAAAGTACATGTAAAGCTGCAGCAGTACCAGTCACTGAACGATTTGGAGCAAGTTCGGCATTTATCTGTTGAGTCGGGCACATAAAGCAAAGTATGAACTTGTAACAATTTATGCAATAAGGGTCAACCATTTTCGGGGATTGTGTAGTTTAGCTCACCCCTGTGGGCGTAATCACTTGCATTTTGTATTCTAATAATAAATGAGGTGCTTCAAATTAGTTATATTTTCAACCCCACACAATGTTCTCTTTAATTTGGGACAGTATTTTGAAGAAAAAGTAAATTTTTCAACCTGATTTTCCAGCAGTGAACTCACACACTCTTACCAGTTACCACTCACTGTTGCCATGAGAGTGTATGATGAGATCCCATTTTCTGGCTGCTCATTTTGAAGTACCCCATTATTCCTCAAAAATTAAAATCCCGTTCAGAAAAAAAATTAAAAATCCATATCTGGCACATTCTGGCTACCACCTCGCAACTTGTGGGTCTACATGTACAAGTCCACATTCTATGACAGAAATTCAAAAATTTATTCAACATTTTCTAGCTCCCATTTTTTAAAATCAAGTACACAAGTCTTGTTAGAAGTTAAGTCCTATATTTATTTTAGGAAAAAAGAGGCACAATGTAAAATTAAAATTGCATCTTTAAATATCCGTTAGAAGTCATAGCTGAAACCAAGGGGTGACTGTGGAGTTTAGGATCCGACTTCCTATAACAGATGAAACATCTACCTTTAACTTTTTACTTTTGTCACGACTGGGTGCAGACAACATGTCAAAGCCCATATTTCTTAAGTGTAACTACTTTTTACTCAAGTAAGGTGTCATGTATCAATTTGTCAACACTGCCACTGGTCAACATTTTGGTCTGTATTCTTTGTGAAAAGAAGGGTTACATTTTTCAACTATAATAACGTGTCTTGTTTTTTTATTTCGACTATTGTTATTTATTATCAGCGGTCTCGGTCTCGGTCTCGGTCTCGGACCATATTGGTCTCGGTCTCGGTCCGCCTTGAAGGGGCTGGTCTCGGTCTCGGTCTCGGTCTCGAATCTTCAGGTCTCGGTCTTGGTCTCGGTCTCGGACTCTCCGGTCTCGACTACAACACTGCGTCTAACAAACGTCCAGGTTGCCTGATTCCCTTTGACTCCTCTAAAGTCTTATACGAGTTGCGTTAGTGTGCATGCTAGATGTTTCAGTAGTGCTTGGCGCGGCTTTTTCAAGGGCATCCTATTAAGAGCATAAGTTTGTTACGTATGCGAGTTATTTGACCATGGTGGTGTTCGCGCTGCGCTATCGGTAAATCATGACACTATCTGTCAATTGTGCAGCCACCAGTCGAATACCTTTTCTTTCCAATTCCCGGCTCTGTTTTTTTTTTTTTTAAAGGTAAGTAAAGTCCGAGATATCCTATGGAATCGACCAATAGCAGAGCGGGATCGACCGATCATGCCAAACATATATTATAGTACTCGTAGGGCACATCCACTTTGGTCAGCCGCTCAATTTCAGCCATTATCACTGCACCAACGTGCTGGACAAATCACATCCCTAAAATTATGTGGGCCAGTGGCTTGGCATCCTCCACAGATGCACGCCCATGCTGGAAAGTTCAGAAGACGGCCCATACTAGTTTACTACGTCGCTCCCTGTTTACCATTGTCACAAGGGACAAATTTTACAATGGACGAGTTACACAACAGATGAGTTGCACAACAGACGAGTTGTCTTTGCAGTTGAATGTACAGTGGTCAAGTTGGCACATCGGACGAGTTGGCAAACGGTCGAGCTGTCCGATATCCGCAGGTATCTGCACCAAATTTATGGGGCTAGAGCATGAAGAATGTAACATGGCGTGTTAACAAATATATAGTAAAGATAACGTTAGTCATGTTAGTAAAAACAGGTAAAACAATAATAAATGAACAGTAATTCAAAACAGAAATTCAAAAATGATTGACATGTTTTGCACAATACAATACCTGCCAGAGTCAGCAATGACCAAGACAGAAGGCGGACAGGCCCTGGTTCCCGAGCCTGTCACTTGAATGGAGACTTTACCCTGCCTGTCCAGTTTTCTCTCCTGAACTTCGGCGCCTTCAAACCGTCTGTGCCGTTTCTGGTGTTTCGCTCGGAACGACTGTCTCTGAGCCTCTGCCATTTTCTTTGTAGGTGTCAATATCGGTTGATGGCGGTTTTCAGGGAATTGGAAATGGTGTCGTGTTTGAACGTACGAACTCACTGGAAATGTTCTGCACGTGAAAAGAGGTGCAGACGACACAAGCAAACGTGTTCGTAACGAGGCAAGTTGGCGAACTTCGGTTTCTGGTTTTCCCCGGGCCAAGCTCAGTCTTCCGAGCACACCAGCAAAACAACTCACATTTCTGTGACAGCAGGCTACCCTTGTGAAGCTTTCTTGTGACACAAGGCTGACGAAATGATGTAATTTAGGTGAAAACATCTGGTCAGTCTTTAACTTTTCACCGAGGTTGATTGCATGGCTCTTGCGTGTTGTGAACATTTATTGGAATAGCGCCCTCCATCCAGGGGGCAAAAACGTTTGAGGTGTTTTTAAACCTCGGTTTCGTTTCAGCTCCGGCTCCAATATCATTTGGAAAAACTAAATATTCAATTTAAGCAGAAATACTCCAAAACATCAGTCTATCAACAACAAAAAAGATAATAAAACTTCAATAAAAAAAATGACCTCTGTAGACCTAAATGTCAAAGTATTAAAGTCGTCTTAAAAAAAAAAATGGAACGAAACCGAGGTTTAAAAAATCCTACACAGGACGTTTAGGTTGAATTCTGTTGGTTTAGCTTGCCTCCATAATTTTGCTTTACTAGATTTTTTAAGCTTCATTCGTTTCTTTTTTCCTTCAAATTTCACCGATTGAAAAAAAAAATGGTTGAATTTATATTTTACTTTTTTGGAACTTTTTTTTTTATCATGTTTCCTTCCACCTTTAAATTGTTATATTTGGACGCATTTTCCATTCAAATTTCTCAGAATTTTTGCAAATTTTTAACTACCTTGAAGTCTGTCAAATTTTGTTGAATTATTTTTTGAAGTTTTTTATTTTGTTGATATATCTTATTTTCAACAACTGAATTTAAATAAAGCAAACAACTCCATCTTAAATTTATCTTCCCACTCCTGGTCCACTGTTTTAATCATGCCAGTAAATCATATTTACAAATTACTCTTACTTAAAGAAAAACAAAACTAGAAGAAAATAAACACCTGAAGTATCTACTGGACACTCTTCTGATCTCTAAATCAAGTCAATTTACCCCAAAATGATCCTTCAACAACTTTCAGACATTTTTTTTAGAGTTTACAAAAGGTGCTCAGTTATTTCATTAGAAGAGTGCATTAGATGCAATCGAGTACAAAATATGTAGTCAGTCTGTTCACTAATTAATAATAACACATCCTAATAATGGTACAATTTATTCAAAATTATTTACAAAATTTGTGACATGAAGTTTTAAGTGTGGGTTGAAATTTTGTAAAGTCCTGTGTACTGAATTTGTACAAGTCCGAAAGAATGCTGTATTGTCAGAAATCAAATTGATACTGATAAATGTCTGATTTAAAGGAATTGAGTTTCTTTACAAAATGTTTGTCCAAAAGTTTTTTTCTGCACCTGTTAAATACTCTACTGATTAATTTAATAGCTGACACATTTTATGTAGTATACTCCATTTTGTTTACAAATGAAGGCAAACCAACAACTTTTCAGAAAGTAAATATCTGTTATGTTATGTTATGTTATGTAAAAAATATTTTCAAACACCCAGTATTGACAATTTCTTTTTCTGTTCTTCCAAAAGTTTAAATACATGTGAGCAATTTTGCTTTTTTTTCTTCCCCAAAATATGTCAGCATTCACATGCATGTATTATTATGTCCAGGTAGTTACACATATTTAACATATTTCGGTATAGTTCAATTTACACACAGAAAACCAAATTGAATTTACATAACATTAAAATAAATTACACGGAGTGTTTTCGATAGCACATATGAATAACAGCATTTTTTTCACTTTCATATTTTCACATCTTTGAAGCTTCGTAAGCTTGAATCAACTAAAGACCAGGTTTGATACGATTTACTTAATGATCAAAAAACAAAAGAAAAACAAAAAACTGCAGGTAATACACACACAAGAATGTTTCAAACAAGAAAATAAATAAATGAATAAATAAAAGTAACCCAAAAAAAATGATACAAAAAACATTGTCGCCCCTCCTGCAATAACAACTTATGCAAATAATATGCAAATTTCCCAATTGAATGAAAACCCTCAACTATGTGATTCATATAATACACACCTAACTGCACTAACTCGAAAGTTATAAATTGGGAGTAAATATATTTATATACATACCAATGTACATTTTCTAGAGAAATAGAGAACCCCGTTCGAGCTACAAAGTGAAAAAAAATTATGACGATTTGTTCAATATGGTACATGCAATCTTTCCATGTGCACTGCACTAAGTGCTCAGGTGAACACACAGTATGGGTTAAATTCTGGGGTTTTACAAGAATTTGATTCAAAAAATTGTAAAACAGCAATAATTTAAAGTATCGTGTATGCGCTAAACACAAAGAGCAGCGCTGAGCCACAAGTACGGAAATAAATATTTACAGCACAGTTAGTTTTTAAAATCTAAGCACTGTATACCTGTTTACCTGAATTTCATAGTTCTAGCTCGGTCGTAAGAACAATTTTATGCAAGAAACGTAAATAAATGAAAGAATATTTCAAACGTTTTAACGACGGTTCCTTAAACTGGAATTGTTCTCGCATTAATAATAATGAAAGTCATCACAACGCACTACACACAACATTTATTCTTCCTCTAAATTAAAGCTGATACCCCAAGCTCTTCAAAAACTGGATTTCTTTTTTCTCCTAACAAATGTTCAATTTGTATGTTTTAACGGAAAAAAACTACTTTATTTCAATTTTGGGCATCTGCAACTCTTTGAAAACGGGATTTTATTTTGTGCACTGATAACCCCCCCCTGCGAGAGCCGAATTATTGTCTGGCAGCCAATAATTTGAATTTTGTGAAGAAATAATTCAAAAACTAAACGTTGCTGGATTTTTTTTTCTTCAATATCTCATTCAAAAGTCAGTAACTATTAAACTGCTAGGAAAATAGAAATTGAGGAAACATTTTTTTTCCTTTTTTTATGTGCGACTTGAAAATAGCATGGGAAATGCATCTTTGAATGACCAAATAAGTTACTCTCTTTCTACTCCCTAGCCCTAGCCCTCTTGTGTTTGTTTTGGGGCAACTCTTCTTTTGCTTTATAATCCTAAACATCGCTTTGAATACACACACAAATGTCCTATTCCAAATACGACACAAACATTTCCACCAAATTCATGATAAAAAGAGACTTATTAAAACGTGGTGTACACCCTGATCTACATTTTGCTATGTGTTTTTCCATGCTGTATTCTTGCACTGACATTTTTGCATGGTCCACAAAATAGACACTCTTTCGTGCTCATTTAATGTCAAATCTTCTGATACGCTGCACAAGACGATTGTTTGATTGGGCCACGCATGCGCAATGTGCAAAGCTCATCTTGAGGAGGGTCTTATTATTAAACCCCCTACAACTGAGCTACCCACTGGTACTGATTTTACCAAGGGCACCTTGCCAGATTGAGCAAGGACACGATCAAGGAATACAGTCTGTTTCTAGACCTAAAGATTTCTGACTATTCTGACCAATCAAGGTTTCGGTGAGTGCCAACATCACGTGAACAAAACAGGCAGCATTCATCCTATGTCCGAAAATGTCTGCAGTTTTTCTGAACACGTTTTCATTAACATTTCGGATATGATTGTGATGGCTCAGGGTTTTCTGAGTGTAAGGGGTTGTATTTACTAACAAAATGCCTGCCATGCTTGTTATCAGGCCTGAAGCTTTTGAATTCATTATTTTTAAATTCATAAAGTCAACCTTGCATTTGCTAAATTTGATGCTGGGCATAATGCAAAGTTTACCTTGCTGTATCATGTTGTAATTATAAAAGTGACCACTACGATGTATAGACAAATCCATCGGCAGTCATTTTCTGCAGTGTCAACAGGCTTGCGCGAGTCACGCCCAGGTAGTAGGCACGCACTCCAGGCTCCTTCGACCAATAGGAATACCAAAATGCGCATGCGCATCGTCTTTAAGAACGCGTGCAGTATGCGCGTGAGCGTAACACCACCGCAATGAAAGCTTCTAATTCTGGTTGCCTGATTCCACTTTAAAAAGACTTCTTCGGATATTTCGGTTTGGGGACCAGACTAATGGAGATGTCAGGGCTTTGCTGTCATGATTAATTACAAGACTTTGGAGGGTACTCAAGTCAGGGAACCAGACTAATGGAAAATGGCAACCTTCTTATTTTCCTCACTCCTTGAAGGCCTTCATCTTCTGGAGGAAGAACTTCTCCAGGACGTCGGCGCACTGGTAGAACGCAGAGTCGGACGGGTTGTAGTAGCGGCAGTTGTCAAAGACGCGGCTGATGTCGCTGTTGAACTCATGCAGCATGGTGTATTTCTTGTGCTTCAGCTTGTCCTCAATGGTGGATAAGTCTGGTTTGTCAGGGAAAAAAAAAACCACCAAAAATATACTAATACATTAAAGTGATAAACAGGTTTGGGTTGAATCCACTCTGTCGTGGTCAATTGGTTATGGTGTGCGACTCATGTTTGTTGGCACATGGGTTTTGAACCCTGACAAGGAACGTGGTGTTTGTGTTCTTGGGCAAGACACTTTAACAAGATTGCCTCTCCCCACCCAGGAGTATTAATGGGTACCTGTGAGGGTTGAGAATGAATTGCGCTGATCTCAAGCTGCTGCAGGAAACTGTTTTCATGGCCTGGTGAACAGCGTTAATAACTTTGAAACATTTTGAGACTTTGGTTTTAAGTGCTGTAAAAAGCATCCCAATGTAATTATAGTCAATTGGAATCTACTCCACACCCAGAATCATAAATATGACTCCAATATTCAGAGGAATCTACGTCCTGTGGTAGCCAATTCCAATTCCCAAAAGATTCAATTCCAAACCATTCTCGATCAATTATATTTTTAATGATTACGTTTTGGAGATGTATTACACCTCATGACTTTGCATCCGTTATTCAAATTTCAGTTGTCGAAATATGGAGATCTCACAAGTAAATCTGATAAAACATATTCGTAAATGTGGATGCTTTTGAATGTAATCAGCACAGACCAACTGCTGGTCAAAACAAAATCAACGAATATAATAAAAACTTTGAGGATTAATCATATCTCAAGCTGCATCTGATTTTTTTTGGCTTCAGCTTGTAAATTACACATGCACCTATGGAAGCCGCTGACCATAGACAGGTGTGTAACCGTTAGCCATAGCCAGTAAATTACACATGCACCTATGGAAGCCGCTGACCATAGACAGGTGTGTAACCGTTAGCCATAGCCAGTAAATTACACATGCGCCTATGGAAGCCGCTGACCATAGACAGGTGTGTAACCGTTAGCCATAGCCAGTAAATTACACATGCACCTATGGAAGCCGCTGACCATAGACAGGTGTGTAACCGTTAGCCATAGCCAGTAAATTACACATGCGCCTATGGAAGCCGCTGACCATAGACAGGTGTGTAACCGTTAGCCATAGCCAGTAAATTACACATGCGCCTATGGAAGCCGCTGACCATAGACAGGTGTGTAACCGTTAACCATAGCCAGTAAATTACACATGCACCTATGGAAGCCGCTGACCATAGACAGGTGTGTTATCGTTAGCCGTAGCCAGTAAATTACACATGCGCCTATGGAAGCCGCTGACCATAGACATGTGTGTAACCGTTAACCATAGCCAGTAAATTACACATGCACCTATGGAAGCCGCTGACCATAGACAGGTGTGTTATCGTTAGCCGTAGCCAGTAAATTACACATGCGCCTATGGAAGCCGCTGACCATAGACATGTGTGTAACCGTTAACCGTATCCAATTCATTCCGATGAGGCCTTATCCAATTCATTCCGATGAGGCCTTACCCATTGGCTCCTTGATGACTGTGAAATAATCGGGTGCATCTAGATCACTGACGGGCTCCAGGAATGGCCAACCCATCTTGTGGCTCTGCAACAGTGATACGGAAGATATCAAAACTATTAGAACTTTGCACTGAAACTGAGTACAGGACAAGGATGTAGTCGAGCCCATCACAAGTCCCTGCAGGTCCATCACAAGTCCTCCAGTCCCAATTCAACTCACAAGCTATTCAAATGAGCTTTGACAAAGGCATGCCTTTGTTGTTGTTTAGCCATTGTTTCTTGTGACTGGACTTGTGATGGACTCGACTACAAGAACCAACTGTGTTTCATATCCCTATGGGTTCCGTGCACAAGTACCCCCTCAACGGTTACAAAGGGAGAGTTGGGGGAGACCACTGGGAGAGACATTTGAACGTATTACCAATGGCGCCTGATGCTCATGCGAAGACCATACTGGTTTGTGCACACTCAGAAGAAAATGAGTCATGCGTACTTTGCGCAAAACACACAATAACAAGTACGCGCATGCGGTATGTCTCCCCATTGGAGCTCTAGAAAGTGGCAAAACACAATGGCAATCTACTGTCTGTCCATACTTCAAACCAACACTTCCTAAACGATCAACTATTAAATGTATTAACATTGTATGTTAAATGTATTTTTAAAATGTGTTAAACTGCTAAAACCGCCGGTTTTGATTTGGCACTTGTCCTTGGGATATTTGGTTTTCAAGCTTTAATGTGCCGGCGTCTTTCGACAAGTATTAATGTTCTGACAAGATTCAACAAAATAGTGATTTGATATTTTAAACTCTCCTGTAGGTATTTGGATACCCGTCTATAACTATTTCTTGTACATGTACCTGGTTCCTAAACTACCCCCTTAAAAGCATATAGGATCATTTGCTTTTCATGCATTTTTTGTGTGTTTCCAATACAAACACCACTCAAAATCTTAAGAAGAACCTAACACTTTTCGAGAAAACAGTGAAAAACCATGCACAACTTTTTAATCACGATTTCGTTGATAGCACTCTTTATTTCCAAAAGTCAGTCAATTAACTGATGACAGCAAGCCAGATGCAATATAATAGTACCAATATTATCTCTAATCCAAGTAAGCTTTTTGACAATTCGGTAGATTACTTTGGGGTAAATGCAAATGATCCTATATGCCTTTAAAAGATAAAATTGTTATATTCACACACCTGGGATATATCCCTCATTATCAAACTCGCTTTCAGAGGTCCCATTTTCTTTATTTTTACCTGCAGCTGTCTCAGCACTCTCTTGAGATGGTCAAAGTCCTTGCCTTCCAGGGACCGTTGGCTCTTCTGTGTCTTGGCCGACTGGCACTTGGGGCAGATGTAGTTCTCAATGAACTCCGCCTCTCGCTGGGAGATGTTGACGCAGCGGCCATGGAACCAGTCATTGCAGCGATCGCATCCGATGTAGAACCTAAAAATTTAGAAAAAAAAATTAAGATGGGTGAAAGTTTTAAAATGGCTGGGAATGTTTGTGTAACTCGATACAAGACACACGAAATTGTGACCTAACAAGGAAGTCTTAAAGTTTCTCTTCCCGTGCTGTTTTTTTTTTTTTTACACCCTGAAAAATAGATTTTGATTTTGAATTGCTAGTTTTCTAGCTAAACACAAGTAATACACTTTTGAATGAGACATCAAATACAAAATTCTGCCCTTAATTATTGTACAAATGTCAAATTATTGTGATGTAACAGTAATTCAGTTGTATCTTTTGTGCAAAAATGGTGCACAAACAACCAAAGACAATACTGTATTTTCAGAGGGTTAAAAACATCCACAACAGAAAAACTATCTTTTCCATTTAAATAAAAAAGAGGAATATTTTGAAAAGCATGGGTAGAGCAACTTAATAAAAAAGATAGCGCGTGTTAAATGTATCATTTGTTGTCAAGTTAGCTCTCGTATAAAAAAACACTAAAATGAATTTACATATTATGCATGCCTAACTCCTTTTGCTAAAGAGGTGGTGGGCAACCCCTACTGGTTGCACAGTTGTGGGCACTTGAGCACCATTGGCACCATTGCCACCATTCAATTCAATTCAATATAACATTTATTTATGTACCATGTGCCTACTCTCATATCCAATCGTCTTATGCATAGAAACTACACATTTGTGCACATCAAAATTGAAAATTACTTATACTCAATCTGCACAATACAGTAGTAAAGACAGCAACATCTTCATTTGAATTTGGCAAGAGATTGACTTTTTACAAAATGAAAATTCAGATTCAGAAGGTCTGATTTCAGATGAAAGTCTGAAAAATCTCATGCCTGTTTAATGCACAATAGCACAGAGTCCATAGTCCAAGCAACTGGGTTGTAGTCCAGACCATTACAAGTCGGTCAAAAGTCCGGTCAAGAGTAAATCACAAAGTCCTTTCACAGATTCAGTCACAAGTAACAGGGGATGAACAATGACAGAGGAATACTTTTGTCAAAGTTCATTTGAAGAGTTTGTGACTTGGCTTGCGACTGGATACTTTGTAGTGGCCTTGTGACGGACTTGTGACAGACTTGTGATGGACTTGTGATGGACTTGTGATGGACTTGTGACAGACTTGTGATGGATTTGTAATGGACTTGTGATGGATTTGTAATGGACTTGTGATGGATTTGTAATGGACTTGTGATGGACTTGTGATTGACTTGTGATGAACTTGTGATTGACTTGTGATGGACTTGTGATGGACTTGTGATGAACTTGTGATGGACTTGTGATGGACTTGTAATGGACTTGTGACAGACTTGTGACGGACTTGTGATGGACTTGTGATGGACTTGTGACAGACTTATGCCAGACTTGTGACGGACTTGTGATGGACTTGTAATGGACTTGTGATGGACTTGTGATGGACTTGTGATGGACTTGTGACAAACTTGTGACGAACTTGTGACTTGCAAGAACACATGAAAGTGAAAACTTAAACTGAGCAATCTACATCAACTCATGCCTTGGCCTACTTACTGTGACTCATCATAGGGCTGTCTACACAGGCAGTACAGGTCCTCTTCGTTTTCCTGCCTGCGGGCCGAGCACTCGTCACAGACGTAATCGTTCATGCTCTCTGCCATATCCTCGCTGACGTTCACACAGGTGCCGTGAAACCAGTTCTGGCACATATCGCAGCCGATGTAGAACCTGTGGAACACAGATCAAGCCACAGTTTCTTGAACATTTGCCAGATTATCTTTACAACGGTAACTACACTTGCGATCAGAGAACCCGACTGAACTTTCAGCAGGGTTATATATGATTGTGGCAGTGTCCCTCTGAGACTTTGAAAAAAAAAACTGTTGGAAAAAGAAAGTGACTTTCATATTTTTCATGGAAGGTACATGTGACCCTCCAGCACAAAACCAGTCAGAAGTCACACAGCCATATTTTGAGTAACAGCCTACAATACATTGTACAAGCAAAAATTATCAAAATTTCAGATTTAGGAATTAGAAGCTAGAATAATTAACATATTTCACTTCCAATGAATTTATTTGTAAAAATCATAAGGAGTTCATTTGAAAAACTTTCAAAGACAAATTTAGATTTATTAAAGCCTTCTGAGGCCTGAACATTTGGACCTGAAAATACCTAAAACTCCTTCAGATTTTTTTTTCCATTCCCATATTCCATACATCATTGGAAAGCTTATTCAATGTCCTTTCCACTGAGCCCCAAAAATCCAACTTTTCAAAAGATTGGCCCAAATGACTGGTTGTGTGCTGTAGGGTTACATTAATGCTTGAGTTTCATAAATTTCAAAGCATTCCCGTCAATCTGCCATGTTTTCTCATTCGCATCTCTGTCAGCTCAAAACTGGTGGATTGTAGTTTTGAAATGCCCCTGTAACTATCACAGTGATCTCGCACTACTCCAAAATACTGACACGCTGTGTGCCTTTCTAAGTCAATCATGGGCTACAACAGCAAATAGCAAGCAGAGACTTGGACTTACTTAGCTGGATCATAAGGCCTCTTGCAAATACAGTACAGCCTCTCGGGATCTTCTTCCACATCTGGGGCTTCCTGGGCCAGGGGTGTCTGTTCCTCCTCCTCCTCCTCTTCCATCTTGCTCTCCTGCCTCGCTGTCTCCTGAGCCGCTGCCTTGGCCGCCTCCTTAGCCAAAGCCGCAGCCGAGGCCTTGCCAGAGGACTCCCGTTTGGTCTCCTTCTTGGACTTCGGTGTCGGGGAGGTGTGGATCAGCTTCCTCTTCTTCGACTTGGAGACGTCCTTTTTGGTGGCAGCGACGGGATCTTCGGCGTGCTTGCGCTTCTTGGCCGCTTTAGATGCCTGCTTGATCTCGTCCTGTTTGGAACAGTGAATGGAGTTGATAACTGTGATTTTTGACAAGCTAAAATGCAGAATGAATACACTTTTGTTTTTCTATCCTACCAATGAGCTAAATGCACATTTTGTTGGCACCCCCCCCCCCCCGAAAAAAAGTAACTCATAGATTTTCAAGGAGTGCGAAGAGAATTTTTCATGAAATTTCAGAAAATTGTTTTCAGCAGTCAACGAATGGGCTTTACATTCCAATTTCAATATTCGTTACACAAAATAGTTCAGTGCTTAGCTGGCTGCTTACTTTCTGCAACGTCAATTGCTCGTTGTTCAGATCCATGCCTTTTTCTTTGATTGGCTATATCTTCTACTTAGCAGATTGTGCATTTTCCTCTAACATTTTGAAATTTCATGAAGAAACAAAATTTCACACTAAGAATTTAAGGATTGAAAAAAAAAACACTCAAAGTCAATTTGTTAAAGGTTTTAGATCCATGTTGATTTTTGCTTAGCAGTATGGAAAACTTTATGCAGGAACAAAATTTTACTCCAAGAATTCTAGAGAGCGAATGAATATTGTAACTACAAGATGGAACCTTGCAAAAAAAATTTATTCCGACAGGATTGAGAAAAACAGTCAGTCGATTTTTCAAAGATTTTAGATCCATGTTGATTTTTGCTTAGCAGAATTGAAAACTTTGTGCAGGAACAAAATTTGACTCCAAGAATTCTAGAGAGCGGATGAAAAATTTAACTCCAAGATGGAACCTTGCAAAAAAATACCTGAGCTTCCTTGAGCAGCGCCTGCTCCATCAGCTCCCGCTTGGCCAGCATCTCCCTCTTGAGGGACTCCTTGTGCCGGTACAGGAGGTTGACCAGCTTGTGGGAGGCCGTGCGCTGCCGCTTGTCGGCCTGCGACTCCTCTTTGCGTTTGCGCTTCAGGTTCTGGCGCTCCTCCCTCTCCAGGCGGTCCAGGATGGTCTTCATGACCTGCTGGCAGGACAGCATCCTGGTGGACAAAGAACACATCAATGGTATCATTCCTTTCTTGATACTGTCAGCTGCTTTAGTTTTTGAGTATCAAAACAGCGAAAGGAAATACACAATTACTTTTGTGACATTGTGTGACATTGAACAAACTTGAAACTTAAAGGGAATATACATCATTTGCTTTTGCTGTAATTTTCAGAAATGGATGGAATTGGGGGGTTGGAAATATATAGCAAATACAGTTACACAGACTTTTTTGAGGTTTTGGGTTCGAAAATGCTATAAAAACCAAGAAAAACAATCATTTTCCTGTAGTCTGGTTCCCTGACTCCATATAAGAAGAAACAGAGCAGTTTACATACATTGGGGAATTGTAAGGTCAGGGAACCAGTCTAGCTGGCTTGTACCCGTTCATAGGTGTGTAATCGATTGCAAACAAGTGCGATGGTCAATTGGGGCCAGTATTTGAAAAAAGCCAGTTTTTTCCAACGCTGGTCGGCCGACCAGCGTTGGAAATTGATACAAAAATACCACTTTTCTTGAAAATGACAGTATACCAGGTGCCATGATTTTACAGGATGCTTTACACTCTCATTCACTAACAGTCCAGCAAGGTATTTCAAAATGATTTGGTAGTTTTATTTTTTGATGTTTGCAAATGTTGTATTTTCCCTTTAAAGAGATCCATTTTGGGGGTCCTTACCTTTGGTGATCAGCCTTCTCCGTGGGTGACATGAGTCGCTGCTTGGCCCGCAGCGTCTCCAGCTCAGCGGCCTCCCGGATGCTCTGCTGCTGCTTGGCAAAATCTCGCTGGAACTGCAGCTGCAGGTCCTGGGCCTCCACCTGCATGCTGGCGATCTGCTTCTGCTGCTCCTGCCGCACCTGCTGCTGTTGCTGCTGCTGCATTTGCTGCTGCAGTTGTTGCTGTTTCAGCTGTTTGTTCTTTGGATATAAAGGGGAAAAGAGATATTTAAGTTGTGACATTATGTAATACTAATCTAAAAGATATATTGATTGCAGTACCCGCTGCTACATCAGATTTGAACCGGTCAGCAGATCGAGGCAAGCTCAGTGGTCCAGCGGTTAAGATGTCTGCACTAGGAGGTTGTGGGTGGGTTGTGGATCAAGTGTAACTTAAAATTTTGGTCGAAGCGGATGTAATTGAGCATTAGTGAGGCGTATTAAGTGATAGTGTTGCAGACGAGTCGGTAAAGACGGTAAATAGTAAATAAGTTCTTTCACAAGTCCAGTCAGAACAAACGAGATGAACAATAAAAAAGCATGCTTTTGTCACAGTTGATTCAAAATCGCTTGCGATTTGAGACTTGAAAGAGTGTAATGGACTTGTGAGGACTTGAAATGGACTTCATTAAAACACTGGTATTATGGGGTTTCTTTTTCTCAGACAAAAATAAATTTAAGGCTTTACCTTTTTCTGCCCACTTGAAACTCTTCTTGTAGGCGATTTGGGCGTGGCAACCTTAGCCGCCTGGGCCTTGAGCACTTGCTGCTGCTGCAGCTGCTGCTGAGCCAGCAACAGTCTCTGTTGCTGCAGTGCGGTAGCCGTGGTCTGAACACCCAGCAGCGTGGGGGTGGTGGCACCGCCGCCTGCCTTGGCCAGCGCCTGGACCGTGGCCGGGGCTGTCTTGGCCTGAGGGAGGGTTATCTGCTGGGCCTGGGCCTGTTGCTGGAGGGCTTGTAAGGTGGCCTGGATATTGACCGGCTGAGGGATGCTTTGGGACTGCTGGGTTGCTGTGGTTTAGGGGGGGGGGGGAATTAAACAAGAATGGAGAGACAATCAGATTTTTGAAATAGTTCTCCTCTGATGATGTTGCTGATGTTGGTATGCAGTTGTGCAGATGCAAAGAGATAGAAAAAAAGCAATGGGACCAGAATGTTTGATGCCACTATGTATTTACAACAAAAAAAAAGAGACTGAGAAGTTTTTAAGAAGTACATTTGAACAAAAACCACAAGTAAACTTGTGACTGATTTGTTGAGCACATGCTCTGCTCTGTGCATGTAGTCTCATAAAGTAACATCTACACAGTCTGACAATTAACCTATCGCGGAAAAATCGCGTCAACGCAGCTTGTGAAATATTGTTCAATCACATGATAAACAAATGAACGCGGAACGCCCACAATCTGAGACACACACAATTTAACCCTAACCGAACACAACCCATCAAAGCTCAACAGCAGGTTTGTGTTTAAATCTTTTGGGATAGGTACAGTTCCCCTAAACTGATGGTCTTTTACACTGGGGTTGGCATACCTCCAGAAACTAAGTCCAACAGTGTGTGTGTACAATTTCCCATGTGGGTGTTGGAATTTGCCTGAATGGGTATGGTTCCTAGTAAATTAGGCTGAGGAGTTAGGGTTAATGTACAAAATTCCATAGGGTTGTCTATAGGGCGTGGTTAACTCGCAAACGGCGATAGGTCAATTGGGAGCCGTAATGCAAAGATTGTCATACCTTGCCCCGGTGTAGCAGCAGGAGTAGTAGCTGAGTTGGGCGTCAGCACCAGTCGCTGCAGCGTGGTGCCCTGGGCCGTGGTGGTCTGTATCAGCTGAGCGGCAATCATCTGCCCGGTCCCCTGCACCTGAACTTGTGCCGGCGTGATGACGAATCGCTGGCCGCCCACCATGACGGACTGGGCCTGGGCAGTGAAGACGTGGGCCTGGCCCGACAGCTGGGTCTGGCCGGGTTGGGTGGTGGTAGGCGTGGCGGCCGTGGTGGCAGCGGCGGGCGTGGTGGCTGGGGTCGCTGGACGTATGACCTGATTGGTGGACTGGATCGGGAGTTTGCCGGGGGTGGCTACATTCAAAAGGCCCTTTAAACACCGAAATGAGCAAGCAAATAAGTTAACCAAGTGACATCAGAAATCAGAACAAGCCTTACTTGAATTTTGCCAGTGCATTTCTGAATGAGTTGATTTCAGCATGAGTTCACAAAGTTCTTTTCAAAGATGTCAATAGTGACCACATCAAAGTTTGAAAATATATTTGCCCATTCTACTTTCAACTTAAACAGCAGTCAAAGTTAGTGAAAGAATACGATACTCTGTATGTGATAGTTCAAACTTAAGTTGTGCTAATTCTCATTGTCGGAGCAAATTTGCATGTCTACATTCAGCCAGTGCAGTGTCATCTAATGTTCCACCATGGAGTTCATTGAGCCAATGTACACACCTGTCCAGAGACTACGTTGCCTTGCGGTGTCCTGACAAAGAGGGTCCTAGCCCCCACGGTGGCCCCCGTGGTGCCCTTAGGGGTGATGGTGGTGACTTTGGAGGTTGGAGTGCCGCTGGTGTATGCTGGGAAACGGGCCTGCATGCCAGTTGATGTCAAGATGGTGGGTGTACCAACTAGGGAGGGAAAAAAAAGAGAATAAGGTGTAAACTCATACATTTACGATTGTTACTTTTCTAAAGCCTAAACCTCCCAGATTCTTCAAAATCAACCAAAAGGTTGTGGAAGACTTTGGAGGAGTGAGGAAGTTTGAGACCAGCCGTTATGAAATTGGCCTCTGGCAAAACAAAATGACTGAGGAATCAAAACCACGTGTCAACCGCTCGTTTTGCAGTTTAGCAAGCACGCACGCCAGGATTCACGCACAGGGTAAATACACATGCATGTCATGTGTAGTCTACTAATTATGTGCTCTACACAGCAATCATGGAACTATCGCATGAGGGTGTTGCGAACATCGCCCCAACATGGAAAGATGGTGGCACACTCACAGTAATGCTGTTAAAATTTTGGTGAATATGCATGAGGTATTGTAAAACAAGTATTACACGGTTAAGGTCGGGTGTATAGTCAAATTAGCCCCCCTTAGTATTGGAATTCAAGAAACCTTTTCCCTCGGCTTTGCCGCAGGAACTAGAGTGTCAACTTCCAATATCTCGGGGGGCTAATATCGGCTATACTCCCTCAAACCATGTTATATTTGTATGCTAGTCAACCAGTGGCCGTTGAATGAACAAGTGTTAAACTGACTACTCACCGGTAGCACCGGTTGAGGCAAAGACAAACTTGGTGGGGTTGGTCGTCAGTTTGACCTGTCCCATCTGCAGCAGCGTTCCGCCTTGCAGCGTGCCCCCGCCCGACACATTCAGCACCCGGGGCGTGGAGGCGACGGGCACATCTTTGGTCCCGATCACCTTCTTGGCAATGGTGATATTGGCCGCGCCCTTCTTGCGGACCCCGCCCTTGCGGCTGGGCGTGGAGGAGTCCGAGGCAGGCTGGCTGGGTGTGGTCAGGGAGGTCAAGGTTCGTGGCGTGGTGGTCTTGATGGTGGTCAGGCTGGGCGAGGCAGTGACGGCGCCCGTGGATGGGGACGGAGCCAGCTGCTGGAATCTCTTCTCCAGTGAAAAAGAGTAACAAATATTACTGTTATCAACTCCTTGATTCATAATCACTTTTCCTTCATCAATTGAAGGGAAAAAACCCAATAATACCGGTGACTTGTCTGAAATGGGAGCAGTTCTCAGGACTTCTGAATCTATTTCATGCGTGTTTGGTGTGTTGTCTCAGATATTTTACAAATCTTGGAGAGAACTTGTCAGCAACACAGCTAAAATGTCGGGCTGCATGTTGGACTATTAAATCTTCACAGGAATCTAGTCTTGAGCTAATCAAGAAATATAAAATTTCAGGATTGCTTGAGTTGAATAAAAGACACACAGTACTTCGCTACTACCAAAATGACCTTTCCCAAGGTGCTGGTTCATCTCATCACACATATTCTTAATTTGCTGATTGCGTTTAATTTAAAAACCTCATTGGTCAAAGGAGCCGTGAGCGATCACACATACCACTGTTGCGCAAGCCTGGCTTTTAATATTGCTCATTGGACACAGAAAAATACTGCAAGTAACACTTGCGCGATCATCCCAGCAACCTTTCTGTCCATGATACGTACGTAGCATTGTGAGCATAAATATCTTGTCGAATTTGCCTGGAAAGTCTTAAATTCTTTAAAAGCACAATGTGGGAATGTACAAGTGGAAAATAGGACAAACAACTTGATATTATTATCCTGCTTCATTTCCCAATCCCATGTCACACCTTTGTGCCCCTTTAGTATGGAAAGGCCCACATGTGGGAGTCATTAGTAATACTGAGCTGAGCTCTCCAGAGACCTCGTAAATATCCATATTGGAAAGGATCTGTTTGACGACCACAGACCACCTTTCAGGTTTGGTTGAGATTGAGGACTGAACTATACAGCTAAACCTAACCAAAATGGCACACACACACACACACGCAGGAATACGCGATCGCAACATGTGGCAAGGACCACATGTTGGAGTCATTAGTAATACTGAGCTGAGCTCTCCAGAGACCTCGTAAATATCCATATTGGAAAGGATTTGTTTGACGACCACAGACCACCTTTCACGTTTACTGAACCTAACCAAAATGGCACAAACAGACACGCAGGAATACGCGATCGCAATATGCCCCTATCTGGCTGGAAAGCCAGGGGGATAAAAATGAACATTTCAACTTACCTGTTGTCCAGAGAGTCGCTGGTTTTTCAGCTGGTCTTCCAACTGCTCCTTGACCTGTTCTGCTGTGACGCGTCCTGTTGACCCCCTGGCACTAGCGGCATGCTTGCTGTCCTTGGCAGCCTTGCTGTTCATCTGTTGCTTCTCCCGGGCAAACTTTTGCATACTGGAGAGACACAACGAAAGATTGATGTCATATTTCACAGTTTTTTTGATAGGATTTTCCAGGCAAGTTTTCTGAGCATGGCTAAGTTTCACACAGCAGTAACAGATTGGATTAGATTGCCTCAATAGTTTTAAGAAAACAATGAGCACGTATATTGCTTCTGACTGGATTATACTTACTATGCTTCATGCTCCTAAAAGTAAATATGAAACCCCAAGAAGTGAAGTATGGTGATTCAGGTTTTATAAAGAATAGTTTGTGCTTTCTGAAAGCGTTGAAGAATTGTAGCCTGCTCAATCACAACCCAATCAAAGGTATGGTCACAAGTAACCTGATGATTAGCCTGTTAATAATAGTCAAAATAATAATAATACCGGGTACTTATATAGTGCTTATAACTAAGATTAAAGTGCTTTAGATTATTAGTACCCCTGATCATTGGGCTAATGAAACATTGCAAATACAATCTCTGGGGAGTATACAGCTCGATGCAGCCATTTTTGGCGTAAGGCAGCAAAAATCAACCACAATAACCATCTCTGCCCACACAGGTATTTATTTACATTTAGGCCAAAAAGATTAATAGTTCTGCTTCCGGTTTCCCTACCTACACTATTCTGACAGCCCCTACCCTAATTTTTTTTATTGGAAAATGAGAAAAAAAACACCCAAAACCATCACTTTATACCTTTTAGCCTTGACTACACACAGACGCCTCCATATGATTGTACACAAAAAAAATTGGCCAAAAAAAAAAAATTCCCTACCTACCTACCCTACTTTTGAATGCCATGTAATCGGAAGCAGAACCAATTTTTTTTTTTTGCCTTAGCAATGAGTGACAAAGTGCCTTGCCCAAGGGCACACACACCACAACCCCAGACTGGAATCAAACCCACAACCTGCATGAATTAACCACAGACCACAAGTTCAATGCTCCAGATCACGAGGCAACGACACTCCACTGTTACTTGAGTGACTCATGACTGGCCTGCGACAATTTGAGTACAATTCCAGTCTTCGATAATAAACAGTGAATGGCATAATTTTTCGTATATTATGTAAGTTCAAAGTTTCACTTTTTTCCCCCCAACAAAAGTCTATCAGCCTACCTCTCTCCAAACTGTGCAATCTCCCACAGCTCCATCTCTTCTTCCTTGACCCAGGTCTCAATGACCTGAGGACCCTTGGGCTTGACCGGCTCGGGAGGCTTGATGGGAGCCGAGCTGGACCGCAGGCCAGAACGCTGAGGCTTGTGCACTGCAATCAAAATGGCAGAGAATGGTTGATACTGTCTGGCCAGGTCCCAAAACTTGGACACGACAGAAGAATTTTCTCCATTGGAAGACAATAAACCACTCAGGTAGCCATTTCAATAATAGAACATTCGAACAATTTATGCATAAAAGGATATGATGAAGGTCATGTTTCATTCTGCCTTCTATGTTATTCTGTGTTCATTTGTTATGTACAAATTTTAAGACAAGATATTTAACTTGTTACAAAAGTTTGGAAAGCTAACTTAATGTCAAAAACAAATATCTGCAATTTCCTTACCTGTCTCTTGTTCATCTTTTCCCATGGGCCAGATGATCTGTCGAATGAGATACTCAGATCTCAGCCCAGATGGCTGGATGTCACGCTTCTTGCAAATTGCCGTGGTGATCCTCTCGTCTTCGGTCTCAATAGAGTGAGTGATGCCATGAAGGGGCCTCTGGGCCATGTCCTCCCACCGGATGCTGGCCCAGATGATGTGCAGCATCAGCCCCACGGCCGAGAAAGAGGAGACTGTCTGGAGGCGGTAGCGCCAGCAGATCTGGAAGCTGGGCCGGGGTGAGGGGTAGGGCCAGTAATCACTGACATTTTTGGCATTGTAGTTGAACCCCTGGACCTCGTAGCGGCCGCCTCGCCGGCACAGCTTGCTCAGCTCCTGTGGGGGTAAGATGAGGATGCTCTTGAGTTTACTGCGGGTGGCAAACTTGCGGCACATGGGCAGGGGTTTGGCCATCTTCTTCATGCCGGGCCGGCGGACAGTGCCAGGCAAGGGCTTGGTTGTCAGCCGGTAGGGGTCACAGACCCGCGGCAACTTGGGCATCTCAGTCTCCTTGAGGTGCTCCTCAAACTGCTTGATCCTGGCACTGATGTCTGCGAAGGACACACTGATGCCACTGACAGAGGTGCCAGACACCATGATGGTCGCTTTTGTTTTGTTGCTTGAGACTTCTGTGGTGGTAGAAGCCAAGGATGGACCAGCTCTTGTGATGGTTTCCGTCTTGGTTACAGCACTGCTGGTAGATTGAGTGCTCCTCACTACAGTGCTAGTAACCACCTGGGAAGAAGGGTTACTTGTTTGGACACTTGGGACACCAGAGGCCAGAACCCCACTGGCTGATAATGTGGGAAGAGAAGCGCTAAGACTGTTCCTGGAGGGAGTGACAGCAGGAGCGGTGGTTGACACAGCCTTAGACGTGGATGCAGAAACCTGGGCTTGAATTGCCAACCCTGCGGTTTTCTGAGCAGTGTTTAGAGGGGTCGAGCTGGCCACGCCCTGGCTGGAGATGTACACTACTTTGGGTCCCGACGTACCCTGCTGGATTATCCCTATCTTCTGTTGCCTCTGAGGGGAAACCCCTTGCTGGACTATCTTTGTTAGAGTGGACACATTTCCCTTGGCACTGACTTGAGTCTGCGAGACACCTGCCTGTTGGGCCCCTGTAACTTGGGGTTTCTGCAGTTTTGCCAAGTTTGGTTTTACCTCTGGATTAAGGGCAAGCGTTGGAGTGGTTGGTTTTGGACCAAATACTTCCGTCCTTTTTGTTGTGACAATAGGTGTGACAGCAACTGATGTAGCTTTCTTAACAGCTTCAGCTGCCACTGTTGTTTTGGGCAACATCTGCGACGGGGCATTTTTGGGGGTAAATCCACTATTTGCAAGCTGAGAGATCTTTTCCGATATCAAGATGTTGCCATCATGTTTCTGTGCCACGGTGATTTTTTCTTTGGTCGGAGTTGGTATAGCAGATACTTTAGAGACACTGGATTGCAGCTGCTTTGTGACTGGCACTTTTGAAGTGACACCTGTCACAGCAGGTGTGGACAAGCTCGGGGAGCATGCACTGCTTGCACTTGTGACTGACACAACTGTGGGTTTGCTGGTTACGCTTGATGTCACACTGTCACCCATCGCAACTGGGGTTGCAGTCGATGTCACACCAGTATCCAACCTTTCACGGGCGGGTGCACTGGTTGTGCAGGTTGACATCACAGGGGATGTCACACTGTTACCCGTTACATTTACAGTCACACTGTCACTTGTCACAGTTGATAACACTTTGCTGTCTGTTGCAGAGGCCGGTGCTTGATTGTTCACCTCAGGAATTACAGTATCACTCAGTGAAGTTGCATTGGGTGCACTGGTAACCCTTACGGGTGACTTGGAGTTTGTATGCTGTGACCCTGCTTCAGTTGAAGCTTGGTCCGAAGCTCCATCGGTCTTAGTTCTTTCGTTTGCCGTCTTCGCTGACGTAGCATCAACACATTGATTTTTCTGATCGCTCTCCAATTTACTCGGTGACACAACCTCACTGTCACAACCTGAAGATTTCTGGCCAATACTGATTTGGCTTGGACCCTGTGCAATAACGGCGGCATTGATAACGGCTTTACTGGTCACACTTTCTGTTTGTTGAAGAGGATTGCTGGATACACTCTGGTTTGGCAGAGTTGCAGCAGATTCCACGCTTGCAGGAAGTGATGGTTCTGCAGGCAGGATGGAGCTCTGTGACTTTTCGTGGGCCGAGGTAGCATCAGCTCCTTTTTCTGCTTCCAGTTTCTCACAATCTGTCGTCACATTTTCAGGTGAATTTCCTACTTTTGGTAAACACCCTATGCTTTCAGGAAGTGATGGTTCCGCAGGCAGGGTAGAGCTCTGTGACTTTTCGTGGGCCGAGGTAGCGCCAGCTCCATTTTGTGTTTCCAGTTTCTCAGACTCTGTCGTCACAATTTCAGGTGAATTTCCTACTTTTGGTATTGACCCCGATGTTTTTGGCCCCTCCGTCCCACCAACAGTAATGTCTTTTATGTTGTCGCCACTGTCCGAGGGCTGCCCAGTTTGGGAAGACGGCACTTTTTCAGGCACGAGTTCATGAGGTACTGGAGATTTGTTATTTACAGAATTGCACAAGCTCTCATCTTTTTGCATTTGGCTTTCAGGTTTCTGACTGAAGCTGTCCTTGGATTCACTGCAATCCATCGGTTCCTCTTGCGTCGTGGCTGTTGGTCGCTCAATAATTTCTGCTTTCTTGGACTCCACATCATTCTCAAGAAGAGGTTTTGGATCAGTTGCAGAACTTGAGTTATTTTCCTCACTCAGTGATTTGACAGCATTTGAAGAAGCAGGTTCCACATCAGCTGTGCTTACTTTTTCACCGTCCATTTCAATGACAGTTTTACCTGAGGGTTTTGTGCTTTGGTTTGTGGTATGAAGAAGGTTCTTGTGGATAGATTCATGGGTTTTGTTTGTTTCAGCTGCAGCAACAGTTCCATCAATGTGGTTGACATCTGCACTCAGTCCAGGAGTGAGCAGATTTTTGACTGGGGAAGCCTGAACCAAAGTGCTTCCGGGCTTGTCCACCAGCTTTAGCTTTCCCTTTTCATTTAATTCAAAGACCTGTAGGTTCTTGCTCTCAGAGTTTTCAATTCCTGCTGTTACCCCATTGCCTGAGAAGGACCTCTCTGCATTGTGCACACTATGAGGCACTTTGACGCCACTCGCTGCTGGCGAGTTACTGGATGAACTGTTTACAACAACTGGAATTGCACCATCATTTAACACAGGTGTTTCGTTCGAACTGTTATTCACATTTTGTTGTTCAGCGGGCTGGCTCTGGTTGACAGAACCGTCTTTAGTTCCCTGCGATGTGGTCTTGGTGTCAACTGTTTTACCAGGTGCGGCAGAAGATATCGGTTTATCTTTTGCAAGTTTCTTTGGTGAGGCTGTCACGTTGGGAATACTGCACACGCTGGCCAGCATGTTCTCATACGCAGCTTGGAAAGAGGAAGACACAGTTGATGGGGTGTTGAGCTGGGGAGGCTTCTTTGGTTCATTTGTGAGAGCAGGGGCCAACGATTTGGTAGCGCCTACCGTCTTGATGTCTGACTTGGCCTCCACATTGTTCACAGCCAGGATGACTTTGTTTTCTACTTTATCAGTCACTGGCTTGGCCGGCAAGGCTGAAGTTTGCTGGGTTACTTTCAGTGTGGATGTATTGCTCACTTGCCCCACAACTGGTTTTGCAACAATGACGTCAACTTTCGGCTGACCAGCTTTACTTGCGGAGATAATGCGTGTCTGCAAAGCAGGGACAACTGCAGCTGCCTTGCTGGAATCAGTTTTGACTTCCATTTTGCCGTCGTCCATGGGTTCGGATTTTACTTTGGGTTTTTCCTGCTGGCTGTCCAAAAGCACTTTCAGCCTGTTCTTTTCCTGCAAGATCCGCTTGTACGTTTCGTACTTCTGCAGGTGGTCCTTGTAGCGCTGCTGGTCCCCCTGGTCCTGCCGAACTCTCCTCGCCAGGAAGCCCTCCAGGCGGGAGCGGTAGGGGATCTTGCGGTACAGGGTATGGTCCTTAAGCGCCAGGCTGATGTCTAGGCTGTCCCACTTGGGATCCAGTGGAGCTCTGACAGCTCCACTCGAAGAGGTCTTTGGGACAGCGCCTTGATCAGCTGTTGAAGATTTGACATCCTGCTTTGGTGTTTCAGTCTCGGATTGTCCAACGCTCAGTTTCTCCTCTGTTTTCTCCGTTTCTGTCTTGAATTCTCCAATACTTGCTTTCTGCTCCGTTATCTCCGTTTCAGCCTTGGATTCTCCAATGCTTGCTTTCACCTCCGTTTTCTCCGTTTCAGCCTTAGATTCTCCAATGCTTGGTTTCACCTCCGTTTTCTCTGCTGCAGTCTTGGATTCTCCAATGCTCGCTTTTAGCTCTGTTTTCTCCATTTGAGTCTTGGATTCTCCAATGCTTGCTTTCACCTCCATTTTCTCCGTTTCAGTCTTGGATTCTCCAATGCTTGCTCTAAGCTCCGTTTCCTCCGTTTCAGTTTTGGATTGTCCAATACTTGCTTTCTCCTCCGCTTTCTCCGTTTCAGTCTTGGATTCTCCAATACTTGATTTCTCCTCCATTTTAGTCTTGGATTCTCCAATGCTTGCTTTCTCCTCCGCTTTCTCCGTTTCAGTCTTGGATTCCCCAATGCTTGGTTTCTCCTCCGTATTCGTTGGTTCAGAGGCTTCCGTGGACACATCTGAAGATTCCTGTTTCGGGTCCTGGTTCTCGGATTCTGGAGCAGCAGAAGGATTATCCTCGTCTACCCCAACAGGTTTGTCCCCAGGTTCTACAATGGGTTGAGAGGCCACATCTGGTAGCTGTACCGTTTTATTAATCTCTGTAACCTCCATGGGTTCTGACGTTTCCTCAACTAGTTCTGCAGCATTTTCAGGAGTATCTTTCACAACAACTTTGTCCTTCCCATCTGGTGACTGGGCAGATGGAGCCGTTTCTTCTTGGACAGTTTCCAGCGATTTCTGCTCAGTTGTATCCATGGCTTCCGTCTTCTCTCCAGTTTCCTCCTTCTGTGTCTCCTTGTTCTCTGACAAAGACACCTCCATTGCCTCGTCTTTGTCTTCCGCTGACTTCTGACCCTTGACATCTTTCGGCGTGGTCCCAGATGCAGCATCTCTGTCTCCGTCTGTCTCCGTTCCCGATGACGGTGGATCCTTACTCTCCGAATCCTCTGATATTGATGTTCTGTGTTTCCCCCTGTTTTTCCCATAGGCGGGTCTTGCAGCTTGTGATTTCTGAGGGGTGACGGCTTTTGACTTCTGGGAGTCTTTTTTGGAGCTAAATTCCTCGCCGATGACATGAGCTGAAGAGGGCAAAAACAAAGAAAATAGGTAATTTATTCAATCTACTTACAAACCTTTTCTTCACAGTGTAACCAATTTCTAGGATTTAGAGAAGGTTTGTATAAACAAATACTACTATGATCACATGCTTGTTTGAACTCATGCATCAGAGTCAAACGGTGCAAATTTTGTGCAAACCGTACACCTCTGCAAATCCTACATTTATGCATTAATCCTAACATTTTGGGAACCACAAAGATATTTTCGAAAGTTTTGGAAAATTATTATAAGGTCGGTTCCAAACTTATTTTAAGGTCGATTCCAGCCAGTTAATTTACAAAGAGCTTAAGCAGAGAAATGTTCTCGAAAACCTTAAACTCATAACTTGAGTAGGCACTTTTGAGATAGGAAACTACATAAACGTATGAAAAGTCAGTTTCCCTTAAACCCTTTCCCTTTCAAAATATCCTCAGAGTTAACTCAAAACTGTGGCATGAATCGAGCAAGATTTCACAGCTTACCTTCCGAGTAGGCCTTGATGCTACACAGCAGTGCCACTTTGGCAGGGCTGGGTGGGGGCAAGGTTCGATTCCGGCGAGTGGAGCTGACCCAGGCCCAGCCGTCCCCGCCCACAATGCGGTACTCTTCCCCTTTGAGCTTCCAAACCTACAAAGGGACAATGCATTAGTAGTGCTGATTTCTTGAGCAACTGGCCTTAAGACTTGTAACAAAGTGAATCACAGGTCAAACACAAGTCAAATCATAAGACAACTCACCAGTCAAATGATACGACAAATCACAAGTCAAATTACAAGTGAGGTCATGAGTAGTAGGAAACAACGACGGGAATACCTTTGCTTCAGTTTACATGAATGACTTGTCACTGGATTTGTAATTGGCTGACGAGAGATGAAATTGTGATCAACTTTTGAAAATTTCTATCACTGGTGGGGATGTTCAAAACCATGGCTGTTATTTTAGCTTCAGCTTCATCTCTGCCGTCAGAATTAATATGAAGCCTATACTGTCTTAACAAAATGTAAACACTCTACAATTTGGCCATGCATGACAGGATTCAATGTTTCTAAAGAGGAGTATGAACCAATGAGCCAGAGTGTCCAAAGTTGGAGGGCTTAAACTATCTGATGTCGGACTGGAGATGACAAGGTTTCAGAAACCCCTGCTTACCAGGTGCTTGATGGGGAAGGTGTACTTGACCCAGTGGTTGTTGGGGTTCTTGTAGATGTCATCCTCGTCATCCCGCCGTTTCTTCTCAGCCTTCTTTCTGTCCTCTTTCTCCAGGGCCGTGGTGCGGATCAACCGGATGTGACCCAGGCCGTCCGACCAGAGAGGGGTGAAGACGACAGGCTTGATGGCGCACTCCAGGATGGACAGGGCTAGGGCGAACTCCTGGGGCTTGTTGCACATGTGGACGGCCTTGATCCAGTTGGTACGGTGCACCGCCCAGTTGGAGTGCATGAAGGGGGCCTGGAGAGGAACACAAGTCCACACAATTGTCAAACCACTACAAGACCTGAAAGGTTCTGCAGGCTTTAGGTAGGTATAGAGTCCAACCACTGCTAACAGGTTTGAGTACCCTTTAAAGTAAAAGGAACGTTCCATCGGTTTCCAGCACAGTGGTTGATGTTGGAAGATTTTTCAGGATACATGTAGCTCCTAGCAAAAATGCCTTGGGAGTTAAGTGTAACACACATAGCACACTGTAAACTGGAAAGAGGGTTTAAACATAGATCAGTCCTCGGCCAATAGACTTTCAACAAAACTTTACCTGAATCTGGCTTTCCAGCTGTGTGATGGTCAGCCGCAACGTGGACACTATGAGCTGCTTGTTGCCATACACCGTGCCGTTCCACTTGAGCCGCTCCGAGCTGGACAGACTGAATTTGTGGGCGATGTAGCGCCGGCGGTCCCTGTCCTCGGCATGCTGGGGTTTGTTCAGGGCCAGAGGGTTGGAGCTGTACTGGTTCCTGTACAGCTTGTAGTTGCCCTCCATGCCCAGCCGGAACATCTTGTCGGGGTTCATGCTGCGGGTGGTCACACCGGAGGCAGTCACCTGAGAGCAGAACGTGGAGAAGAGGTCGAGGTCTTTGCTTTCCCTTTTGTTTTTTTCATGCAAATACCATAACAGCTAGGGCAACCAACATCCTAACCTCAGGTTTCCTGTTGCAGTAATTTGATCGTTTATTGAAACCTCTATCAAAAACCAAACACTTCAGAAAATTCCCTGTTTTACTGAATTGATGACATCACAACAGGGGTAAACAGTCATGTAAATTAGGGAATGCTCTGTCGCCAACTAATCCATTTGCAGTCATTGCCAAGTGGATTAAGCATCCTCCAGTGCACTTCATGTGGACATTCGGCTTTTTGGCCCCAAAAAATAAAATACTCAACGATATCTAGGATGGTAAAAATTTGTAATGTTTGCATCCCCAGTCAGATTTGTTGAAAACCCACACAAGCTCCAAATAATTCATAATGCTGCGACTTGCAATATGTATCAGTAAGTGCACAGCTCACCGACGGTATAATATTCAATATTAATGCATTGAACATATGCAGCCGCTGTCTTACAAGCAAATACCTGAGAAACACAATTCAGAGTGAAGTAGCATCCTCAATGATTGTCTGACACCTAAATAATTTGAAGTACTTGTACAACCAGAATGCTTATTCTTTGTGCTTTTACGCCTGGAAAGGATTGTGCAGAAAACAAAAAACAAAATATGTCTCACCTCCTTGACTGTTTCCTTTTTGCTGTCGACCCGTTTGATTTGCCCCTTGGCATTGATGACAAGGCAGGAGTCCTCCGTCTTGGAACTGACTTTTGTGGTGCTGGAGGAGGTGGTGGTTGTGGCTGACGATTTGCTCGGCAGCGTGGTGGAGTAGGTCAGGAAAGGAGTTGCCTTTGGCGGTGGAGGCTTATAGTTTGGGTTGCGGGACCGGGTCATGATGCCTGTTTTGGCAGGGGTCTTGGACGAGGGGTCGGCTTTTGTCTCCTCACCATCTTTGGTTTCACTTTGGTCTTTGGATTCTGTCTCCATGGCGTTGTCGGAGCTTTTGGAGTCTCCTGATGCAGGGGTGGTTTTTGAAGCATCTTTGTCGTCATCATTATCAGTTTTGTTTGAGCTTTGTTCATCTGTCTCCATGGGTGTCACCTGATCGGTGACAGTCGTGGTGTTGGTAGTGGAAGTCACGGCCATTGTTTCCACCCGCGTGACTGACGTGGTCGTCTGGGTCACTGACTGGACTGCCGTGACTGTCTCACTGGAGTTACTCTCTGTGGTGGCCACTGTCATTGTTTCTGTTACCACCGTCTTCTTTTCTACAGTCGTGACAGAGGTAGAGGATTGCATTGTCTGACATGGCAGAGACACGGCAGGATCCGTACACTGAACTGCATTTTCGCCATCCTGGCTGCTTGGTTTAATCACTTTGTCACCCTCGGCGCTGACAGTATTCTCTTTGTTATCGTCGCCAGGTTTGATCCCGACATCATCAGACTGTATTGGAGCATCCCCAGTTCCGTCCTTAACACTTTCGCATGTCTCTGTGACCTTTGCCTCCTCAACTTCCATCTTAGTCTCTGTACCAGCAGCCTTTGATTCTGACTGAGCAAGGTCAGCTTCCTCACTGCTGGGATTAGCCTCTTCACCAGCCTTAGCCTGGGACTCCTCACCAGCCTTAGCCTGCAACTCCTCATCAACCTTAGCCTGCAACTCCTCATCAGCCTTAGCCTCTGCACCAGCCGCTGTTTCCTGTGACTCTGATCCTTTCTCTCGTTCTTCCTTCCGTATCTGCTCTTGTTCCTCCTCCTCTTTTTTCTTTAGCTCCTCCTCCTCGATTTGCTTCCGTCTTGCCTCTTCTTCCTCTTCCTGTTTCTTACGTTCTTCTTCCTCTTTGACGGCCCTCGCAGCCAGAATTTCCTCTACATAAATTGAAGATAACTTTTGGCAATTTCAAGGACATTTATCTATTTATTTTTTTTATTCAGGAAAATGAAAGTGGCTGATGTATGTTTTTGCAGCATTAACAATACAACGTACTTCCTCATGGCAGTACATGTTATTGATAAGGCGTTATTCAAGGATATTACTTTTAAAGTAAATTTGTACCATATTCCAAGTCATAAAAGAGCTCTGTAAATAATTAAATCCAAAACTATTTTCATTATTATTCAGTTAAATCATAGTTTAAAAAAATAAAAAAATAAAAATTGTTTTGATTATGCAAATCATTCATGGAGACTTTTGAACACAGTGCTTGGGCTTGCATTAGTGATGTCAACATATGTAGGCTTGTACACACTGGGCTTTCTAGTTATAAAATTTTTTAACCCTAAGGCTAACCCCCTAGACCCTTTTTGCTAGGAACCATCCTCCAAAATCCTCCAAAATTTGCCCTTGCGATACCCACTGCCTCAATCCTTCAAAATCTTCCAACAGCCCTGCCTCAAAATGCATTCAGCCTCAATCGTCCAAAATCTTCTTCTTCAAACACCATTCATCCTCAATCCTCCAAAATCAACAGATACTGAATCTCCATGTGCCCTCAATCCTCCGCAATCCTCTAAACCTGTCTGTTGCATTCATCCTCAATCCTCCAAAAATTGTTGAAAAGCAGATGATGGGTTCTGTGTAACCACTGACACAGATTGTGCTCTTTGAATGTTTAGGTTCAAAATGACAGATGCACGTACGCTAAAAAGTGCCCCTCAGTTGGTTTTGTGCAAAGGGTGCCCTCCTTAAAGTTTGCACAAAGCCATTAAACTGTGACTTTTACAGATCTTTTTTACCTGCCGCTCGTTGGAGCTCTGCTCTTTGGTTTCCTCTGGCACTGTTTGTCAGCTCCGCCGTCTTGGCCACGTGATCCCAGATCTCTGGCAGGGACTCCTGGATGGCTCGGCACAGGGGCCCTTCCCATTCCAGGGGGTCCAGGGCCGCGATGAGATCCTCAATCTGGGGTTTGCTGCTGTAGTACCACAGCTCATCCTCGGCCTCCCTGAGGGGGAAAGAACAGCAAATCAAAACATTAAAAACATTAAAACATAAGAAAGTTGAGAAAGTTTCTCAGGACTTGAAACAACCGTTTCATCAAAAATGCAACTTCTCCCCAGATGTTAAAAATAACCAGGAAACACACATATTGACACAATTTCCCACGCTGCATTTTCAGCCTCTTCCTATGATGAAGAGTAAATAATCTTGGAAAAAATGATGCATCCTCACGCCACTTCAGTGGTTGTGTACAAAGTCTATGGAGAGTCAGGAAATGTTAAGTATTTCCTAACTACATTGGAATGTTTCTCAGTCCCAGATTCATGTCTTATCAACATTTTTGCAATGACTGACCCTTATTGAGATGATATATGATGAAAAAACGTGGCATCAGGTTGCAACATTCTTTCCATAATCCTTATTTTGTTTCTGGTGGGGTCTTCATTTTTTTTTATTTTTTTTTAAATATCACTGTATTATACTTATATTATCCAAATTTGTATTGGTTTATTGGAGAGTTCTAAATAAATGTCAGCTGAATTGAATTGAATTGAAATTGATTTCCACTAGCACAACCAGTATTCAAGACTGATCATTGAGGGACCACCTCCAAAACTATGAAGTACATGAAGTTTCTTGTATGATCCCACCAATTGTTGAATATTTAATTCTTCAGTCTTAACCCTAACCCCCTAGGCCTTTTTGCTAGGAACTATCCTCAATCCTCCAAAATCGTCCCAAATTTTGCACTTATGTTCAAATGAAGGATACCCAGCGCCTCAATCCTTCAAAATCGTCAGACAGTCCTGCCTCAAAAACTGCATTCATCCTCAGTCAACCAAAACGCTCCTTTTCTTCAAACACCATTCATCCTCAATCCTCCAAAATATCTGTGTTTCTCAAACACCATTCATCCTCAATCCTCCAAACTCGCTATGAGGATTTTCAAGGATTGAGGGTTAGGGTTAAGATCTTAAAAGATTTAGTACAATGGGATAACATTTTTAAGTACTGTAGTTGTGCACAGCAGGAGGTCTGATCAATGCAGATCTATACATGTGTCTCACTTCCAAAAATATTACTTACACACAAATACGGCGGCACAGATGCCAGTATTTCCGTCCATGTCTGTCATATCCCAACGGTTCATGGCGAATCAACATGCCGCTCTTCTCAACTTCAGAAATAGAGTCATAGACACCGTCCACGCGATGTTCTTGGCACACAGAACACAGCCAATCATCCTCTGGGACTTCTGTAAGGGGAGGGTCCACACATTCCAAATGGTACACAGCTGTGCAAGTCTCACAACACAGAAGGTCCCCAAGCTTGTGACACGCACGACAGTGGTCGTCGTATGTGATGGCGCCCTCGCTCAGAATCTCCTCCCTGACCTTGTTGGAGGCCAGAAATTGGTCGCAGAGGAACTGGATCACCTTGAGTTTGTCGCGGGCCCCAGCGAAGGGGTAGTTTTCAGCCTCAACATGAGGCAATACATGAAGGAACTCTTTGTCACTCTCAATGTAGCAACGGACCAGCTCGGGCCAGGTCATGCCGTCTAGGAATATCATCTGGACGTTGATGCTGTCCCGGAGGTCGTGGGGTCCGAAGGTGGTGCTGTTCCCATCCTCCTCCCGCATGAGTGCCCGCAGCAGGCAGATGTGGGTCTCAGCCAACAGGTTGCACTGCTCCTCACTGCTAAGCGCAGCGCAGAAGTCCTCAAAGCGGAAGGGAGACAGGCGCAACTGTTGGTGGAAGTGCCGCAGGACCTCGTAGACAGCCAGGGCCATGGTGAGGTCCTGTCTCTCGATGGTCAAGTCATCGCTGCTCTTGGGCAGTTCCAACAGCGGGATATCCTTCTCCTCCAGCCAAGAGGGCGAAGGCGGAAGGCTCAGTCGGTTGGTGTACTTGCGCCGGCTTGGGGCACTGCTGGCCTCACTATAGGAGCTCTCCTCAGAAAAATCAGAAGCATTACCATCGTCGTCGTTGGAGCCAGCGATTGAGGAACTAGAATCCACACCATAGTTGTCTTCATCTGGTTCCAATTCGTCTGGACTGCTCTCCTCCTCCTCATCGGAGCTGAGCTTGGGTTTGGAATGTTTCTGTTTGCGTCGCCCCCTCTCCGCCTTTTCTGTCGGCTTCGCTTTTAAGCTTCTCTCAGAAGTAATAACCTCCTGAAATAAAGCAAAAATTCATATTCATGGCATTTACAATGATTACAAATCTTTTAAGCAAACCATAAACTATTTCCACCTTGGAGATTTGTATGCTTCTGTATTGAAGAAGTTGAAACTAATATGAAAGCAAATTTTAAAGATCTGATGACGAGCATCTTTCTAGTCCCATTCCAAGTTTCACTGAAGGGATATTTTTTTCACACAATTTTGGGTTAAAAACTAGCTGCCCCAACTTTGCCAAAATCAAACTCTAGCCTAGGCTCTAGGCATTGCAGTATTTTGATGAATTCAGGACAGCCCAGCCATCACTTCTAATTTAGCATGTCAACACTTCATTTACTTGATTATCATGATGATGATTGTTAATAAAATAGCTTAAATTGGATCATTCAAAAATAAGTTAAAATAACTTTTGAAAATATTACTTGTGTTGATCCTTTCCAAATTTAACAATAACATTTATGTAGGCTCTAGGCATCCTTGCTGTGATTGAAAACGCATTATTTTTTCCTCATTCAATTTTGTTATGCATCAGATTTTGTCATCAGGTCATGTTTTAGCCCCATAAATGTGGCCAATTTACTGGACTACCTCTGTAAATAAAGGCCACACTTCCACCATGTACAAAAACATGTCGAACTTTGTCAAATTTTGATTTTCACATTTAGGCTTAGTTTGTAGGGTTTTTTGGCTTTAGAAGCATACTCACCTGCTCACCCTCTTTATTGTTTGTAAGTTTTTAGAAAATAATTTTGCTTTGTTTCTTTTTCTGTTTTCTTTATTATTTTTTTGGGGGGGGGTTGTAATTTTTATGATTTGTTGAATAAATTTTAAAATATATTAACCCGTATTTAGTTTTTTGCCAAACCTGAATCAGTCTCTTGCTTTTCCTGGCTGCTTCTCTCGGTGTCCTTGGTGATTTGGTGAGTGAACTTGCACCCCTTCCTCTCCCCCTCCCACGGCCACGCCCACGGCCTCTCCCTCTTCCAACCGTCGAAGAAGGAGACGACATCTGACTGGAAGCGCGACTCATCGGTGTGCTACACCTGGAACTTGCGGGGCTACCCCCACCACCGTCTTCTCGATCGCTGTCCCAGTACCCGGCCGCGCCGCCACCTCGGCCCATGTTCTTGCGTTTGGCAGCAGGCGAGGAGCTGCTTCCCGCTCCTCTGCCCAGCACAGAAGATTTCGGCGGTCTCCCGCGGCCCCGTTTTATCATTTTGCCACAATTTTTCGGCACCGTGCACAGCACCGGTGTGTTCCCCGTGCGATGAGATGGTTTCCGGGCTTGGATGCTTTGCGGACTGGCGGTATTTTGGCGTTTATAATCCCGCTTGCATGTTGAATCTACGGTCAATCCGCCATTTTCAGAAAAATGACCACGTGACCTCATTAAACGTCTTTTCTTACGCGATCAATTGACTATTTTTGGCTATTTTTCTAATCCATTCATGTTTTCTTTCAATGTTTAAATACCAATCCTTAAGAGCTCCATTCGGATTAATTACTGAAGTTTCGGATATCCTCCTCGAAGAGAATAAAACAATCAATCAAGAAAAAAATATTTGAGAACAAAAGCAACGGCTTGTTTGATTGGTTGAACTGAATTAGACGTATTGGCTGGGCAAGCGTAAACTGCTCACAAAATGTGTCTCCCCGAATTCATACGCACAAAAATACACCTCTTTAGACAACGCCAGGCACTGTTTCTCCCCCAATAATGCCAATCTCGTTTGTATTTCTACATGGGATGAGGTGAAAATTGCCAAAATTGTTGCTGAGCAAACATAATGACAAGGCTCAGCGAGGAAAAAGTAGCCAATCAAAATGAGCGTAAAATAGTACAGCGCAGCTTGAGTGAAAAGTCATGGAACGTGCAACGTGCAATGCAAAGGTGCAGTACGGGAAAACTGCAAAACTTTCATCATCTACGCGTAAACAGCAAGTGCGCCAGCGCTAGTACAGTGCATATCGCGCACATGTTGACGATTGCATTGAGTTTGTGCACGGTTGGGCCATAATCGAACGCCGTAGCATGACACAGAAAAACGGCCCAGGAATGTACAAAGTTGAGCCATACTACGACTTTAATCGCATCCCTGTCGAGCTTCCCACATGCATGTTTAAAATGGCAAGCTACCTCGAGAATTCAGAGAATAATCAGGTTTGTATTTTGATCGTAATTTTGGGCCAGTTTTGAGTGATCAAGCTGTCATTCTCATGGCTGTACCGTACCGTCTGCTCTTGAAGTTGACCGGCGCGCCGGCCGGCGCGGCACGGCCCATGCCGAATAGACACAGCCGGCCGGCGCAAGTGGAGAATGGCACACGAAAGGATGATTGCATATTTCGGAGGAAAAAAACAACAATTTGTAGGAAAGATTCCCATATCTGGCCATCACCAATTTTCCCCTCAATATCATCAGCCATCACATCAGAAAGTGATAATAATGTCCTAAAACATCAAATTTAGCAGGGAAAATATTGAAGTAGGCCTATGTACTGAGAAAACACTTAGAAATCTTCGGACAAGTCTAATACGGTTTGTGCACAGGGTGAAAAGTGATTGGCCAGATATGGAAATCTTTCCATTTTGTATCCTAAACCTATGCAATCTTTTCCTCAATATACCACCTTCATAATTCATAAATTGTCAGTCGTGCTTTCCTCCATATTTTGTGCACATCACAGACATGAGAAGCGGTTCAGTTTGTTTTTCAAAGTCGTTAACTCATGCCATGGTGGAAGGAAAACTGTATACAAAAACAGGATACCCGCAAAAACATGACAGGAGGGGGCGGGGGTTATACTTTTTCAACTTAAGTTGATGAACATCAATTGTGACGGCCACAGCGTTGGCATTAAAAATGTGTTTTATTTTATTTAATTTTGTAATATTCTACTTTAAACAGGAGGACCCCAAACTCATCGAGCTGGAACGTCGTCAGGAACACATCCTACAAGAGCTGAAGTCACTGGAGAATGAAGTATCTACCCTGGCCAGCAAACTCAAACCATCAGCTGATGTCATTGTTACAAGGCAGAAAGACACAGCCTTGGTAAAACAATACAGCAGAAACTACTCATCACTGCCCCACCACAAGTGTTCAGGAATGGATGGTCATTCTATTTGTCTGTTTTCTGACCTTTTCTGGTGGGAAGTTTCAGAAACATGGATTTAAATACACAAAACTGCAAAATGACAAAAATAGTTTCGAACCAGAAAGTATAAACACAAAAATTGCTCCAGTTTTGGCTCAAATTGAAATCTTAAGTTGCAATAGTTTTAACTAATTTGCAATATGTGTGTTTGATGAAATGGAATTCAACAAAAGTAACCAGTCTTAAATTGTATCATCAAAAATATCTTATGAAATCTATTCTTTATTCTTTCAGGGAAGTGTAATCCATGATATTGTGATCTACGCCAACCCAGCCCAGCCCCTTCTCTCACTTGGCGTGTTGTACGAGATGCTGAAAGTGAACTACAGGTGTCGATCCTCTGTTCACATACACTCGTCGGTGAAGTCCCTGCCGGACCGACTGTGGAGCTGTTTTAGCAACGGGGTGGAGCTCAGCCGGGGCGAGGCCCAAATATCACTGACGCTGATCTGGAAAGATGGTAAGCTTTTGGAAATTCCAAATCCCAAAACGTGGGACTCTCAATCTCAGTGATTAACAGTGTTGAGAGTCCAGAAACACGAGATTGTAAAAAAAAGACATTTATTAAAAAAAAAAAAAAAAGACTTCTGAAAGGTCTACATTTACAAAAGAAAAGTTGGACAGTCCTGGGCTTCAAATTTAGTTCAAATGGCTTTAGTCTCCAACCAGAAGTGTTTAAAAAAAAATCCACCCCTATTTCTGACACCTAATCCTAACCCTGACTCTAACTAAAAGAGGCAACACAATGGAGATAAGTCCAGGCTCGATATTTGAAATGAGACAATGAATTTGGCGTGGTGAAATACTGGAGACGCCATTATTTTCCTTTCGGCAATTTCTTGAGTGGAGTAAATTTCAAATAAACTTTTGGTTTTACCTTTCAGTCTCCCACGGACCCATCATGATGGTTGCAGCACCTTCGCAGTCCCCGATCCACGGAGAGGCCAACATTGCCCGCTACGTGGCCCGCCTCCTCAACCCGGGCTACGACGCGACGGACCCCGTCCGCGCCACCACGGTCGACCACTGGCTGGATCTGGCCACCAGCTCGCTTGTCAACGGTAGCTCCAAGGAAAAGGCCGCCGGCGTGCGCGCGCTCAACTCCAGACTGGGCAGATGCGAGTGGCTGGCGGGGCCGTCGATATCCGTGGCCGACGTCGTCTGTTGGAGTGCCCTGCACGGTGCAGGGCAGGCAGCGGGTGCACCAGCTAACGTACAGAAGTGGCTGAAGGCCTGTGCCGGCCACAGTTTATTCACGATGGCATCAGGACTTGTAACTGCATAACTTTTGTAGTCATTCATGCATGCAGAACTGTTGCTGAATTCTTTGCCCATGAAAACATAGGAATATACACAATATTTTAACCAAGTTTGTGTTCTCTCTTTATCCCCTTTATTTTTGTTATAAAATGTTGCGAACTCGTGTGTAATATCTTTACCTTTCGAACTGGTTGGCCTGTTTCCTTGCTCTATGGCAGAAAATTGATAATAAGATCCAAAGTGAAGAAAAATCATGACTATCATGACGACTGAACCCTGCTGTTATGAAATTTGACCAAAGTCGTGAGCAAGTCACTCACAAGTCAAGTTACAAGTTATCGAAATGAACTTTGGTTAGGCATTCCTTTGTCATTTGTCACCCTCGGTTACATGTGACATGCCTGGTGATTTGACTAGTGACAGAGTTGGTTACAAATCTCAAGTTGACATCTCTTATTGTATTATCTTTATTTCCAAACCTGTTTTTAAGAATACATTGCATAAAGGAACACTGCTCTCGCTAAATATTATTGATCAAGTGCCTGTTTCTTTTGTTTTTCTCTTGTCAGTTTGTAGCAACACAGATGTTTGACCTTTGACACACAATATGCAGTTGTGATGAGACTTGGTGGAACATTGTCTGCATTCAATCAGGAATTTCAACCAATAAATTCACCATTTGTTCATCTCACAACAGACATTAAGCATTGTTTTTACAGTAGGTGCTGATGCTCTACTTAATGAGGAATGTTTTCAATGTTCTCAATAATGAATTTTCTGTATCATGTTGAAAATAAACTTTTCAGAAGTTGAATTTTAACTTTGTCCCAAGTTTCGTGTTGTATGGATACCGGTACATAGTCAATTTTGTGCACTGCTTGCTAGGAACTCGAGTATTATAATGTCATTGTTTGGGAACTGAAATTAATATCATAATGACTTCAATAGTTTAAATACTTCTAGACTTTTTTTCTTTGCAATTGCCTACTAAGTGTATATAGTATAATTGTATTTCACTTTTTTCCAGAACAAATTGGAAATTCAATGTGTGCAAATACTCTGCCTATTCAAATAATAAATCCAGGATCCACAATTGATGTTAAATATTGGGGGGAAATGCTTTAAAATTCATAAAGCGGGGTGTAAATAGGAGTTACATTGACACCCTTTTACGTAACTCTGGTTGAGAAAATATAATTTCAAGGCTCTTATTTGGGGGGGGGGATGGGGCGGGGAATTGGGATTCCCCTTCCTACCCCCCCCCGGCCCCCCCCCCCCCCAAAAAAAGATTAACGGTTTACCTTTTTACCGAAAGAGGGCGCTACATAACATAGACGGTAGGAAAATACAAAATGGCGCTCCCCTGCGAACAATTTGTTGTTGAGATCGTCTGTAAATTCTTGCTGCATACTTCAATAATGCGGAATTTCGGATGACATTTGACATATTTTCGTCCCGTATAACTGAACAGCTTAGCAATTGTTAGTTTCTAAAAGAAATCGAGCGTATCCATTGATTAGAAATGCGGCGTTGAAATTGGGATTAAAATGCATTCAAAATCAAGTTATTGCGTCGTCTGCTCGAGATTCGTGGTTTGTTTATGGGTCGTGGCGGCGTCACAGACGGACGCCCGTGTCGCAGTCCGTGATCATTTTGATGGAAAGGGATTGCCTGCTGGAATTGTAGAACAACTACGATCAATAGGTGAGTAAAGGACGTTTCAACTATGAGGTCTCCTTTCCTTTTCCTCTCTCGAGGTTTTGTGGGGTTTTTTTGGGGGGGGGGGGGCAACCGGCATGGGAGGAGGCTCAGATTGTTAAATCATTACCATGTGATTTTAATATATATATATATATATATATATGTGTGTATGTTATGATTGTATTATCATGATTTCAATTGTTTTCCCCTACATCATTGACACAGACAATGAAGACTTTGGAGAAGACTCCTGTAAAATCGTCCCCAAGGATGTACAATTAACAAGACATTCCTCAAGAAGTGGATTCCACAGGTATTTTATTTTGGCTATAAATTTTAATTGATGCTTGCAGTTGCAGCACAGAGTGTATTTTTGACATAAAAGTATGTAATTCATGAGAATGTTTAATTATGCTGACATTTGTGTTTTGTGAAATCATAAGATATATGCACTGAATTTGCAACAAAAAGATTTGTTAAATCAAAATGGAACCCCAAAAAAGTATATTTTAATTCACAAAAAGTTACTTTTTTTTTGTAGATTGAAGAGATTATTCATTTTTATTTTCTACTACATGTATATTCATTTCAGGGATATCCATACCTCAGTGAGTGTGCTGCTCGATCAATCCCATCACTGCACATCTTGCCATCTTCTCTTGATTGAGAGGCTTCCTGGCGGCCTGTATGTCGACCTTTACCAATCAGCTGCAGCAGTTGACTTTGGAGGACCTCAGGTACAGATACTGAGATAGGGATCAAGTACAGAGAATAGCTGAAATATCTCTGTTGTGGACAAAATGTCTGAAAAGTGAATAATGGGTATTTACGCTTCAAACAGCTAGATCTTTTTTGTTCCGGACAAAATGTCTGAAATGTGAACAGTGGAGTAAACATCATCGATCATCACCATTTCAGATATACTGAGAAACTGAAAATGGTGAAAATATCTGAAACATAAATCCCCATTTATCATAACTTTTCAGACATTTTGCTCAAAACAGAAATATTTCAGATACTCTTGGCTCATAATGAATGAAAGCGTGCCCAGTTTGGTCAAAAAAAGACTGGACAGTTAAGTAGAGGAGACTGTCTCAAGTAAAATTGGTTTAACAAGCGACAACTCTTTCAATTTTGTTGGGCAAAAGCATGGGGTTCCTAATTTTCAACATTTTACACTTGTCATGATTCTGAAAAAAATACCCTTTAATTCTTTCAATTTGTAGGTTGATCATGAGTGACATTTAAATGAGATGAACAAGTGTTGTATAGAACATACTGAATTAATTAGAGTTTTTTTCCCCATTTTAATATGATCAGATTCTTGCATTTGAAGAAATTGATCTGGAGAAACCAGCCTACCTCTCTGCTGGACACACCATTCTTGTCTATCCCTCCAGCTCACCCCAAATAATACCTCAGGGACGTGAGGTGGTGGTGAATTTCACCACTGAGATGCCGATCCATCTGAGATATCACAGACCGTCTGCGGAGCCAGATGCGCACTCGGCCCACGTTTCACTGCCGTCACCTTATGCATTGATTAGGTGCACAGGTACATGCATTTTATTGGGGACACAATAGTTTTTTTTTCTTTGCTGACTGTAAAACGTGGATGGTTGAATTCAGATTTAAGTCATCACATTCTGGGCAAAAAAGAAAAAGTTGAACAAATAAAATAATAAACAAACACTAAAAGGAAATTCCTTTAAAAACATGAAAAAATGAAAGGAAAGAATGTTGCAACCTGACTCCCCTTTTTCTTCATATCAGTCATTGCAAAAATGATGACAAGACATGAATCTGGGACTGAGAAACATTTCCAATTTTGTTAGGAAATACTTAGAAAATTGTGTTGACTCTCCATAGACTTTGTACACAACCGCTGAAGTGGCGTCAGGTTGCAACATTTTTTCCAAATGAAATGTGTCAACCACAGCTTTGCCAAATAATTCCATGTAGGTGGTGTACATTCGATTGAATCAACAACAAAAATGTTACAGATTAAGCTGGTAAAACGTAGCTTAGAGAGTTTTTAAAAAGTAACTGACATATTTCGAATTATTTTTGAGTTGAACAAAGAAATTCTCAACTAAAAAAAAATTACGTCAGTTTCTCTTTTTGGTTTATTTTAAAATATAAAGTTTCATTGAAATATTTGGGTACAATTTCATGAAATGAAAATCCCACTCAAATACAAATGCTGTTTGTTTGTATTGTACATTTATTTGTTGACTTTCATCAGAGTTTGCATAGTTTAAATACAGTGAAATCTCGATGAGTCAAACACTGATAACTCAAAACAACTGTTAAATCAAACAAAGAATCAATTGCCTTCATGATCTGTACAACCCTACTTAACTCAAAACTCTGCTTAAGTCAAATTTTGAACCTGTTTCCTTGAGATTTGACTTCTCAAGATTTCACTGTAATACAAATTTACATGACAAGTGCATCTGACATTACAATTAAAAAAAAGGGAAGATAATTCTAGTTGCCAACAAATTAATGTACAAATAAAAAATTTTATCACAGGGGCTTCACATATTGGAACACAAACAACGGCTGATGATGACGCAGATGGTTTACCGGTGTACAAAGCCCCATGCAGTGGAACAAGCAACACCAACTGTCTATGGAGGCTATTACCACAGAGTCCCAGGGTGAGTTTTCTTTAAGTGTTCTGAGTAGGTCATGATGGGGTAACGGTGCTATCCACACCTGCCCTGGTCACCGTTTGCTTTGTATCATGCAATCCCCAATCCAAACTGAAGATTTTTTTCAATAGTATTTCAATTTCAAAGTGGGTCACTATAAATATGAAAAAAAAAAATGACAAAGTCACTGTGACCAAATGCATCATATTTACGATTTATGTCCAGTCTCAAGTCAATTCACAAGCTATTCAAATTAACTGCAACAAATGCATTCCTATCCCCCAATACTTATGACCTTCCATACTTTGTTCACTACAACCATGCAAAGCTACAAGTCTCACTAATGACCTTGCTTTTGATTGACTTGTGGTTGGACTTGTGATAGATTGATTAGATTTTTATTTTTGCCCAACAGGAGAATCATGAGCTGCATTTTCAAGTTCCCGTTGGGCAGCAGAGTCACACGTTACTTGTCACCGTGGTAACAATACTGGCCACCATCGCAGGAACTTTGGCAGTGCTCGTAACAATGTTCAGAAGCTCCACAAAGGCTAAACCGGACTGAGCCACAGATGAACCGGACAGGCAAACAATGTGGAGTTGATAAACACAGACACCTGCCAAGCTCAGAAACTAATTTCCTTTGCACAAACTGGTTACCACCTGAGAATTGCTAGCTACATGTACATGTATGCGTGCTGATTGGGACTTGTAACAAAAATGTACTGAGCAAGATTTTCCGCTTGAAAAGTGGCCCAGATCAATCTGGCATGACTCACTTAATAATTCAGGAATGTTTGAACATTTTAAGAGAAGGCAAAATTTAAGTACAAATTCAAGTCTATTATGAAAACAAAACTGATTCAAAGAAATTTACCTTTGTCATCCTATTATATTACCCACTCCCTTTGCAAAGTTAGGTCTCATTAAACCAGTGACATACAATGTAACATGTGAATGACATGATAATTGGTGTCATTAGTGCAGAAACAAAACTTCATTAGATGCAACACAGTTAAATTAATTAATCCTCAGTTATGAAATATCAAATTCATCAAACAGGTCAAAAGAATAAACAAAATTTCAAACTGAAAACTGTGTGAATTCACACCAAAAAGTCCTGCACTGCCCTGGAAGCACAAATATGTTGAAAGTGTAGTTAGGATTTTCAGATTAAATTTCAGGGATTTGGTATGAAATGGAGTGAAGTTTAATCCACTCGATATTGGAGCATGTGTAACAGACTTCCTCGGCTGTTATTCAAATCGAGACCCAGGCAGATACCAAAAATAGGCTGATTATAGAAATCTGGGGTTCAAGAAACTTCCAGTAATGCTGTGTTGCTCTGTTACCCGCCTGTACCAGTGCTGTGCAATCATGTAGAATGCCATGGTCCAGTGGTTACGGTTTTTGACTCGTGTGTGATGGTGCGTGGGTTCGAAACCCTGCCAGGAACATGGCGTTTGTGCCCTTGGGCAAGACACTCAACTGCAATTGCCTCTCTCCACCCAGGAGTATAAATGGGTACCTGTGAGGGTAGAGGACCAAACGTGCGCTGATATCGGCTGCCGCATGGTCTTGTGGCCTGATGGACTGGCAAATAATTATAAAGCGCTTTGAGATTGTTGATACGATGGAAAGCGCTATGAGCATTACAATTTATTATTTATGTATATTAACATGCTCCCAATTTTAATTTCTTTCTTCACTTCTCCAGTCTGACAGGCATCCTGCTGGTTTTTCATAGAGTGGCTTATTTCCAAAAAGTATACGGATCTGCAACTGAATTATGACAGAAAATTACAATTAAAATGGCTGATATTTGTATAAATATGGCATCAAATGAAATCTTGTCATCTTACTCGTGTATTGCTTATTACCTTTATCATCCGAAGTTCTCAAGTCTAACAATTTGTTATGTCAGTCCCCATTTTAGTTTTCTGATTTTGAAATAAAAAAAAAAAAACATTTAAATGTGTGGACTTCAGGAAACAAGGCCCCCCCCCTTCCACTGAGGTGGTTGAAATGAGAGAGCCATTATTTTTGGAGGTCCGCAGTGAAAAGTGCATACAACCTGGTTAAGTGTCCCTTTTTAATGTCCTCAAAATACATGTACACGGTATATCATCTGTAATTTATTAGAGTCCATACTAGAGTGCCGTGTGCTTTTGATATAATACCAAAAAAAACCTGGCAGTACTTATAGAAACTTGTGCTTTATATCAGTATAGTTCTTGAACAGTTGCACAGATGCTACATAATTGTTGTGAACAATTCAATTTTAAGAATACAGATGCTGTTCACTGAGGTAGTAAATTAATGGATTAAAACCATAGTGATCCCCAACCAGCCTAACTCTACCACAAGGGTTTGGTGGGGTCACAATTGTTTAATGCAGTTTAATAGCACAGGGTGCTGGAATTTGCAAGGATGAAGAGGGTTCCTTGATCATCCTAAGCTAGGGAGTTAGGTTGAAGTATCAGTAAAGTTGATGGGGCGAAAATATTTTACCCTTGGAACCACTCCTCAAAATGCTGTGAAAAAAGTAAAATTGAAGGATATAAATGAATTATGTATGCTAAAAATAACCTTACATTAGGGCAATTATTTACCACACAAATTCTGCATATTCCCCCTTCTTCACATTTGGTTAATAATACTTGACCCTAACCTTCCTAAATTCTCCAAAAGCAACAGGGCGATTTTGGAGGATTGAGGCTGAATGACAAAAAAGTCACTGTGTCGGTTTGATTTTGGAGGTTGCATTGTGGTTAAGGTCTTAGGCTGTACCCTGCATTGTTTACGTTCAGCCATGCATAATTGCGTCCTACATAATACTGGATACCATCGACACTGCTTCTGGATATCTTTGGCACTGCCTCAACATATTAGCAGCCATGGGCGTCGCCAGGATTTTTTCTAGAGGGGGACAAAAAATTTTTTTGCCAAACAATGCTTGTATTTCTCAACACATTCTCGATTTATCAGTTTTAGAGGGGGGCAGTGACATTTTGCCCCCCCCCCCCCAACTCAATAAATTTACACCACTTTGTCTTCGCGCCTCTTTTTCTTTTCTTTTTTTTCTTTTCTTTTTCTTCCTTTTTTTGTTGTTGGCTTTTCCAGGGGGGGGGGGGGGGCAAGTGCCCCCCCTTGCCCCCCCCCCTCGCGACGCCCATGTTAGCAGCGATTGTTGGAGGATTTGGAAGGATTGAGGCAGTGGTCACTCCTCCATTGAACAAATTCAAGAAATAACGGGTAATTTTGGAGGACAGAGGCCAAATCAAATGTTTACATGATGGCAATTGGAGGAGTTTTTGTAGGACTGAGGATCATGCTTCTTAGCCAAAAGGGCCTACATGTAGGCAGTTACAGTTGTTTTACCACCGCATGTGGAACCACTTTGCCTTATTCAAGGGACTAGTCATGCTACTTGTAGCTACACTGCTTGATCCAGGCCATCTCTGACAGCTGTCCACAGTTCAGATTTAAAGAGTGCCTCTTGCATTAGTCTTTCAAGCTCATCATTGTAAAGACTTCCAGGGAATTGCTCCTCCATGGAATGACTCATACTGCATTGATCCAACACATCCACTTCATGGAAGCTCTCAATGGCGTGAGCGTCGAGAAATGACTCATCGAGTTGCACCGGCTGGACTCTCGTGTGACTCTGTTCATGTGCGTCCAGGTCCGTCCGGTTCTGGAATCTCGCCTTGCAGGTGTCGCAGGAGAGGTTAGTCTCCTTGGCGTGGATGGTGACATGGTTTTGAAGATTGATTTTCTGGGCGAAGCTCTTCCCGCAGGCATGGCAGAGGAAGGGCTTCTCGTTGGCGTGGAGCTTGCGGTGTTGCTTGACGGCACTCTTCTGAGTGAACGTCTTGTCGCAGAGGTCACAGGCGTACGGTTTCTCCTTAGTGTGGACGCGACTGTGGGCAAGAAGCTTGCTCTTGCTTACGAATGCCTTGTCGCAGGAGTCACAAGCAAAAGGTTTGGTGTTTCCGTGGAGTAGCTGGTGGCCTCGGAGACGGTCCGCATCCTTAAACGTCTTGCTGCACTCCCCGCATGTGTAGGCATTGGCATGGACCTGTTTGTGCTTCTTAAGGTTCCCCCCATTGCGGAACCGCGCACCGCACGTCTCGCACACAAAGGGTGCTTCCTGGGTGTGCTGCAGGCTGTGGGTCCTCAGGTTCCCAATTTGCGCAAAGGTCCGTCCGCAATAGTCGCACAGGTAAGGCTTTTCATTGGTGTGGGTTCTCTGGTGTTGCTGAAGCCCGGATTGCTGACTGAAGTCCTTTGAGCACACATCGCAGGTAAACCGCCTCTCTTTCTTGTGGCCCTTTCTGTGGACCTTCATGTGCAATTTAAGTTCACGCTTTGATGGCAAAACTTGTTCACAGTCCTGACACTCATATGTTGCCATTACCCTCTGTTGCAGCCTCAGCCTCAGCCTCGGGTCCGATCAAGAAAGTTCTTTAGGTAGGCTGCATCGACGTTGTTCACAGTTGACATTCAGGTAAACGATGGATGAATAGGAGTTCAATTCGTGGAAAGGCAGTCTACATTACACATTAAAATAACATCTAAATTATCATAAAACTGCAAGACAAATTCTTTAAAATTGGGTGTCTTCTTTCGGTCATACTAAACAGCGTCAACACACTCCAAAGCGTCAACACGGCGTCAACACAGCGTCAACACAGCGTCAACACATCCAAAATGCATTAAAAGTGACAAAAGCAGTATGTAGCCCATATAGTTTGGAAAGAAACAAGATTTTGGCTTAAAATCAATAGGTTAAACGTCTGAAAATTGCGATTTTCAGTTCAAGAAAATTGGCTCTCCGTGCCGCTCCGTGATCGGCTGCCATGTTGCCTCAGTGGCAGCGCGGACCATACCATTATGCTGAAGGGTGATAGCGTTGTACAATAAACCTCAGTCCCTCACAGATCAGAGTGCACTGGTGTCCCTCTCTGCAGCAAGACGCCCTCTGTTGTTTATGACAAGATTACTTGCACACCCCTACTTGAAATGGTGTAGTCCAAGCTTTGTGCGAAGTCAAAATGGTGGACAACGGCCGTGCAAGTGAAGGGTCATTTTTTTCGCGTGAAAATACTATATTTCTAACAACAAAATGGAAACTCAATCCAATGAAAATTCTCTTTTATTCGATGCTTTACAATTATATACCTTTTCTGTTAATTCAGAATGTGTTTTGGATGTGTTGACGGTGTGTTGACGCTTCTGTCATGTGTTGACGTTGTGTTGACGCTGTGTTGACGCTTTTTAGTGCGACCCTCTTCTTTAGTTATAAAACCAACACTGTGTCTTATGCAATCTCTCTGCAATCAGTTATTGAAATATGGCGCCCTCTAGTGGCGCACTTCGGTCTGTACTATAGGGTGACCGTATTAGCCAAATTTCGGCTAAATTTGACAGAATTTTTCGAGGGAAAAAAAAAGAGTTTGACAGAAAATTTAGCAGAATGGATTTTTTAAGCAGATTTCTAGCAGAATTGGAGAAGAAAAAAAATGTCACGCGCCACCCAACGCCACTTTTTCTTCATCATCTCAATGAAGGTCAGTTTTATGACTTTTGTTTTGTTGAAGAACATTTGAAAACACCTGCATGTGGAGACTGAGTATAAGTCTATTTCGTGTAATAGTAGGTGATTCAGCAGATTTTTGAAGCGCATCTAGCAGAATTTTGCCATTACCTTACGGTCACCCTGCCTTCGCGTTTAATTCTTTACAAATTTTCAAAATGGACGGCGTCGAGAGCACCGTTGAGAACGTGGAGGTGGTCACGACGATCGAAACGACCACCGAAATCGAAAATAATAGCTGTGTAGACTACGAGGAATATACCGCATTCTGCGACGCCGCATTTCCCCAGATTCGAAGGACAAGCAGCAAGACCATCAGGAGGGCGAAGGGAGAAAAAATCATCCAATGCCTGAGAGGGTTGCTCGACAAAAACGACAAGGCGCTGCCGAACCTCAACTACTGGGTCCGTAGCAAGGAGCTGGAGCTGCGACAGTTCCCGGAGCTCGGCCTGAAGGATGTGCTGTGCGTGCCGAGCCAGACAGTGCAGGTACGACGGTGCTGTTGCGCTCAATAAAGCAATAATCACGATGATATGATGGGAAAGGATTACTAGTAGTATAATTATGTTCATAAATTACACTTACCTGCTTACACTACAGTTCCATGCCAAATTATTCATTTTTCCCATTAATTTTTATTCATTTGCTTTAGATATTTTATTTATTCTTTTTCTATATATTTTGTTTTTGAAGATTAAACTTTTGCAGTGACCATCATACTAGTTAGAGGAAATGTTTTAAAAGTGGCTTAACTAAAGCCTTAAGAAATTAGAATCATATGCATTTTCTAACCTCTCTACAAACATGACAAATTGTACCTATACCAATATATCTTGATCGTGTTGATCTTGGGTTGGTGTTATTTGGAGTAAAATTGGACCCAACAAATTGCTTTTTAAGCATTTTCAAACAACTGTATGCTAAGATATTTCATTTTATTTTGAAAAGTGTGGAAGTTGTTCCTTGCCCAGTCTGGTGGATTGTGTAGCACTTAATAATAATAGGCCTAGGTCTGTAAAGGAGGCACGATTACAAATCTTAGCAAAGTGTTCTTTCTAACAAAATTTGAAGTACATGTATTTCTTAGACCAGAAATTATGTTTGCAAAAACTGTCCACTTAGGTCTCGGAGAAAAGAGTGTGTTCAGGTGTTAGCGGTTAGTGTTACTCATTCTGTAATCTTACCTGCAAAAGGAATTGACAAAATTCAAAATAAACAATACTGGTTCTTACTTGTAGAAGTGTGGCTTAGAAGAGCCAAAACTGCCCAGAAATCTGTCCTTTTTCAGTTTCTGAACGAACCATCCAAACAATTTTTTTCCAACTTTACAATTCAACGAACGTAATTTTCATCCTCCCGTTATTTGTCTGTAAATTTACAAACTTGTAGTAAAATCTCGATAAGTCAAACTCTGATAACTCATAACAACTGTTAAGTCAAACAAAGAATCCATTGCCTTCAGTAGTATTACAATGAAATACAACCCTGCTTAACTCAAAACTCTGCTTAAGTCAAATTTTGAACCTGCTCCCTTGAGGTTTGACTATATCAAGATGTCACTGTAGTTGACATAGCTGGTCAACCTTGGTCTGACCAATAACAAATCAGGCAGACTAGTTTGATAACACATAGCTAACCATTTCTCATCTTTTTCTTTCAGTTTGAAAGCCTCGATTGTGGAGAGGATGGAGTATTTGGAGAGTGGCGGTGTGTGGCCTATGTTGAGGACTTCCACACCCTCCTGGTGAAAATACACACCGAAACCCTCAACCACAGTGGGGGCTACAAAAAGCTGCTGAAAGAGGTACATGGGGAATGAACTATAAATCCTCCCCTTTGCCTCTGCATGTATCCCAAACTGGGACCTGGAGTGCTCTGAAACGTGCAAAACTAAACTAGGCCAACTTAACTCACTCTTTAGCCAGAAAATTTCTCCAAAAATTACACTGGGGCAAAGAAAAGGTCCTCAGTATTTCACCAACCAAGTTTGCAGACTCAATTCAATTTTTAAAGGAGACTTTCTTCAATATTTTGCACATAAGAGGGAAGTCAAGTGATTTCAAAATGGGGCTAAGTACTAGACTGGTACATGTCCAACCATGGTCTAACTACATGTACTTGAATAGACTGACCTCTTCATTCAGTGTCATTAGTCTGGTGGCTTGACTATGGAGAAATGTGTAGTAAATTGAGACTAGTTCCTGGTTCATGCCTCATGTTTCTTTTGGCACAATTGATTGATGCAGCACTGAAGCAGTGTTGGACTGGCTATTTTCTTGTATTGCAGGTTTTCAGTACCTTAAGGTTTGGGACTCTCATACACAGTAACGAGACTTACGAGAGTCTCAATTTTTCGGACTACATGTATCCATAACCCAAAGTTCCTTAACTCTACCCCCTTCTCTGGCTGTTTTTTTTTTTTTTCGTGAGCAACATCTTAGTGCTTTGCAGGTTTTTAAATCATGAAATTGGCCTCAAGTCCCCATTCAGGTGTCTGTAATTTGCAGTGGAAATAATAAGCACAGGTGAGACAACTCCACCTTGAGTGCCAGCAAAAAAAATAATGTTAAGACACCCAAATTTCATCATAACTTTTTTTGATTTTTAGTTAATAACAAAATTGCTTAAACGTCCACGTGGTTATCGCTTTCAGATTGGGAAGAACTACGCCTTCCTTCCCCGCAGTGCAGTGCAGAAATTTGTCAACATGTGCAGCACCTGGGCGAGGATTAAAACAGAGCCCAGGGCCAGGGTGGGAAGTCCAAAGCAACTTGTAGCTTCCCCGGGGAGCAGAGGAAAGAGAAAGGTATGAAACTAAGGCCTTGTCCGAATCATGTGGCTGCGGCCGGGAATAACACGCACACCTATGGAAGCCACTGGCTAGCCGCTGAAGCCACTTCCCATAGACTCGTGTGTTATTTCCAGCCGTAGCCAAGAAAATAATGCTAAGCAAATTTGTGTGCTACATGTAAGTGAAGGATTAGCAGAGAACCAGTTCAGGCGTAAATCTTGCATGACATTTGGCTGGTAATCCAATTGTGCTTAGCAAATATTTTCAATGCTTTGTAGCAAATGCCTTTAGTAAGCAGATCCATGAAATCACTGAGCACTTTCTTCTCTTACTTTGAGATTGCATTAATGAAAACACAAGAATTCTGTTTTTTTGGTTAGTACAAACTTGAAATAGAGAATATTTTCCAGGCTCCACACCAAAAAAAAATGGCAGTGTGAAGAGAATTTTTCTATAGCAGGGAATTTAAAAGATGTTAATTCTGAGGAAAAAATGCAACAGCTCCAGGGGTAATATTACTAAATGACATCTTTCTTTATTCCAAATCAGTTTAAACCCAAAAAACCCAAAAGGTAAATAAATGATAATGCACACATTTAGTAAACATTAAGTTACACAGGAGTCCGAAACTTTGCCACATTAGTTTGTTGTTAGTAACTATTTTTTCCCCACTGTCACAAAAAATCCCCCAGAAATCCAAGGCTAACAGAGATTACAGGTCCTACTCTTCCACCTCCATGGCCCTTGCTTATCGTGCTATCAAGGAAGAAGGGGAATCAGTCAGAGGGGCTGCTCGGAAATTTGGCCTGCCGGAGTCGACCATCAGATCAAGGTTGAGCAAGAACATGGGGCCAGAGGGTGCCCGGTCTGGGCCGGATCCTGTACTCAGCTTAGATGAAGAGACCCATCTGGTCGAGCATCTGAAAAGGATGGTGGACTGTGGGTACGGGCTCGGTAGGACGGAGGTGCTGAATGTGGCAAATGCCTACGCCGTCGGCCTCAAGAAGCGGGACAAGGACCACTTGCTGTCCAAAAGGTGGTATGGCTTGTTCATACAGCGATGGCCCGGTCTGAACGTCATCACTTATCCCGGGAGTCTGGATACACAGAGAACCAGGGCAAGCTCTCAGGACGCCATCTCCAACTACTACACAGAACTGCAACAGCTGATGAGCACGCATGACCTGATGGATGACCCCGAGCGCATCTTCATGCTCAATGAGAAGAGTGTCAAGGTCTGTGAGGTAGAAGCTGGGTCGGACGTCCAGCTGGCCGTGACCGTCATCGGCTGTGGAGACGCCTCAGGTTGCCAGATTCCACCCTACTTTGTATATCCAGGCCACAGGATGAGCCACCAGCTCCTGAAGGGAAGCACGCCAGGTGCCAGTGGCAATGTCAGCGAGTCCGGTTGGTCCAGCACGGACATCTACAAGGATTACCTGCTGAACCACTTTGGGAAGTACGGTCAAGGAAGTGATGCAGAGAAGCCCTGCCTGATTCTCTACGATGGCCACAGGGCGAGCATCTCGCTGTCGCTGGTCAGCTGGGCAAGGCAACATAACATGATACTCTTCATTCTTCCAGCCCACATGAGCCACACTTTGCAGCCTGGTGATCTTGGATGCTTCGGGCCTTTCGAGCACCTCTACAACCATGAGTGTCACAGATACATGCAGGACAACAGCTGCACTGGCATTGACAAGAACTCAGTCTGCGAACTCGTCTGCAAGACGTACACCGTGGCACTCTCAGCTAGTAATCTCCAGGCGTCTTTTAAGAAGGCAGGGATCTATCCCCTGGACCCGTCGGTTATCGACAAGACCATCTTCCCTCCTGTCAAGGATCTGAAAAGATCATCTCGTAAGCGGGCTCGGAGTTCCCTGCGCCAGGCCGGAAGCGGTGAGGAAACATCAAGTGAAGAGGATCAGCTGCTGGACCTCATGGGACAAGGACAGTATGTTGAGATCGAAGAGGAAGGCCTCATCCACAAGCTCAAGTCGGCAAAGAAGAGAAAATGTCTCTGCTTCCTTGTTTCTGGAAAGGCCATCACCGATGAAGCCATTCTTCAGAAGCTCCAGGACTCTGGGACCAAGAAAGGTAGACGATCTCTGATGAAGTTCACATCGCAGCTGACAAAGTCAAGGAAGAAGGCAAAGAAGCAACGGCCCAAAAGCAAGTCCAAGTCAACATCCTCGGAGCAACCTGATGCTTCAAGTCAGCAGAATCTCGGAGATTCATCGGATGCATCGTCCTCAGATGAATCGGATGACTTAGCGGAAGCAGATTCTGTGGTGGGCATACTTCACATCCTACAGTGAATTACAATAAGTAGGCAATTCGGCAAGTGATGTGTCTTAAGCATCTGATTAAGGAAAGTGCTTTGATAGTGACTGTAATACCAACTGTTCTTTGGATCCTTTTGAATCCCATCCATTTCATAGCATTTCTTGGCCTCCTGTTTGATATTGAGTTATAATACGTTCAAATGTACATACGTAGTTAAAAAAAAGTACTACTTTTTGCATACATGCACTTGTATCAACATAGGCAAAAATCAGTAATGTTAACCATTTGATGCACAAGACAATCACTAGTGACCGCCCCCCCCCAAAAAAAAATCATCTGTGCCACTTATTCAAATAATCTGTGCATCGATGGGTTAAATGGCTAAAATTAATTTTGTTCAGATGAATACACTGTATAAAAGTTTGTAGTAATATTAATACATGTAACACAAATTTAAATGTGCTCTTCGTTCAAAATTACGAGGAAAGCTTACAAAAATACCAGAAATCCTGTCTTCACATTTTGACAAAGTGAGAATCACACTGTGGACAGGTATGAGTGCGCCAAACCAGTCATTCAGTTCCGGTCATGGAGTTTGTACTTCATTTAATACAGGGATTGTCATTATACAGTCGAACCCTGATAAGAGCACTGTTAATACAACATCCTGCTTATAACAAGCAAAATGTTAGGCCCCAAGTCTTAGTTTTCCTTTGTTTTCCGTTACTGTTAATAAAAGGTACCTGTTATAACAAGGTAATTTGTCAAGTCCCAAGGACCTTGTTATAAAGGTGTTTGACTGTACATGTATACTGAAGCTCTGAACTGGCGTACGCTTGTAAAAAAAGAATAACCGGTAAGAGCAAGACACCTAATGTTGCTTCTCTTCTGTTGATCTCTTTTGAGTTGTTTAGAATTGTGAATAAAGTGTTTTGGGGTATTTGTTTCAAATGAAAAGCAGTTGTGGAAGTTTTCTTCTCTTTGTGAATCTAAGCAGAACTTTGATTTATATAGAGTCCTGACAATTTTGCCGGGGGGGGGGGGGGGGGTTTAGAAGAAACGGTCAAATAATTTGAGGTCATCAGCTACAGATTGTCATCTGAAATGTTATCTCGGCATAGAGTCGTACTGCAAAAAAAAAGAGTCATACACCTCAAAGCCTAGATGAAACTATGTATAGGGTCAGTTCTTGAAACACAACTCGAGCAAAATCAACCAGAAACATGGTTTCAGTGAGACGCCATTTATTTCCTTAATAAATACAAAGTGTTGTTACTTTTTGTAAATTTACAATGTATTTGTACTCGAACTACATGTATTACCAAACCACTGTACATGCCAAACAAAGACACCAGCCTATGGTAGTAGCTATTTTATGACTGAAAGGGAGAACATTTGTTTAAAAAGGGGTGTCGAACCTCCCCCCCCCCCCCCAAAAAAAGGCTCTTAATTACAGTACCTTTCCTTCAAACAATTTAGGTTCAAGAATTTAGTATTTATGAACATCTTAAGTTTGTCTTGCTGTTGCAGATACCAGAACTACTCCCTGATTTGCAGAAGCAACATTACATATTTCACACGCTCAAAGTGATTATTTTTTTTACAATTACTGCAAACATGCAGTGTCATTTTACAACATTTTGTGTCTGGTAGATGTAAATGTTAATACATGTACATCTGCATATTTTCATTCTTCTCTGTGGTCATTTAACAAACATTCATAAATACCTCAGACAGTTTAGCCATTCCTATTGGTCGAGAGCCCGTCACGTGGCCGGTATTAAACGGATGATAAAGACATGGCTAGCTGGTCTTAAACACTTTTCCAGTGTCGCAATAAAATGTGGACTCCTAAAAATCCAGTGCCTCTTATCGTTTCATTGGTTGAACGTTCACAATCCTCACGTAGGCATGCGCAACACTACCAGGGAGTTAGAATTTTATAGTTCTAAATTCAAAACGCAACGCACCAGGTGCGTTCTGCGCGACATCGCATAGAACATGATACGCGCGCGTCAATCTCCATAAAAGGGTTGTTTTCATCTTACTCGCCAGCTGAACACTCCATTATTTTGCAGGAGGGATGATTCAAAAAGCATAAAGTGAATTTGTTGAACAAAATCGGGATGTTTTGAACGAATTATATGATTTTTTTTTACCGAAAAGGTATTTATGAATGGGAATAAATATGTACTCCGTCGGTATTTATCACTCTGTTTAATACCACTTAGAGTCTGGGTGCTGATAATTACCCTCGCCTCCGGCTCGGGTAATTATCAGCACCCAGACTCTAAGTGGTATTAAACAGAGTGATAAAAACCTCCGGAGCACACATTTATTCCCTTATTAAACACGCAGTACTTTCTTAGAGATTGTGAGAAATAAACTTACGAGCTCTCAGAAAGGGAGGGGGGGGGGGGATTGACTCAAAAATTGAGTCGGACATCTGCACTTATGAATGGGAGGTTGTGGGTTCGATTTCTGGGTGAGGAAATCTTGTGAAGATACTGAGACATGCAGTGCTGCATTACTGCTTGTGACGCAACAAATTAACAACAAAAACTCAAAAATAAAAAACTAACAATATATTATAGTAACTCAATTTCAGATGATTTTCAAACTATCAAGCACACTAATTTGGTTTTCATCAAGTGTTTACACATAAAGTCTCCCTCTACTGAAAATTTTCTACAACAAATCAGGAAAACTTGCACACTAAGACCCTGTGCTCTGTGTTTTCACTCTGCGTACATGCATGAACAAGATGCAGACAGAACTGGTAATGTATACACTATAGACGTCTCCGTCTTTAAAATGCAACTACAGTCGACTCTCTTTACAAACTCTGTTAATTAACACAAATTCTGGTCATAGTGAGCATACTGCCTTGGTCCCGACTGTGCATTCATATGCACCGATGCTCCTAATACAAAATTTTGATGTAACAAACAATTTGACTAGGTCCGGCTGAGTTTGTATTTACAAAATACAAGAGTCGACTGTACATATATGAACATGTACACACAGGTTTGTTTATGGTGTAAATCGAGGATTTTCTATTTTTCCTCTTCCCTTTTCCTTTGTTTATACCTTTTTTGCAACAGCTCTCATTGGTTTTGTACACGTTTTCTATTCGAGGTCGTCCTCGATTTGGTTCCTGTCCTCAATTCATCGATGATGTTGCACGTGTGTGTCCTCAATTGACACCATAAACATGCACATGTTGAAAGGTTTAGAGAAGAACAAAAATACACGTAGCTTTGGCAACATCATGGTGGATAAATTGGTGGATAAATGAATACTTGTGGGAATTAATACTCGTGGGAATTTATTTGTGTGGAATTTTGCTTAAAAGCTGTCATGAAGTAATGCAAGTGTGTCACGAAAGACCATACCTTCCGCATAGTCTTTGGCAAGAGAGAAAGTCTAATATTTGTTTTTCACAAGTTTGTGTCTGTTATTCACAACCTTCTTTTAACCCTTACCCTACTAGACCCTCCAACGCATGCCAATATGTGCCTCAAGAAAATCTCCTATGTTTTTTGCATGGCCCTCCAATATCTGCCATGTCATTTCAAGGGTAACTGGACAGGCACTCCAATACATGCCACAGAGAACAATGAGAGTCCTCTGATAACAAAGTGAGTGCCCCCAGCTGGTCAGTATCAGGCACCCTCCAGGGCCTCCAACTCCTGCCAATTGGAGCCTTCACAGTCAAGATAGTTTATCCTCCAATAAACTGCAGCTGGAGGGCATTGGCATAACCAACTGACATGCAGTAAACTACCCTCAGAGAGTAAGGGTTAAATCAAAAACACACTTTAAAGCAAAAACAAATGCTCAGCAATCTTTAATGCAAACATAAGTGAAATATAATGCCAACCAAAAATTGAAATCATAATGTGGAGTGGACACACAATTGTTTCACAATAACTTGCATTAGAATTCAGTAACCTCTTTGTGCAAAATTTATTGAATTTGGTGTACAGTTATCCGACAAACATAAACACAACAAACAAAACAAAAACCTTTGCAAATAGGACAGTAAAACAAACACATTTCCTCAAAAAAAAAAAACAGGTTGTCTTTGACACATATCTTTGTCAACAGAACATCATTTTTTTTTTAGTATTTTACACTTCAATGTGGTTTAACCCTTACATCAAGTTTGACTGACTTTCCTCAAACATGTGCCAGTTGCAAGTCTATATTTGTTTCTGCTTTCCTTGATTTGTGCACCCAACTTTACACAGAGTTCGGGTAAAACAAGACACTTTTGCCATGAGTCGACTTTAAATAAACATCGAAGCAAAAGAAAAAAATTAAATGATGTCTTGATCATCCATTCTTCTCGGCAAACTTTCTGTAAATGAACTTTTCTTTGGTCTAACGTTCTGTACCAACTTAAGTTACTACTTTCCCAACTTAAGTTTCTACTGCCCAAACTAAAGTGTTCCAGTTCGGCCAGCCAAACTAGGGGATGAGCATTACGGACCATGCTGTACATACTCGTAGGTCACACGTGCTGCGAACTAAATTAACTTGTATTTAGTTACATTTGCAACATGGATGAATAAGCGAATAGACATGTTTTGGATGCATTTTGACATTAAAACCATGCTGGGTCCATGACAAGTCTAGTTGGGCCGGCCCAACTGGAACACTTTAATAGTTGGGACAGTCCCAACTTAAGTTGGTATAATCAGAATAAAACAAGTTGAATTCATAAAAACTTTGCCAAGGGAAAAGGGATGATCAAGAAACCAGTTTCATATTTTGGGGATTCCATATTACGTTTTGCCATTTACTGTCATAGTTGGGGCGTAACATCATCTTTGCCCCTGAAAAAATGTAAAGGAAAAGTTGTGACAAGACTCTTGGCTAATCCTCGTAGGGGACATTCCTGAAGAGATAAGACATGGACTCGCCGTAGTGGATGCGGCGTATGGACTCGGCAATGACCAGACTGATGTCCACTGAGCGCACCTTGGTGCACTGGAAGCGCTGCAGGTCATGGGGCAACGTGTTGGTAATGATCACCTGTGCATGGGTTTACAAGTGTAGAGGATGCAGAACAGAAAACTATTAATCTGTGTGGCATTTTGTGAAACGACGACACAATCTAAATTGAGCTGTTCAGGCTCTCAATTGAACCAATATAGAGGACAACGTAATCCATTTTCTGGATCAAAACGAGTTGATTTAACCCTAAACCGTCCCAACTCCATCAAAATCCCCCCCCCCCATTTTGGGTGATTTTGGCAGACAAGCCAAGTGAGTGCTCACTGCCAAGTGCATCAAAATCCACCTATAGCAGTGGTTGATTAGTGGTGCATTTCAACGGATTTGGTCCTGAAGCATTATGTGAAGCAGAGTCAGTGATGGATTTTGGCAGACTTGGTACTGTTCTTAGTAAAACTCAGTAGGGAGTTAGGGTTCATAGTACAGGGCGAGTAAAAAATAACGCAACCCGATTCGCAGGACCAATTCCTGAATGAAGTTTTGCCTGTAGCACTTTTAAAATCTAGGATATGAAAGCCCAATAAATAAGATTTCTCTTTTAGTACAAGAATCATTCAAATCACTCGTGTACTTTTCAAAAAAATTTAACACAAACTCCGTTTCAATGTTCGGCCCATGGATCACAAAAAAGGTAAGTGTTCTTTCAGCTAGACGAAAACAATTCACACATTATAGAAATGGCTTCTAAGTTTATTAGCCGAATTCATCTACAGCCAGCCTGACTCCCTTTGGCATTGACGTTCACAAGTGCTACCATGGCTACCGGTAGAATGTTACGAAAAGACATTGTGAAGTGCATTATGGAGGGCCAAAGGCAGTTGGGCTGGGGTTAGATAAGGAAAGAAAACGCAACATTGTAAGTCTACATGAATCAACAAACTGTTTAAAACTGAAACGATTATTTCATTTCTCCAATGTCACCAATGTCACCACCTAAAGAAAAGGTTAGATATTAAAGTTAATTTCTATATAGCAAGTGTCCCGTAACTGGGGAAGGATTCAAAATTTCTCAACATGATTTGTGTAGCCCTAACAGTCCTGAATCCTCCAATTTTAATACGATTTTGCACAGCCCTACCCTAACTCCCTAGGGGGTGTGCAAAATCACATTAAAGTTGGAGGATTCAGGACTGTTCTATAAACTCCATGCACAAATACCCTCATCAGTATTGACAAAAATATGAAACAACAGATGCATAGTTGCTCAGCTGATGATAATAGCACATATTAAAAAAGTTAACCATTGAGGTATGAGCTGGTTCCCATCATTCTTTCTGAAGTTTAGAATACATGTTTAATGGAGAGATTGGGAACAAGACTACATGTACTAAAAACTGGCTGGGTTTTTTTAAGGCAAAACCTTGCTCTCCCTGGTATGACTGCATTGATTTCTCACATAAATGGATCAAAAAGGCAGTGGGACCAGCCAAATGTCGGTGTTCTCACTGCCCTTGTTGCTAAGGTACACGTATGGCAGTGTTTCAGGTTTGTGCATGGAGTCAAGAAAGTTACAAAGAGAAAAGCATTGAGCATAATAGTAAATACTCAGCAAGTACATTGCACTTCTGTTTGATACAGACTCTTACTCCCTTGGAAAATGTTTCAATGCAGAAATATTTCCCTCTTGTGTTGGTGACAAATTCACAGCAAAAACATGGCAAGCGTACATTACAATGAACTTACAAGAACAGAAAACCAGACCAGTGCAATTAGTTCATACACCTTGTGTTAGTACACTACGGGAACCAATCAACTGTTAGTTATGACAAAATGTCTTTGATGAATGAAGTCTTCTTCAGCTTTTTTTAAATTTGAAACGCAAATTCCCACAAAATATCAACAGAGATATATTGACTATCGGCATTCAAGCTTTGAAACTATCTTAATAATGTCATTTCTGAATGAAATCTGCAGGAACCAAAAAAAAAGGTGAAAAAAAAGGGTGAAGTTTTCCAGATGTGGATGTGTATGGTAAGTGGGTCAAGGGATAACTCAGACATGAGCAAGTATGGTTAAAAATAATGTTTTTCAAAAATCCCCACGTTTGGACCATTTTAGTGTGAGATGATACACACACCAGCAGGGTGGTGGTATCACTTGTAATAATATGGTTAGAGATTAATATTGATGTCATCTATAAGACAGATCACGCATCACACAAGCGAAGGGTAATACCTAGTCGTACTAGCCGGGGGGATCAACAGGCAGTATTAGTCCTCCTTGGATATATTGCGGAATAGATAGGACATGGACTCCCTGTGAAAGATCCGGCGTACAGCTTCGCTGAGCGCCGGACTGATATCGACAGTCCGGATTTTTTTGGTCTGTAATTTCTGCAGCTCGTGCTGCAACGTGTTAGTGACAACAACCTGGGTGGGGAGAGGGCAAAACGGTTAGGCTATGGTCTAAAACATGTAGCACTTTCAGAATCTAGGATATGAAAGCCTAATTTATATGCTTTCTTTTAGTACACAAATCATTCAAATCACTCATGTACTTTTTAAGTTACTGAGTTTTAAACACAAACACTGTTTTAAAGTTCTGTCCACGGATCACAAAAAGGGTGTGCGTTCTTTCAGCAAAACGAAAACAATTTATATTCATCCCTTTGTAAATGGTTTTCATTTTGCTGAAAGAATACTAACCATTTTTGTGATCCATTGACAGAACTGTTAAACGGTGGTTGTGTTTAAAATTCAGTAACTTGAAAAGTGCAAGAGTGATTTGAATGATTCTTGTACTAAAAGAAAGCTTATGAATTGGGCTTTCATCTCCTAGATTTTGAAAGTGCTACATGCAGAACTTCACTGAAAAAAATGGTCCCGACATTTGGGTTTTGTTTTTTCTGACTCTGGACCCATTAAATTCAAAAACAGACATCTATCCATGCCATTTAATCTCCTTACTTAAAACCTTCTAGATCTACTGCAATTGAAACTACTGAATGGATTCTGCTTTGCACTAGCTAGCATGTACAAACACAATGTAGCGCATAACTTAAAAGCTGTCTGCCCAAGCACTAATGTTAAGGCATTTGGCATTACAACAGCACATGCTTGAATGTTAAAGGCAATAGCAATGATAAATCAGGCAGTTATGCTCTTTAACCAGTACACGCCGGAGGCCGTGTAAACACGCAAATGTTTTGCAGTATTCAGAACGGATGACAGACAAACACGCAGGGAGCGAGGCCAGAAATATCTGTCAGCGACCCGCTCGCAGTGAGCGAGGCCGGAAATATGAGGGTCCTGCCCGAGGGTGATGGCTTCAACCCGCCTGGCATGAGGTCGAGTGAAAATTAAACCCGCGCCTCATTCTGTTCTTGTCAAAATAATCCCGGCGTGAACTGGTTAACGAAGTTAAAGCAAGATCAAGTGTCATTAAAAAGCCAAACAGCAGCCTTTTCTTTTGATTGCAAACATAATTACTCTGTAGTAATAATGACAACAAGTTTGTTTGAAACCTTTGGAGTTTTTTCTTATGTGTGGTAGCAAAAGAACAGGCCTTAAACAACAAAGAATCTATAAATTTAAAACCGGAGTCCATCATTTGCAGCTATCCAAAGAGTAACTGGCGTAATTCTTGTTGAAAAACATACTTGGTTGAAAGATAGTCAGTGGACTAAACTCCCTGTGAAATGATTCTGTCTGGAAAGCTGTCATTTTGAAGAAATCAACAAAAGAAGGCCTTTCCAACAGTGCGTCTTAAGAAGGAAATTTAAATTAGTAGTTTGTTTGTTTTGCAGCGAAGCGCACGCAAGCATTGGCACGACGCACAGTTGCTATAATTCGTCGGATCAGTGCGCGACATCGCGTAGCTGCAATTGGCTCATTGAGAACGTGTCTCGGACGCTGAATTCAGGCCCAATTCAAAACATGATTCAGCAACTTTTGATTTGAAATCAAGATCCTAGAATGCTGTTTTTCTCAGAATATACAGCTGAAGCTGAGCTGAAACCTCATCAGGTTAGTTGTTCAATATCCTCCTTTAGATTTTGAGCATGTGTGTTGCTTCAAACGAACAAAATGCACAAATTACTAATGATTACCTTTAAGCTCTCTCTCTCTCTCAAAGACAAAAACTATATGCTGCTCTCTGTCCACCAATGCATCTAAAATACTCGCTTTTCAACGCTTGCAACAATACATGTACTATACAACCTTCATTTGCACCCATCATGCTCCATCAAGTATAGAGATGAAACAACCTAAAATGCACCAACTTCGGTTCAGTATTATCAATCTGTATGCAACACCCAGAAAACTGACATAGGCAGATTAGAAAGATGTTAGAACACTGACTAACCTCATCAATGCATGACTCTTCTATCTTCTTAGGGGCGTCAGCGGACAGCAGGCCGTGGGTGGCCATGACATAGATCTTGTAGGCACCTCTCTCTTTAAGGACGTCAGCGGCTGCTACGAAGGATTCAGCTTCGTCAATCATGTCATCCTTGAAAGAAAAAATAAGGGGAAAGGGGAAATGAAATGTAATGACTTTTTTACAACTCAGATTCCTAACCCCCCTCAATCCTCCAAAATCCTCCGGGCGATTTCGAGGATTTTTGAGGATTGAGGCTGAATGGCCAAAAGTGTCGGCTCATTTTGGAGGATGCATTGTGTCGAGTTCATAGGCTGTACCCTGCATTGTTCATTTTTCAGTCATGAGGTATGCTCAATATTATAGTCACGCATTATGCTCGATATCATCCGCACTGCTTCCGGATGTCATCGGCACTGCCTCAACCCATTAACAGTGATTATTGGAGGATTTTGAAGGAATGAGGCAATGGTCACCCTCCACTGAACAAATTCAAGAAAAAACGGATGATTTTGGAGGATTGAGGCTGAATCCAATTTTTACATGGTGGCAATAGGAGGATTTTGCAGGATTGAGGATGGTTCCTGGCCAAAAAGGCCTAGGGGTTAGGGAAAATGATTTTCACACTGAAGTATCAATATGAACAGAATGTTTGAATACACATAATAGCAGGCTTGATAGAATAATTTTACAGAATGTTTAATGCAGTCGCTTTCTCTGCATCACAAAATAGTTTGCTATATAACTCAATCGCATCGTTTTCAAATCACCAATTTAAGTAATCTTTTCTCTCCTTTTGACCTCAAGAGGAACAGGTTGTTTCACGATTTACTTTGGAGACTTACCACAATGATGGCAATGCGACCTCCTACGTCCCCAACAACATCAATAGGGGGCTTCTCTTTGGGTGTGAATACTGCGAACAAAAATATGTCAACAAAGTGGAATTAAACTTTAATTTGAGATACGTAAAAATATACTAAGGCTTACAGTACCAGACTTGTTCTCATGTTTGTTGTTTAGTTATCCCTTGTTAAATCATTCCTTGTTACTTGCATACCTGCTGATGGAAGCGGCTTGCTGTTACACTGATCATAACACGCAATTTAGTGCATTGTTTCAATTGCTGTTGTTATATGTGTTGACTGGATGCCCTTCCTCTGCAAGCTTTAAATACCCCAAAATGTAGTTGAAATAACTTACAAGGTAGCATGTCTAAGCTGTGACCGGAGAACGTTCGGACAGTGGGCGGGGAGTGTCTTCCGTCAATCTTGTCTTGCTCTGGGACTTTCTGCTCTCCGTGGATGACGGCTAGCCCGAGCCGTAGCCGTTCAGCAAAGGATGTGGCTCTCTGTGCTGAGCTGGGGTTCCTGGCGACGATGACCGCATTTCGCCAGTCTGGTATCTGAAGACGGTTTTAACAAACAAAATTTCTGACTATTGGGGAATTTTTAAATTAGCCCTGACCCTTCAGATCTCTAACCCTCACCAACAAATCTCACCTCCAGTTTTTTTCAGAACCACACTTCTTCATGAAAGAGATATGTAATGTATGTCAATTTGGTGCTTATACAGTGCTTTTTACCAAAGGTCTCAAAGCGCTTCAAAATTATTACGCCTGTTCATCAGGCCATGAGACCAGTTTCTGCAGCAGCTCGAGATCAGCGCATTCTGGTCTCTACCTTCACAGGTACCCATTTATAATCCTGGGTGGAGAGAGGCAATCGCAGTAAAGTGTCTTGCCCAAGAACACAAGCACCATGATCCCCGTCATGAATCAAACACCGTAACCATTGGACAATAGAGCTCCATTATATTCCATGGTGAACCCGCAAACCTATCACCCACAATCCAACAGATCAACTATCCTAAGGCCAGACAGCCTAAAAGTCTGTGACTACCTGCCACCACAGGGTCCAACATAAGTGGCATCGTTCACTGGGACTAGCTTCCATTACTTCACAATTCACAAGTAAATTCTGCTGTCGTTGATTGCTCAGGGTTTAAGCTTTACAAAAAGTTTTTTTTTTAAATCAACAGTAAGCCTTCTTTTATTCCATGCACTGAACACAGTCCAATGTGGGATAGAGTTATGAAAGTGTATAGTTTCTTTTAATTTTGAATAACTCACGTGTTCTTGGATATACTGTAAGAGGAAAGGCGAGGCTCGGAGATTGTCCACTGGCACATCAAAGAAACCCTGGATCTCCTTATGATGCAAGTCCATGGTGATGATGTGGTCCATGCCTGTAACCATTGAAACATGAAACACATCGAATTGTCACTCAATGTGATTAGGCCACACAAAAAAGTCTCCGGTTTCTGGTATGCGCGCGCGTCGCCGTAGCCATGCGCGTCAGCAAAATGAAAAGTTTTTTTCCAATGAAACATGATGTCTCAAAACCGCCAAACTCACTGGTTTGACTGGAATCCTGCTGCTGCACAATTTTAACGTGTTTTTAGATGGGGTTATGATTGAGAATAAGCTTTATGTGGCCTCTCTGGACTCCCATATATTTGTACTAAGTTAAGTCGGGCACCATTTGCAGTCATCAGCCGACATTTGAAGCAAAAAAGTCGGGTAAAAAAAAAAAAAAAAAGCTGCGTCGCCGCACCACTTTTTGGACAAGCTCCATACCAGCAACCGGAGACTTATTTTTTTGGGCCATACACAACCTTTTTTTTCCTTTAAATAAATGTGGGTATCCTCATTATGATTGTACAAACACAGCTTTTGAGTAAGATTGCTTTCCTCTGGTAACATTATCTTTTCTTCAAATAGATCTTAATCATAAACACTGGCTGGGCGCCTGTTCATTGGCAAACAGCAACAAGGTTTTGTCAGAAGAAAACAAGACAATTACTCTTTTCCTTTCCCACATAGATTTTGTCACTTTAAAAAATAAATCCTGAAAGTGACATTTGCGGTATGGTCTATGTTCCAAGTGCAACACACTGGTGAAAATTAATTCATCATTTTTTCCTTTTTATAGTTAGGATCACCTAACAAAAAGCAAATAAAAAGCTGAGGATCAGATACAAAACAGATACACAAATTCGGGCACGCGATCACTGTACACTCATGAGGCCCCTTCTATGAGAAACCATGGTGCAGGCTATTGTGCAAAGCAACCATCCCATGTCAGATTATCTGAACAATAGCTAGCACAATGCTTTCGCCATAAAAGGGGGCCATCGTGACAGAATTGTTCGTTCCCAGATTGTTCTATACACTTCATGGCATTTTGGCTGCAACATGTTTGTACCAAGGAAAACATTTCGTGAAATTGGGCTGAAGGGTTTGGCACGTCACGATTCAACTTCCCCTCACCTGATTTGCACAGCATAGTTGCCAACAGCTTAGCCACAATGGAGCCACGTTTCCTCATCTGGCTCTGCTTGCTGTAAGGCAGGTACGGGATGACCCCAACGATGGAGTTAGCGCTGGACGTCTTGCAGGCGTAGGTCATGATCAGCATCTCCATGATGGCATTGTTGACATCCCTAGGAATCATGGGTAAAAATGTGGCAAATCACCATCTTGTAATTGGTGTCACACATTGTTGTTTCCTTTGAAAATGCTCATCCCATTCTTACCCTATTTATATCCAACCAAAAGTTTTTCACATAAATGCGGACAAATTCAAATTCAATTCAAAGACAAGTTCGTTTAGAACTTACAGCAGGACTGTTCTTAACAGAACAAAAAACTACTTAGCAAAGTTGATAATAAGCAGGACAAGTTCTTTTCAGAACTAATATCTTCTAAGCAGTAGTTATTACCACATGGTGTTACCGCAAACCGAAACGATAAATTCAATCCTCCGAAATCCTTAAAACAAATTCAACGATTAGAATGTGTTCACATCTATTTGTTTACATCCAAATGTATCAAATGTTACAGCTCTATCTTGTGGTTGATCCTACATTTCAATGTTTACTGTCCAACTTACTTGGCTCCTGTCTGTATGACGAAGACGTCTTTGCCTCGAACAGATTCATTGATGTCAACGTTGGTTTCTGTGTGTATTGGGAAGAAATGAAAGGATGGAAAACCAATCGCCAAATTTGAACCAAGATGGCATTTATCTCTGTTCAGTTCCAGCCAATTGAAACGAGATGAGATGAATTTACTTGGGAACATATTTTGTGCAACTTTCTACTCCTCTTACATTGTAAATGTATGTAAACTATTTAGCATCCCTTTTTGGTTAATTTTATTGAGAAATGCACTTCTTTAAACAGTTAAAATTTCCCATGCTTTTCCGGACAACTGAGGGCGCTGTTGCTGCGATGTCATTTCAGGAAGACACTGTTCAGTTTAGGGGTTTTCTGTTCAAATTGTGACCCAAACATTTGCTCACTGAAAACATTTGTGAGAAACGTTTGCTCATTGGCTTACTGCCATGTACTGAAAACAACAACGAATCACGCATACAAGAAAAGTTATGACCGCAAAATATCCAAAATTCTGGCAACTTTTGGTGCTATAATAGCTGTGACATTGAGGTTTCTGCCCGGAATGACATTACACTTGTGCTCATGAATACGTACATTTGCATGAGCATAAAAACCAATTGAAAATAAGGTTAAATGAGACACAAAGTTGTATTTTCAAGGATTGCATTAAAAAAAATTACATTGCATGGGCCCTTTAATATTATTGCAACAGTCTTTTTTCCAAACCATTTTCATGATTTGCTTATTCCCATTTACCTTTGTTGTCCTGTAGATAGACATCTACATTTCCCAATTCAACACCCAGTCGTCTATAATGGGGGAAATAGAAAAGAAAACATAATCAATAAAATATAAAGGCAGTGTATGTTTCATCGTGAAGCAATCCCTGATTTGGTTTTTGCTCTTGTACTGGCACAGCACTGAATATGCACAGTGAATGTTTTGGGACTTCAAAAGTTTACCATGAGAAAGCCTCGTCTGGTTCTGCGCTTACAGCTACACTGTCGATGTGACTTTGTATTCAGGAGATGGAAATTATACCTACATGTATTTCAATTTTGGACTTTACTACTTTTTATATACCTTTAAAAAAAATCCTCCAGAGCTACGAATCAGAAAACAAGATGAAATATTCATCAATTAAATGTAGGATTCGATTTACACAACAAAGGAAGAAAACTTGTACTTTAGGAAAACTGAAAAAAAAAAAAGGTAAAATGTCGCAAATTTGTTTCACCGGATCCGCAGTCCATCGCCTTATCCATCGAGCAAAACATTCACTCAGTTTGAAATGGTTATTTATTAGCCTATTAAATGCGTACATGTACATTGTATATCTGCGCATGCACAGAGGAACTCCCAAACAAGAGCAGAAATAGTGCAGGACCGGTACACGGTACTTTTAAATTAACACTTCAAAATATAAACATGATAAATGCTGTGCAAAATGAAACTATTTAACACAGTAAAGAGCCATTCCTTAACAACTCTGTATGTCATTCTGCATAAACTTACTTTGGACACTTTTGGAAACTTACTTTTTGGAAAGGGATATTTTGTAACAAATTTTGAAATGATTTTCGGTCCAAAGTTCTTCCTTTTTTTCAACATATTTTTATATTGTTTATTAAATTATTTCACAAGAATACATTCGATGATTTAGTGGTGTCAGTGAATCAGTATTACAACTTTAAAAACATGGGTTACTGTTGGTGGAAAGACCGGTGCACATAGCAGTGTGCACCAGCATGACCAGTGAAGCACGCACGAAAGTACATGTGTATGTCACGCCCCAACTATCGCATCGGTCCCAACTATAGTTGGGACTGTCCCAACTATAGTGCGGCAGTTGGGTCGGCCCAACTATAGTTAGGACTGGAGTTGCGCCGGATGCTTCATGCTTGATAGATCTTGTTGGATTAAATGTTCCGCGGCGCTGGCACCGTGTATTCGTCGTGCATGCATGCCGCAAGGCTGACCGGTCACGTGGTACTGCCTAGTTGGATGAGTTGTCCAGCTGCTGGGTTGACTGTCCAGCAACATTTTGCAAAATTCAAAGATTGCCATGGCCGGCCAACTATAGATGGGCCCCACCCATAGCTAATGTCAAAGGTCCCAAGTAAAGTCGGACAGTATGTAACAGAGCTGTAGGGAATGTTTTATAGTCGTCGTACATCAATGTAAACTATAGTTGGGACCGCCAAATAAAAATATTGCGGTGGCCCAACTACAGATGGTCCCCACCCATAGATAATTTCATTGGTCCCAAGTAAAGTCAGATGTGTATTAGAGTTGTAGGGAATGTTTTATAATCGTACAACAATGTACACTATAGTTGGGACCGCAAAATAAAAAGATTGGAGTGGCCCAACTATAGATTCGCCCCATCAATAGCTAATTTCAGTGGTCCCCAGTAAAGTCAGACGTGTATCAGAGCTGTAGGGAACGTTTTACAGTTGTACATCAATGTAAACTATAGTTGGGACACCGCAAAATAAAAAGATCGGAGTGGCCCAACTGTAGATGGGCCAGCCCAACTGTGGAACTACAGTTGGGACAGGCCCAACTATAGTTGGGACAGGCCCAACTATAGTTGGGCCAGCCCAACTGTGGAACTACAGTTGGGACAGGCCCAACTATAGTTGGGACAGGCCCAACTATAGTTGGGACCGATGCGATAGTTGGGGCGTGACATGTACATTGCATTGGAACAATTTTGACATGCCAGCCAGCCAGCCACAAGCATGACAAGTACGCATTGTCATGTTGTGCACAAACTGCATGCAGATGCACTAAATTTCAACTCACGCGGCAACGAGTCGAGACAGCTCCGGGTGCGAGTTGCCAGAAATCACGAGTAATCCACCGCGAGACATCGTGTTCATAGTATGGACGGAGCGAGTGGTGCGAACTGGCGCCGTCTTCCTCGACTTGAGCGAAATCTTGGCGGCTTTTCGTTGTTGCTTCGAGGAAGAAAAACCGATACGCAACACTAAAACTGCAAGCGATACCTGGCCTCTGTTAGTTTTTTAGGTCAGAGTTCATACATAATGTAAGCAACCTTGTTCAGACAAAATATTAGGTATGTCTTTTTGAACGAAAGCAAACTACATTTTGAGAACATTTCACAAATTTTAATCCTTTCTAAATTTAGGGTTTCCTAAACGATAATTCATCATACTTTTAGTGTTCAATATTATTGATATTTGATGCAATTTATTACCATCATTTTAAAATATTTAGAAAGAGGTAGAAAATTAATTCCTCACGTAGCCAATAAAATCACAGTATGTGATGTTACGTCATTTTCCCGCGAAAGTGGCACGTGGGACATGATACATGTCTATGCATGGCATACACTTTGCTAAATGTTTGTGTACTTTGATTGATGTGCCAATTAAGTCAATGCAGTAAATTAACACAAACTTGCAGAATATGTTCCATGTGAACTGTCAATGTTTTTAAGTCGGCCGAATGTTGCTGTGTCGATCTATGGTGGCATTTTGTCAAAGAAAAATCTGTTTTCCTTGGCATTAAAGATGAGTTCCAAGACAGCATCAGCATCACCTTATTTTCAAGATGTGAAAAGGTTGACAAGATCTCAAGCCAAACTCATTCTTGGAAGTCAAGATCAACCATCGGTGGTTTCATCTTCAAGAACTAGTGCTACCGAAACGAGAAAACCCCAAATCTCAAAATTAAAGAGGCCACACGTACCAGTGAGATATGAATCCAGAACAACAAGCCGCCCACCTCCGAAAAAAGTTCTTTCAAACTCTGCAAAGCCCTCAAAGCCCAGAAAGGCAACACTTAAATTTGACCCTGAAGCAGACATGAAGACAGATGATGCAAATGCGGACAAGCAAAAAGATGAAGATTTCAAGGAAAAGAGCCAAGCAAAAGGATGGGAACCGGTCCGCTGGAAGGAGACGCTGGATTTCATCAGGGAAATGAGGAAGGAGAAAGATGCTCCCGTTGACTCCATGGGAGCAGAGAAGATAGGCGACCATGATGCAGCACCGGAGGTAGTTGTCATGGAGGATGAGCCTGCCGATGAAAGTTGGGGTCTCAAACTTTTCTCAAGGACACAGCACTACATAATTTTACTGTTCCTATACTACATTTGTAGACCAAACCACATGATGACCAGTGTGTGAGATGAGGGATCCTTTTAGTTTTAGTTTCATTGCAATATTTGCATGTTTTTGGTCTGAAAGTGTTTCTAGATGGAAACAAGTGGCGTAAATCTGTGCCGGCAAGTGGGGGGGGGGGGGGGAGGGGGGGGCTGGGGGATGACCAAACTCCAAAAATTTCCCGGCCGTGGAAATTCGAAAGGGGGGGGGGGGGGGAGGGCACACACATTTTAAAAGCTTTTGTACTTTCAAATTGAAATCACTTGACTTCACTCTCTGGTGCAAAATATTAAAGAAAAGTCTCCTTTAAAAATTTAATTGAGACCTCAAACTTGGCTGGTGAAATACTGAGGACCTTGTCTTAACCTTGAATTTTGTCAGCTTTAATAAGAGTGAGTAAAGTTGGCCTGATTTTGTTATGCATGCCTGTTTTTCTGCACTCGAGGTCCCAGTCTGGGTCAACCCCCTCCTTGCCAGCATTGAAGCAATCCAGCAGCTCAGAGGCTTTCAAAAATATAGCAGATAGGTTCCACACAGCTCAGACCTTGGACTTTCTTATTGCTTTTGTGAGGTTTTCATCACCTTGCAGTCCATAGCTGATGTTTATCGTTAAGTGGAATTGTGCATAAATTAAATGAGTTGAATATCTTAGCGCCGTAATCCTATGAATTTCTTGAGTGATTCTCTGCGGCGCAATTCTTCTCTTGACTCAAGGTGTTTCGCTACCATGTGCTGCTCTCCTTGCTCCTGTCCAGTCAGACTAAAGACCAGGTGACCTCGGCCGCCATGATGGCTCTCAGGAATCACGGATGCACGGTGGACAACATCCTCAAGACGTCGGATCAAAAGATTGGAGAGCTCATCTATCCCGTCGGCTTTTGGAAAGTGAGGAAATCTGTCCTTGGATTTTTCTCGTGCAGAATAAATTTTGATTGGCAATTTTTGTTACTGTATTGGATACATTTCAATTGGGTCAACCTGAGTGGTTTGGTTTTAAGACCATACCATATTTATTTTTTAACAGGTTCCTTACTTGCGATCAAACTTAAGATTGCAATGTGATTAATTTGTTATAGGCTTGTCTCAGTCAGAAGCAACAAATATAAAATAATATTTACTGAAATTTGCAGAAAAAGATTGATTACATTAAGCGCACCAGCCAAGTCCTGAAGGACAAATACAACGGAGACATCCCAGCCACGCTGGAGGGACTGGTCAAACTGCCTGGCATCGGACCCAAGATGGCACACATCATCATGGACGTGGGCTGGAACAAAGTGACGGGGATCGGGGTGGATACCCACGTCCACCGCATCACCAACAGGCTGAAGTGGGTGAAGAAACCCACGACGGTGCCGGAGGACACGCGCAAAGGGCTGGAGGACTGGCTACCAAGGTACTGATCTGTCTTCCACATTGTAGAAACCAGACACCAACTTATTAAGGACATTGACTGCTTTTATTTCAATTTTTAGTTTTGCCCTTTACCGACGTACGTTATAAGCACAGAATTCCAATTGTAAAATTTACGCTTCCCCGACACAAAAACTTGTCATACAAGATACTTCTGGGCCCAAGTTCATAGCGCTGCTTAACAGCCGACTTTGTGCTTACCGAGCCTCCATCTATTTCATAGGGACTGTTAAGCAGTAAGCACAGCAAAAGAACGCTTAACCCCAGAAGAAAACTTCACTTAAATCAGTGACGTAACAATATAAATCTCTCATAAATCTGCAACCGTTAGCATGAAATAGTGCTGAAGCAGCAGCATGATTTTCTGCTATAGTAAGCACAACTTTTCTGCTTTACTGTTAAGCAGTGCTATGAGATTGGGCCCTGATTTGAACCGGCCAGCCAACCCCAGCAAGCTCGATGGTCGTGTGGTAAGACATCTGCACTAGCGGGCAAGAGGTTGTGGGTTTGAGTCCCTGCGGAGTAAAGCTTGTCAATATCTTGCAAGTTCTCTATTAGAATGAAGTATGCAATGCTTAGGCCGTGTGTTGTGTTGGTGAAGGGCAAACCTTTATATTATGCTGTACATCTCCCCTATGCAACATTTCATCATAATTTTTTTTTGCCAAGAAGATACAAGTAATTAGTTTGAGACTCAACCCCACGACCTCCTGCCTACCCTGAATTGAACTGATTCATCGTCATTTGATTCATATCTGACTTTCACAGCATCACTGTTCAGTTGACCTACATGGTCAATCATACTGCACCCTTTGCCAATAAACCGTGTAGTAACATCTTGAATCAAGACTAACTGTTTGGAGACACTTCAGCAATCTTCACTGTATACGCATTTGAAGTTGGCAAACATTTTACCTGAACCTTTTTTTTCCTGAACTTTATTGTTGACAGGGAGTTGTGGAGTGAGGTCAACGTACTTCTGGTCGGTTTTGGCCAACAGACTTGTCTGCCAGTCAACCCAAGATGCTCCGAGTGTCTCTGCAAAGACTTATGCCCCTATGGGAGGTCAGCGCTGAGATACGGGAGCCCTAAGAGGAAAGAGGCAAGCCCTAAGAAGAAATAGTCTGGAGAGATTCGTCAGGGAATAGTGCGAGATAATAGTACTCTCAGCCCCATGCCATTTGATTAGTTCTTATTTCATTCTTGTTGCTCAACCGGGGCAGCCACAAGAGACTCGTAGTAGGGTAGTGGAGGAACTTCATCTCAATATTCATCTTAAGAAGCCTTTAATATGAGGGCTGAAAAATAGGAGAAACTTGGAATTGCCAAACAAGTGAATGCAAAATTAATATTTGTGAGGCGATCAAGCTAAATGAGTCGTTGTCGACCCTGGTCAATTTTTTTTTTTTTTTACAGATTTGAAAAGAGCACAATCTCAGCATTACTGCTGTGAAAACCGCATGCTGGTACCATCTGTAGTTCAAAAATTATGGAAGTCGGAACACCAAGAGTTGTGATGAAGTGATGTGATGAAGTGGCCCTAGTGTGGCCTGAATCTCCCAATGAACGTTCCCGACAAACAACTCATTTAGCTCAATCGCATCACATTTGTTGATCTTGATGCGACTTTCGGGCTACTTGCCTAGTTTAGCATCATAAAGGTTTTTCTTTACAATTGATGGAAGTGCAGGTGATCTCGAAGTAACGCTCTGTCCTAAATGGGCAGTTTTTTCTATATTAAAGGTTTTTCACTGCAATGTGGTGTATAAGCATAAAAAACATAGCCAAAATTCCAGTCGGTTGACCTTCAACATTTCCTTGTGTGAAAAAAAACAGAAGGTTTCGATAAGCCTGGCTCTGTCAGGTGCCACCAAGATGACCGAAAGACAGAAGCTTCGCAACACCTTATGCATCCAAATGAAATCCAAGATGGCTGCTATGATTGGATTCATTGGTTACCAGCACATGTTCAATTGACAACTCATTATCAGCTGGTAGTTTGTTATGCAGCTTAATCTTAACTTGGGACACGTAAAATTCAGGAAAAGAAAAAAAGCTGAGCAACGGTTACGCTTTAGAAACTTGCACTTTTTATTTAATTAAACAAAGATTATGTACACCCATTAACTTATTCCATCAGCTTTTAAAACAAACAATGCATCCATTACAGAAACGTAACTCCATTTTTGCACTTCCTATTTTTGATAAATGAAAACTTAACTTTGCTAATCCTTTTTCTTAACAGGAGTATAAAAAGTCACAAACTTGTATTCTACTTTGTAATAAAAAAAAACGATCATCAAATTCAGATTGAAATCAATGCGTTTATGTGTCAGTCATAAAATTTGCATAACAAATTATGCATAACAGTCGTCAAGTCCATCACAAGTCTTTATAAGAATATCACAAGTCAATCAGAAGACTTACGATTATACCTATGACAGACTTGAACACGACGCTGGTATTAAAAGACTTGTGATTTTGCTAAAATGAAATGCTAAACTAAACAGTTACATGTACATGCATTTTCATCATCAGGAATTAACTGTTCGGAATTACAAGCTTAAAACATTGCAAAGAAAAAAGCGAATAAATTTGCAGTTTAATTTAAGCAAATGCGGGAGTAACACAGCAAATAAAAAGTTTTTATAATGTCAACGGAATACATTGGCAGATTAGGGACCACGCAGCATTTACATTATCTTCGGAGGGTAAAAATGTCAAAATAAATCGGTTTTCAAAAAGTCATGCAATTTAATCAAGTTAAAAAAAGTACTAACACAACTCATTTAGTCAATGAAAACTTGAACAAAACAAAAACCCTAAAAATGTACAACCCTTCACATCTTTACTCTGTGTACGCTGCATAAACAAAGGCATTCATTATTGTGTTTCAAATTTCAGTGACAACTGCATAGAAATGCATTGACCTAAACATTGGTCCATACTCGTATGAAAAACAGAAAGAAATCTCACCAGGTCAACGATGGTGATTTAAAGATAACGTTTCGCTGCTACCTTAAATTGCTCACGTTTTCAAATTCCAGTGAGTTATCAAACTGACTTAACTTTGGTCAATGGAACACATTTAGTTTAAGTTTGGACATTATTTAGAAAATATTTTGATCAGAGTTTTTAGCAAATAATTGGACCAATTAGGGTAATTTTTTTCAGTGTGGATAGAACGGCTAATTTCAGTGACCTTTTTAAAAGTCGTTCAGGATATAATCTATCACACTGAATTTATGTTCTTCCAACTCAAAATCACCTGTTTTTAAACAACATCTAGATGCAGTTCTCTTCCAAAAGTTTCTGTGTTCAATGCACCTGTTATGTATGAAGAGAAAGCTTTAAACATATATAGAAGAGCACTAAATATTGGTACCATATTGGAATATATTTTTAACATGCTCATGTCTTCGTGGATAACATTCACTTAATTCTCACTTTGCACTTGCATATTACAACTTCCTAACAAAATGCCACTTGTTTTAATGCCTGCATGAAACCTCCGAATATATTGCAATTTTTGTGTGTGCGAGATACACACAACGACTCATTTCAGATGTTTGCCTAATCATCAATACAGTAACGAATACAAAGTCTACTAAATTCACTTTTTGGATATGTTTTGCAATCAGAAAGAAACGAAAAGTCGTTTAAAGAATATTTACAGCAAAATGGTAATAATATGTTCATCTCTTCGAAAATTTACACTAATGATAAAAATTGACATTCTAATGACTTTAAAAGGAACAAAAAGATTGTCAACCCTTAAGGGAAGACCAAAAACAAAATAATAATAACGCATTTAGATGTTTATTATTATATGATTGGTGAAGGACATTCAACTAAGAAACACAAAATTTCCAAATCAAAATGTTGTTCATATAAATAACGTTAATGTAAGATTTTTCTCAGGAACAGATTAAGCGAGAATGTTTACTGAAATTCAGAGTACTGCAAGTTTTTTGCCATTTCTTACACCCGATGGTTGCTATTTTTGTATTTTGGCATATTCAGAAAAAAGTAAATTTATTCAGTACTATAGTTTTTATTCAGTGGGCAATTAATGGACCTGTAAAATTAAAAGTTTTTTTTTTTAATTTTCAAAATGTGGTAAAATCATCTCGTTTACAGTGACACAGTTTACACCTCACAAAAAAATGTATTTTAAATAATAAAAAAAAAACCAGACGTGTAAAACAAGTCTTTTTAAAAATCAAAAGCAAAAGGTAAGAAAATTGTAATAAGGAGTACGAAAACAGATACTTATTTAACAATGGAATTAATTAATAGTTATTTTTTGTTACAACTTCCCTAGTAATACACCTAAGATTATGGAATGGAATGAATTATCTCTGGGAAGCACTGTGATTTTAATCTAGGCTAGTCCTATCAACTTACGTCCCTATTAGTAAAATGTTGGATAAAAAGAGGCACTGACATCACGTACGAAATTATTTCGACTTTGTAAAAAATTTGGCACCATTGTATTTTGTACTGAGATACGTATTGGGGATAACTTCACATCATTATGGCAGTAGACTTTCTGTTGTCGGACATCTTTCCTTCTATCAAAATAAACATCGGTGCTGTGGTTATGTTTCAGCATCTCACTTCTACAGGTGGGCCACTTTCCTTACGTATACATTTTGTGAGAACAGAAATTAAAAACAAAATCTCTGTAGACTCTCCAAGCACGACAGTGTCCATATTAACTTAGCTCTATCTTCATACTTTGTACAATCTCGGCCTTGGGCCAACAAGCTTATCAATTCATTATATATAACACTATTCAGCCGTTTATTCCTGTTCAGCAAAGCAAGCACTGTATCACGTTGGTCTCAATTCCAACTTGGGCATCATCCTGATTTGGGCTATTCCTGTGCACCCCCCTCCCAAAACTTCACAAACGAACCTTTGCAATGTATCCAACAAATTGTTTTGTGATAAAATGTTTAACCACCAACAATTGTAGCCATGCGCATTGGGCCAGTTTCATGAAGATGATCAGCATGACCATTCTGCTTAGTACAAAAAGTGTAGCCTTTACTTAGCATTATTGCTTACACTTGCTCATCAGATAAAATTTCTCCAATATTTTGCTTACAAGCTCCATTCACACGGTACTTTTTTAAGAAAGGTGGATTTTTTTCTCACATTATGTTGAAATTGAACACATTTTTTTGCAATGATCATGCCAAAAACGTTCATTCCTTTGACATAATGTAAAATGCTCCGCAAACACCACACTATTAATAGACCAACACAAACCCTAACAAAAATTTAAAATCATTTCTTAATTTTTTTTATAAATCAGTCCATAACTCCTTCAAAATACTTCCAACAATATTCCAGGTCTTCTTCTAAGGTTGGGACATATTTCAAATGAATGTAAATTTCTTGACATCACAGCTAGAATTGGCAGGTAAATTTACGAAAGTTGAAGACACTTCAACATCAGCAAATTCCATGACTAATTTGTGACGTCAATTCACTTGGCACTCACATTCGTGTGGAGTATGAAATAGATTTTGGATAAAAATTTACAAATTCGGCTCAAAGTTTGGAGGGGAAAGGTTCGAATGTTAGCAACTTTGCTATACGAAGGATGAGAATCCGTGGAGCGGGGCCCGGGAACCAGCCGGCATACCAGCCAGCCCGTTGATGTGAATGCTGTGCATGTCCGACTCGCTGTCGGTGTAGCTGTAGGCCTTGGGACCCTTCTGACGTCGCCAGGAGTGGCTAGGGTAGGTGCTGTCGGGCACGTTGGTGTAGTGGTTGACAAAGGAGTGGGGGTCTTCCGTGTACTCGATGTCGCTCTCTGAGCCCTGAGGGTGGACAAGGGGGATAAGAATGGGTTAATATTTGTAGCTGCACAGGGGACATTTGGGGGAATCTCACTCGTACTGTTTTTAAAGGGTTCTGACTAGCGCCGCTTGAACAAAGACATTGACATAATGGGGGAACCGCCAACATAGGGCTGGATAGCTCAGTTGGTAGAGCACCGGAACTGCAGTCCGGAGGTCGCAGGCTCAAACCCCACTCCAGTCGATTTCTTTGTTCAACTTTACCAACATTAATATAATGCGCCTGGTCAGCTTCCATTTGTAGTTTATTTGAAAACTTTTACTATTGAGTTGTAATCATGTCCTCAATCAATCACATAACACCTGTCTCAAAACAATGTGACAAGCTTTTTTTTTAAAATGACCTGTGGCAGCGACAATAATAAACTTTTCAAACTAATTTCAAAGTAGAAAGGTAGTCGTCAGTGTTGAAAAATGTGCCCAGCTACTTCCTCAATTCTTATAAACATCTATAAAAAATAAATCCCTGTAAATTTCTGTGCCACATGAATTACACTGTGCACATATATCAAGAACAAAGGTCACGCAGGGATGTCCACAAATATCTAAATACAAAACTTGCAGGCCAAAAAAAGACACCCAAACGCCTCTTTGGCTAAGAAATGTGAGATTATCAATTTGCATCAAACTTGCATAATTTGCATAATTTAATTAATTTCCATAATTAAAGTCATCAGCAACTGCCCACCATACACCATGAACTGCTCACCGTAATGGTTTTTTAGCTTGATAACTTATTAAGGTCGGTTCATACTCAGCGCGAAAGCGAATGCAAATGTGGCTTTGTGACCTCGTCAAGTTTTTGTGAATTGGCAAAAATGTAACACGCTTCAACTCTAGCGAATTTCGCTGCGAATGTTTTGCGACTTTAAATGTTGCCTTCGCATTTGCATGAAGTACGAACCACCCTTTAATTAAACCCACCACCTCAAAAACGTTCCCTCTTAACCAGTTCGCGCCGGAGGCCATGTATAACGGATGACGGATAAACACGCAGGGAGCGAGGCCGGAAATATCCGTCAGTGACCCGCTCGCAGCGAGCGAGGCCGGAAATATGAGTGTGCTGCCCGAGGGTGATGGCTTCAACCCGCCTGGGCTTGAGGTCGAGTGAAAAGTAATCCTGCGCCTCGTTCCGTTCTTGAACCGGCATGAACTGGTTAAAATAATATTTCAACATGATGAAACAAAGCTTTTTCCCCCCTTTTTTTAAGAGTTTTTTACCTTATATGAAGACTGCAAGAAAGCAATGGCAAGAAGTGTGGGGAGTTTCCCGCGTAGAAGGAAGCATGGGAGAAAGCAAAACAATGTGTTAATTAAAAGTAAATAACCAACTTAATGGAACAGCAATGTAATACCAATGTTGTTAGCAGAAATTAAAGCCACTTAAATGAATCCCGTTGATGATTTAGGCTACCACTTGATGGTAAATGATATTTTCTTTCATGAATTCAATCTAACAATTTTTGTGTTCCTTTAACAAAAACATTTGTTTCTTGTTAATTTTTTGGGTAAACAAAAAAACTTGACAAGAGCAGTTTTGAACCAGAACTTTAGCAATGCTCCGTTACTTACTGGTGGCTCTGTTGTTAAGTACCATCTCTCAATGTGTTTGTGTTCACTTATTATGTGGTTATTCATTTTTGTGTGTGGTTTGTTAGAATACAAAATGATAAAAATCAGTCAAAAAAATGTTTGATTTTCCTAATATGGGACGAAAAATGCTTTCGTATGGTGGAATTTTGCATCAAGAAATGTTAATCTTAATATCAGGTTTTGCCTCTCACAAGCTTTCTGAGAGCACTGACCAGAAAAACAATTAAGTTTGTCATGAGCCAATATGGCCCATCCAGGGCTCGAATTTCATGAAAAAAAGCACCAGACAGCAGGTCTAGTAATCGAAGAATCTTACTGGACCTGAACTATTTTTACAAGACCTGTGTCATAAATGAGAAAAAAAAAAAAAAATTCTGCACTACATGTATGTGAAAGGAATACAACAAAATGCTACATGTATTTACGAGTCGCCCGTTTCGTGTGTGCACTTGGCTAGTTCCCTGGAAAATTAGTCTAATTCTCTCGCAGGGGCACAGCAGTCCTTCATTTAAAGAAAATCCAGGAGAGCTATAAATGCTCTCCTCAAATCTTTGAGGAGAGCAAATGCATTTTAAGGAGAGCGATTTGCTCTCCTTAAAATCCATGGATAAACGACGGTAAACATTGTTTTTGTTTTGTTTTCAATATCAGGATTTATTCAAGGGGCTGCATTATTATTAGTTTTTGCATAATAATATGCTCAAGTGGCTTAACTTCTTTCGTTTTTGTAACTGTAAGACAAGGTAAAATTTAATTTATATAAAAAAAATTACTAAATGGAGATTAATAAAAGGTTTGAATTCTGCTTACGCTTTCATTTTTTAATACAGTTGTCAGTTGGTTCATCACTTAATTATTCTTGGAAAATGGAGTTAATAAACGGCACATAAACATGATAAAGCAACTGAATATTTGTTTTCAGATTCGTTAAAACTATGTGAAAATGTTCAGCCTGAACTATTTCCATTGCACTACGAAAGCTATACAAAAAGGGCCTCAAAAATGACAAAAACTTGCCTTAAGTGTTAACGAAAATATCTGCCGTCGATAATCTTAAAAATAATGGAAAATGCAGGTCATTTATACCATATGCACAATGCTAGTTACGACGAGAAACTGGCTCTGAACTTCGCTTGGTACGAACGTGCGATGATGCACTGTGTGTTGTGGACCGGCAGTGGGCCGGCATTGAGCTTCATTTAACGGTATGTGATTTCGGTGAAACTCGCTGCATCGTTTCACTTCATATACCAGTAGTATTTCCTCGAAATAAATTCATGAACACGGGAAATACATACACAGACAAGAGAGACCAAGTTCTGTGAGTATAAGCTTGCAAAGATCGTCTTTCTCCATCGATGTTTTCTTGGCATTTTTACGATGTCTATTCCGCGCCGTCCGGCCTGCATGCATCTGTGCTGCAGTGTGCGCGCGACTATTGCATTGACTGGTTACCGCATTTCCATCTTGCCAGTGCGCGGCGCAGCGGGAGCCAGTCACTGCTGCAATAGCACGTACAGGCCCACGTGTTTTCATACATCAAGCAGCTCTGTATGTGCGTACTGTATACGTGCAACTGGCATGACTGGCGCGTTGGCCCGATCGCAGCTTTGTTGCTTTTCGGCACGGCACAGACAGTTTTTTGGCCGGTAATTTTCATCAATCAAGTAATAATATGAACTCAAAGCACGCTATTAATCAGACCTCAAGTGCTAGTATATTCAGGGTTCATTTTGTTTATATAGTGCAAGAAAAAAACACTAGACAGCCGGACTAGTGCAGTCACACACAGCACTAGACCGACGCTAAGATCACTAGACACGGTCCAGTGGATATTTCAAGCCCTGCCATCAGGCCGGCGTTTATCTCCGGCTTCAGTGGCATGAAATGACCGAGAATGTTTCCATCCGATGGTAGTTTTACTCCCCAGCTAATGCCGGTACCCATTTGTACTCCTGGGTGGAGAGAGGCAAGTTGGGGTGAAGTGGCTTGCCCAAGGACACAACATATGGCCAGCAGCTGGATTCCAACTCCTGACCCTCTGATCATGAGCCAGGAGCCGTAACCACTGAGCCACACTTCCCACTGAGCATACAGCACTAAGTGGAAGGCAAAACCCAATATTAACATAAAGTAAAATTGTTGCAATTAAAAATGAAAGTTTTGCTGAGAGAGGAAGGAGCGGATGAAGCTAGCGGCTCACCTGTGAATCTGACTGGGATTGCAGGTCGCCCTTCTCAGTCAGGCTAGACGTCTCGTCTTGCTCTGGGTCGGGCCGTCGATGGACCGCCTCGTAATGTTTGCTCTCTTCTTCCTCGGAGTACTCGATGCTGCCTGGGCTGGGCCTGGGTGGGGGTCTGGATGATCAAAATATATGGAGAGAGGGGTGAACATTAACAGTTTCTGACAGGTTTCTGACACGTTGCAGAGACACACTTCTCCCACAGGTATACAATTAATTTAATAAGAGTTGTTTGTAAGAAAGCACAGCATTTGTCTCACTCACTGTATTCACGCAAAGTCGACCAATGTGTACATTTTTTTGTATCAGGCATTTTCAAGCACTAACGGCTGAAACAAGGTAGTGTCAATAAGACAGAAGTTTTGGAAGGTTTAATTCATTCAAAATGACAACCAACAAACAGATATAATGGAGTTTATGAACCAATAATATAAAAAAAAAATCCCAAAATATTCTTGAAGTACGTAGAATTTCAAAATTTCTGAAAATTAGTCAGAATCTTATAAATCACACAAAAATGAAGATTCAAGTAAATCTTGGATCCTCGAATAGATATAGTAGACATTCCGAAAACTATTGACCTTTACCAAAAATTCATCCATTTCTTGCCGATAATTCAAGTCCCAATGGCAGTCCCCACAGTAACCCACCTAGTGTAGGAGTTGGTCCGTGAGTACACCCCGTTCTTAATGCCGCCCCTTCCCCGTCCCCGCCCGCCGGTAGACCGGCCGTTGGTCCCGTTGCCCTGCTGCATCTCAAAGGCTGCTGACAGGCTGCCGTCGTCGATGCTGAGCTGCTCCTCCTGGTTGACACGATGGTGAGCTTTCCTCTCTGTAAGACCAGGATGAACATAGAGAGAGAAACAGGGTTTTAGTCAGCGTTGGAAATTGGGGGTCCAAACTTGAACTTAAAAACAGAGCATCCAAGTTGCTCAAGTTGCCAACTTAAACATGGATTTGCTTGTATGTAATTCCAGCGTTATGAAATAAAGTGCAATGTCCTGGACGGAGCCAATTAACAATGATATCTGATTAGTGATTCAGAGAAACGATCCAAAACTCCTAGTCTGTAATCTCCTTGACCATTACTTGATAGATGTATAAGATTTGAAAAATACATTTTTAGATTTATTCACTTGAGCTCTTAAATGCTCTGTCACGGACATAAACACTGCAATTACCCTTAACAAAATAGGGTGTTCAAAATAGCCTTATGAATAGTTAATGCGGTACCCGCTGCTATGTACATCAGATTCGAACCAGCCAACCAATCCCGTTAGCTCAGTGGTCGAGTGGTAAGACATCTGCTCTAGAAAGCAGGAAGTCGTGGGTTGGAGTCCCACCCGAGTGATTTTTTTCCAACTTTCACTCGGGAGGTCAACACTGGGAATACAGTGTTTATACATCGGTGAAGGGCAAAACCTAATTTGATTTACATCACCCCGACGCAAAATTCCATCTTATGAAAATAGCCTACAGTATGCCCCAAAAATGCCAGTACGCCCTGCTGAATAAAACCTAGAACTGCACCAATAGCCACTAATGCTCCCTTGCAGTATGTACCTTTTCCCAGTCAGGGGCCCGTTTTATGGAGCTTCAGATAACACAGAAATTTTCAAAGAAAAATAGTTGTAAATTATAAAAAAAAAAAAAAAAATTTTTTAATGGTTACCACTTAAAATAATCATGTCATGCATATTGTTTGGTTCTCAATTGGGCTGAAACTGAGCGTTTTATTTTATGAAACACTCCATCTATGAAATTTCTTCCTTTTCAAAATTTAAAATGAGACTTTTATGAAGGGGAGGGGGAGTGGCTGGGGGAGGGGGCAACATGAAGGAGAGGGAACGTAGGAAAACTGACCTTTATACATACGGCTTTTGCCCAGCATACACAAGGTGGCAGTGATGAGGATGAGAACAATAAGAACAACCAGACCGACGATGATCAGGAACCACCACTCCTCATAGAACTTCTTCATGGTCAGACCTAGGGTGAGAACACATGAAATAAAACTGATCTTAAACAGGCTTTTTTTTGTAAAGGAAGTCATAAACCTATGTCAATTGGGACCTGTTGCTTCAAAATGAGGGTGGATAACATTATTTAGCGAATGCTTTTGAGTGCCATTGTGTTCATAACGAGACACTGATCTGTGTCTGAGGCCATCGAAGATCTGTCTCAAATGCCATGGTTGCTACATTTCCTACTTACAGAACACATGATCATTTCTGCAAAAGCATGAGCTAACAGTACATTAAATAAAAAGGAATTCACAAAAATGTTTAATACATTAATCAATTAAATTTGACCAACCCTACAAGTTCCTTCAAAACACATAAACCAAAGATTAGTACTTAAACATTCTGAAGTCAACTTTGACAAACATGAGAGTTTTAGAACAACAAATTATGAGTGTAATTGTATCAAAGTAATACTCTGGAACATTTTTGGATTTACAACATAAAGGCAACTTTTAGAAGGATTGCATAAAGGGTAACTAATTTCGTTCAATTCATATGTTAGCGATTAGTGTTCTAACAAAAAGGTACACATTCAAAGGTACACATTCCAAACTCATTAGCATTTATTTATTCTATCAATTGGAAGAATAAAAATTAATCTCTTCTATTTTTTTGTGGGAAAGCTTCGCGCATGTGATTACAAATATTCTCTCTTCAAACCTCCCAAAGTCTAAATTCCCATTGTTTGCTATAAAAAGCGTAAAATCATTTGTACATTTTCAGACACGGCAATGAACGGCTACTGACCCTCCCTCTCTGGCTGGCTATTTCAACAAGGCCAGCCCAGCAGTCAGAATAAATCAAGTGACTGTTTTTAACAGTTGAGTGCTCCGGTCCTTGCCTTCATAAAGCAGGATTGACTGGCTGTGATTGTTATCAAAACTGATATAGCTATGCTTTGACTGTAGGAGATTGATAAGCCAGCTGTGCCTACCAGTCACCTGCTTTTGTCTGTTGATGGAATTTGACTGTCACAGTGCCTACCAGAAATATAATCTGACTGTTGGTGACTAGCCTGTGTAAAAGGCATGGCAGGGGAACAGGATTGAATTTTGGACTGTCTGTGACTGATCAAAACAAAGGAGGGTTTTAATATGCAAATTTTATACACTGTTCCTGAAAAAGATTCCAGGAATTTTTAGGGATTATAATGTATTTCTGGTACTGAAAAAAAACCCTGGGAATGTGATGCATCATTCTTTGAAGGCCTTCAATATGCAACGTATAAATGAGACTTTACATATCAAAAGTAAAAGGATAACTGAAACAAAATTGGTTAGATGAAATTGAACCTTTTAACAGACAAAATGGCGACGGATGTGAACCAAGGTCAGAGTGGTGCAAAACTAGAGATCACCACTTCACCAGATTGACCTTCCCCTTCCAGAACAGTTCATTCCAAAAAACCAAAAAAATACAAGAACAAAAACCAATGCCACTTTTCTTCAAGCACCATCAACTTCTGAAGATCGCAAATGCAGCTGCTACGTGCAAAGTCATAGCTGCGCACTTGATAATTCTCATTCGCCTTTTGTTTTTAAAGATGCTGAGTGAATTGTATTCCATACAACTGGATTTCATCTCACGAGCTGCACTGCGCAATAAATTTACAGCGTTTTGGTTAATCAGAAAGCGCAAACCATAAAATATTGGGATGCACGAGTAGTTATTCTACCGATCAACATCAGTCAGGATTAGAAAAACCAATGGGGAACTCGACATGCAACACACACATGTGCTACGTAATAACATGCATGTGGTTGTCATTTCCTTTAATAAAAGGGTTTTGCTTTTTCATTCTCATGCACACAACAGAAGTTTTTTTTTAATTGATACCTGGGTCTGGTTGGGCAGTGTTCTCGCCTACAGCAACAGATTCAAATCGTGGAGTACAGGATAGATATGAAAATCATTATATAAAAGACAATTTTTGTACAAATTTAAAACTCCCTTTATTTTTCACTATCGTTTTGAAAATGTTGACTAGGCAGATTCTCATGATCTAACTTATGTGTGACAATGTTTTAAAAAGTCGGGTGCAATTAGTTTCATAGTTAGATTTTAACTAACAAGTTGGGGCAAAATGGACATGTACTTGTGCTGTAGAAAATTTCACAAAAAGTGTTCAATTTATCACTGAATGACGGAACTTTTTCACCACACAGTCTGTGCAATGAGGGAGCGAAAACGAGCAGTCCAGTCAGTAAGACTGTTTGTGTAAAACTACCTGTGCACTTCACATCTATATTCAAATGGTAGTATAAAAAAAATTAGGAATCAAACTAACAAGGCAAAAGAAGCACTGCAGAATGATGTGTTAAGGCGCTCACAGCAACCATCTCAGTTTCACACTGGTAACTTTTGTTGGAACCCAAAGGGCTCGGGCGTCGCTAGAGGGAGGGGTGTGGGAGGGTTGTGGAAGGGGGGGGGGAGTTGGATATGACACCCCCCCCCCATTAATCTTTTTTTTTCAGCAAAAATATCCTCCTATCTGCAACTTTGTGTGTCCATCGGCGAATGTGCCGGGATAAAGAGCGCCCCCTATTTTCCGATAGTGCCACCGATCGTTCGCTTTGAACAGTGCATCCTATAGGAAATGTCCAGGCAGGGCCCCCCCCCCCACCCCTCCCCCTACTGAATTTACAGAGGTCGGATGACCCAGGAAAAAACTCCTGTCTATCTTTTGACACAGCTGCTCTGCTGGCGATATTTTTTATGACACCCCCCTCCCCCATTCAAAGTGGTCTCGCGACGCTCCTGCCAAACGGCCAGCCCATTGTCCAGTGAATGACTCAGTCACTTAAAGCTATAGTCCATCATTTGCAGCTATCCGAAAAGTAACTGGCTTAATTATTGTTGAAAAACCATACTTGGTTGAAAGATAGTAAGGGGACTAAACTCCCTGTGAAATTATTCTTTCTGGGAAGCTGTCATTTTGAAGTAATCAACGAAAGAAGGCCTTTCCAGCGGTGCTTCTTAAGACGCACCGTAGGAAATTTAACTTAGTAGATCGTTTTGTTATTCGGCGAAGCGCGTGCAAGCATTGGCACAACGCACACGCGGTTGCTATAATTCGTCGGATCAGTGCGTGACATCGCGTAGCTGCAATCGGCTCAGTGAGAACGTGTCTGGGACGCTGAATTCAGGCCCAATTCAAAACATGATTCAGCAACTTTTGATTTGAAATTGAGATCCTAGAATGCTGTTTTTCTTGGAATATACAGCTGAAGCTGAGCCGAAACTTCATCAGCTTAGTTGTTCAGTACTCTTCTTTAGTTTTTGAGCACTTTTGTTGCTTCAAACGAACAAAATGCACAAATTACAAATGATGGACTATATCTTTAACTCAGTCACTTGACTGACTGACTGACTGAGTCACTGAGTATACATAATGTCCTCAACAATAACTTTGGTGTCCAGCTCGACACGTCATGCCTTCGTGTCCAGCTCGACACGTCACGCCTAAGTCTGCAAATATAGTTCCTTGAGTTGCTTATTTGTCAGTCGATCAAGTTTCGTTTACAGACAAGCGAATGCCTTCCTTACCTGCTGGGGTGGTTTTCATGCCCGTCGTGGTCCTTGGGAAGCTGATACTCTGTTGGTTCTCGGCCATCACACGGAACTTGTACTTGGTGGAGGCCTTCAGGTTACGATACGATACGCTGTAGGACAAGACGTCCGGGCTCACCGAGTCCGTTTGGGTTTCCCATTCTGAACGGCCTGTGTACGCAGCGGGAGAACATGCGGAAAAATGGAATGAAAAAATTGAGACGAACGTCACGCATAAGCAACGTCACGCAGGAGGGTCTTTTGTCTCCAACAACATGATCGAGATGAACAAAAAGCGCAACAGCCAAGTACTTTTGCTGAATTTAAACTGAGGTCTAGTACCCACCTTCTTCTTGGCTTTCCAATATGTAACCGATGAGTTCCGAGGCACCAGTGTTCTCAGAACGAGTCCAGACCAGCTTGAAGGCATCGTCCATCTCCTCCACCGTGAGGGAGTCAGGCCTGCCTGGCTTACCTGAGCAAAACAAGAGACAAGAAATATTGCAGGGTTAAAACAATCGGATTGAATAATCACGCAGAGTGTTCGTGTGCAATTGATATATTACTGAGTTGACATACATTTGACACGTGTGACTAGCTTTAGCAGAGTTGCCTTGTCTTTGTTATAAAACACTTTCTCAAATGTGAGGCGTTCTGGCAAACTGAGACGGAACTGGGCAGAGGTCGAAATGAGGGTTGTGCGGGTATTAGGAAAGAAAATAAAACTCCTTAAAATACTGTGTGTTGCACTTCAATTGGACATTCTGTTGACAAGTTATGGCTGTTTAAAGTTCGCATTGATCGACATGTCCAAAAATTAAAATGCTGAGAAAAAAAGGCCGTTACAGTTCCAAGTTTTGTGTTTTTGAAAATAAAAGATGCCAATTGTTTTTCCTTAAAACCTACTTTATTCCACGATTTTTACACTATTTCTTTAAAACATGTGTAGTAGACATATCAAAGATTGCAAATATCAATGAATCGGTATATTGAAAAATAATCTACCCCATTTTTTTTTTTTGCATTTTTTTCCACTACTGCCTGTGCCCATTTCCGTCTCATTTTGCAAGAACGCCTCACAAATCATTATAGGTGGGCGCAGAGTGACATCCGGGAATTTTTTACACTGGCTTACGTGTATCTAGCTCCCAGACCTATGTTCTTAAAACTCAATGGTTCGTGAGTCTGTAGTGCTGAATGGTTAACACAGAGCAACTGATGAAAACTAGTGTGCCAATGTATAGATGTTTTCATCTGATGACATAATCCCGCTCTAATAAAGCATATTCTTAAGAAATGACATAAAATAATGGGCAAGCATCATAATTACCCTCTTGCGGTCCAGTGGTGACATTAGCCTCTCGGTATGGACCATAGCTACGGCCCCTGGTCCTAGCCTTGACACGGAAGATGTATTCGGCGAACTCTCCCAGCTTCTCCACGCTGTACACCAGTTGGGGACCGTTGATCTCCACGGTGATGGTGGATATCTCACCTGCAATTGAACGGAGAAGACATCAGATCAGCTTTGCTTTGCCTCACTTTAATGTGAAGGTGAACTTTGCAATGTGCGTGTGCAATGGAAATATTGCTTAAAAGGTTACTCTATATGAAAACAGTAAAATACAGGAAGACAAACTACTTTGGACACATGATGAGAAACCAAATGCTGCAGAAGACTCTTTTGGAAGGGAAAATAGAGGGGAAAAGACCAAGAGGAAGAAGAAGAACATCGTGGTTTGATAATGTGAGAGACTGGACTGGCCTTAGCTACATGGAATGTGCAAGGGCATCTCAGGACAGAGACAGATGGAAATCCATTGCAGCCAACCTTCTGCGAGAAGACGGCACCTGATTGATTGATTGATATGAAGAGTGTAGCAATAATATTTGAAGTTAAGAGTAGAATCTGGCCAAAGTACTGAAGTATTTCCAGTTGTTATTTTAAAACTGAAGAGAAAATGATAGTGATATGGGGGTAACATTTTTAATTGAGTTAACTCTTTCAGTGCCCGCGAAATTTGAAAAGTTTAACCCTAAAGCGCCCAACTTCGAGCGTTTTTGTTAATTGTTCAAAATTCTGTAAAAAAAAAAAGTAAATAAGTTTTACTCACTAAATTTGTTGTTGTTACTCTCTGGTATATCCTTGATATATTTGAAAGTCAAAAGTAGTCACAAACATAGTGATACACCCTGAAACACTGGCCTGAACACAGGGAGATTCCGCACTTTTTGCAGAAAATACGAGATTTAGTGCTGCACCCTCTCTCAAGAACTCGAATGAAAAAATAAATACAGGTCGTACATGCATGAAAATGGTACCATTAGAAAGAGCAAGAGCGCCCCCTTTTGATAACATATTTACTCTACCTCGTACATGTACGAGGTTTGGCAATTTTAAGTACGAACATTTACGAACATTACCTCGTACATGTACGAGGTTGGCGCTATTGGACTAACAAATATACCTCGTACATGTACGAGTTTGGCACTGAAAGAGTTAAATAACGGAGAATTTTTTTTTTTTACAAAACTTAATAAATTACAGTCCTACAAGTTTAACTTTGGCAACTTGCAGTAAAATACTAGCAATAGGTTAAAAAAAAACTTCTATAAATAAGCGGTGTACTTTACGAAGGTGGTGACAAAAACAAAAACAGCTTCCTGACAATGACTTAGTTCGTGAACAAAAGGAAACAGTTTGTAACTCCACAACAAAAGCATGTGAAGGACACTGTGCTATTCACTATTAACATAATTTTTTACACCAAAGTGCACAAACCAAGATGGCCCCCGATAGTCCTTCAATATTAGGACTTTCTCATTTTCAGCATTGAGGGGGCACTCATAATTCATTTGAAATTGGCCCTGTTTATATAAATACCATCTATCGGCGTGACACTCTCATAGTAGACTTGGTACCCATCGACTTCACCGCAGGGGAGTTCTGGGGGTGCCCACGTCAGATTCAGAGACGTCATCCTGATGCGGTGGAAACCGACTGCTGACGGGATACCGGGAACTAAAACAAAAAAAATGTACAGGAAAATTACAGTGACTACATGTATATTTTTGAGGGGTTTGTTGTCCAAAAATGGGATTTTTTTTTGTAACAAAAAGTTTATAAAATGTACACAGATTTGAAAAAAGACCTTTTGCCCAGGCCTTTTTATTGATCTTTTTAAGTTATTTATATGTCATTAAATCAACCAGCAATAAGCTCAAAGGACAGTGGATTAAAATTACAAAAAAAAAAAAAAATTATGACAGAACTAAAAAGTCAACTTAAACATAGTTACCCGTGAGCATCAAGTTTCAAAACAAATTACTCGTAAAATACTGGGCTGTTCCACAGTGTCAGAGGTACATTTTGGGACAATTTAACAGAGTTTATAATAAACCTTTTCATCATATGGTGGATTTTAATTATGATAAAACGTATCACTTACAGTTACTCCAATGATTTCAAAAAACAAATTATTCATGCAACTGTTTTGCCATAGTAGAAATGGCCTCGAAACACAATGGTGTCGGACGTATTCAGACAAATTGACTTTGTGTGTACTTATTACTTTTTTCAGTTTATTACTTATTTATTACTTCAGTTTATTACTTATTACTTTTTTACAGCTGAACTGTTGAACATTGTTAGAAATAAACTATATTTCATTGAAATACAGATAATAAGCTTCAAAACGATGTACATATTCATTTGTGGCATTCTGGATTTTCTTGACGTTTTTTTTCATTTATAATTCCAGGGAATGGCCACTGTAAACAGATATTTGCAAGCACTTGAACATTTTCAGCATACCCATTTGTCTTAATACTCAGATTCCTACACTCAGTGCTTATCCAGAAAAAAAAAATGAACAAAAAAAAATGTTGCGAAACTGACCACTCTGTTCCGTCGTACTGGTTATCTCCCCACTGGCTGGTCCGTCCCCAGCCGAGTTGAACCCGATCACCGTCAGCGAGTACTCGGTGAAGCACTTGAGTCCGTCTAGGCTGGCCTCCGTGTCCTGGCTGGGGAACGTCTTGGTGTACTTGATGGGCGCCGCACGGGCGATGCGCAGCTCGGTTGGGGTCTCCCAATAAGTGATCTGTTGGAGTGCGAATGTGTCAACTTTTCAAAGCAATGTTTTCATTGGATGAACATTGGTCTCAAAGAGGCTGGCAAAGCTTCAAATGTTAACCCTGATCACCCTAGGTACTTAACAGATTTGCCATGCTTTTGAAGATTTTGATGGCCTATGGTGGAAGAGCCAAGCCGCAAATACTTAAGGGCAACTCCAGCGTCATTACAGGAAGTGTTATGTCCGTGACAGAGCCAATTAACCATGCTATCTAATTAATGATTCAGAGAAATGATAAAAAAACTCCTAGTCTGTAATATCCTAATCTGTAATACCTGCAACCTGTACATCCTACAATGGGACTTTGGCTTGCAGTATTATCCAGATCCAGATCCTTGACCATTACTTGATGACGGATGTATAAGATTTGAAAAATGCATTTTCGGGTGTATTCACTGAGCTCTAAAATAGCTCTGTCATGGACATTACATAACGCTGAAATTGCCCTTATACAGGGTTTGGTGCCCTTTGAAAGTTAGTGAAATAGGCTGATCCATTTGGCATGCGCCTCTCCAACGCCACACCGCACGTTCCAGCTTCTCACATCATATGCACATTCAGGCATCTCAGCCTCTTGTGCACGCATCACTACCTGCCATCGCGGCATCATCCAATTTGCGCCCTCTTTTGTTCAACGTTGTCTATGCGAGTTCCTGCAATAGTATGGTGCTGTCTCGCCGCGTAGCTCACGTTAGCAATGCACTGTCAAGATTCTAGGATTGTGACCGTGTTTAAAAACCCGTTATATGCGTGCCATTTTGTTGACTTCGCTGCGGTGACAAACTTCCGAGATTTTCATAAACCGTTTCGACATTATCTAAAGGATATTTTGATATGCCTTCAAAGAGAGAGAAGTGTTGTGTTTGTAAGTCTAGTGTAAGTAGTAGATTTCATGCGACTACAATTTATAAAGATGACTTGCAGAGTTGTTTTTTGCTTCAAGAAGAGAGGGAGGGTTTTCTGTGTAGTTCGTGCATGTGGTGTGTTCAATCATTTCGGCAAAACAATTCACTAACTTACAAGCATCGTGTAGATAGCAAGATAAACTCAGTCAAGCGTCAGATCAGGGGAAAACGTTGTAGCAATACGAAAGAACAGGAAGAGGGGGCTGGGCATGCCGGGGGAGAAATTGACGCGCCTTGCACTAGTTCAGCATGTTCAGAGAAGATTGCTAATTTGAAGGAACAAATTGGGATACTTGAAGCAGAAAACAACCGGCTTAAGAAATTTGAGGAAAATGTCATTACAGAATTTGGGGTGGATAGATCCACTGGGGTACAACAGCTTAAAAGTGCTGCCCTTCATTACATCATCAAAAATTCAAAGAGTCAGGACCCAGATATACTCAAAGTTGAGGGCACACCAGGGCGTGCAAAATGTTTTGTACGGGTTCCTGTAGCTGAATTAGGAAGTTCTACTTGTAGTAATAGATCACTCAGAAAGAGGAGCCAGATCATTGAAAAAGTAGAGACGCTGGTTTCAGGTGGCACATTTGCTGCTGTAAATTGTGGGCCTAGTTCCTCATCAAGTTCAGAACAAACTTCTTCAGCTACAGGATCACCTCCTCCAAGTCAAGTCCCTACTGTCTCTGATGATATTTCGGCTCAGCGATCAGCAAATATCAAGCGGCAAAAAGATCGGTATGCAGCAGCATCTAAAGCAGCAGGCCTAAGAGTATGCACAAAATTTTCAAGGGATACAGTTGATGGGTTGCGCAGCCTAATGCCAGAGACAATGTGGACATTGATCAAAAACAGACTTGAGATTGAAACAGGTCATAAACTTATGGGAACCCGGCAATCGATGCGTTTTTCAGCAGAGCTACCTTACGAGTTTGAGTATGGCGAGTTCAATGGGAGTAGTGGGAACCCTGTTCACTTCACCAGGATTGTAAATGTTGAGCATCTTATCACCAGCATGGTTACTGAACAGGTTCAATATAATCACATTGTTGAAAGCTTTGACAATACTCTGTGGCTTCATGCGTCGGGTGATAAGGGGGGGAAAACTACCAAAATGGTAATCCAGACTCTAAATTCCAAAGAGCGGCACTCGGTAAGATCAGTCAAAATCATGGGAATTTTTGAGGGTGGAAAAGATGACAGGCTCAACATCCAGGCAGCATTTAAGCCAGTATTTGATGATTTGCTGAAGGTCACTGGGGATATCGCAAAGTTACAGCTTCCATGCCCAAACATTGACAACGCTGAACACATGTACACCGATGACATGGTTCAATCAGCAGATGACAAGCTGGATTTCACTCCACTCAAGGAACTAAATCCAGACAATAGGTACATCAGTCCTAACTGCAGGTATTGCCAAAGCGCTTCATCTTCATCTGAAGCCAAATATCCTACCATCTCAGAATCCCCCAAAATTTACACAAAATGCAAACTGACGTGGGGTGGGGACTGGGAATGGATTGCCAAGATTCTTGGTTTGACAGGGCCAAATGGTCATCACTTTTGCCCACACTGCCTAGCCACGTTACAAGATCTAAAAAAGGGTAAACCACATGCCATGCACATTCTTCAAGATTTCAGGGATGATGGTGGTGATGATGATGAAGACCATGGCATTGCTGCAGTTGCTCAAAGGAAACTGACAACCTGCCATGCAAAAGCCACAGAGTTCCAAGAAAAAGGTGCAAAAAAAGATCAGGCAAAGAACTATGATAACTGCATTCAACGACCGCTTGTTGGTACGGAGGGTTATGTCACGGAACATGTATCGGTCAGTCCCTTACACATCAGCTTAGGGCTTGGTTTGCAATTCTTTGAAATTGTTCAGAAAAATGCAGAGAAATTGGACAATGAGGTCCTGGAAAATCATGGGATATACAGTGGGGTAGATGATCTGTACACACATGTTAATGACCTCAGTAAGGAACATGATGATTTATGCAATTCAAAGAGGGAACGTGAAGTCGAACTTGTGGCTAAGCAGGACCAGGTTGCTCAGGTTCAGACAAATAACCCCAACCACTTCATAAAAAATGGTCGACAGTACAATGAGAACAGTGCAGAAGCCAAAGAATCTAGAACATTGGTTCGCCAGCTCAATGCTGAATGCAAAGAAATCAATCATTCGGTTCAACGCTTGAATAAAGAGATGAATGAAAACCAAAAAATGAGGGATAAAATTGAACAAGATATTAAGAATGTCACTGGGCCATTCATGACTAAATTCAACAGGGTACAGGAAGAACTTGGAATTAGAAAACAGTCATATCATGGGGGATCACTAATTGGCCCAGATGTAAATAAAATGTTGAAGGAGGGTAATTTTCAGAAATTTTCAGAAATCTTTCTGCCTGTTCTCATTGACACAACCACTGGATGCCAATCATTTGGCTCTCCAGAACTCTCTGATAAAGTGCACAAATTGTTTCAGAAGTTCAAATCGTGTTACGAATTGTACACACTCAACAGGATGCTCTGCAAGCATGAGGTGGAACTACTAGCCTTGCGATGTTCCGAGTTCGGTTGCTGGTTTCCAGTACACTTTCCAAAGGAAAACATCAAAAGAAAGTTTCACTTATTGACAGTAGAGGTCATTCGACAAGCACGGCTCTTAGGTAGTGTTGGCTTGATGTCTGAGCAGGCAACAGAAAGTATTCACGCGCAATTGAACAAATACGAGCGCATGTATTGCACAGTACGCCAACCTGCTAAGCGACAGAAATTGCAAATCAGACAGCAAGCCCAGTACAGCTCACCAAAACTTACACACGTCAAGTTGTAAATATTAGGAATGGACTGATCCAGTAAGCGTCACCCACTGCGCGTGCGTAAGCAATTTACACATGCTCCTCTTCAATGCCTCACTGTACATTGTATGCGCATGCTCGCTTGCATGCATTGCAGACCTTTGTGCATGCATGTTGGACATAAATTGCAGTTTCAGAAAACCATGAGGCGACGCTTCTGGATCGGTGTTCTTAGGGTCATCTCTGTCACATGAAAGTAAATGTACTTACACCATTTATTAATATGTTGTTTTGCTCTCTAAAATTGCATTTTGCTCCATATTAGCAAAATGGGAGGAGTTTGTGGTAAGTCTAGGGGTATCCAGTTACCACAACACACTCTCATCTTGGTGTATTATGGATCTAATGCCCAAAAAAACTATAAAAAAAAAAAACCAAAAAAAAATTAAAAATCCGAAAAAAATAAAAAATATTTTACTGTTAACAAATCAGGGTCACCCACTAGGACTGAGGTCATAGTGGATGGGCCTGATAATCCCTTGCTTTGTCTCCCAACTTCTTCAGGTAGCCTGCTTGCGCCGGATGTGCGAGACATGGTTTTACCACTACCTTAATAAGTTGTTAGACTTTGCAGTTGAGTTCAACGTTTCACTTTGTTGTTATGCCATCATACATATTATTCTATTCCATTTGTAAAATATGTTACATGTCTTTCCATGTAACAGTGAACATTGAACTTATTGTCGATTATTTCTGGTAATTAAACCAAGGATTAGACTTGTAGTCGAGTCACCAAACATCAAGTCCGAGTCACATCTCATGAGTCTGAGTCTCGAGTCGCACAGTCCAAGTCTGAGTCCGCAGGGTCGAGTCAGAGTCCCAGTCACGGAAAAAGGGGACTCGAATTGGACTCGAGCTGGAATCTTGATTCACACATGTAAGGATTAGTCTGCCAAGGATTCCTGAAAAATGCACTGTAGCTCATAAGCCAAGAAATCTGTAGAGAGGAGAAAATGAGAGGGTGGGAGGAAACCCCAGAAGAAAATTCTGGGGAAAACCCACGGAATCAGGCAGGGACTGAAAATTCATCCACATTTTGGCCTAGGCGGGATTCGAACTCGGGTTACACAGATGAAATACATGTACATGTACAAGGAAATTTTGTCACTGCATCGGGGAAGCTAAATGGCCATTAAAAATTAAATAATGATGATAGTGTGACTTGGCAAGATAAAGGGCGGTTCGAATTCCTGTCGAAAGTGCTGCTGATCTTTTTACATAATTGCAGTTTGCACACGACTGGGCCATATCACACTGCAGATCTGAATTTAATTTTAAGGCCAAGATAGGCCTAATGAATTGTTTATGATTTATTTGTACAAAAAAAGTTGGAAAAATTAGGTTTAAACAAATGCCACCATACAGCCTTAGACATGTTGTAACTTACACAAAGGCCCCCCCCCCCCCCCGCCAAAAAAAAAAAAAGGAAGAAATTCATGTCATTCGATGAGTTTTGTCACCGTCGGCTGTTTGTGTCATTATATGCCATGTACATGTAGGCTCATTTCAATGACTTCTGCCCATTCCACTGTCTAACTTTAAAATTTAGAAGAAACTCGGTGAGACTCATTCGGAATAGAAACTGATTTCAGCGCGAAAATCAGAGCGAGATAGTACTGCATCTATTTCGTGAATATAACATTTCGCGAGGTCCGCCATTTTTTAAAAACAACAAAATCCCTCAGACTGAGCAATCAATCACCATGAAATTCACTTCAATGACTCCCGTACCATTCCACTGCCTAGGCTAGCCTTCACATTTGGAAATGGAAGAAAATCAGTCATGTCAGTAAGACTCATCATTTGGAATGGAAACTGACAATCCATTTGTATCTTGAGGCCAAATCTTGTCAAGTGATTGTAGCTGAATTCTGAACATTCATGACCAGAAGACCATCTCATTCACGCTTTTTAATTTCCTTAGCTATCATATCAAGTATCATGGCTATGCCCCACTCTATCTGATTTTCCCTCTATCTTCCCATGAACTGATGAAACTGAGTTCACTCCTTTGCGTTTGAATTCAAATAACAAAATAGAAAAAAGGAAAAGATTCCCATATCTGACCATCACTTGTCGTCGATCATGTGCACAAACCGTACGAGACTCGGGTGTTCTTGGTAAAAACTACAATATTTTCCCTGCTAAATTTGACTTTTTATAATTATTAATATTATCACTTGCTCTTTCTGATGGCTGTTAATGTCACTGAAGGGAAACATTAGTGATGGGCAGGTATGGGAATCTTTCCAAATAAAGGTATTTCTTCAAGATATTCGACTTTAGAAAATTCAAATACAAAATCATATTAAATAAATCCGCGCGCGATAGTACTGCATCTATTTCGTGAATATTATTACGCACGCGAGGTCCGCCATTTTTAAAAAACAACAACAAAATCGTTCAGATTCTGCAATCGATCGCCATGAAATTCACTAAATTTCAAAGTAAGGGCAGGCAGTAATGTGATCAAACGACTATTATTATTAATGGATAAGATATAAACTACCATATCAGATGATATTTGACATGTATTATGAGCCAAGTTACCGAAAAAGAGGAATTTTCCGTGGTCGCATCACTTCCAGGGCACGACAATATTTGAGACACAGGACATGCAAAACGCATAGCGATGAGGGTTTCCTTGTTTTGTTGATGTTTGGCGGAGTAATATCACTTACCACACTCAGAACTACTTTGAAAAATGATCGTTTTTGCTTCTAATTACATTCTAAGAGGAAAAATCATTGGGGGATCAGTTAAAATACGCTTTTAATTAAGTGTATGAAATGATGACGTCATCACTTAAGCTTAAAACAAAAGATGCTGAACCAACTTTTTGACGGACTATATCTTGTATAAGGCAGGTCAACATCATTATGAAAGGGGTGAAAAGCGGAGGGATACGAGGTCAAAAGTCACATCCAAGCCCGTTTGCAATGTATTATGAAGGATTTTACAACCTATTATCCAAAAGGTTTCGTTTTTAATGTGTAGTGACGTCACTACTGTTGACAAAATGAAAATAGCCTTTGAAAGTGATTATGATGACCGATTGTCTTGGTTTTTCGTTGACAAAATCGCCAGAGGATTATAGTTTTCCAGAACAAAGTTCCGGATGTGCTGACGGTAGCTGAAGTCAGTTATTCATTCATAAAATGCCTCATACATATTCATGTTTGCATCATTTGCTCAGCACTCGGCGGAAAGCCCGCCCTCTGTTGGTGACTCTGGGAAATGAAAGATTGCCGCAGCGCGTACGCACCGCGCGACTCGTGGCATGTTGGACACTAATCATGACTGCGATTGGTCAAAACAGGAAGATTGCCAGTCTGTTGAAATCCTGGGTGGAGAGAGGAAAGTGGGGTAAAGTGTCATGCCCAAGGACATAGAAGTTGGATTTAAACCCTGACCCCTGCCCTCGGCCACCTTGGGTGCTAACTTCTCAATGATAATGGCGTCAGGAGATGAGAGACTTTGCCCCAGCTTGGAATTCTTACCTTGTATCCCTGTAGTCCTCCATTCTGGGCCTCTTCGGGTAGGGCATCCCATGTAACACGCAGTGAGGAGGCGCTTCCTCCAGACGCTCCAACATTACTAGGAGCTGCTGATGGAGCTACATACAAAAAAAAGGGCAAAATAAAAATGTAGATACTGCACAAACGTGATGTCAGTACAAGTGCAAAAAGATTCATCACAGAGGTTAGGGCCCATCTCAAGACGAGTTCCGACGAGTTCCGAGTTCCAAGTTATAAGTTGCGGGATTCTGAACAACTTCCCCTCAATCTTCCCGCAATGAAGTCATCAGTATTGCTGAGTCAAGTGGTTGCCAAAGAAAATTTCCCCGGAACATGTCCGGGACAAATGCAGAGCTTCTTCCGAACAAAGTGAATGATTCTACCTGCAACTTGTCTGGAAGTCATCACGGATATGAATTGAGATGGGCCCTCAGTGGCCTGGATTTTAATTCCCTAGGAAGCCTTCCTTTTAAACATGTCGTACCCAATATTTTAAGGTAATTTTGAAATTCTGTGCTCACATCAGAATGTTAACAGTTTTTAATCAGTGAAGTAATAGGAGTGAAGATACTCTTTTTGAAACACTTTGGCAAGTAATTTGCTCTACTGAAATGACTAGTCAGTAAACAGTTAACCCTTTGCTCCTTGGACCTGGAGCAACAAAATTTGGTTCCTTTTTTTCCCCTAGGTAATCCTAATTCAAGACCCTTTGCTTTTCCTTTTGCAAGCCGGTTTCGAAACCACATCCTCTCACTCTTTGCTAATGCTAGGTTCCCGATTTTTAAGCCGAATCGCCACGAATTGTAATTCTTGAGTAAATCGGGGATGGTTCTTGGCTGCCTCGGGATGATCCTGTTAGTTCGGTGAGAGATCATGAAAGATCGGGAAGCGCCCCGACAAATTTGAACATGTTCAAACTTGTCGGGGTGCTTCGGTAACCAATTTCAATTCTTGGTTTATTCTGGCTGTATTCACAACTAATTCTGGCATATGTGAACCTAGCACAAGACTTACAGTAAGCAACTCTACTATACTTGAAAACTGAACTGCACAGCAGATGTAAACATTAAGAACGGGAGAAGTAGAAGACCTTGCTTCGAAACTTCTCACCCATAAAACGGCATACTTACTTGCTACTCCGACGTAGACCATGACAGGCCGGCTGTACGGCCCGGCCCCCTTGGCGTTGTAAGCCCTGACCTTGACTTCGTAGTCCTGGTACTTGAGAAGATCGATCAGCTGGTACTCCAGTTGGGATGGGTCCGTGGTGACACGCTCTACCGGGCTGGCGTCGGGGAGCTCGGTGTAGGAGATGCGGTAGCCTTGAAGGGGGCCATTGTGGGTACTGCTGGGTGGGGCCTGTGTTGGTTATGGCAGACAAAAAATTACCGACATACTGCAGAAGGATATATTTATGTGGTAAAACTTTGCACATCTTTGTGATGTGTTTGGTCAAACCCAGACGATTTTGGTCAGAGCTTGAATTGGAGATACAACCAAATATTATGTTGGGTGAAATATTTAATTTTTGCCAAATTTGTAAATAAAGATCTAAAGTTAAATATTTTTAAAAACTTCTTTGGACATCCTGCTTAAAATGAGTCTGTTTTTGAAAGAAAAACTTGTTATTCTAAAAAATTTAGCATGCAAAATAATTGAAACATGTTCATTAACCACTTAATGCCGAAGGACTTATAAACATAATCTGGCAATGTATACTCGCAGGCGGGTAATGGGTTAAATCGTCAATGTTTCCCCCCGAGTCTCCAGAGGTGGACATATATACATGTCAGTGGTTCCCACTGGTTTTGAAAACACTGTGTTTAGAACTTCAACTTGGCCGCTGCACACAACCTGTCATCGTAGCAAATATCGCTCTTAGGCAAGGCCTTGGAGTGTTGCAAAAATATGAAGTTACGGTATTAATATCAGACAAATATTGTACAAAAAACTCTGAAGAGTAAGTAGTTGTGGTGTTTGATTCATTTTAAAATTTGGTCTTTTTTTTTCAAAATGGTGTTTTTCGGCCAAAAATAATCCTGTCGTCAAGTGGTTAAACAAATTGTGTAAACCACTCATATGCAAACACCAAATACTGCAGATTCTGAAGTTGAATAGTACCAAGGCAGTGACTGGGTTGACTGTGGGAAGGATTGCTATGGAAGCAATTTGTCCTTCCTGTAACTCACCGTCCAAATGACTCGCACAGATGTTGGAGTGATCGGGGTCACTTCTTGAATGCCGGGCTCTCCATCAGGAACTGACAGAAAACATACAAAAAAAGGGGAACATGAGGACTTAAACAACTCAAATATATCAGATAAGACTGCTCAACTGCTCATCTTTTGAAAATAATTTATGTTGCAGTATCTCACCATTTATGTTGCAGTATCTCACCATTTATGTTGCAGTATCTCACCATTTATGTTGCAGTATCTCACCATTTATGTTGCAGTATCTCACCATTTATGTTGCAGTATCTCACCATTTATGTTGCAGTATCTCACCATTTGTGTTGCAGTATCTCACCATTTGTGTTGCAGTATCTCACCATTTATGTTGCAGTATCTCACCATTTATGTTGCAGTATCTCACCATTTATGTTGCAGTATCTCACCATTTATATTGCAGTATCTCACCATTTATGTTGCAGTATCTTACCATTTATGTTGCAGTATCTCACCATTTATGTTGCAGTATTTCACTTAAACAACTCAAATACATCAGATGAGACTGCTCAACTGCTCATCTTTTGAAATATTATAAACAGTTCTAATACATATGTATCACTTTCGCATGTAATTCTTTACACTGATTGGAAGGATTTTATTGCGAGCCCGGGTCTTGGAAATGTTTCAATATCTCACCATCTTGTTCAGTTGATATGACGTCAGATTCCTCACTGTCGGGACTGGGGCCAATATCGTTGTGGGCTCGCAGACGGAACTGGTAGTCTGTGTACGGCGATAACCTAAAAAGACAAACGTATTAAACAAAAAAAATTGAAAAGGATGTGAAAAACTGAGCATAAAGTGCCAAGTATAGACCATGTACCATCTGACATTATGCTGATGGTTAAAGATATAGTCCATCATTTGTAATTTGTGCATTTTGTTCGTATGAAACAACACAAGTGTTCAAAATCTAATGAAGGATACTGAACAGGCAAACTGAACTTTAACTGCCAGGCAACTCAAACATTTAAGCACCTTTTTGCATGTTATTTAGCCCACATTAAATAGAAAAGTCAACACTTTTAAACCATTCATATTTCAAGTTAGACAGACATGCAGTGCAGACGATTGCTGAAACTTGGCATCACGTGACCACACTATTCAATTTTGAAAACAAATGCAACATGGTCTCTACTTTGCGAAGGAAAAATCATCGCATGTAAAATTTACAGTGTCTCAATACAGAAAGAACAGGTTATCAGCACAAATGCCAAGCTATGTATATCACTTGTGACATGTGGGCTCAACGGTAAGTGTCTGTTAATGTTCTAAGCATTTACTCTTTTGGGATTAATCCTTTACAAGGTAAGTATTGCTTACTTGTCCACGACATAAGAGATGACGCTAGGGTCGACGTTGGTGTCGCGGTCTTGGAAGCTACCGGCGCCCTCCTTGACCTGGATGCTGTAGTAGCGGAGGGGACCGTTGCCGTCCGATCCAGGGGTCCAGGAGATGCGAGCCTCTCGACTGCGGATGTAGTCCACGCTGGGCTTGGAGGGAGCAGTGGGGGCAGCTGGCAGTGAAAAATATTTAAAAAAAACAAGGAATACATTTGATTTTTTGAATAGACCACGAAAGGAAACTGACTTGGTTCATTTATAAATCAATAATAGATTTGAATTAAAAAAATGACAAAGGTGAATGCAATGGGAGACTTTTGAGACGTTGGTAGCAGCGAACACACCAATCCTTTTCAACTGTTTACATCAAGTTTTAAGCTAAAGCGCGCCTGCTCAATATGATGCAGACAATGGAGAAAGGACCGTGTGTTTCCTGCCAACAATGTCTCAAACTTCACTTTAATTAATAAAGGATTTTCTCTTTAAATCGGTAGGTACATTTCTAGGTAATTGCAAATGTTCCTATATGCCCAGAACTTTTAAATTGACTTGTGAATTGTTAGATGAGTTATTGACTGAAGATTGACTCACAACTGACTCACGATTATTTGACTTACGCCTGACTGTTGTTAGCATGTGCTTGACATGTGCTTTACATGTGATTGACTTGTGATTGACTTTTGGTTGACTTGTGACTGACATGTGATTGAATTGTGATTGACATGTGATGACTTGTGACAGACATGTGACTGACTTGTGATTGACTTGTGACTGACGTGTGATCGATTTGTGATTGACTTGTGATTGACGTGATGACTTGTGATGGACATATGATGACTTGTGATGGACTTGTGATTGACATGTGATAACTTGTCACAGACATTTGATTGACATATGATGACTTGTGATGGACATGTGATGATTTGTGATTGACATGTTACTGACTTGTGACTGACTTGTGATTGACTTGTGATTGACTTGTGACTGACATGTGATTGACTTGTGATTGACACGTGACCAACTTGTGACAGACTCGATCACAAGTCTAGTTTCAACTCACTCCTGTCGTTGGTGGTGATTACGATGGCGGTGGCCTCTGCTCCCCAGCCCAGTCTAGTCTTGGCCTCCACACTGAAGGAGTACCTGGTGTTGACATACAGGCCTGTCGAGACAGTGAATTTCTGGTTCATGCCCACATCCGTCGTCTGCTTGAAGCTGTCTGGGAAACCTTCTTGCAGGTAGCTTACCTGACCAGCCATAAACATAGCAATTTATCCAAATTAATTCAAATTCACTGTAATTTTTATTCACAATCTACAAACTCTGTATTTAGGGTCTGAGGAATATTTGAGAATTGAGTAAGAGGAAGAAAAAAATTAAGTCAGGGAAATAAATATACTTGAATATATATTTTTTATGAAGTATTTTAATATTGTTGTGAATTCAGGCTTAATTCATTTAATTGAGTTCAATGTTTCAACAAAATAAGTTTCAAATGTATAGTTCAAGGCAGAAGTTTTTTAAAATGCTTATTACATCAAATATATGTAACCTGTTGCAAACCTGTACATGTGCATGCATATTTAGAACATTGTTGGCCTGTTGAAATAATAAAAGGTCCCATAACTCACCCTGTAGCTTTGGATGACACCATTTGGTTCCACAGGCGCCTCCCATATCATCTTTACCGAGGTGTTGGTTACCTCTGGAAACAGGATACCAGTGGGTGGGCCCGGAACTATGAGTAAAAAAAAGGGGAATAATCAACATGATACGACCATGATAAAACGTTCAGAGGTGAAAATTAAGATCTATTTTTGCTTGATCTAAAGGAACAGCCTATTGTCCTCTGACTGACAGACAGATTGTCTAAGTCACCGAGTATAAATAACGTCCTGGACTGAGAATTCCAGGTCCTCTTCGACTAGGAAAGGGAAGCAAGCAAGTCTCACCAGACTCTTGCGTCTCCACCTCCACGGGGCTGCTGGCGACGCCGTCCCCCATGCGCGTGTAAGCGAGCACGCTCAGTGTGTAGCGCGTGTACCCTCGCAATCCCGTCAGCTGGCTGCTCATCGAGGCCTCGCCAGGGACGTCCAGGGTCTGCTGCTCGGAAGGGGACGTCGTAATGTGGTAAAGTACCTGTGTGGAGCAAAAACAAAAAAAGTAAGGGACTTAGTCAAGAAGTAATCCCACTTCTGCCACCAACATTTGGTCACCGACTTTGCTGTGCCACATAGGTACCACTTGCATGTATCTGCTAAGAAAAACTATGTTGCTCAGCAAATTAGTCTGCTAAGTGAAAGCCTGCTAGGAACCAGTCACAAGCAATGCATATCCCATGATATTTTAGCTGGTAACCTGTACTGCTGAGCAAATATTTACTGTGCTTGGTCCAATTTCTGTGATTAGTGGCTCAATGAAATTATCCCCATGTCTGACACTGAATAATTTCTTATGCAGATAAAATGTTCTGAACAAAAGCATCTTTAGAGCTTCTTTCAGTGTCACCTATTGCTTCAATGAAATCTGATTGTCAACAGAAAGTTTCCATGGAGTGGGTATTTAGTTTTCTTAATGTAGACAAAAGCCCTCAAAATTAATGACGGCCTATTGTGTAAATGAAAACAAGGACGACTTTGTATTTGGGGTTCCAGATTTTACCTTGTATCCCAGAATGGCACCGTTCTGATCAATTTTTGGCACACTGCCCCAGGTCACGTCTATGACAAAAGCACCAGTAGCACTCGCTGCAACGTTGGCTGGCCCCGAGCTGGGAACTGTGGGTAAAGAGAAGAAAAATGTCATATATTTGCTACTCACTGAAAAGATATGGCTTAAAAAAATAATAATAATAAATAAATAAAAAGGTTACTCCTTTTTGCCAAAGTTGAAGAGATAAAATTCAATCAATAAAATATTTACACATTTTTAAAAATTATCATCTAAAAGTTTTTTTTTCTTCTTTTTTTGCTATTTTCTTGACAACTCAACTGCTTACAATATATGATTTTTGAAACAAAATAATCTAGATAAATGAATATCGATACGAGAGATTGCTTGGACAAGTTGCCTCCAAATTGCCTTGTTTGTCATGGCCTTAAGACAGCATCTTGGAGCAAGTTCGGGCATGACCTATAGTTAACCATAGTTCTACCACTCTAGTCGACTATTTGGAACCCGATCATGGGGCACGGTTTCATCACTGGCTTCTAACAGCCATGAACATCACAAAGCACAATGGGGAGCCAGGAACCAAGAAGTCTTGTGATGACGTTTTGACCGTCGTTCGACTAGAGGTATTCGCTGGTTGCCATTAGTGGGCAGGCGTAAGTTACATCCCGAGTCAACCACTAGTCCTCCTGGCCCGAACTGCTCTTGATAAATTTACCTGTATCAATAGTCCTGACAATGAGTGGATTGCTGATGGGTCCCACGCCGATCTCGTTATATGCCTCGATCTGTACCGAGTACGCCGTCCACTCCTGCAGGCTCTCGATGACGTACTCTCCCATGTATGGGTCTAGGAGGTCATGGGTGCCCTGGGTAGGGTTAGGGGTCGTGGCGTTGACCTCCTGCCAGTAGATGTGGTACCCGATGGGCTCGCCACTCCACTCTCTGTCAAGTAGGGGCTGTGGCAGGATGCACAGGGAAAAAGAAAGAGTTGATCACATAATGTACTTCATCAACTCCACAATGGACTTTGTGTGGAACTACTGACTCAGCAAAAGATCAACAATTTTAACTAACAAACACTTCAGTAACATTATTGGTGTAAGCCCAAGTCAATTATTTTAAGGTAATATACAACGTTTGCTTTTGCTGTAAGTTTCAGAAATGGATGGATTTTGGGGGATTGGTCGTTTATAGCAAATATCGTTACAGTGAGTTCTGTCTTCGTAGAAGCTGGAAAAAGAGATAAATAATCATGTTCTTGTAGACTGGTTCTTGACCCCACTTAAATTGAAATGGGACAATCTATAGCTGTCGGGGAATTGTAAGTCTAGCTGGCTTGTACCTGTCCATAGGTGTGTAATCGATTGCAAAGAAAATGCAGACTAACTAAATATGGTAAATTGGGGCCAGTATCTAAAAAAAAATCTGTTTTTTTCCAAAGCTGGTCGGCTGACCAGTGTTGAAAATTGATACAAAAATACCACTTTTCTTGAAAATGACAGCATACCAGGTGCCATGATTTTACAGGATGTTTTAGACAGTCATTCACTAACAGTCCAGTAAGGTATTTCATAATAATTTTTTTTTTTTTTTTTAATGTTTGCAAATGTTGTGTGGCTTCTTTACATTTAAAGGGAAAACACAACATTTGCAAACAGAAATACCTGGATTCTTCACTCTTTTATTCTGATTCTTTTATGTTGCATTGCTAAATATTTGTTTGTATTACAAATCTAATAAAAATTTTTTAAAAAAAGACCACTACTTACCACCCAACGGACTCTAAGCGATGTTTCAGTTTGGGCGCGCACAGTCACCTCACGGGGGGCAATTTCAGGTGCTATGAAAAACAATAAGATTTGCGCTATTAGTCATTGTTAAACTTCATGCCATTAAACTTGAGAAATAAAGTTATTGGCAGCTGGACCTAGGAACAGGACTTCTGTGGGTTTTTTGTGATATCAAAGTATTAGTAGAAGACCAGCAATAAGAAAAGTCTTTAAACCTCTGCTTTTTTTCAGAGTCACACTTTTCTTGTAATTGCTTCAAATTAATTTTTTTTTGCAAATTTCAGCTGTTGGACACAAGATTGTCCTAATAAACCTAAAACCAAAGAATTAAAACCAGGATCTTCTCAAGAAGCTAAAAAAAAAAAGATTTTCTCCAGGCCTATGGATTTTCTCAAGAAAGTCAAGACCTTGATATCTTCTCAAGAATAAAACAGTTTCCCAAAAACCAGACATTGCTACAAGATATGCAAAAAATTGACTCATGACTTGTGATTTTCTGAATAACCCAAAACATTCTACAGAGATTCAAGCCTAAAGACTGTCTTGAGAAACTCACTGTCTTGCAGAGTCTGTATCTTCCTGGTGGCTTGGCTGGGCGCGCTCTCCCCGACCACGTTCTCGGCCCGCAGCCTGAAGACGTAATCCATGTAAGGGATGAGGTCTGGGATGAGGAACCCCCGCGAGTCCGGGTCCTGGTGCTCGTAGATGTTGAGCCAGTCTTGGCTGGTGCCAACCCGGGCCTCCACGATCCAGGTGGAGATGCTGGTGTGACCGTTGAAGCCGGGGACAAACTGGAGGTTGATGCTGCGGGACTGGATGTTGGAGATGGCCAGCTGGGTGGGAGGGTCCGGTCGTACTGGAAGAGAGGAGGGTGAGGCGATTGATTTGAGATTGGAGTGGGGTCAGTAGGGGATAAACTTAGGATCGAGATCATACTCGGTGCTTGTGTGACCACAAGAGATTTGTGGTGCGATGCCAGGTTCATGCATTTGCACTGTGCATTCACAAGGGTTGGACAGATCTCATCTCCAAGGAAGTTTCTCTTGAACTGGTTTGTGATGTCTAAGTTTATTCATAAGATAAAATTGTATCAGGTGATGTAAGTCAATATTAGGTTTTGCCCTTCTCCGACGTGTGAACACTGTATACTCAGTGTGTTACCTCTCGAGTAAAAGTTGGAAAAAAATCACTCAGGTGGGAATTAAACCCATTAGGGCAAACCTAATATTGATGTCTAATGTTGATTTACATTTAAATAAAGTGTGGATTGGGCCTTATGACAGTTTAAAATTTAAATATTGACGTTACTGATGGAGTTTCAAAATGGGAAAAAAAATGTTAAAAGTTAAAAAATGTTAAAAGTTTCAAGAAGTTTTAAGTGTATTGAAAGTCATGATTGTTTCCATTCCTGCTCCTTTGAAATTGGATTTTGTTTTGTTTTAATATGGTGCTTTCTGCAAACTTTCTGCATTCTTGTTTCTTTTGGATTGCCCTTTTTAGAAACAAAGTTCATTCAAAGCTGGAACAAGTGGTGTCCCCAGCATATAAGTTGGAAAAGGCTTTTCCCAAGGCAGCATTCCCATGCAAATGCAAATAATCTCATTTAGGATTATCTGGTGTAAGAGGGTAAGGAGTATGAAACTTACAAGGCGGTACTCCAGAGCTGAAGCTAGTCTCTGTCGGGGTGCCGCGACCCACTGAGGTCAGGGCCCACATGACCAGGCTGTACTTGGTGGTAGCTGTCAGGCCGGTCACCGTGTACTCACGCTGGTCTGAGGGTAATGTTATGGGTTGGTTGGTGGCTGTTGTGTTGTACTCCTGCCATTGGATCTCGTAGTCTAAAGAGATTCACAAATAGGTTAAGAAAAAAAACCAGTCGATCACATGTTGATCCTCAGAAAGTCAAATTACAAGTCGGGTCACAATCCAAGTTGATCAAAAGTAAAAATCACAAATCAATCTTGATCTGATTGATAGAGCTGATAAGCTCCTACAGGAACATCACTCAGCTTGGAAGGCGTGGACATGCTATTGACGAGTGCTGAGGGATCTAAGGGTATCACTAAATTGATTGGTGTCTCCTATGCCAGTAATGTGCTGAGGGAGGTCGTTCCAGTCCTTGCTGGTCTGATAGAAGAATGAGTGTTGGAGTCCTTTGATATTGGTGAAGGGGATCTGAAGGTAGTTGGGTTTTGAGCGTCTCGTTGTTATTTCTGGCTGCCTAATGGTTATTTCAGGTGGAACTTTAACGTCGATCCGTCCATTGAAGATTTTGTGGAAGTTTGTGAGGCGCTGTACGTATCTCCTATTTTCCAGGGTGGGTAATTCCAGTTTTTCAAGAAGAGCAGTAACAGATGTATAATTGTCCCAGCTATATGTGTTAGTGATAAAGCGGGCAGCCAATCACAACTGACACCATAAAGCAATCGCAAGTAACAGGAAAACAATTACAAAAGAATAGCTTTCAGTGCTTTTTCAATTCACTGACACTTGTGACTGACTTACGGTGACTTGCCAATTTCTACTTTGTCTAATGAAGCATTTTGATGGATTCAGTCCTTTTGAGTCTGTTGTTTTATTTCTGGATTGATGTTCAAGATTTTGCTTAACTGGTAAGAATGTGTGTAATGAGGATACTGCACACAGTTGGGGTTGTGAGGAGATTGAAATCTTCTGCACCATTACGCACTAGACTTTGATGGAAATGGCACTCCAAATTACAAGCCAGACACTATTTCACCCTTCGTAATGCCCCCTTCCAAAAGAAACCAAACCGGAATGCAGAGTATGATAGTATATTTAACTTACCTGTGATGATACCGTTGGTCTCTGTCGGTTCAGTCCATATCACTTTGAGGGATGTATCCAGGACATCTTTGAACTCCAGGCTACCTACTGGTCCAGGGACTACAGGAAAAAAAAAGACATGTAAACAATATGACAGGAAAAAAATAAGACAGCCGGTCGGTGGACAGACGAGCCAGAAAACAGGCATTTTGACAATGACATTTTTTGTAAACATTTAAGGAATCGACACTTTTTAGAAGTGATCCAGATTCCATCCTTGAGTCATGATTCTGTTCAGATTTTACTCTAAACTTTCCTGCCCCCCCCCAAAAAAAAAGAAGAAGAAAAGACAGAAAAAGGGAAATCCCATCAAATCCTACAAATTAAATTTAGTACCGAATGAAGTCCCTATGAGATACCATTACTATCTTACACATTTCTCATTACAACCTAAATTATCTGATATCAAAACTCATTTCAGATTCACCTCATACTCAAAAGTGATGGGCGCTGTCAACATTCAACTCTCATAGTATTTAGATTTGGCTACTACAAAAAGCTGACTTCTCACCAAAAAGTGGAGTCATAATTGTGATACCAAATTTGGAAATTACTCTGTTGCCCAAGACTAATCTCTAAATAGGGAAATAAAATTCCCACGAACAACTGACCATCTTCATGTGTCCTGAGAGTGACGGTGGGGCTCGCGGGTCCATCTCCAGGGCTAGTGAAGCACAGCACGCTGGTCTTGTACTCAGTGTACTTCTTAAGATTGCTGATCGTTCCTTCCTGGGTTGTGCTGCCTGGCTCCGCATCGACGATGACTTCAATCTTGGCGTTCTCTGATCCGTTTAGCCAGGCGTGCAACTGTTGGCAACAGAACAGAACATTAGGCATGTTAGGAATACAAATGATCAATTCAATTTTGCCCAATGATGGAATTTTTGCATTGTAAAGATGTTACTTGCATTTGGGGTTTCTGCTCTTACTTGTTACAATACTGATGAACTTTTTCCGTTTCAATTTTGTTGAACAGTTTGTGATTTTTATGCAAGAAAAGATCAAACAGAAACATCCTTTTTTTATGAACTCCATGCAGGGACAGTATGTGATGCTGTGTTGCATATGCATGGGAACTCAAGTGTACTGGATGTATTATTTAATTATTTATCAAGTCAAGTGTGAGTTGAGTTTGCATCAGATGTACCGCATAATCGATTCACCTTGAAATCCGTTCGGTTTGTTTTCGACATGCCTTTATTTGAACACAAATAATTTTAACTCCCTTTCAAATGTCCAACCAATACTCGCCAGGGATAAAGTTCAGATTCCAAGCTTTGAAATAGTATAAAAATAATGGCGGTGTGTGTTTCTGCGCCAAAGCTAGAGTCTCGCAAAAAAAGGTTCCGGGTATTTTTGGACGCGCTGTACAGTAGTCCAATCATCCTTCGTTCGAGCGAAGTTGGTCCAACTATGAAAAACTATGGTTCACGCCAGAACTTGCTCATGGTGTCTATAATCTCTCTGTCACTGTTGAGGGGGAGGGGGGGGGGGGGGGGTAACTGTGTACAGAGTCCATAAACACATACACATGGACAAAAGCGCTCTTTAAGAAACCTACCTTATAGCCCAGGTTGATACCGTTGATGGTTTGTGGGTCTGGCTTCTGCCACTGGAAGTGGATGGCTGTGGAATTCACCACGGTCGTCTGCACATTGCGAGGTGCTTCACTGGGCACTGATCACAAACACCAAATAGGGTCAAATTAATTTAAAAGTTAGAAATGCAAAGGGAATCCTGCCCCCCCCCCCCCCAAAAAAAGTTTTGTGAAACAATATCTTTTAAATACGTTCTCAAATTGTCTTGCATTGTCTCTGAAACTGTCTTAAAATGTTTCATTACTGTTGATTCTGATAATGGTTTTCTGGCTGCGTCCGAATGGTGCTTGGCTACGGCAGAAAATAACACACGGCTCTATGAGAAGTGGCTGCCATAGAAAGGGGACGAACCTGTATTCACAGGAACGGAGTGCCCATCTCTCTTTCATAGCGATTGGGCCAGACTCATATGCTGCTGTGGGGGGATCACCACACCTCCTCCACAGCGAGTCTGTTACCTTCCCAGCATGGAACAATGCCGGTACCCATTTAACACCTGGGTTGAGAGGAGTAATTGAGGTAAAGTGCCTTACTCAAGGGCACAACACGCATGGCCACGGTGGGGCTCGAACCCACAACCTCTTGATCACGAATCCTGTGCTCCACCGCTAGACCACACGTGCTGCCATAGAGGCGTGTGTAATTTCAGCTGTAAGCAAGTAATTCGGTCACAGCCTCTGAATACGTTCAGCTGTCATTAAGCCCAAGGCCAATAACATGGAGTCGGCTGGTTACCAGCTAAATTTCAAACGAGTTATATTGCTTTTGAATGGTTCCCTAGCAATTCCTACTAAAAGGCATGCAACTGGGATTTTAGAAAAAAAAACGAGGAAACTCCAAACCACACAAGACTTTGTACAGTATTTTTCAATTTGTAATGGCATTCATTAAAAGTAAAAAAAACAAGGAAATCAGCGGATCCGAGAAAAAGTTGCACGCCTATACTAAGCAAGAAAATGAGCTTAGAAATGTTTTACAGTCTTAAAAATTGGCCCCAGGCTGCCAATCACCTATTCTAACCCCCACTTCCCCCCCCCCCATCCCCATTTCCCGAAAACTTTCATATATCTCTTCTAAAAATGTTTTTGATCATACCTCCTTCTTTGGTTCTCTGATCTACCGACTGACTGTACGTGCCGACTCCAGCCCTGTTGTAAGCAGCCACCTGGATCTCATAGCGGGTCCAGATGTCCAGGTCCTGCAGGGTGTATGAGGTCTGACGGTTGCTGGTGATGTTGATCATGGTGTAGGGGGTGGAGGTGTAGCCGTACAGCTTGAAGCGCAGGATGTAGCCCTGTAGGGGACCGTTCCAGGTGTCTTCTGGCGGAGTCTGGAAAGGAAAATCCAATAGAATAAGGCCTAATAGGAAGAAGATCAATGGCTGTTTATATGGACTTCATGAAAGAACAGAAGATGGGTTTTTTTGGGATCTACTCACGAGAGATCAAGTGTGTGGGACATATGACTTACTTTCATATTTATTTTCTGTCGATACTGTTAGTGGAAGGGTTAAATTACGACTAGGAATCAAGCTGTCCAGTGTTGAAGTTTGTCCGGGGGGGGGGGGGGGGGGCCAATTCTGTAACTTCAGACGTACATGTCAGACACTTTAACCCTAACTCCCTAGGGTGATTTACAAGGAACCTTGCAAATCCCAACATTATGGTAAACTGTACACATAAACAGTTGGACTCTGTTTATTTGTGGCATGCCTAATCCCACATACACTGAAAAAAATGTTGGGCAAAATGGGTTGATAATTCGGCCAATGCTGGTCGAATTATCAACTGCCAGCACTCTTGGGCAAATTCTTCCCAAAAGTTGGACAGTTTTTACCCAATTCAACCCAATATGAGGTAATTTCATACCAATGCTGGGTAAATAACATTGCCCAACAATGTTTTATCCAACCTTTTTACAGTGTAAAGCACAGTCAGTTTACTGGTGCAGTACTCATCCTAACAGATTCCAACAAACCCTAGTGTTGGAGGTTGGCTGGTTGGAGATCGTTGGGGTTAATGAGCTGCTGTTGGAAAAGTGGATGTGATACATCACTAATAATGTGACGTCTAATGAGCAGAAAACAATTACAGACCAAACTAAGACACCACCATCCTTAACGACATTGTACATGTACATCATGTGGTCGGACGTACGTTGGATTTCAAGAAACTGCCCTGGGATCAACACCAAGGCAACGGCAACATGCGAATTTAATCTGCAATCTTGTCTAAATGCCTTTTTTTTTATCATTGAAAAAGTTTAGACCTTATGTTCTTAGTTAACAGTGACTTTCAACAAAATATGTACTGTTGCCATAGTTACCTGCCACTCCACAATAATGGAGGTAGTAGAGATGGCGCTAGTCACCATGTTATCCGGAGCTTCATCGGGGGCTGGTGGAAAAAACATCAGAACAAATTTCATTAGTCAAAAAAACATATTTCAAAACTTGCCGAGCTGATCTTACAAACTAAGACCTTGTGGGCCTCAGGCAGTTCATGTGTTTTTATAGTCTGACAGTAATAAGAGCATTCACAATTTTACGTAAAAAATGTTGACATTTCAGCCTAGTACCGATTGCCAGAGATCTCCATTTCTTATGTTAATGTTCCTTTGTTCAAATGAACATAGACATTTTATTTATTTATTTATGTAACTAGGCTAAATTTGTTTGTTTTATTTGTGGTTACGTGAACTCTTGTCAAATTTTCATATTGTTATGTCTATTTGTACAATGTACATGTATGTATATGTTTTTAATGTGAGGTTTTTTTTAAGTGAATGTGCAGAACGAGGAGACAAATTTCACGTTTTACATGATGAGAATAAAACTGAATTGAAATGAATTGAATAGACTTAAAGTGAGCCTAGTCAGTGATCCATTGCTGTTTATTTCCCAATTACGTCGCGAGTCCGTTTTCAGAGGGTTGCAAATGACTGTGGAGTTCTGACAGGGCGGCATTTGGAAGAAAGAAAGCACGTTATTGAAAACAATTTTCCTTATAAGGTGAGGCTGTCAAATACATAGCGGTGAAAAAGTTAGATTCTACAAAAATTGCAAAGATTTTTTGACTGTTTCCAATTCAAATGCCCAATTTTTTTACTTACGTTCCTCGGGTATGTGCAGCACCGTGGATGGGTCACTCTTGTCCCCACGGCCCAGTCCATTCTCGGCCGTCACTCTGAACTGATAGCTCCTGGATGGGATGACTCCCACCACCTGGAACATGGTCAGGCTGGGATCCACGCTGGAATCTATCACGCCGAACGACGACTCTGGGAAAAATTGAAAGAGTTTGACAACTTGATTTCTTGGCCTCAATTGACACAACATATTTCCAACTCTGGTGGCCGAGGTTCGAATCCCCCAAGGTCAACATGTGGATTTACTTTTTTCAGATTGCCTGCCAAATTTTGTGGACTTTTCTTCAAAGTGTAAATTTGGCATTTTCCTCCCACCTATAAAAAGGGAAGTCTGTCACAAGCCCATATGGCCTATGTTTATCTCAGGTTTTATTGGCATTAAACGATTGAGAATATTTCTACTCCCCCTGGATGGGATGCTTGTCCATCGCAGGTTACTCCCCGGCTAATGCTGGTACCCATTTATACGCCCGGGCGGAGAGAAGCAAGTGGGGTGAAGTGGCTTGCCCAAGGACACAACATGAGGCCAGCAGCTGGATTCAAATCCCAACCCTCTAATGATGTCACCCTAACCACTTGTCCAAACTTCACCTCTAAAACTGAACATGTTTTCATTGCATTCTCTATACAGGTTTTTTCAGTGTTCTGATCTCCTGGTATGTAAACCAGCATCAGTAAAAAAAAATTTTGTTCATGACAAGTTCACTCTCAAGAAATCTCATCAATTGACTAAGACTTTGATCAGATAAATAAACTACACCTAAAAAAAGCTGGATGTGAAGTTCTTACCGTCTTCTTTTTGCTCTATGATGTAGCGCAGCAAGGGAGAGTTTCCATCAAACGGGGCTACCCAGCTCAGCTCAATGGTTCGGGAGTCACTGCTGCTGATCCTGGATAGGACATTGGTGGGCTTCTGTGGCAATTCTGTCCACACAAAAAGAAAAAGGAAAAGGAAAAGAAAAGATGAATATAAATCATACTTTGAAAAAACAAACAAAAGTGACATCAGCTTTTGTGAAGTTATACCAACAGAAAAAAAAAGAACTTTACATCTTTATGAAGACCAAGTTTCACTTGACTTGATGTTTGACAGTATCAGAAACAAACTGCATCAACTTAAGGACGTAGAGTGAAAGAGCTTTAATAGACGATAGGTATCAGAAACTTTACATATGACACTGTATAATTCTACCACCGTTATATTTGTGCAGTAGTTGGGTCTAGGTCCAAATCCCATATAAAAAAAAACTTTTATTGAAAAACACTGATTTTCCATTTCAAGTGTGCACCCATTGTTAGGTTTGTATGTTGTTGTTTTTTTACTTGAAGATGCTACAGTTTTGTGCAAATTTCAGTGAAAATGGGTCAAGGTGCCCTCAGGTTGACCGTGCGATGACACAGATCAGTCGGCGACTGACTTTTCAGGATCAAACTGCCTCTGAGCTACGACCATCGGGAACAAACTAGTCGCCGTTTTTTTTTCGACCTGAGTGTAACTGTGACGATATTAAGATGATCGGTATCAGTCCGTGCTACAAAAAAATCAACAGTCGCAAGAGTAGAACAATTTCAACTTCTATGACGTGTTCCAGACAGGCGGGAATCAATCGCAGTTGTGTAGCCAATCAGCGTGCGGCGAAAACGGCTGAATGAACAGCTGGGGTGGCTGTGGAATGTCGTATGATTGTAATCAATCCTCGGTTCTACTGAGTAGGTTGCAGAGGGCCATCCAACACTCAAGCTCCGAGTTCACAGTAGAATTGTGAACTCAGTTGAGTCAGTCATAAGTAATGTGGGACAAACAATGACAAGGAAATGCCTTTATGTCACTGTTTCACTTGAGAAGCTTGTCACGTAACGTTTGATGAGATGATTTGTCATTGACAAAGCCAAGCCCACACACAGGGGTGTGAGTGACCTCTGACAAAAATAGCTGAAAATAGCTGGAAACAGCTGAAAAAGGTGTAACAAAAGCTGAACTTTGGAAATCTCCTATACTTTTGTACACAGCAAGTGAGGGAAAATAGCTGAAATCCAAAACAAAAAAAGCTGAAATCCGCTAAAAAGCTGAGATTTCACACCCCTGCACACACTTACCCTGAATGGTCAACGTGGCGTTCCCCCTCCCGTTGCCAGCCACCGACGTCACCACGCACTCGTACGCGCCCTTGTCGCCGCGCCGGGCCTGCGTGATCTCCAGCGAGCCCGAGGGCAGCAGGTTGACCCTGGAGCTGGCGTCCGTGTCCACCGGGGCGCTATTGTGGTTCCATTGGACCGTGACCGTCACACTGGGGTCGTGTTGCACCACGCAGGTCATGACGACTGACATGCCCAGCTGAACCGCTGTGTCCTGCGGTGGGGTTTGGATGACCGTCGGCACTGGAATCAGGAGGAAACAAATTCTATATTCAAATTTATCACTCTGCAAGTTCCCAACGACAATGGTCAACCTGCATCTTCCTTTACTACTTTACATTTTCGCTAAGAACCTGTTTTAAAGGTAGGGTAGATCATTTGTCATTTATGCATTTGTTTCGTTTGAAACAACAAAAGTGCTAAAAATCTGCTTAACAACTAACCTGATGAAGTTTGAACTCTGTGAATGCTGTTTATTCCGAGAAAACAATATTCTAGAATGTCAATTTCAATTCAAAAGTTGCCGAGTCATATTTTGAATAGCCTGAAATCAGCACCGGCAACACCTTCTCATTCAGCCGATTGCAGCTACGCGATGTCACCGACTGAACCGACGAACACTAGCAACCGCGCGCATGTCAACACCTGCGCACACCCATTCACCAATTGGCCCAATTACATACCAACAATAAAAGGAAATTTCCGACAATGCGTCACTTGACTCTTTGGAAATGACCTTTTTTCATTGTTTTCTTCAAAATGACAGCATGCCTGAAGCACTAATGTCACAGCAAGTTTAGTTCCAATACTATCTTTGAACCAAGTAAGATTTTTAACAATAATTTGGTCAGGTACTTTTTGGACAGATGCAAACGATCTACTCTACCTTTAAAATGTAGAGTTGTGTTGCTCAGTGACGAAGTGACAGGGGGGTTTAAAAAAAAACATGACCCAACCAACAAAGGGGGGAGGGATGGGGGAAAGAAGGGAGGGACTGCCACGCCTCTGCAAAAACCCACTTGCTTGTGGCCTGCTGTATGCAGACGCGGCTTAGATCATCAGTCTCATTCTGTTCTCAAACCCGGGCTTTGTGTCCGTTTCACGGCTGTCCGGCAAATATAAATTTCGGGAATTTTTTTTGGGTAAACCCCCTCCCCCTGCACTGTACTATCATGCTGCTCAACTGTTTAAAATCAAGTGGTGATGTGGTTGTATGAATGGCTAGCTTCCTTCATATAAAAAACTGTGACCTATTCAGACAGCATTCCAAGCGATCTTTTGCAAGGCCTGAAAACTTCGAAAAAATAGGTCCATAACTTACAGTAAACAGTCAGCCGTGCGGTAGCGTTGATTATACCCACGCCGTTGTCAGCGATGCACGTGTAGTCCGCCTTGTCGCTCGCCAGCGTACTGGCAAAGAAGAGATCGCCATTGTCCTGGATCAAATCGTCAGCCACTGGAATTGAACCATCTGTGAAAAGACAATACAAAGCCATAGGAAAAATCACAATTTGTTTGAGTCTGTTTGTTATTGTTCTGATATAGTTAGTTCGGAGGGGACAGCAGAAAGTGAAGATGTTTGAATTTCAGTAAGGGAATAAATGTGTACTTGGCCGGTGTTAAACACTATGTTTAAGGCTGGTTTGGAGTCTGAATGCTGATAATGACCCGAGCCAAATTTTGTTCCACAAGTTTACTTAAAGTTTTTTACCTAACTCTAACTCTCTAGGAGGTATGCAAAATTGTATTGAAATTGGAGGATTCAGGACTGTTAGGGCTATACACCCCTCTAGCTGTGTTATGGTATGTGCCTCTCGCGAGTAGTCATTAACAACTCCTTATATGGAGATTCAAGTTTGCAATTGCTATCCAGTAGGAACCAGCCTTAAATGAAGTATTTGATGCGAGTCTTGCAACCCCTCACTGCCTCACCTTTGAGCCATGTAATGGTTGGTTGAGGCGCTCCGTTGGCCTGGCAGGATATAGTGGCCGGCTCCCCTTCTATCTTAGTGGTGTCTTGGGGCACGCTGGAGAACGTCGGTGCAATTTCTGAAATGAGAAATGATGATCAAATACAATTAACTATTTTTTTTCTTTCAAAACACTATTTTTTCTTTCCCCCCAAAATTTGATCTGTTATATTTTAATATACAAAAAAAACAACAACTATTTGTACTGGTTCTCCAGAAAGATATTAAATGTTTTTCGGGTCTCAATTCTAATTTCATAACTCACTGAAATAAATCCATAAATTTTTGCAGAAAAGAAGTATATTGGGCACAATGTGATGCAAAAATTGTTAAAAAAGTTAAACTGATAAACAGGGGATAATTTTGCAGCCCTGCTAACTGAGGAATACTGGGCTCATAATGACAATTCTCAGTGTGAACCACTTCACGCCATGATTATTTTTACCGAAAATTTCGATTTTTGCAAAAGGCAAAATTTCCAGCCAACTTCTGATATACAGCCAAAAGCAACAAATACTGATTCGCAAGAGTCATTTCAACAGTATTTGTACGATATTTCTTGCCGAAAACTCATATGTTTCAATACTCCGGGGTGTGCACTGGAGCGTAAATTGTAGAAAAGGCCGTGCACAACGGCTAATTCAAGATAAACACACGGTCCGCCACTGTGTGTGTGTACAAAAGGCATGAGGGATTAGTGTGTTTAGACGTTACCCGGAGGCGAGTCAAGGCAATCTTGACGTTCTGGCTGTATAAGAACAGACAGAGCGTGTTATCATGATCTCCGACGCGAACAGGTTAACAAAAGGCATGAGGAATTAGCGTGTTTAGACGTTACCCGGAAGAAGGTCAAGGCAATCTTGACGTTCTGGCTTTATAAAAACCGACAGAGTGGTTATCATGTCCTCCGACGCGAACAGGTTAACAAAAGGCACGAGGAATTAGCGTGTTTAGACGTTACCCGGAAGAAGGTCAAGGCAATCTTGACGTTCTGGGTGTATAAAACAGACAGAGCGTGTTATCACGTCCTCCGATGCGAACAGGTATACACAGAAACTCTCTGCAGACACCTTAAGAAAGGAGTTCTCCACTTTCTTCACTTTATGGTAAGCAGCACCACTCTTGGTACTCATTCGAGTTCTCGTATCAAAAATTTGTGACAGCATTGTTTGAAGAAAAAAAAGCAAATGCTGTCATTTCTTGAACCCTTACCTCTGACCTGCAACCAGGTGTCCTTGATATCTTCCCCGGCATCGTTACTAATCAGGCACTGGTACATACCGGCGTCTGTAGCTAGAGTGCTTGTGATCTGCAGTGAGCCACTATCCAGCACCTTGGTATCAACAAAAATTGCAAAGTTGTCACACAAGTAAACTAAAACTTTGGTTTAACCCTATAACCTTCCCAAATCCTCCCAAATACTCATTGCAAAATGGAGGATTTTGCAGGATTGAGGCTATATGGCAAAAACGTGTGGTTGATTTTGGAAGATGCACTGTGTCAAGGTCTTCGGCCGGACCTTGTGTTGTTCGTCCACCTACCTGAAATCGGCTCAACCCCAGGGTGGTGACGTCCACCGTGTTACGGAACCAGGTGATGGTGGGCTGGGGGATGCCAGCTGCCCCACAGGACATCGTCACGTCGCTGGCGGCTGGACTGATTTCTTCTGGCGGGGGCGGATCCGTAAAGGTCGGAGGGCCTGCGTCATAACCAAATTTCATTACTTGTTATATTATGCGCACATTTGAAAAACAAAATTCCATGAGTTTTACCCTGACATTTTCATGAGAAATTTTCAAAATTCCATTAGCAATATTTTCTTTTTGTTAAGGTTGCCTGGAAGTTAAGAGGTGTTTGAAGCTAAACAAAAAATCACCATAGCCAGCTAGTCATTGGACACAACTTGGACCCATGTAAGCCAAACTGGTGGGAAAAAAACTTTTCCTTCTGGGTCAGAGTCAAATTCCTTAGGTTTTCCACTCCGGATGACTGTCAAATTCCCGGAGTTTTCCATGACTTTTGTGTTTTTCCCAAATTCTCTTTAGTTTTTTTTTCCCTGAATGGAAATATGGAATGTCATTTTGAGGTTTTCCCTGGTTACCAGAGTGGCTGGGGCCAGCAAATCGATGTTCATGTACTTGAGGAACATGAATTTTTTTTTTTAATACATGCATACACAATTTGTTTTGACCTTTTTTGACCATACCGTTTACATCTTTGGCACATGTTGGTACATGTGTAAGTTTGCTATGCAGATTGCATGATAGCATCAAACTAACCATTTGAAGCAATGCCAAATTCACTAATTTTCCCAGATTTTTGGTGTTTTTCCTAAATTCCCCGAGATTGTTTTTGTCCCCTGACTGGAAATATGGAAACTCATTTTCAAAGTTTTCCCTGGTTTACAGAGTGGCTGGGAACCATGCATAGATGTACATGTACTTTATGAACGTGAACATTTTTAAATTCACACATACACAATTAAACAAGTCAGGTGTGTTTACAAACACAAATGCCCCGCAACCGTGACTGTTCCCATGACATAACACCACTCTTTTAACATCAACTTACATGTACCTTGGTCACATGGAACATTCATTGACAGCATTAGTGTCTTCTGTAGGTTTTATATGAATTAATCCCTAATCCCTATAATCTCAGAATAAATACAAGATTTCTATTGTTTTAGCCACTGTGAACTTGACCCTTGACCTTTTTGCCCCAAATTCAATAGGCTTCTTAGGATTACCAAGAACAATCCACAAACCAAATTTGAAGTTCATATGTTAAGTATTTCTCAAGTTATCGCGCTGACAAGATTTCTATTGTTTTAGCCACTGTGAACTTGACACTTGACCTTTTGACCCCAAATGCAATAGGCTTCTTAGGATTGCCAAGAACAATCCACAAACCAAATTTGAAGTTCACATGTAAAGTATTTCTCAAGTTATTGCGCTGACAAGATTTCTATTGTTTTAGCCACTGTGAACTTGACCTTTGGCCTTTTGGCCCCAAATGCAAAAGGCTTCTTAGGATTGCCAAAAACAATCCACAAACCAAATTTGAAGTTCACATGTAAAGTATTTCTCAAGTTATCGCGCTGACAAGATTTCTATTGTTTTAGCCACTATGAACTTGACCTTTGGCCTTTTGGCCCCAAATGCGAAAGGCTTCTTAGGATTGCCAAAAACAATCCACAAACCAAATTTGAAGTTCACATGTAAAGTATTTCTCAAGTTATCGCGCTGACAAGATTTCTATTGTTTTAGCCACTGTGAACTTGACCTTTGGCCTTTTGGCCCCAAATGCGAAAGGCTTCTTAGGATTACCAAGAACAATCCACAAACCAAATTTGAAGTTCATATGTTAAGTATTTCTCAAGTTATCGCGCTGACAAGATTTGTCCGGACACACACACCCACACACCCACCCACCCACACACACACCCACACACCCACCCACCCACCCACCCACGGAAGGACAAGGCGGAAACAGTATGCCCCTTCGGCTTCGCCGCGGGGCATAAAAAACCCTTTTTTTGGCGGTATATTTTATAATGTTTTTACCGTGCGCCTCTTTTGCACATGTTGGTAGTTTGATATGCAAATTACATGATAATATCAAACTATCAACCATCTGTTTGAGTAAAATCTTCAAAATGCAATTTTGAAAAAAAAAATGAACTTGAAAACGTGGTAAAATGCTAACTACCGGTACATGTATGTAAATTGATGGCGTCGGTGGACTTTTGTCATCTACAAGTTAAAAAAAAATGCACAACATCACACGCAAACCACCAATGATGGATAGAACAACTGGGGAATGGATGTTGAAACAGGTGGTAGAGGAAGATGATATTACAGAGATAATGTGAAAAAATGCAAACAAAAATAACAGACAATGCCTTCAGCAGTGCAAAGTTACAATAACAAACGTAGGAACTACTGAAGCACGAATACTCAACATGGGTAGATGCAATTTCTTTAAAACAAATATCACGCACAAAGACTTCAAATAACATTTTTAACAAATGTGCATTTTAAACCTAACAGATCGGACTTGCGCACAGAGAAAGTAAAATTATTTTTTTTCTGTACAAAATTATACCTTTGAAAAATGTGACATGGAACAGCTATGTCAAAATCAAGCATTTTTGGGCAAGACAAGGAGTCCATTTTGCAATATTAGTACAACATGAACCTTGCTCGTTCAAACACCGTTTTGTTTTTGAAATTGGATATTCCAAAACGAAGTTGTTAAATTTTGAAATAGGACTGTCTGTCTACATTTGCGTCATTTCAGAACAAAAACACTGAGCAAAGTGTCATTTTGTGAAATGCCACGCCTCTCTTAAAGTGTTTTAAAAATACTTTGTCAAGGAATTTCCAGTTTCAAAGTTTAAAAGTCCTTGGCTAACGGCACACAATGTTTCAACTGCCACAATCATGACAAACTGCTTAATTACAATAAAACAACATAAACTTTACAGTTATGATTAATTCTTTCTTACATTTACCAAGTGGAAAAAGAAAAAAAAAAGTCTCAAATGCTGGTTTGAGTCAATTACATTTTAAATATAGTGCCATTCACATTTCGAAGGTCACAGGTAAATTATAAATACATGTGCATTTCGACAAGGGCGGATCCAAAACACAATTTTTGGGGGGCCAAAAAAGTTTTTGGTCCCCCCCCAAAAAATGGGTCCAAAAAATTACGGCGTGGGGTTCGGGGCCCGCTTATGGGCCCCGAAAATTTTTTGGATTATAGATGCTCTGTGGTGCGATCTGAGGCAATTTCTGACCACTTTAACCAATGTTTTTTTGGAGGAAAAGATGGTGGTGTACTCATTTCCTGCCTTTATTGCGATGTCACATAAAAAATAAAAAAATTGGTTTCGTTTTTGGGGGGGGGCCATGGCCCCCTTTGGCCCCCCCCCCTGGATCCGCCCTTGCATTTGGAGTATAGTATCATTTGCATCGTGGAGGTTAAAAATAAAATAAGTACTTTGACTACAATTTTTCACACACAAAACACATTACGAACTCAACAACCTACGTGTATGTATGTAAAAACTGAAATCACATGACAAAATCACAAAATATGAGATTCACAAAATGATAATGAACTCAATAATGGCACAACACACACTGCAATGCAAAACTGAACTTGAAATGGTCAACACATCAAACAAAAAATTATGGGTCAAAGTACGTGTCGAACACTTACCACGATCTGACGGGCATGCACATATAACATGCAGCAAAACAGGTTCCGTTTATCATGCAGGCAAATAACAAAATAAAATATGGCGCAAGCCAAAGACGAGGGTAAGACGAAAAGAAATTAAATCGTAAGACAGACTAAGAAAAATAATAAGATGCAAAAAAAGTTTCAAATTTGTGTAAAATCTGACCGCAAAAATAATCGACAGTTCGTCAACCCTACTTTCAAACCCTACGGATGTTATGATTCATTTCTCAACTGGGCCGAATTTTAAGGTTTTTAGCACTATTATATTATATATTTTATAATTATTATATAATTTTTATCAAAGTTTTTACTGGTAACCATAGTAAGCGTTATAAGCCTTTTTTTATCTTCAAGCAAAGTTGTATACTCGATCCAGATTGGTCGATTCATGTAACATCAGTGTCATATTGTATTGTATCGCGCGGTCCTTATCGCACCCTGCGTACTGTGCTATTCCAAGATGCGAGTGACATTCCAATTGCATACGCTAAACCGCTAAATGGTTTGAATAAAGCGTGCGTTTTCTATCTTTACTGTGCGTCAAGTTTGCTTGAAGAGAAATTCCTTATCGCGCTCGTGGAACACAGAAAATGTAACATGTCTGTGTCCAACATACCACGAGGCCGCACAGACGCATTACATTATTCCGCGTTCCACTCACACTCACGGGATAACAATACAGGGTGCTTGCAAAATAAAAAGAGATCCAAGTAATGACCTTGTTAGTCACTGACGTGAACATTTACAAAAGTTTGCTGACAGAGAATGTGACAGTAGAGTCTACTTACTGTGCAATGTCAGATTTGCCGTGGCACTAACGGTAGCGGCGGACCCAGACATCTTCGCTTCGCATTCATACGCGCCTTCGTCACTATGCGAAGGATTAAAGATGGGCAACTGAAACGACTCGGTCCCCCCGGTCTGCAGGACAATGCCATCGTGCTTCCAAGTTATCACAAGGTCTGTGAGAGGTCTGGGAAAAAAAGGAAATAAATAATTAGAATTCATTTCAGTAATCGTTTAAATTTCTTTCTTTCTTTTCCGGAGAAGGCAAATATAACAAACAAAGAGAAAATAACAATCTGCTGGAAACTGGTGTCACCAGAAATATATGAAAGGGAAACGTAGGAGGGCCTTGATGTTTTTATCCTTGTAGATTTAATTTTTTTAAAAAAAATCCACTAAAACCAGAAAATTATGCTCCGTCTTTTACGATGAAAAAGGGACTGCATGTGCACTTAAAAAGGACACCCATCCAATGGAGCTGGGTCATTCTATAAATGTTAGGGTCCAAAGTGAGACATTTTGTCTGTCTCTGTTACCTTTGTACTTTTTGTGTATTTTCCATTCAAGTATCGTCAAGAATGACTTCAAAAAATGTTTATTTGTCGGGTAGGTAGTGTTCATAATCATTCTCGAAGGACGAGTGTATTAAGGAGTGCATCAGAATTACAAAATCTTAGATGCCAGATGTAACAGGGACAGGAAAAAACATGTGAACCCCAAATTTATAGAATGACCCAGCTTCTAATCAGAGAGATTTTAGGGAGCAGAAATTGTAACATTTGTCGGGCAATATTTGCTGCCTTAAAGCTCTTGGAAACTAGGTCTTGGTTGGCAGGGACACAGTGCATTCCAATCATGTTGTAACTGTTCCAAGGAGTCATGAAACCTTTCTCACAACATTTAGAAATAAAAACAATTCCATGGAGCTTTTGGGACCTGACAATAACTTCTTCAACCAACCTTGCATTGACTATGCACTCCAAGTCAACGTCTCCCCCTTGCAAAGCCGTGTCGCGTGGCGGAACGGCTATCGAAGGCACTACACTGGGTGGACTCGAACCTGTTGAAACCCCAATGGAAACAAGTTAGGCTGAAAAGACAGCTCTTGTGGTTGACATTCATTAGTTAGTGTTTTGAAAACCTGCTGCAAAACGGACGGTTTGTTCATGAGGACGTTTTATCAAGTACCAATTGTTTGCTCATGTTTGATTCATTATATACACTGCAGTAAAACAACAGATGTCCTTCAACATGGAAATATCAATTTTCCAAAAGGTTCATTTGATGGCAGCCGAATGACACCTACCCTGGACATTAAGTGTAATCGTTGGGCTAGTTCTGCTTTCCATTAGAACTTCATTGGAAGCTAGGCACGTATACGCCCCTTGGTCTGCGCTGGAGGTATCCAAGATGACCAGCCGATTGTCCAGTGTCAGGATTTTATTGTCGCTGTTGACGTCTACACCGTCCTTCTGCCATTTGATTTCCACCTCTGGATAGCTATCTGTGTGGGGAGAAATTAATGCAGTTGTCCAGATTAGCAAAAGCTGTGTCTGCAAAGGACTTTTTTGGTGAAGCTCCCCTACACAAAATGGACCCCAAATTTATCGAATATCCCATATCAGTACTCCACTCAGTCATCAGCCCTACCACTGCAGAACGCACATTTGGAAAACACAAACAAGGCAATACCACAATTGCATAACCATTAAAAAGCTGTGATTTACCTATATCAGGACAAGATAGAAAGACGGCCTGCCCGGCTGTGGCAGTCTCTGTCCGGTCCACTCCGGTGAAACTATCCAAATCTGCAGGGGGAATCAAACAACAATCAACTGCCTTGCAAATTAATAGGACTCTCAGTCTTGAAAAGAACATCTGCAGGACAATTTTCCATCAGGTTTATTTATGCTCCTGAGAAATTTAAGAGGAAAAATTGTGTCTGTTTTTTTTCCCCCCACGAAATTTAGAGTCACTTACAATAAATGTGTATCTCTGCACTCGTGCTCATGACAGTGCCAATGGCGTTCCGCACCCGGCACCTGTACTCCCCAGCGTCCGTTGGCGCTATGTCCTCCAGCCAGTGCCTCTTCCCTTGCGTATCGTAGGACCCCAGGATCAGATCGTCCTTTAGCCACTGGAACTCCAGTGGGGAGTCGCCACGCGCCTCACAAGTGAGGAACACCGTGTTGTCCGCAAGCAATTCGAAGCCTGCCGGGGGTGTGATGATGGATGGTGCTGGTGGCAGGGCTGGGGGGGGGGGGGAGAGAAACAAGAAAGAAAAATGAACAAGACGACTACAAATTTGATTTGTAAAGAGTATCATTAGTCAGGAAAAACTGGCAAAGTGAAGAATACACAAGTGACCATTTGCATATAAATTTTGCGCAATAAAAAATATGGAAAAAAGTAATGAATTTTTTCTTTTTTTTTAACCACTTCGCACCAGGTTAATTTTTGATGAAAATTTCGAAATTTTCAAACAAGGCAAAATTCCCCAGCCAACTTCTGATATACAGCCAAACGCCACAAATACTAATTCGCAAGAGTCATTTCTACAGTATTTGTACAATATTTCTTGCCGAAACTTCATATTTATGTTTCAATACTCCGGGGTGTGCACTGGAGCGTAAATTGTACAACAATAGGCCGTGCACAACGGCCCACACAACGGTCAGCACATGGTCTGCCTCCACAGACTATGTGGACTTTGTGTGTGTATACAAAAGGCACGAGGGATTAGCGTGTTTAGACATCACCCGGAGGCAAGTCGAGGCAATCTTGACGTCTTAACCCGTCAGCCGTGCCTGTGCACAAGAACAGCTAGTGCGCACGTGTTATCATGGCCTCCGGCGCAAACCGGTTTAAAAGTCAATTAGTGGCAGGGTGGCCCAGTCTGAATATATTCACATAGATAGTTTGAAAAGAAGGGGAAACATTTGTACAGCCGTGATTGGCATGCCCACCTTCATGAAAGGTTTACGATTGAGAAGGTAACTACTTTTTTATGCTACTGTTGAGTCCTAAATTGAAAACTGACAGGTAGTTATTTTCTTAAAATTTTCCTGAAAGATTTCTCTGAAATTAAACGTGTGCTAAGCACTTTTGACATGGGGAAGGGGATCGTTTACTGTGTGCATACATGTATATAGTACACGTATGTCAATGACAGTTTACCTTGATGCATGAATATGCATGATAAAAAATACAGAACATGTTTTCACATGATCTTAATAAAATTTGCCATGTTTTACAATACTGTTACAGCACTGTTTACACTACACAATAAAGAAAGGCCTTTAAACCTACATGCATGTACAAAAATGTAATTTCAATAGTAAGAATTGGCAATTTAAGGACTTTAAAATTTCAATGCTATGGTCTAATTATTTGAAAAACTCCAAGGAAAATCTAATTGACAATCCAATTCAAAACACAAATCCACTTCAAGAGACGCGATAAAACATGTGGTCAGACCCATCAGAATTCTTTCCCATTTGCACCCATTTGGTACATTTACGACCAGCTGTTCTGCAGTGAACAGTCAAAGCAGCATTATATGCCGGAAGGAATCAGCAACGACTGCCTGGGTGTGGCAGTTTTGTTCAAAATTTTGGGCAATCATTCATAGAAATTTAAGAGATGTCAAGTCTTTTCAGTTGAAAAAACAAAGTACATGCATAATGACAATTCCTATGTTGTATCTTCGTTTTGAAATTTTCAAATGTTTTCTTGAATTTACATGTAGAAAACTTTACAAATTCATACTCAGTGTGTTTGCCATATAAGTACATGTACAGGAACATGTACATGTATGTATTCTATATTGTTTATAAGGATTTTGTGAATTTTTATTTTATTATTTGTTAAATTGCCCTTGAAAGATCCACTAGACATACATTTTATTGTACGAGTGTACTGTACATGTACATGTGAGGTTGCATACATGTACATACGTGTACATGTTCAAGTTTATGACTTACGTACAAGTGCTGATATGTTCCACAAAAATAACCTGCGTGCCGAAAAAATAATAGCCATGAGGTGAGTTTGGTGCATAATGCACTTTCAGTGTACATGTACAAGTACATGTACATGTATGTACTTTAAGCCAGAAATGACATGTACCGGTATTTATGCCCTTGTGTTTGGCTACTGTCCTCATGTTCCCCATATCTAGCAATTGTCATGGTGAGATTTAAACATCGATAACGGGCACTCTGAAAGAAAGAAAGCAAATCCCACTCTGGGCATCGCTTCTGAACCCAAGGTCAAGTTTCTGTTAGACCCCCAAAAAACACCCAATACAGATAACCTGGAAACATGCCCCTGTTATCATTTGAACACTAGTCAAAGTGTACTGAGTCACTGCAGACGGATTAAACCAGGCTAGCTAAGAATGACAAAGGACCGGCAGAACCCGATCTGTTTCTGCACAATGCTCTCAGTTACACAACACCGAGCTTTGTAGAAAGAAAAAGAAAATTCAACGGTAAAATTCAACGGTGACTTTTCAAGTTCACCATGTAATGCGGCATATCATAATTCGCAGCACGATGTGAACTGATGCAGAAATTTCAAGACTTTCTTTTCACACCTCAAAAGTGTTTGCCCCTACGCTAATCCGATTTGGTATTTTGTCCCGGGAATCACCGCCACACCTTGAAGGGTCACGCTAACTTAATATTCTGGGGGGGGGGGGGGGGAGAGTCTTTTTCGCTGGAGCTCAGAGGTGTGTCAGGAGTGGCCGAGCATGGGGCCAATTTGTTGGGCTCAGTGAAATGTGTAACTTTGCTGGCCATATTTGGAGCCTAGTTATCTGCCATTACCAAGATTTTGTTCTTTTGTACTTTGTTTGGGTTGTGTTGGTTGTATTTTCTCTTCAGCCAGACCAAATTGACATGCCTGTTTGGCAAAGGCGCTCTATTCTTCTTCTTACAGGCAGTCCTGTTGTATCTCCCCTTTGGTAACTTAAGTACAGATCTGCAACGTTATATCTTGTAATCCAGAAAACCTACATGTACGGTGTACATGTACATGTATTCAGTAGTTTTACTTTTAACTGTTAGTTGTTTGTCTGTGACCATACTGCAGCCAGCTGTGTAGAATTGAAGAACAAGGCATTTCTGTGTAAAATTGATGTCATGTTTTGGTATCTTTTGCCAAACATCACTGTTTCTAATCCTCACTCACTTCAAATTTGTGCAAATAAAAACTGAAAATTATCCTTAACCACCCAAATTCAGAAAAACTAGTAGTGACATTGTTTGTGTGTTTTTTTTTCAAGGGAATACTGGCTAATGGCTAGACTCTGCCCATAATATGATGAACAAAACCCCTTGTGAAAAACCCTCCTCAATCCTCCAAAATCCTCCAGGTGGTTTTTGGAGGAGTTTGGAGGATTGAGGCTAAATGGCAAAAAAATGTCGGTTGAGTTTGGAGGATGCATTGTGTTGAGTTCGTAGGCTGTACCCTGCAACGTTTATGTTCAGTTGTGCATAGTATTAGTTGAGACCTGCATTATGCTCGATATTATCCGCACTGCTTCTGAACATCATCAGCACTGTCACAATGCATTAACAGTGACTGTTGGAGGATTTTGAAGGATTAAAACAATGGTCACCCCTCCACTGAACAAATTCAAGAAATAACGGATGATTCTGGAGGATTGAGGCTGAATCCAATTTTTACCGGGTGGCAATTGGAGGATTTTTTCAGGATTGAGGATGGTTTCTAGCCAAAAAGGCCTAGGAGGTTAGGGTTGAAATTTCAAGAACTCCTTTCACACTAGCAGGAATCCAACACAGCTTCTAGAGAAGCTCTACCAGTACATTTATTTTGTACCTGGTAAAAAAATCTAAAATCTCCTGCAGACCCGTGTAAATTAGTAAGAACCTGGTGTTAAGTGTTTGATACATTGTACAGTTCCGTTTACAGTGGACCCCTGTATAACATGGGTAGGCAAGAAGACAGTGTGAAAAAGCCTTTATAAGCTTCAAAAAGAAACAAACAAAACCTATAAAACAAGCTCCTTTATTCAAAGTCATGATCTAACTGATTTTCCATATACCACTCTTAAAGTGCTGGAAAAATGGTCCGAGTATTTCAACCATACAAGATGATGGATCTAAATCCAAAGACAGTTCACTGGTAAATATTTACCTAACAAGAAGATAAATGGATCAGAATGCCTGCATGTTCAGCTTTTATTTGTCCGTATTATTATTTGAGTCTGAAGTCTTTTGATAATGACCTCAGACTAGAGGTCACTGGAGAAGGAGGCTACAAAAGCCTGGCATGGTGACCTTGGATTGGGATCGTTGGAAACAAAGACTACAGACTTTTCGAGCCGGTTTTACCAAATAAATTGTCCAGTTGGATGCATATTGTTCCGGCATGCGTGCATGAATGGCTGGATTGCCTTGGCAGAACGTCGAAGTTTGTTACCGTACATATGATCCGTAATCAATGATCATCTGCTTGTAGTTCATTTTTTTCATGTTTGAGTACACTTTGTGAGTGTAATGGGTATTGATGGAACGTGTATGCTGTTGATTTTCTGGGTACGGAACTTGTCAAGAGACGGCAAGGTGCCCGTACATGTACATCAGAGACAGCGTGTTTTGATAATAGAGATTCAGTGTAACCACTAGCACACAAATAATGCATCACTCTCTAAACAGCTCAATAAAGTTGTAAGGTCTGTCTTTGAGCATGCAACTTGAGTTTACATGTATACATGTAAGAAAAAATGCATGAACAGAAGTGCATGTAAATGTTAGAGGGTATATTTTTATCCTAGCAGGATCTTTAGATATAGACGAAATGCCTTGCAAAATTATTCTGCTCGGGTAAGAATGACTTTACCGAAGCAAACAAAAGATTTGTATTATATAGCCAGATTACTCAAGTCACTGAGCAGTTGCAGTCAATGGTTCTTAAAAACTTACATTTCCTAATCTTTAGTTGCTTTGTTCATTCAATGTGCCTCAGTCCTTTGCCTCAAGTAATGAAAACCCTACAGTGTCCCTCCATTCTAAAAATAACACGGACTATCAAAAAAACTGATGAAATGGAGTGACTCGTAATCGATACATGTACCGTAGATGTCACTGGCTTGAATGAAACGAAATAAATGTATACAAAGCCCTGAATCCACCTGCACGTCAAATAGTCCCCAGCACATATGTCCTGCTCCACATGAGGGCATACCTTGAACCGTCGCTAAGTTATTCCCGCCATATTTTTCA